CGAAGAACGAGCTCACGTATAAGAACGCCTTCAGTGGTGCCGAAGCTGTGGATGTCTTGTCGTATATTATTAGGACGACAGACAGGAATCTGGCGCTGCTATTGGGACGAGCTCTTGATGCCCAGAAGTTCTTCCACGACGTCACCTACGAACACCGCTTGCGAGACTCCACATCAGAAATGTACCAATTCCGGGAAACTCTCATGGAAGAAACGGAAGAGAGACCTGCCGTCGACGGTGTCTTTGTGCTACTTTCCGAGTGCTACTCACCGACTTGTACAAGAGATCAGCTCTGCTACTCCATTGCGTGCCCTCGTAGACTGGAGCAGGTATCTCGGCTGAACCTGAAGATTCAGCCTGGCCTGAAGAAGGAGTCTGAGAACGTCTCGAACGAAGACGACGTCGACCAGACCGATGAGCAGAAACTTTGGATCAATTCCGTTCCTAAGGAAGTGGCCGACAGCATCGGCGACCGAGAGAAAAAGAGGCAGGAAGTCATTTCAGAAATCTGCTACACAGAGCGAGATTTCGTCAAGGACTTGGAATATCTGCGCGACTTTTGGATTCTGCCTCTGCGCTCCAAGGCTTCTCCAATTCCTGCCAACAAAAGGGAGAAGGTTGTCAAGGCAATTTTCAGCAATATTGTGGACCACCCGAGTCTGCATGCTGTGAGCGCAAAATTTGCCAAGATGCTGACAGAGCGGCAACAAAAGAATCCGGTTGTTGGCGCTATTGGCGACATTTTCATGGAGTGTGTGCCTCAATTCGAGCCATTTATTTGGTATGGTTCCAAGCAATTGGAGGCCAAATTCGAATTTGAGAACGAACGTTCCGCCAATCCCTTCTTTGCGAAGTTTGTTGACGAAATTGAACGACGGAAGGAGTCGCGCAAGCTGGAACTCAACGGTTACCTCACCAAGCCGACAACCCGTCTGGCTCGTTACCCACTTTTGCTAGAAAACGTGCTCAAGTACACCGAGGACGGTAGTTCTGATAAGGAAGACATCCCCAAGGTACTCAAGTTGATCCGCGACCTCTTGACGAGAGTCAACGCCGAGTCAGGAAAGGCCGAGAACAGATTCAACCTGAGGCGACTCCATGAGCAACTACGCTTCCGGCCAAACGAGAGGGTGGATCTGCGACTGACGGAGGAAGGCAGAGAGTTGGTGTTCAAGAGTCAGTTGAAGAAGACACCGCAAGACGCGTCTGAGATCACTGCTTTCTTGTTTGACCACGCGGTCCTTCTGGTGAGAATCAAGCAGGCCGGCAAAGGGGAAGAGATTAAGGCATATAGGCGGCCGATTCCCTTGGAATTGCTTGCCATCCGCGAGATGGAAGAAGTTATCCCAGGTTCTGGTGCCATGAAGCGATCTTCGTCGAGCTTGCTTCCCGCGCTTCGAGCCAACACCAACGACAACAAGAAGGGCGAAGGCTGGCCAATCACGTTCAGGCATTTGGGTAAAGCCGGGTATGAATTGACGCTTTACGCGTCTAACCAGGCTGCACGTAAGAAGTGGCTCGAGTTCATTGACAGCGCCCAGCAACGTTTGAGAGCCCGCGCCGATTTCTTCAACACAAGCGTTATCTCCACAGGCTTCTTTGTGGGTACCAACCAAGTCAACTGCGTTACGCCGTATGATGGTGGCCGCAAGTTGCTGTACGGCACGGACAATGGCATCTACCTCTCTGATCGCAAGAGCAGAGACGCGATGCCCAAGCGCGTCATCGAGACGACGAGCGTCACCCAGCTCGACGTTCTTGAGGAATATGGCCTCCTTCTGGTGCTATCCAACAAGGCACTCTATTCGTACCCTCTTGGAGCATTGGATCCGAACGAGCCTGCTCTTTCCAAGCGACCCAAGAAAATCCAAAGTCACTGCAACTTCTTCAAGACAGGTATCTGCCTCGGCAGACATCTTGTGTGCTGCGTTAAGTCCTCAGCTCTCTCGACTACAATAAAGGTGTACGAACCCAACGATGCCATGTCGAAGGGTAAGAAGCAAAAGGGCTTCGGCAAGATGTTTGCTGGACAGGACGAGCTCAAGCCGTTCAAGGAGTTCTACATTCCCACTGAATCATCATCCGTACACTTCCTCAAGTCGAAGTTGTGTGTGGCATGTGCTCGTGGATTTGAGGTGGTGTCGCTTGAGACTCTGGAGACACAATCATTGCTCGACCAGGCAGACACGAGTCTTGACTTCGTTGCAAGGAAGGAGAATGTCAAGCCAATCCACATCGAGCGTCTCAACGGCGAGTTTCTTCTCAACTACTCCGAATTCTCGTTCTTCGTCAATCGTAATGGATGGCGCGCAAGACCTGAATGGCGGATCGACTGGGAGGGCACACCAGGAAGCTTTGCTCTCAGCTATCCGTGGATTCTGGCGTTCGAGCAGAACTTCATTGAGCTCAGGAACATTGAGAATGGTGCTGTGCATATTGTGCCACACAAGAACATTCGGATGCTGCACAGCAGCACGCACGAGGTAATCCTCTCTATCCGTCCCGTATCGCGCGCCCCACTAACAGGTTGTAGATCATCTTCGCCTATGAAGATGAGAAGGGAGAGGATGTTGTCGAAGCCATCGATTTCTGGAAGAGCAACAGGAGATCCGAAATCCCTTGATTCCACTCCACGACCCAGCTGCTTCTCATCAGTCTTCCGAGGGAAAACATGTTTTAAAGATCGATACCAGAGTGATTTCACTCAACAAATTCTTTTTCAGCCGCATCCGTGGCAGCCTTTTGGTCATGAAGGGGGTTGCGGTCTACCTGACGTACGTCATACTCCGGGGCCGACGGTGTCGGCGATAATGCTTCATGTAGAAGGGGTGACAGCAATTCTGCTTCGCCATCGATACGTGGTTCTATTTTGCATTGTTATATTTACTTGGATGAGGATTCTTGTTCGACTGGGAACTCAGCCCGTCCGCATGCCAAGGCTTGGATGTGGGAGGGATTGGCAAGGAGGTAGGATGGGATTGAGTGCGAGAATCTAGAGAGAGAGAGAGAGAGAGAGAGAGAGGCGAGCGGCTGGATGGAACAATTCGAGAGAAGCTGTTCCCATTCAAAGATGCTTGTGTATCGCGTGAACCGTGAGGAACGTGAGGCGACGACGATGAGGGTAGGAATGGGGGCATGGCGTGAGGGTATCATCTTACGCATTGTCGTTTGAGCTTTGGGTCTGACGTTGCATACAGTGGTGCGTGGGCGGTTGGATTATGTTCAAATCTTTGTAATTGCATGAGCCTGTTGAAGAATAAGATATGGACGTTTACTGGCATTGTACTGGTCCCTCTGCTGGTGCGATAAGTGACGATGTGTCCATGTGTTGAACGATGTTTAAGAAGGAAGAGGTGTGTTGTCCCGTCTACCTTTGAAAATCAAGCATCAAGCGGGAGGGAAGTGACATGGAGCTACTCGAGGGGAGAACATGAGAGGATGTGCGAGCCGAGCTACACGGTCCCGAGTCTTCATCAGAATCAAGTGACAGTAAGGCATGGCGGAAGGCCTGCTATGATGCGCAGTGCCGCAGCCAAGGATGCCCTGCATGACAGAATTCGGTGGTGTGGTAGTTGCGGAAGATGCGCTTCCTGAAGACAAACAAAACACGGCAAAGGCTTCGTATTTATATCTTGAATAGGCAGTTCACCTCCAGCAAGCCACCCCGTTCGGGAATTTCTAGTGCGAGTCACTATCAGTACTCTATGTTTTCGTGGAAATGTCGAGGCAGGCTTCAGTCCCGTGCATACTCTCGGCTGCTTGAGTTCAAGTGAGCGAGGAGGTGTGGTGTTAAACCTCGCCCGAGCAACCTCAGTTGATCGAGGCACGTTCTCACGGGCGCGGGTTAGACTGTAAGCTATCTAGCTATCGCAAAAAGAGGTTATTTCCGAGGATGATGTCTTCGGAGCCTGTCCTTGAATCTTGGTGGTCTTTGTCGGCTTTCCCCTAGGCCGTGGCTTTCCTATGGCCAGGCGCCTGTAGTCTGGCTCACAATAAGAGGAGGCAGCTCACACCCAGCTTCCAGGCATTCGGGGAAGAAGGCTTCATACTAAGCCAAGTAGGCTGAGTCCAAGGGCCTATTATCATCAGTAACTTATCAGTCATTATACATAGTAGTGTAGTCAACCTGTGGTAGTAGTGACAAGATTCATCGTGCCCAGTTATATGTTGTTCTCTGCGAGCACTACGTTCGCTTCACTGCGATGCTCATGCTCTTTTACCGCCTTGGGTCCTATATTGCAGCTCCAAATAAGCCTCATCTAAGTGTCACTACAAGAAACAACCCCCCCCTTGTTACCCCCTTTTCGTCTGAGAGATCGTTGTATTTTCTGAAATGACGAAACCTCAGAGCATACATTTGCCAGAGTATTGGATACTGAGTTGAGATTCCGGAGCGTTAGACAGACAACCCCAAAAACATTCTCAATATGATTAAGATAGGTATGCTATCCTCACTTCTGTTTTAATGTATCTGCCGAAAACCAGACGACTGCCAACAAAGCTCCAAAGACTCTGGTCAGGACTGGCGTTGTCAACCCGCAAAGTCAGGCCAGTCAACCCATGAGATACGAGTGATCATATAAGTCAACGAACTTGCCTGCGTGCTATATCATGAGACAGTCGCACTTAAATTTGGCAAAATATTTCTTTGGCTTTTCGGCACGACAAACGCAGATGCAGGGTAACTTGAATCGTTAGTAAAGTGCCTGCCTGCGATATCTTATTATATAGGAAGGACCTGGCCTCTATTCTCCCACGTTCCTTCCCGGCGAACTTTCACCGATGCCCTTGCCTTTTTATTGATAGCTCAGGCGGCCTCAACCCTCCGGGCTTTCTTTCCTTGCCGGGAAACTGACCATCCCCTTCTCGCTCTTCATCATTTTCTCATGCGGCAAAACGCTTCCACATCTTGATCTCATTCTTACTACGCGAATATCTCATACATACTCGCCACAGACCATCCACTTAACTCAGCCAACCCAACCGGTAAGGCTTGCACGATGGCTGAGGAGAATCATCGATGGCTGATTGAAACCGGCAGGTTGTCGGATTTCAAACTCATCTGCCAAGGCAAGGAGATCCACGTTCACAAGACTATGCTCGCCAGTCACTCCAAGTACTTTGAAACTCTTTTCAGCAGTGGCTTCAAGGTTGTACTTTCCGAATGGTTTGGAACATGTAACTAACACTGACACATCGGATAGGAGAATATAGATGGCGTGGTTGTTTTCGAAGACGTTGAATCAGAGCTTATGCGTCACCTCCTTGACTATTTCTATAAAGGCACCACCGAATGGAATGCCCCAAAGGCCGATTTGGAGCTACATGTCCGACTCTGGATCCTCGCCGATCTGTTGGAGGCTTCGACAGTCATGCTTACTATTGAGAAGCGAATGATGGACGCGCTGTCGTCTTACCAGAGCAAGCCCCAGGCCATCAAACTCATCGATCTGGTCTTCGCACACCAGGCTTGGGCAAGATCTGCTATAGGATACACTCTTAGCGAGGCCGCCTGGGTCTTGTACCTTGATAGGAATCGTCCTTTCCCCGCTAGCTGCGTCGAAAATGCGTTATGCAAGTACCACGACTTGGCTGTCATGACGAACTGGTGGTCTTCTCAATACGCCAGATTCAGCAATAAGAATGGCAAGGCCTTTCTATCAACCAGAAAAGAGCTTTTAAGAGACAGCACGATCGAAGTCAACTTCACGAAGACGTCTAGAGATTAGGTTGAGTAGAAGCTGGAGTCGGACATCTATAATGCCTTGCCGTCGACTCTTAGGGCTCATGTTGCTCCCAGCGTGGGAGCCATTTCTCATTGATCCACTTGACCCGTTCACGTCAACAGGACTCGGGAGATGAAGGCAGAAAGGTTACACGAGCAATCAACGAGAGGACAATTCAGAAACACTTTCATGATCAGAGCTGAGTTCGCAATCGTGCTCAGTGATCGCGTTTACATTTGCACGCTGTTTCGTGGACTTGTACTCCTGATTTGAGAATTATTAGATTCTAACATGGTATCGAGCTAAGAAAAACACAAGCGCCGTCATGCAAAACATGAAATCATCACCCCCTCCATCCCCGTTGCGACACAAAAAGCACCCAGCAACTCCTCTACTTCTTCGTACCGGCCAAGTGCCACTCAAACACCTTCCTAAACCTCTCCTTTCCATCACCCTGGATGGTATCTCCGTGGCAGGGAATGAGCGTATCAAAGTCCCACGCATCGATCCTCTGGATGCTCTCGTTGAAGCTCGGCCTATCCTTGCTGCTCATCACGTACCACTGGAAGCGCTTCACCCACTTGACGTCGCCCTCGGTAGTCTGCAGGCCGCCGAAAAGCTTGTTGCCGAAGCCGGAGGAGGTATCGCGCTCGCCCTCGGGCGCCTTGGAGTACTGCTCCCTCGGAGGCAGGTTGAAGAGCAAGTCAGCCTGAATGAGCACGCGCTCAGGCTTGAAGTAGAAGACGAGCTCCTTGTTGGCGTGCGCATCGACGTACTCATACTCGAAATCGGCATCAAACTCGGGGGTGATAGTGACGCTCCGCTTCTCCGCGCCATCTTTGAAAACGACAAAGAACTCGTCCGCCGTGTTAATCTTGGGATCGCCCGTCTGCTTGGCGCGCTTCTGCGGCAGGCCATCGGGGCCGATGATCTTGGCTTGCGGGTAGGCGGCCTTGTACTCGGAGATGAAGATGTGGTGCTCCATGTCGGGGGCGATGATGTAGGCGAGGTTCCCGCCCTTTTCGGCGATCTTGGCCTTGACTGCGTCGGTGAGGGCGACGGGGCTGAAGACGGCGAGGGCGCCGGATGTGAGGCGGACCAAGGTGGCGCGGCCGCCGATTTTGAGGGTGCCGAAGCGGGAGAAGGGGACGGAGAAGGTTGTGATGTTTGGGGTGAGGTCGCGGATGACCATCACGTCGGCCGGGTTTTGGGGGATGAGTTTTGAGGACATTGTGAGTTTGTCCTTGACGGATTTCAGAGCGTTGGTCTTGTGGTGGTTGTCTTTGAGTTGTTGTTCTGGCGAGTCGAGGGTGTGTTGGCCCTGGGTTGGTGACTGCGAATTGGTGTTGCTGTTGTTGGTTTGAGATGAGGTTCCTGCTGTTGATTCCTGTGCTTGGGACTGAGCTTGCGGGTTATGAGTTGCCGTGAACGCTCTGCGATGAATGCGCGAGGGGTTGAGGCTGCGGGCGTGGGCTGTTATAGCCGGGTATCTCAGTAGTCTCTATATGAGGGACGTTATTAGGAGTGCGAACGTGGTTGACGAAATGGACTGTGTGATCAGAGTGAGGAGGCGGGCGACTATATATGAGGTAATGGGGCGGCGTGCTGCTTGGATGAGGCAAGTTCACGAGCTAAAAAAGCACGTACCATTTCAAATTCAAAGTACCTTAAGGTAAGGGTCCAAGTCCGAGGGACGTCGTTCTAGAATTGGGAGGTGGGAGGGCGCGGGAGTGGTGGGGGATGCCGTCAGCAAATGGGCTTCGCCAATTTTTTCTGAACGTTACTTGGGAATGGTTTGATAGGTGATTGGGATGAGTTCCGCGCAGAGAGAGAGATCGTCCGGGTGTGGTCGGGAAATGGTGCTGAGTCGGGGAGACGACGTTTCATGGAATCCGATGGGGTGACCGGCGCATGGGAAATGAGATTAAATGCCTTGTTCGGGTCGGCCGAGCTTTTTCTTCTCAGCTGCTTATGGGACCTTTGGTAGGACCAGACCAAACCAGAACTCTTCTTCCCTATTCTCGTTGCGGCGAGCTTTACTCTTTGTCTGCTATCTTTGTTCTGCTTTCTGGCAATGTCTTACTGTATTTCTTTCGCTGTAGAACGATTGATGATGGCTGATGATCGGCCTCTGGCTGTTGCAAAAAGTCTCTGTACAGTAATTTGGACTGGCATTCGAGCACGAATATCTCAAATTGGTGGTCAATGTGGTGGTGGTGGTGGTCAGTTGTGTCTCCGGACCAGCCGTAGCGGGTGCTCCTGCAGCATGCTGTCAGTCAGAACGTTGTTTCCTTTCCCAGCCCACTGACAGGCGCTGGGCGTGGCACCCCCAAGTCATGACATCACTGGCCGGGTGGTGTGGGAACTGCATCAGAGTGACATCTTCCATTGCGCCTTACACTCCCGCGCAGTTACTAAGCCAGCGACAGCAGCATCTGCAATACCTAGGATATCAATGCCTTTACTAACTTCAAGCTCCAACTTCAAAAGAGCTCGACATTGCTCTGCTTGGTATCTCGCGGCCGAGGTAGAAACGGAGACGGCGGATCGTAGACACCGCTCAAGACCCCGAACGAATGGATTTCGATGAGTTGGTGCAAGTGCCGGGCCGAGTGACGGGATCCTCTCTTCCTTCAACTTGCTTGTCTTGGTAATCCAAAACGTCCCCAGCCCGCAGCGTGCTAGCGGTTCCGCGAAACATTTCCTCCGATTCCCTTTTATTTTTATGGGAACCGGGGATTCGAGTCGTTCCGTTCAGGGCAGAGGTTGCAGAACAGAACGATACTGGGGCCGAGGCACAGATGCCGGACTAGACCGAAAGTGGGAATCTTCTGGATAGTGGGGCTTCCGGGGCGCTAGTCCCTTTTCCGCCCCGTAAGTGCGGCTTCTTTCCATCTATTCTTCTCTCTTTTTTCATGGTGGCCCAGGGTCCCGGGACGGAACTGGAAACTGGATATGAATGACACGACAAGGGCCCGGTTCCCCGAATTCCAAATCATGCATCGGAGGGCTGAGCGGAGGTCAGGCATTCGTAGGTCAGTTAGTCAGTCACGCACGCAAGTCTGTCGTTTTCGTTTCCTGTCAAGGCCTTGTCAAGAGGGGACTCACGGATCGTCAACTGGCAAATGATGCCATGTTTCTCAAAATCTATTTGCATGCTATTTCCCAAAACAGTAGCCATCCGTACAAACAACCAATGCTCTCATTTATGAGGTATACAGTAAGCAATAATCAAACTAACTAGCTACAAATGCCGTTGAACTCCGTGGAACCCTAAATCGACGATCCGAACAATTGCTCCCTGCAGACTTCCCGGACACGCATACGCAATGCCGTTTATCGTTTATCCATCATCATCAGACGAAAAGCTTCTACCACACACACACACTTTGCTCACTGTCAAAATCTCCGTCCACTGACAGATCCCCCGCCAAGAAACCTCGGACGTCCTCCCGTCTCCCGCCTTCCGCCTCCCGCGCCTTCCACGGGCACATTCTCCAACCTCTACGTTTCTCTTTCTCATACTGCCGCCCCTTCGCCAGTAGTGAAAGGCACAGCAGGCTTAGTTGCAGAGAACCCAGCAAGCCTCATATCGATCCCGTCGATACCCCACCACCTCGATCGTTCCGGATGCAAAGCCCTCTCGATAAAGTACGCCCTCGTGACCCCGTTGGCCATGTCGTAGATCCTCTGCACGGCCCACGTCGCCGTGAGCGCCTGGTACAAGCAGTAGAACCAGTACAAGACGATCGTGTCCTTGATCACCAGCGCCGCGGGCTTGGGCTCCGGAAACGCTGGCCTGCTCGGCTTCCAGCTGCTGCCGGGCAGCGGATAGACGAGTAAGCAAACGAGGCCGCCGAGCGCAAAGTGTAACGCCTGCCGCCATGAGACGTAGTGAATGCGTATGCAGCTCCAGAAGGCGAGGAGAAGGCGGAAGAGGTAACTCGGGCGCGGGTGCGCGATTCGTTCTCTTGTGGCGCTGTCCATTTCCATGATGCCGGCTAGTCGCACCAGGAGAAGGCCGTCGTCTTCGGGGACCACCGTCTCCGTTCCGGACTCGGGTGCGGCGGTCGTGTTGCTTTTGTCCGTCTCGCTGTTGGACTTACGGCCACAGCATCTTTTGTATTGATCGTACACCTTGACGAGGTCGCTGACAACATGTTGCCTAGCAGCTGGAGTGGTCTGTTGTGAAGCCACCGACCTGTCTGATGAATCGCAGCCACCGAGACAGGGACAGCTACACTTTTTGCCATTTCCTGTCTGCTTCTTACCTGGCCCACGAGGACCACTGGCCGGTCTGCCGCAAGAGTCGCCGTTGGGACCCTCGCCGGGGTCATCGTCGTCATCATCGTCGTCGCCGGGATCACCACCAGGACCACCACCAGGTGCGCCTGCGCGCTGCTTCCCCTTCCCTTCCCCATCCCGCCCAGGCTTCTCTTCAAACGTTCCCTCTCCAGCAGCTTTCAAGTTCTTTTCATCTTGATCGATCATCATATCCACATGGTCACGAAGCTGCTGCTGCTGCTGCTTCTCCATCAGTGCTATCCTCGCCCTAGCGTGTTTGAGCTGCATCCTTTCGGCTTGCAACTCCAATTCGCAGAGACCGAGTCGCCGCCTTTGCGAAGACATGATATCTCTCATCTTAGACTGCTGAAGCTTGATGGAAATGTCTCGTTTAGCCAATCGGTCATCGTAGTTTTGCTTTTGCTGGGTGATTCGATGTTTGTGTTGATCATACAGCTTCGCCCACTGCCTCACCTGTTCGTTGATGATGTCAATCAAACCCTCCTCTCGCTCCGTCATCCCCTGTTCGGGGAATTCTTCGACCTCGTAATCGTCGATTGCGGATAGGTCCAGATGTAGAGCATGGGAGATGCGCTCCCTCATCCGAACAAGCTTTTGTGCGTCAGTTCCCGACGAGCCATCCGTGGTGATGTCCAGTGCCCGTTCCATGTCGGTTGTCAACGTCTTGCCCCTGTCCTCCAACTTTTCGTTGTCCTTCCGTAGCTGGTGGATCTCTCCTTGAAGATCTTTGATGGCCTCGATGGTCTCATCGAACAAGGCACTCTTCGACGACTGCTCCTCGGCAAGGTTCCCCTCCAGCTCCGAGATCCTGCGCGTCTTCTTTTCTATATCCTTCTTTTGCTCTCCGTAATAGTACACCGTCTCGCGGATCTGCTTGTCTACACCATCGTCGATGGCCTCTTGCCTGTCGTCCTCCATAGCGCTGATTTTCTGTTCCAGCTTTTCCTTAATCGTCTGCAAGGTCATTGCGTGGCTATTTGCACGGAAATATCTGGTTCTCATCTCTCCCTGTACTCCCACGGCTATCTTTCTGTAATCCTTGAGCTTCTTTTCCCACTCCTCGTTCTCTTTCTTGAGCCGCCGAGCCTCTTCGACGAGCTCGTTGTCCGACATGCCCACGAACTCGTCAGGTTCTCTTGCCTGGAGAACAGCGACTGTCGCATTGGCCTTCTCGAGGAGGATCTTGAGCTGCCGAGCTCTGCTGCGTAGCCACTCGTAGTTTTGGGAGTTGACGCCGTCGTGGATGAGGCTCTCAATCAAATAGTCGAGACGCTCAAGATTGCTATAAACATTTTCACAGCTCATGGACCACTCATTGAGGGGGTCCCAGATGCTTCGCGGGAGGTAGGAAGGCAGGATCCGGTCCGTGGCGTGAAGGGCGACAAAATCGCTGGAAGACTGCGAGGACAGTTCAGTTGTGAGGTCGTCAAAGGCGTTGTGGCTCTGGAACGCCCGCCGGGACTCGTCGCCTGGGCTATCTGGGATGGCTGGCTGCGTGGTAGTCGACGACGGTTCTGCCTGAGGAGATCCCGGGTCTTCTTGATCCGCGGGTGCGCTGGGGAGCGGATGTGCGGAAAGACTGGAGGACGCTGGCCCTGGCTGTTGACGGATGGGGTCATCAGCGACTTGCAGATTCCGCGTGGCCTCCATGATGTCATTTCGAGCGAAAATGCAAGCCCTTTGTTCCGCATATGTTTGCGTTAAAATCTCCCGGATGGCATGGACGCGTGCCTCCCAAGCAGTCCGCTTGGGTGAACTGTACCGATCAATGTCTCCATCAACGGAGCTGTCGCCTGAACTTCCTGGATCGCCGTCGTCAGGGAACCTGTAAGCCTTCTTCTTCCCTCTCCACTTGTCCAGGCCCTTTGCTAGATGGTTGAATGTAGAATCTGGGGGTAGCGGAGGGTCGGCGACATTGGGCTGGGCGCCGGCGGCTGAGCTTGGCCCGGCCACGGTGGCCTCCGAGTCATCTAGGTCTCCGACGGCCTGTGCCACGGCCTCTATTTCTCGTTGAATTTGTCGGGCTGGTTCGCACGGGTTGCCTATATCTTGATATATCTGGTTGAAAACCCCTCCGAAGTGATCGATAGTTGCGCGCAAAAGTTGCCCTTCTTCCTGCAGAGTCGACTCGGCTATGTTCTTCTTGCTCTCCAACGCGTCGATGGCTTTGCGGAGTTTCTTTGGGTCGTTACCTGGGTCCGGTCCGTCTTCATCAGAATCACTATCATCGTCGCCGCCAGAAGACGTTTCGTCACTGCTAGCGGTCTCCCAGTCACTGCCCCCGGACTGATCAGGTTGATTCTCACCACCACTCCCGCCGGCACCGTTTCCGACGCCGTCTTCATCGGCCGCCCCGTTGGCCGTCCTGTTCTCGATCATCACGAGTCTTTTCTTGTACTTATCAATCTTCTTCGTGAGTGCATATAGCCCCTCGGGGTAGTGCTCGAAGGTGACTTCAGCATGATGCTTCTTTTGCAAGGCCAGTTCTTGCATCTTAGTGCGAGCTTCGTGGAGGGCGTTACGCAGGTCTATCATGCGGTCAACCTGGTACTCGTTGGGATCTTCTGGGAGGTCCATATTCCCCAGCTTGTCGCACAAGCTCTTGAAGAAAGAATCAAGCTTGTTAGCAGTGGTTGACTGCATTTGTATCAGACTTTCAAACGTGTTTAAGAACTGCTGGTGTATGGCCCTCAACTCAGGAGGGGCGTGTTGATTGCCTGATGTCGTCCCCAAAGTCTCGTCGATAGGCATTTGGTAATCAAGAATTCGCGTCGAGTCTTCGACCGGCGATGTGTCGCAAGTCTGCGTGCCCTGATGAGAAGTCATGTTCCCTCTCGGCAACGTCATGCCCGACAAGACCCGTGTGATTTCTTCCTTCTCGGTTGTCAGAGACACGACTTGTTTTTCGAGTCCAGCCACCTCTGTTAGGCGTTTCTGCTCCATATCTATCAAAGTGAGCATCTTCAGATGGTCTCCTTTTTCAAGATTCCGAATCTCAAGCTTGAGGGCATCCACCGTCTTCTGATGTTCATCCTTGATCCTGGCCAGATCGGCATTGTCGTCAGCGGCTGGGTTTCGACTCTCTAGCTCTTGAACTCTGAGCTTTAGCTCATCTAGTGTTTTTTGGTGTTCAGCTGTGGGCTCCATCGGATCAGCACCATCGCAAGCAGCCGACTTGCGGCTCTCCAGGTCGCGAATCTTGAACTCGAGGCCATCCACTTCCTCCTGATGTGAAGTCTTGATCCTCTCCAGCTCAGCTTCGCCTACTTCGGCTCTTCTCGCCAATGCCTGAATGTCTTTCTTTAGCCCCTCAACAATTTTGTTGTGCTCCGCGATCCAATCTTCTCGCAGCTCTTTGTCTTCAGAAACAAGCTTGCCTTTAATCTCGTTTCTGAGGTGTTCGACACCCTTTTCCTCCAAGATAACGCGCCTCTTTTGCTCACTTTTGAACCTTTCCTCAGCAAAGCTCCATTTGTTACGGAAACCGAACACGCTCTCTTCAAGTCTGGCTATCTCCGCCTTGAGCGTGGCAATCCGTGGGTCATCGGACGGGCCAGTTTGCGAGTTCTTCAAGTCGGCGACCTGCTTCTTGAGGCGCTCGCCGTGCTCGTGGCATTCGTCGAGAGTCTTCTGCTTCGCTTTCAACTCCTCCTTCTTTTCTCTGAGTAAGAAGTCCTTTTCTCGTATCTCCCTGTTCTTCTTTTGGATTTCTTCGTCCTTGTTTTTGATCTCTTCAACCTTCTTTCGCATTTTCTGCTCAATATCTTGTAGTTGCTCCAGCAGTCTAACGTTTTGTCCTGCAACTTCGTCCGTAGAATCCATGTACGCCTTGAGATCTTCCTTTAACGCATCTTTCTGTTGGGCTAGTTCCACCTTTTCTTTTAAGAGCTTGTCTCTCTCAAGAGCCAGACTGTTTCTTTCGTCCCGGACATGCTTGGTATCCTCATCGAGGCCTGACACCATATCTTGGATCTCTTGAAGATCCCTGCGGCTCGCCACCTGGTTGCTCTCCGCCTTATCCACGCGGTCAATCAAGTCGGCCACTAGCTGAAGGTGCTCTCCTGGGTCGTCCGGCGAGCTCGACGTGGTGCTCGATGCGTCCGCTGTAGCCGCCTCTTGTGCCAACTTTTCTCGTGCCAGCTTCTCTCGCGCGCAGGCAAACGCAGCCTTTGCCTCAGCTTTGCCGAGTTTGTGGTGGACTGCGCTCAATTGCCCCTTGAGCTGCTCAGAGACCTGCGACATGAAAATGTCCCTCTTCTGGAATTTCTTGAGCTCCTTGGTCCGTTGCTTGAGCGTAGCTTCCAAGTCCTTGATCTTATTGTCGGCACCTTTGCGACTGGTCTCGGCTTCTTCTTCGTCGCGCGCCTGGATGGCCGGAATCCCGTTGGCATCTTCCCTCATTCGGCCGGCAATGGTTCCGCCCTCCTTGATGCTCTGCTCCAGCATGCGAGCGCTTGCTTTCAGCTCTGAATTCTCATCAACAAGCTTTTTGGCATCGTCTCTGAGTTCTTTGATCTTCTTGTCGGCTTCCTTGCGAAGATGTTGGCACTCCTTTAATGCATTCTGAGTACTGCGAAGCTCAAGAGAGACGTCCCCTTGGTCGATCTTGCTCCCCTGAGACTCCTGAACACTGGTTAGCATCGCTTCAAGAATGTAGGGGCCCGGACTTACCGCCGAAGACACTCTTTCAAGTCTGGCGAGTTCGTCCTCCAGTGTCTGTTGTGTTCGATTAGGGCTGCTCTGGTTTTCTTCCGGCTCCTGTGGAAACAATTAGTGTTCTCCTCCAGTCTCGAGAAATTCGATTCATCTTGCCATGGAGGACTGGCTGTTGCAGCCTTCGAGCTCATTCGCGAGGTTAAGTCTCCCCTCAGGCTCGCTCTCGGTCTGCGATGCGTGGGATTTCAACGCCACCGCCCCAGAACCTCGCTTGGGGGGCGAGAACAAATCATCAGACAGCGACTGCGAAGGCTTTTCGTCGGAAAGCACAACGGCGTGAGGGTATCTGTGGAAGCCATCGTTGCCATCGCACACCAAGTCCGATAATCTAGCTTCCTCTTCCCGCCAGTTGCTGTAGAGGTTGCTCACGGCATCCTCCATAGCGAGACTGTAGAAACCGACGAGCTCTCCCATGACCATGTCGCGCACATCGTCCATGGAAACGTTTTGATTTTGGGCAACGTCGCGATCAGTCTCTGCTTGAACGAGCCGCTTTTCCAAGTCTGATATCTCGCCCCTCGCATTATCGACGAGCTTACGAAATTTGGCAAGGGGAACGATCTTGTGATCGACGGTGAAAGCCATGTTTTCCGCCTCGATTTGGGCTTGGAAGGCTTTCCTGGTCTGCTCCACCAATTGCTTCTGATAGTTCTCGGTCAAAGCCTCCGCTTCCTTGACTTGCTTTTGGTAGGCCACCACCTGGTTTTCCATGTAATAAATATGGTCCTCATACCGCATCTCCTTGGCCTGCCATCTGCCCGTCTCCTCCTCAAGTTTGCGCTCCGCTGCCGCCTTGGCCGTGATTTCGTCCTCGAGCTTATCTCGGAGCTCGTAGATGTTGTTTTTCAATTCTTCCTCGTTCATGGGAGGAGCCATCTGCTGGCTGCGCATCTGGACCTCGTTGTGCTCGGCTGTGAGGTGCTGGAGGGCAATTTCCTTCTCGTTGAGCTCGTTCTCGGTCATCTTGAGCTTCTCTTGATTTGCTTGTAGGTCCGACTTGAATCTGTATCGCTCGGCCATACAGCTTTTGACCTGGTCACCAAGTTCTTGTGCCTTTTTCTCCAGTAAGCCGAATTCGCCCAGTTTGTCTGCTTGCTTCGCGACGATCTCTTGCAGTGCAGTCTTCTCGCCCTCAAGCTGCGCGTGTGCTTGAGACGAGGTCTCGAATTTTGAATTCTCGGCCTGAAGCTTTTTATGACTCGTACTGCATTCTTCAGAGACTTTTGAGGCAAAGTTCTTGAAGAGCGCCTCGCATGTTGTGGGTGCCGGCTCCTCGTTGACTAAGTGGAGAATGTCGTGTGATTCCGCGAGGCTTCTCAGAAACTTCCTCATCTCCACGAGCCTTTTTGACTCAGTCGACTCAATGGGATCTGTATCTAGAGCTGGGGCGCTGAGTTGCTTCTCCTGGCCTTCTTGTTGGACCAGCGGAGTCGAATCAGGCATAGTTGGAGCTGGACTATTAGGTCGGCTTGTCTGCCTTGTTTGTTGAATGGGCGTAGTGCTATTGCGAGATTTGGAATTGCGACCACTTCCCCTGGAAACCGAACCACCGCACTGGGAGACGCTTGAGCCCGAGGGAGCTGGACCTGATGGCACTGCTTCGTCTTCACCTCGACTGACTGGAAGCCCTGCTGGCGAAGCAGGACGACTGGAGAGTAGGTCCCGTATGGCCGATACAGGCGTGGCTGGTGTTGTGAGATCATCCTGCGAAGGGATCGCCACGCTCCGCATATCCAACTTTGCTCCAGTGGCACCCTTCCCGGCCATAACAGCCCAGGACAACCTGGAGGGATGGACTGTTGTTGGCGAGTCATCGTGAGGCGCTGATAACATAGACGCTCTGCTTTCACTTCGCCGTTGCTCCTCATTCGCTGGAGGCGGTTCGGAGCCCTGGTCCAACGAAGTCCTCACGTGCAATCCATCTTTCTCAGATGTTGTTGTGGCTGGAGGTTCCTCGCAAGAGCTTTTTCGGCCTCGGGAAACCTCTCTCTCTGGAAAATCCTCACCCTTCTCCCCGGCCATCTCGCTCGATGCCAAGTGTGTCAGTCTCTTCGCAAGGTGTACTTACAGTTTCTCTCGTATAATTTGTGGTGTCTGATAGCAAGGAAACAGAATAGAGAAAGATAACAGGAGGAATGAAAAAATAAAAGCTGCTCAAACGTCTTTGATCTGTGTGGACACGCCGTACTTATGCCATAGCTTATTTCCAGGATGTCGTATACTGATTGGGTCACGAGAAGCTCCAATGTAGTAAAGATACTCAAGGTAATACCATCGGCTTATTGAAAGAACTCGACCCCATCCCCGGGGTAGATTCTCCCAAGTCGAGGGAGATAACAATGCCTCCGTTTGCATACCAGACTGCCCTGCCGTCAGTGCAACTCCCATTCAACTTTCAACAAAGCTTCCAACACCGAATCTGAAGATAATGGTTCAAAGGATCATTGACGCATAAAGGAGCCTGAACCAAAAATGAGTACTCTAATATTAGGCAAGACTTGCGGACGTGCGCATCCCTCAGAGTTTTGGGCTGTCTTTGTGGACAGTTTCCCCTACCTCGCGCCCTCGCCTCATTGATCTCTTCGTACCTTACCTTATGACATGGCACATTGTTAGCAAGCGCATTCTGAAGTTCGGTAAGGTGGGGACGGTGCAGAGAATGATGCTGCAGAGGGCGTCAGTTGCCCCATTGATTCATTGCTAGGTAGGTCAAACAACTCCCCAATATTGGCGTCCATGGGAATATTCCTCCAATCCTCCGTTCTCTAATGCCTCCCCCAAAACTCCATTGCAACATCTTGACCTGGTATTCTATATCTCGTTCAGCACCGATGAACGATGGAACTGAAATGCAATGCCGGAACTCCAAATACGCCGTTTTGTCCTCTTCTAGCTGTACCATCCCCTAGCTCCGGGACCTTGCGCTGTTGCTTCTTTCCGATGGGTAATCATCGGCTCTTCGATCTCAAATGTGTCAATGATATCTTGCCATGTCTGCATATCCATGGAAAAGATTGCTTGCTGCTTCGCCGTCTCACGCTTGGCCATGCCGTCCTCATTTGCGTCTCCATTGCTGATGGGATCTGAAATCTAGTCAGTACATTTAAAGTGAGCTGTTAGATGAGGGCCGGCTTACTGAGAGAGGGATACTCGTCGCTGTCAAACTCGATGCCAACTTTTCCATCACGGATGAGGAAACTGACGTAGAACATGTTTTCGACCGTTTGGCCGAAGGACCTGGGGTTGACAACAAAGCGAAGGAGGTCAACACCGCCTGTATCCCGTAGACCATATTTCTGCATAAGTTGAATCTGCTCGGCGTCGTCCATTTCGGTGGTTTCGAATATTTCGGAGAGTTCGGTCTGAATGCTGCTTTGCACCTTGTCCAGCTGCTTCAGAATCTTACCGCAGATAGCGGTCAGATCGTTCTCCTTCTTGGCAAGGTCCTCAACATTCAACACCTCAGGTCTTGTCTCTTCCAGGTTGTTGGGTCTGAAAGGGGCGGTGCGCTTCGATATCTTGCGGACTTTCTTCTCCACGGACAATGGACCAAGCAGAAAACCGGGCAGGGCTGGCCGACGGACATTTGGTAATGATGCGAAGCGTCCGAGATGGCTCCAGTTGAATGCCTCATCGTTTCCTTCATCCTCATCATCGCGGGAGTTGCCATTGGTGCGGCGTCTCCGTCTTTGTGTACCCGATAGCTCTGGCGCCTCGTCGTCTGCGATTCCGCCGGCTTGCCGCATGTAGGTGCAGCACTTGGAGACGAACTCATCCACATCGACACCCTCAGTGGAGCTTCCCTGCATCAACCTTACGGTTTTGCGGTACGACATATCGACGGCACTGACAAGCAGGCGAGAGTCGATGGTCGCTTCCGTCGTTTGTTTCACGCCTTTGGCTACCCGCTGAGCCATCATCAAGGTATCCTTTAGACCCGTTGAGCCTGGCAGCATGTACTCCTCCATATTTTCGGTGATGCCCTTCTGAAGATCTCGCAGCTTTCGTTGAATCTCTCGACGCTCCTCCATCGGTTGGTCTGGGTCATAGATGTCTGAATCGTATTCTTCTTCTCTCTCAACGGAGCGCGTAGCTCGGCGACGGGAAGCATGGCCTCCATTTTCCGTGTCTGTACGTTTCCGCTTTCCAATGGGGACATCGTGACCTTTGCCTTTGTCTCTCACGGCGAGATGGCCGCGCGCAGGACGGGGCGCATCGTCTTCGCTCGATTCGGGGGAGGACGAGCCTCCTACTCTCGCCGGCATTCTCGATGTCGATGGGGTTGGTAGATGAGAAGATGCTGTGTGCTCGATACTATAGTCGTCGGGGATTTTGACGCGATATGAAGTCGAACCTGGCGTAGAACAAAAGAGCACGCCTTCTGTCCGGGGTTCGATGACGATTTCGGGTGGTTGTGCAGGATATCGCGCGTGAAATGCGACTGAGCATGGAAGACGCGACAAGCACTTCCCAGGCGACCCTTCCACTCAACGCGCTCAGCAGGGTCCAACAATCGTTATCGTAGGTACCTGTGAGTGCGTGGGGTGAATGTGGCTGAGTGTGACTATCGATAAGAGATAAGTACAGCGACATGTGGCTGAAGCGGGGCGGGTAGACGATAGAGGTCCACAGCTTGCCCGCCCACGCTAGGGTGTACTAATACGCTCCACTAGAGCTTCCTACAGTCAGCTGCCAGCTACCGGTGGCTATCCAGTCTGGGGCAGTCAGTGACCTCAACCTACCCTACTCAAACACATGCAACCACTGTCTGTCGCATTCGCCGAACGACATTCTGCAACTTGCCAGCTTCATTGCATGATGGACTCATAACCTCCTCAAACGAGCTCCTATCCTCACAATGGAGCCATTTTCATTTGCCAGCTCCGAGTCTCTAGACTACCCAGTCAGCATTCGCATGTATGCGCCTGTCCACTGCGTCGTTCCCAACCCGGATAATACGCGAGACTGACGCTGCCGTAATAGCATTAACCTAGAGGGCGACGAAACACCATTTCTGCATTCTACTTTATTGGAAAAGGCCGCCCTTAGACACATCGGTTCTAACACAAGGTGACACCCTCTGCGTGGCTGCTGATCGCCAACGCTGACTTGCTAGTTCTCACTCTGATCTCTACGTCACCGTCCAAGTATGGGCCGGCTCGAAGCCGTTGACCGTGCCTATCCAGACGGCATACAAATCGTTTCGCAATGAGAGGAGGTGAGATACTTCCCATAAGACTGGTTCTTGGTCCTAGATAAAGCCCTCTGACGCAGAGTGCGCATAGATGGAACGAATGGCTCACACTACCGATCAACTACAAAACCCTTCCTCTAAACTCCTGCTTAGCCATCACATTATGGGACTCGTCACCAGCTGGAGGAAAACAGGCAAGGGGCCATGCGATTCCCTTCGGTGGCACAACACTTCCACTGTTCGACCGAGACAACCAGGTGCAGAAGGGCCGGCAGAAATGCATGGTTCACCGACACAAGAATGCTGATGGGAATGACAATACCGCTACGCCTGCGGTTCCGCGCAAGAAACGGGACAGCTCGAGGAAAGGAGCAGCTCCAATTGTAGATAAGGATGCTGAAGAGCTGGAGCGCATGGAGAAGCTGTTCAAGAAGCACGAAATGGGCGAGATACCCAGAGTCGACTGGCTTGATCAGCTTGTCTTCCGTGGCTTTGAGAAGCGCGGAATACAGTCGGCAAAAGCATCACTCAAGACTATGCAACACCAGAGGACGACAAATGGAGATGCGTCAACCAAAAAGGAGGGAGTCTCAGACGACAAAGGCACTGTGAATACCGAATCCCATCCAGGGTTTTCCAAGTTTCAACTTAACGTTGAGTTGCCTCGATTTGACTTTCCAGTTGTTTTCGCCGACCTGGAGTACGACCCCCCGCCAATTTCGGCGCTTCAGCATGTGTCTGCTTCTCAGTCTAACGTAATGCTGAAGCCACCTCCTGAAGTGCAGTTTGGTCCTGGTATCGACGCGCTTGACGATTCAGCTGGGAGTCGATTGATGAAGGTGTATGATCCTGAGGTCGGTGCCCGTGACAACCCAGCCGAAAGCAAGCACAGGAGGCTCGTCAGAAGTCAGCATCGCCATGGGGTTCTCGATAAGGATCTTAAACCAAATGCGAAGGTCCGGGATGAGCTGAACCTCATCATGTCGTATTCGCCAACCCACACGTTGACCCCGGAAGAGAAGGATTTAATCTGGAAGTTCCGTTATCATCTCACTCGCGACAAACGGGCTGTCACCAAGTTTGTTAAATCAGTCAACTGGCAAGACCAAAGCGAAGCCAAGCAGGCGGTTCAAGTCTTGGGACGCTGGACCGAAATCGACGTCGACGACGCCTTAGAGTTGCTTGGCCCCACCTTCGACAACCAAGCTGTTCGGGCATATGCTGTGGAAAGGCTACGTAAGGCGGATGATCATGAGCTGCTCCTTTACCTGCTGCAGTTGGTGCAAGCCTTGAAGTACGAGCGCATCCAGGCCGACTCTTCCCAGGAGGCCATTCATGATTCGTCTCTAGCTCAATTCTTGATATCCCGAGCAGCTGGTAACTTCCTTCTTGGCAACTACTTCCATTGGTACCTGATGGTCGAATGCGACGATCATAGCCCTGAGCAGGGGTTAGATAACCGCAACATCTACAGAAAAGTGGCTTACGACTTCATGACTGAACTGGTGCAGCAACCGGATGGGGTTGAATCGAGAAAGACACTCCTGAGACAGGCCGAGTTGATTGCCATCTTATCCAAGATCTCTGGAGAAGTCAAAACGTCACACGAATCTATCGCCAAAAAGACTGACCGCGTCAAACACTTCTTAGCAGATCCAAAGAATGAGATTTTGACAATCGACCCGCCATTGCCTTTGCCGCTCGACCCTACCATGCTAGTTGTCGGAGTGGTTCCTGACGAGACAACGGTCTTCAAATCATCTCTTTGCCCGATCAAGGTTACCTTCAAAACCAGCACCGGCAAAAAGTACCCCATCATCTTCAAGACTGGTGACGACCTGCGCCAGGACCAGTTGGTCATTCAAATCATTACTCTCATGGATCAACTTCTGCAGAAAGAAAACTTGGATTTGAAACTATCTCCCTACAAAATCCTGGCCACCAGCACCACGGCAGGCGCTTCTCAATTTGTTCCATCCGTCAGCTTCCAAAGCATTGCTTCGAAATTCAGGAACAATCCGGCACTGACCTACTTGAAATCCAATAACCCAGACGACCGACAACCCCTAGGGTTACGTCAAGAAACTCTGGACACCTATATCAAGTCTTGTGCAGGATACTGCGTGATTACCTATATTCTAGGTGTCGGCGATCGGCACTTGGATAACCTTCTCCTCGCTCCGGATGGCCATTTCTTCCACGCTGACTTTGGGTTCATCCTCGGACGAGACCCAAAGCCATTTGCACCAGTCATGAAACTCTCCAAGGAAATGGTAGACTGTATGGGCGGTGTCAACTCAGAGCATTTCAAACAGTTCAAGCAGTACTGCTTCCTGGCATACACTGCTTTACGTAAATCCTCTAACCTAATACTCAACTTGTTCAGCCTCATGGTCGACGCGAACATTCCTGACATTCGACTCGAGCCCGACAAGGCGGTCCTAAAGGTTCGTGAGCGATTTCACCTGGAACTCACAGAGGAGGAGTCAATGCTGTTCTTCGAGAGGATCATTGAAGACACGCTCGGAGCCATTGCTCCGGTTGTCATTGACAAACTGCATGAGCTCGTGCAGGCTTTCCGAAACTAAAGGGCGGATGTCAGGCTTGGAGAGTCCGTATGCTTTAGAGTTTGAGGTCATAATGAACAGCAACGTTGACAAGTACCAAAAACTACAGTGTCTCGTGGGTCCACCTGATTCTAATTCTTTACTTTGGTGGAGATCCCTCATCGGAGATATCATGTATGTCGCTGCCGCTACCTTGATGGGAATCTCTACTGTCCGATGTGAGCAAGATCGGGAAGACTGCGACCTTAACAACGAGGGAAAAGAAGTGCCACGCAAGGCATTTTCATAGCGGATCAGTACATGATGATGTATATCCTGTGTGCGAGACTCTTCCGAATTGTGTGTGTCGTATACGGTCACTTGAGACACACGGCTCGGAAATGCATCACATTCCAACTATATCTTGCACCGGTTTGACTAAATTTTAGTGCCAGCCAGAGGCATAACCGGTCCCATCTCCGATACATAGTATCATATTGGGATCTTGGGAACTTACGAAAATATAGTATATATAAAGGTACTAGGCCCTTCCTTAGAAGTCCATTCTTTCTCAAACCAACAATTCCAACAAGTCAACCATAATCCACTCCTCTTCAAATCCCTCAATCTTCTATTCCGTCTCTTCGACTAAAGTACATCAAAATGGACGCGCATAACCTTCCCAGTGTTGAGGAGCGTCTTGAGCGACTTTGGGAAGTCCTCGACTTCCTCGGAGATACCGATCCTGCGAGCGTGACTCCTATGCTGCGTGAGCCCTTGAGAATATTGGGCTTTCGCGCTCATGCTTGCCGCGCACCATATATTGCAAACGTCGAAGAAGAAGTCGCAATGTGGAAGGACTTCCTCAACATCAGGGAGGAAATCCACAGAGTCACTAATTACCGCCGCTTCCTCTGTAGAGTGAAGGAAGTAGACACAAAGAACCTACTCGACACTTATCTCTCAGGTCGACGCTGGGCCCGAGGGTGGTTGCCGAACGGAGGTGCCGCTCGAAGGGCCTGTGAGCAATGCAAAAATTGGCTCCCTAGTCGTGAGCAAGAAACCGACTGCCAGTTCATCTCCGAGCCTCTGGTTACAATCTTCCAGAATTACCGCCGTGAACGAGCTCAGTTCAACAAGTGGCTTATCGATGCCGCGATGGAAAAAGCAAACGAGCCTCAGCCACCGTCCCCCGTACACGACTTCATTCTGCGGGCCACGAAATACAGCATGGAACACGACGTCTATGGAAGTAAATGGGATATGGAAGATGTCTACACTGTATTGTCACAGGCGCACAGCTATGCGAGGGGCGATGAGATCACTTGCCGCGACTTCCTCCCGATGGGTTGGAAAGCTACGATGAAGAGAATCAATTGGGACCAAAAGACCGTTCTCACTCGCGTCCGCGACACTCTCAAAGACGACGAGACCGAGGAGCTCACGGAGGCGATCCATTACGATGGCCTGATGTACTACGTCTCATCGTTCCATCTCGACAACGATGGCATATATGTCAACCAACAGCCCCGCCAATGGGTCATCGATGCTCTGGAAGCGAATCCGCGGCCGCGGGACATCTATCGTGGCATCCCGTTTTGCCGCATTCAGACCATCAGCAACGTCAGGCCCACATTCTACTTCACAGACGCTGGCGACATCACGATATTCTGCCAGTTCGCAGAGGATGGTGGCGAGTGGACGGGATGTTGGGTCGGCTTGCTCCGCCGAGCCCGGGATAATGATGAGGATGTACCGCAAGAGGATGGTGTATTATATGATGGGCGCCGTCGTAATTAACCTAACTTCAACGTCGGTCATGACGACGTGCCGGTGCACGATCCGGAGGATGATGACGGATCCGAAATTGATGACGGTGATGTCGTTGCTCCTCCCGGCGAAGAGGCACCGGGTCATGGAGTCCCTGGCGAGGAGGAGGGCAGTGGTCGGAATGAGGTGAGCCTTGACAATTTCGTCTCCGCTCTCACTTCCGCTGCTAGTGATGCAGCCCGTCGTGTTGCCGAGACACGACCCTTCGTCCAAGTCTACGAAGGAGTCCTCAGAGGAATAAAACGCACCGCGAGAACCACCCGCCCGATCCCGAACCGGCGCCGAAGCCGTTCTCTCGCTCTCACTTTCCAGGAATTGGCGGAGCATCTCGGAGACAGCATTGATGAGGATCAAGCGGCTGCGGAGGGTGGAAGTGAAGTTGAGAATGAGGAGGTGGGGGATGGAGCGGCTGCGGATGTCATCCATGATGAGATGTTGGATGAACGGCCGGGGATGTGAGACGTGGTGATGACGGAGCCATTGAGGCTAAGGGATTGCGGCGGTAGACAAAACTCATATAGTCTACTGTAATATACAGACCACATCCACATATTGTGCCTTTTGTGAAGACGTGTAGGCATGTTCGGCATCACAGGCGAGACAAACCAATACAGATACGTGTGACTGATGCTGGATAGTGGTAGGAAAAGCCTTTTTTCGCGTTCTACGAGTTCAACAAAATATCATGCTTTTTCAAGGCACTAGAAGTAACAGAAGCCATCCTTTCCATGAGGCATACCTTTACATCAGGCAGCAAGATTGAGGTTGACTCCTTCCTCGACAGCTACTAAATCCATGACCTCGTGCCTTCCTTTGTTTTTCGTTGGCCGCGCAAGTTTCTACACGGCGCGTGAGAAAGTTGCCTACCGCCAGAATCCCTCCTTCGGGCGCATCTCTCAGCCTTTCCCTCCTTTTCCCACACCCATGTTCACACTCACACCCTCACTTCACCTCCCCCTCATCACTGCCTTGATCTCGCACCGAAAATTCTTGTTTCCTCTACCACTCCACTCTCATCTCTCTTGGGCTTTTCAGTCGTCATACACAACTCTCTTGGGCCTCCCTCGAATTTCTTCATCAAGTCCATCAAAGACCAGTGCGGCGAGAATCGCCTCCGTGCCCTACATGGCGCCGCCAAAACTACCACAGTCTCGAGAAGAGGCGGATGCTGAGCTACAGACGCTCCTCCAAGAGCGAGGCATGACAGACGGACAAAGCTAAATATTCGCGAATAGACAATTGCGCAAAGCCCTAAAGATTCTCTCGAAAGATTTGTATAGCAAGTCGACTCATTTTATCTTGGAGCTTCTTCGAAATGCCGACGACAGCGATTACTCCAAAGCGATTCAGCAAAACTCTCGCCCCAGCTTTAGACTGAGCTTCGGGGGCGGTATCGACGGTGGAGGCAATCCTGTTCACTACTTGGAAACGGGATGCAACGAAAATGGCTTTTCTCTAAAGCAAATCGACGCCGTCTGCAGCATCGGAGAGAGCACAAAGAGCTTATCGAAAGAGGTTCACTCGGGATATATTGGAGAGAAGGGCATAGGCTTCAAGTCTGTTTTCACAGTTGCAGACGTTGTGCATATTTCGAGTGGATTCTACAGCTTCATACTCGACAAGACGAAGGACATGCTGGGGGTTCTACTGCCTCTACCCGCCACGTTCCCGAAACCTCTGAACGGGTCTGAAAGCACAAGTATGGTCCTCCAGCTACTTGGTGGCAGTGAATTCAAAAAGATTGCCACGGAGCTCGTCAAGATCATACCCGAAGTACTGCTCTTTCTTCGTCGACTCAAACGCATTGTTGTCCATGCACCGGACGAAGAGGTTGAGTACTTGGCTACATACACAAAACACGACAAAGATTTCCATGGCGAAACGCGGTCTGTTACAGTACGAGCGAGCACCTCGAAGTCAGCTACGGAGACTGAGTACGTCATCATCCGGAAGAAAGTGGAAGACATGCCAGAAGAATCTAAGAGGAAAGATTATTCACGTCTCAGAGGTTACTCTTGCGTTCCCCCTGGAGCAGGATGGCAAACCAAAGGCTCAAGAACAGCCGATTTTTGCGTTTCTGCCAGTTGGCCACTATCAGGTCACAGAAATGGCACAGTAAAGTGGCAACTATTCTGATCCGCTGCGAATCTTGGAAAGAAAAACTACGGCGCTTGCCACTTGTGCCAACGCTGGATGGAGACCTGGTACCCGCGCGCATGGCGGACCTATACCTGGCGTCGGAAGCAGACATCCAAGGTGCTCCTCAAGGCTTAGGTCTCTTCTTTGTCCTTACTGATGCGCGATCTGATGCTAAAAGAGCCACTCTCTTCGAATGGTTAGGGATCAAGAAGATTACGGCAAACGAGATTTGAAATCGGGTTCTTCAAGATCATAACAAGCGGAAGCACGGTTGGGACCCCCGGGGAACCAAGCGTCTCATCGAAGACGCGTCTTACGTATTCCACAATCAGCGTCCGCAAACTTCAATTTCAAAGATGAGACTTTGGGTTGCTACTTCGAACGGCAATGGCGTGTCCCGCGCCGATAACGTTTACCTCATCGACCCGAAGATCCAAGCCAATCTCATTAGCAAACACTCATCTGACCCTAAGGCTTGCATGAACGTTTTGCATCCTGATTACCTCCGCCGAGGCGAAATTGAAGGAGAATAAAAGGCCGTCGAGGGAGACGCTCTCATTAAGTGGTTGAAGAACGAACATGGAGTAGCAACATCCCTCAAGTTGCTCGTCCGTGATCAGTCCTCTTCGCAACTTGTTCTCAGTCGTGAGAGTCGCTGACTTCTGAAAAATGACGCCATAGGTTTTCTACGACTTTTACGAGATGAATGGCACCAAAGTTGGTGGTATTTTGAGCACGGCGGAGGTCTTTCAGCTCTGGGTCCATACATCAAGGCCATGATAGTGCCTTGCCGAGACGGGGTCCTGCGGAAACTCCAGGACACAGCGATACCAACCAAAGCTCTGCTCCGCAACTGTCCACATCTCGCATTTGGGAATTTTCCTGACCCAGAGAACTCGATTTGGCAGAGATTCGGAGCCTCTTCAGTCATTACAAAGCCCGATGTTGAGGCCTACATTACGGAACTCGGGGTGATGAAAGAATCGCCCATCAATGCGGATACTGTGAATGCTGCGGGTCACGTCTATCTGCATTTGTCCAACAAAAGCAATGAGATCTCGGATGATCAGTGATAAGGTTCTATTCTATTAGTTTTGGACGAGATAGCTGACCCAAGAAGTCGATCCTTGAAGCAGGCTAAGACGGTCTACCACCCAGTCCGTGGTTGGCTATCCCCGAGCGAATGCATCTAGAAGGCTCCTGCTTGCCTCAAAGACTTACGCCCCCTTGCTGAAATATATCCCTTGCGTGGAAAATTCTTCCAAGAGTTACTCCGAGTCCCGAATGGCGGCTACCAAGACATTATTAGGGAGTTGTAGCGGCTAGGAGGCCTATCAACGGACACTTCAAAGGCACATTTGATTAAGACGGTTCTCCTCTTCCTTTGCGGGTATCTTTCAATTGGGAAGATGCTGGAAGAATGCCTCAGTGTTCCGAGCAAGGAACACTGCAGTCTCTTAAGGTTTTCTCCATGCTGCTTAGTACGCACAACTCGGCGGATCTAGGCAACGCGAGTTTCTTGTCCCTCAATGATAGCCGGTACATTGCTGATCGCACGGCATTGCGAATCGCGTTCCATGGAAAGGTTCCTCTCCTTGACTTTGACGTCAAAGATATCGACAAGATCATGCCGTTAGTTGCATGGCGTCAACTCTCTCATCGGCTCAGCAACGCGGTAGAAGAGCACATTACTTACGTGAGCGCGCCTATGGCCCACCAACTTTGGTCCGAAAACATCCAGAAGAAAGCAAAGTACATCGCTCTGTAAGTCCTGTGCATTCGACGTCATTTTTCCTTACTGATCTGTTATAGCCTTGGGACCAAAGCCACGCAGAGTCTGGCCATGCCTATCTTCAAAGTTTCGCTAGCTTTGGGTATCTCAGTGCAAAGAAAGATTGGCAACATAGTGGGTGAGTCTCGTAAGGGCCACATCTCTATCACGGAAGAGAAAGATACCGTTCATGTAGTCGTCTTGCGGAACCCTCTCAAGAATACCAATCAAAGGGTTGACATCGAGCTCGCTGACTTGTTTAGTCGGCTATTTGCAATCCAGGACGTCGAACGCGGCCTTCTCATCTCGCACATTCTCAAAGGCAGCTTTTCCGATATGAGAGACATGTTGGAAGGAGTCAACATTCGGGTTCCCTTGGACAGCTTCGACCTCAACATCTCTAGAGGCGTGTCCAGCTCAGTGAACAACCTGACTGAAGATCCCGCCGCCATGTACAGAGAGTTGGCTAGTGCAAATGCGGTTCCTGGAGATGTTGCCAGGCAGTCGGTTCCGATGATGTCACACGCTCAGGTCTACGATACAGATTTTGAGGACTATGATTCAGACTACGACCCCCAATCATACAGGTTCGCGGAAGTCGGCTTTACGGCAGAAGATTTTGTATGTGGTGACTCCGTGACGCGATGAAAACATTGTTAACAAATTTGCTAAGTCAATTGCTACTTTTCTAAGGAAATACCGCGCTGAGAGCCAGAGAAGCATTGGACAAGCCATCTTCGAAAGAGATGTGGTTACTCGGACTTCCTCGGTGATGAGTCGACCACAGCTGATTTTACCTACACGAACGACGGAGGGGAATACATGCTCCCGCTACTTCACAATGTGGGCATCGTCGAGGAGACTTGGTTCCGCCGAACCATCACGTACCACATGGAAGTGAAGGGAACGGTTCGCGGACTCGAGGAGCCTTTCCAACTCAGTCAGAAGCAGATGAATTTGGTGAGTTCTGTTTGCTCCTGTCTTTGAGCTATCCTTCCTGGAGAGACGAACTAAGCTTACTGACTACTGTAGGTTCAAAAGTAGCGCTTGGATAAGAGCAAGATACCGAAGGATGTCTTCATTGTCATCCTAGTCTACGAAGTCGAGGGAGACAAGCCCAGCTTTCGTTTCTACCTCGACCCGTGGACTAAGATCTTCGATGGAGGACTGGTGCTGACATCGGATCATGGATACTGCGTCGCCCCTTCGGTCGCAAGATGGACCTGAGACACGAGGAGAAGAAGCTGGATAGCGTGTCTGTTGGAATAGTATGAGCATGCGACGGGCTGCTTAGCTGTAAGGATAGATGTAGACGATGTCGAACTGTCCTTTCTCCCAGTTGACTATGATGCTTACGACCACAGGTGAATGCTCGCATCATCAGCAGCTTGGTCGACCTTTGCCGTCCAAACAGACTAAACATTCATCGCATGCAGTCAAGAAATCAAAGCCTGACCCCGGAGAAATCGAGGCTTATTCAAATTCACCGGAGACTTTCCAACCCCAACCTGCGGAGCATCAACGATCGAGCGGCTTCATCGAGACATGACCAGCCGGGCGGAAAATGAGCAGATGTGACCTTCAACGGGACGAGCTTTCGCGTGTGAGCAATGAACATGAATTGTGGAGAAGGTCGGACATTGCCCAAGCAGTGTCGCCGGAAGAAAAACAAAGACGATTCATCGGTTGTTGATATTCCCACGACGGAATCATTGTGGGGACTAGGGAGTTGCACGTCACAAAACATGGGCTCAATAAGACGGGGATCAGAGCTCGTGTCGGGTGGGTTTATTGCCAGCGGGGATCGGCATATCAGCGCAAGGAAGATTTTCCAAGGAACAACCTTTTGTGAGTCGACCAGCGACTGGAGTTGGAGGTCCGAACGTTGGTACCGAAGCGAACTCCACGTTTATTTGGTAGCCGAAGCTCGGGGAAGCTTCCAAGTCGTCGAGCACTCGGATTGCTGTTATTAATATCGTTCGTGTTTTACTCCACGGGGTTACTACTGGGTTGCGTGTATGCAACACATGGCAACGTTGGCGGTCAGAAGAAACGACTTCGAAGCCGTTGTGCGTGGAGAGCGGCAGGATGTCTCTGAGAAGCGCGGGAGCGCCATCTTTCTTGTGATGAATAAACCAACCGAAATGAGCTTGAGTGACGAAAGAAAACCCCTCGCCTGATAAGGCAAGTCTAGAAGGTTCAATGTTTCTTTGCCTTTCTAACTAACCTTTTCTCTTTCCTTCTCAGTAAAATTAATCAGAAATTCTACAGTGCATACCCCAGTCTGTTCGGCCACAGAGTTACCAGAAGGCGCCTAGGCAAACTGCAGAATAGAGTAATTCATAGTTTCGTTGCTGCAAGGAACATATTGTCAGTGACAAACTCTAATGAAATTGGTCAAATCAGGTGTTTACCGTGGGGCTCTCTCTCTCTTTTCCCTCTTTACCACAGTCACCAGGACGGCAAAAACGGCCATTGGTCTCTTTGGTCATTGGGTTTCCCCGTGCGGTAAGTATCCTGACTGACCCCTGGCCCCTAGTCTGCTGGTCCCGCATGTCACCTCGCACGATGTCATGCCAGCCCGGCACTCAGGTCACAGAACCGGCCGGCCATCAACTCGCTCTTTTCGGGTCCTTTTTGCTACTCCCAAGACGGCGACGCGTAAGGTCTGTCGAGCCTCGACAACTCAACTTATCTCCATGTGGGCAGCTTGCCGGCGGCCGACCAGCTAAGGATAGTGAGAGCGGCAGACTCGGTGACTAACAGAATCAATCTTGGAGGGGGCACCGAGGGCAAAGCAGGACTGATGGGAATAAAAAGTGCCGACACAACAAGGCAGATCTTGGGCAAGTCGAGGCAATTCGATTCAATCCGATGGTTGTCTCAGCACAGCCAGCCGGCTCAACGCGGTTTTGGTTGGGCTCAAGCCACCTGCCATCCAATCAAAACGCACAGATGCCCGTATTTCGTCCATCTCTTCGGCAGCCACACTTTTCTTGAGGCTGGACGCTAAGCCAAGGTCGACGGGCAATCGAGAGTCAGGACACGAGCTAGACAGCTGAAGCGTGAGTTGGTAAGACAGCGTGGACCACCTAGATAGCTAGACAGCAAGATAGGTACGTAGCTGGACTATGGACGACCTCGCGGAAGAATCCAGCTCCTTGTGCGCCAGCCCGTTGCTCGAATGAGCTCGAAAAAGGGATACAGCAATTCGCTGACGTTCCATTGGAGCCAGAACGGTCAACTGGATGTCACCTCAATAACCAGCACCACAGGTCAGTTCACTCGCCCAGCTCAAGAATGACTGATTCCCCCGTCTTTCTCTTGCCCCTGCCAACCCTTTTCCACCCGGAGCCAACTTGCCATCCATTGACCATAGAGATCATGGTTGCATGTTCCTGGCCAGAACCCGGTCCGTAGCCTAGGGTCTAGCTATAGGTCGAATGGGTCCAGGTCCAGGTTCCAAAGTCCCAGTTCTTCGCAGTAGCTCGACGGCCCCAAAGTTCACACCCCCTTGCTCCCAGTCAAGGTCGCGTCGCCCCAGCAGAAAAGCGAAAAGCTAACGCCTCCCCAAGCGGAGCTAACGTAACCCTCCACCCTCCACGAGTCCACCCCAATGGATATTGGAGACGCCGCCGTCGCGCGCGCCCGCCGCTGCGCGGTGCGGATATTTGGGATAAGCTTTTTGCGAGCAGAGTGCAGAAGGGGAGAAGCTTCAGGTCAGGGCCAGGGGTCCCTTTCCTGCTTGCTCGCTCGTGTCGCTCTCTTGCCCGAAGGAACGTGGTGGCTGGCGGCACGCGTTGAACTCATATTTATGGCCCATCCCGTCACCTCGGGTCAACATTAAGTGCTTCCTCTTGACTCTTGTCTTGTTCAACTTCACGTCCACTAATCCCAACGTCGTCTACTCCGTCACGTCCTATATCTTACCGATATATCAACCTAATACCGTGTAATACTCACAACAGCCACATAACGTTCACAATGAAGTTCACCCTCGCCCTTGTTGCCGCCGGCCTTGTCGTCGCCCAGGACTTCTCTGGCCAGCCCCAGTGCGCCGTACGTCACAGTCCTCTTCCACCCCTATGACCCAAAACTGACATTCCTCCCCCTCAGATTCCCTGCCTTACGGATGCCATCCCCAAGGTCGGCTGCGCCCTGACCGACACCGCCTGCCAGTGCACCAAGGAGAAGCAGGAGGCCCTTGTCCCCGTCGCCGCCTCCTGCCTGCTCGCCGCCTGTAACTCGGCCGACCTCACCAAGGCCCAGTCCGCGGCCGCTGCCGCTTGCGCCGCCTACGCTGCCACGGCCGGCTCTGCCTCGGCCACTTCCGCCGCCGCTTCCGCTTCCGCTTCCGCTGCTGCTTCCTCGGCCGCCGTCTCTGTCTCTGCCTCCGTTTCCGGGGCCGTCTCCTCTGCTCTCGCTTCCGTCAGTGCCAGCGCGAGCGCCGCTCTGTCTTCTGCCTCTGCTTCCGCCTCTGCTATCGTCACCTCTGCCCGCAACGCCACTGCCTCTGTCAGCAGCGCTACTCTGTCCGCCTCCCGCACCGCCTCTACTGCCGTCACTGGCACTGGCACCGGTGCCAGCGCCACTGCTTCTTCCACTGGCAACGCTGCTCCCCAGAGCGGCGTCGCTGTTGGTGGTCTTGCTATTGCCGCCATTGCTGGTATCGTTGCTGCTCTGTAAGGAGTCGTCACTTGACGATGGTTATGGGAGAGGTCTACCCCCTTTAAAAAGGGTAGCATGTATGGACATACTGTGTCGATGAAACTACGCCATAGGAATTGGATGTGTAGGATGATTTAAGCAACGGGCACGTCTAGACTTAATGAGGATGGGCGGAGGAACTGGGAAGAAGAAAAAGTTCATGATCATGGCCTGTTTTGTTGCTGTTGGCGCAACTGTCTAGCAAAGACACAGGGTAACATACTTTTTAATCGAAAATACCAATTATACAAGATCAACAACACCGTTGCTTCCTCGTGGCACTGCCCACTGTCACAGCCATCGTTTTCGCTCCTCCTTCCGTGTAGGTATGACTTTGAGAGGAGACAATCTAGACTTTCATGACGCAGAATGGCTGGATCCAGGATCGGATGAAATTAGGCGATGCCAATGTCACAGGCAAAAGCTTCGCTGGTGACGCCATTACTGACGTTGGGTTTACCATATCAATCGGTGGTGCTAGAACCTTGCTTGTCCAATCGGACTCGTGATCAAGCCTTGCCACATCGTCTGTTGGTGAGCTCGCCAGCACTATTTTCCGTCTGCTCAATGAAGGATTTATGTCTCGAACTCGTTTGAAGCAAGAATAACGGTGTGAGAGATGACGTAGTTTTCGGCTTGTGTTAGAACTAGGTGAATGAACTCTAAGATGGGTAGGCGCGTTGAACAGATACTAATAGTTCTGTCCGTTTTGACCCAGGCAGGTGTTTATCCCATCAACCGCTAGATGGCGTCACTACATCCGCCTCTAGTCTTTCTTCAATTTTGCTCTATTTCCCTTATATCTGCCTATAAATAATATCGAATCAGATCAGAGTTAGAGAAAGACTGGAGACGAATGTAGTGACGCCATCTGGCAATTGAAGGGATACCACTCTAGATACGCGCTCTTCACTTGCGTGAGCAAGTACGAATCTGATGTTCGAAAGGCTTTGTAGAGTGAGCGTGGTTTATGTGGTTCACTATGCTGGTATACCTACCATGAAAATTCATCAATTGCATTCGCCCACATAAGTCCCATGGTAAGTACCTCAGTTACCATCAATGGCGTCGAGGATAAGGGGCATGAGATCCGGCCGAGTGGGGTCGGCCCCGACCCATGATGAATAACCCTTCCGGCAGTATTCAGCCTGGTCTCAGCCGTGTCACGTTTTCGTTGAGACTACCCATTTGCCAGTATGGCCAGTGATCCCTTATCCTCAACGAAAGAAGGAAATATTCCGCGACCTTACACGTCTGTGATGGGGGTGGGCTCTGTATGAGCGAGTTCGCAGCGTTGCCAGGATGCAGCCCACAGCAGATCACTGTACGCTGGTCAGACTTGCCAATCATGGATGTCATAGGTCGTTCGGCCCTTTCACACGGCAAGCTGCATGCCAACATCAGCGGAACGGGGTGAACGGTGCACTGAGTAAGGGTAGGTAATCAGTGTCTCATGTGTATCTGCCCTGTCCGCATAGCTGACGCTGTAGTCCTTGAAGTGAGAACAGCTGGTGATCAACTATGAAGAAGACCGGGATCTAAACGGTCAAGACCCCCTAGTAGTCGAATAACGAGTGAGAGTGTTTCATATGTAACATTATTGTAATCCGTGGAGGTATCTAAGGCACTGAGGTAATCGAGGTAAGGTAGTTCCGAGCGCTCCGACCCTACACGCACGTTCGGTCCGTTGCGGGGCCGGTTTCGGGATCAACAAACGACCGCCGCCTGCCGCTATGGGGACAACCTACGTACCTTTCCTTATCAAGGTAAGGTCGTCAGAAGAGGAGTTATCTTGAGGCCAGGAGCCACATTTTCACATCAGATCTTCTCGATCAGTCATATTTTACCGCTCCCAGCATGCAGCCTGAACTTTGCCATGAATCATCAGGTAGGGCGGTAGTCACAGCTCCTCTGGCATTTGAACTCCTATACTCACACGTCATCAGGCTTGATCTCATATGTCAGCCTAAATGAGGACACCGCGACGGTGTTGGCTCGCTTAAGTGTTCCTCATTTTGACGTGATCCATAGCATCCGGCCCGAAGTTTCCAACTCAAGATGGAAGGAGCGCAGTTTTGCAGCGGGTGTTACTGGCAGAGTGGCTGTACAGGCGTCGGCCAAATCCGAAAGTGCGTTAGCCCATGTTAGACCAGCTCAGACCTGTAAATGAACGGCAAGTATAGAAGCTTCCAACCTCGCCTTTCTTTCACCTTGTTACCTTGTGTGGACGGCTTCTTTGACTCCCTCCTTGCTCGGGTGAGCAGTAATGCGATCAGTTTTGCAAAATTTCTCTGTTCTCTTCCATCCCTTGATAACACAATGGCAAGTGATGTGTGTCCCTTCAACATCAGTTGCGAGGGTCCGCTCAAATGGGAATCGAATAGCGATATAGCAGGGATTGGGTAAAGTCTCACGCCTGGCGGAAGTCCGGTTGTTGTGTGCCATTGGCGATCTCTGCTAGCAACCGCTTACCTTTATATATCTCTCTTCAGGTTCTTATTGGCTTCATGAGCACAGCTTACATTGTTCTCTTAATCATGCTCGTTGTAGCTATAGTACCGACTGCGTTTTTTGATTGGGCTGTGGGCGATAAGAAGGAGTACGTGAAAGGTGCTGACAACTGAACTCCTGCAATCTGCTTTTTCCACTTGAAATGCGCCATGCATCTTTACCGAAAGCTGGAAACTCGAACGCACACACCATATACTCAGACGCCCGCCTTTGTGGAAATGCTCATATCACAAGGTTCCATCCTCGTCGGGTTTCTAGCAAGGACATTCAGGCTTTCGACGCGCCTATCTGAACGATTGCACCGTAACCTTCTTATACCTTTGGCTACTGCTCTTCTTCAACACCTGCATACACTTGGAGTCTTATTGGACCCTGAAAGAAACGCAACCATCAGGGCATCAGCTAGACTAGACTTTAGCTCGGCGCGTTACGGATTAGTTCTGAGGCCCGTATTGGCAGTAGCAGTACTGGTCCGCACGCAAGCTGACTTGTCCAACTCTATGCTGGGAGAAGTAAGCCGCCTAATACATCTTCCTTCTGAACATTTAACCAACCTTGATGATGTGAGTAGGCATTTTGGCTCTGGGTCATCTTGCTCTGTGTACTTCGAAACTTGCGAGCGTCACCCTTTACGAGGGGATGAATGGATGGGAATTTGGGGACGGTTCTCAGGATACCCGATGGCAGTTTGGTCAAGTATTCACAGTAAGACTCCTTGCAGCACCTTTGACGACCTTTTTTTGGCCCATTAGTCTCAAAGCCCGACCATTTGAATTGCCAGGTTCACAACATGCGCGAAACGCCGGTTTCTGATCGCAACTTCTGCAGTGCGCACAACAATCATCGTCACTCGGACGAAGCTTCAAATTTGATGCCAACGTCATCGTTAGCAGCGAGAGAGACTGGTAGGGAGAGATGGCAACCAGACGCGGGCATCATTGGCGACGAGGGCGGCACGGATCGAGCTGGCCATCAACCCCGCATACATATAGCGTCTGCTGTCGCAGGAGGCAAGTTTTCTGGGGTTCAATGGATATTGCCTTATCTTACTTCAAGCCTTCTTGTAATTGGGATATACGTCGCTTTTCTCTTTCGATACGGATCTGACATTTTCTTTGCCTGTGTTTATATGGCAAAGACTTCAATGTCGATCCTACTTGGCTGTATCCATACTGGTCGCCTATGGATTATATGTTCAACGACGGCGGCGTCTTCTATCTGATTATGTTGAGCTATTTTGTCACAGGCCACGCTACCATCTTGTTCGGCCTGACGGTGTCAGACTGGGCAAGGCACCCGACTTGGACTCTCTTCTATCACTTACGACTCGGACTATGTTGGCTTTTTCCCGTTGTATTGCATGGCTTATACGCCTGGTTTACCTACTGGTTTGACTTAAGCTTCGGCTTGAGGATCCAGTTGGTCGTTTACGTCACGGTGGGATTCTACGGGCTCTATGTTATGGGATGTTTCTTCCTTCGCTATACATCTCGTAGACAGGGGCGCGCGGGATGTGAGTTTGGGCTGAATCTTTAAAGCGTGTGACAAAGTTGTTATCAGCCACGGAGCTGACTGTTAGAGAGCTAGTACGCTTGTAGGTAGTGATCTGCCATGCAAAGTATCTGACTTCATTGATGGTCGGCTGATTTTAGGTTTTTCAGTCGTCTTACGTAGGTATTTGGATAAACCACGCAGAAATTCAGAGCGGGGCCGTCAGTCCCAGTGGCGCACGATGTTGCTAGAGTTACGGAAGGCCGTGATGTTGAGATGAAGCTAGCTGCGAAGTAACTGAGCTCGTAGTAACTTGTAGCACCCAAGTTCCCCTTTCCCAAGACTTCTTCAGGATCTGAGCTCGATCAATGGTAGATGCTTCGCAAAGAGTAAGAGGAAGTAAGTTGATAAACGCACAGATTCTCTCGTCTCGCTAAACGCATGTAAGATTGGTGTCAGATCTAGCTGAGGCATCCTGAGGTAAGGTAAGGCAAGGAACCTTACTAAGGCAATTTTTGGTGACCACACGTTCCTCTGGTTCCAGAGCGCAAGTTTATTCGTAGACTGCCTAAATAGGCCCTCGTCAACTTCAGCCACCGCTAGCTGCAATCCCGCGATGGCGATAAACTCGGGATTCAGAGCTTGTAGAGCTTCGGAGGGACTTAAGTGTTGGTCAGGTCCCCGACGCCGAGCCCGCGGTTGCCACCCACCGCAACACCCCGCAAGTGGGGCCGAAGGCCGGAGCCCATCTTGACGTCGGCGGGTACGGTCCGTCTATTTGTTCTCTACACTCTACCACTTTAAATTGCTGGGTTGGCTTGGCTTAACATGTACGAAATGATATAACTTTTGGCTACGCTCAATCTGGCTCCAAACGGAGTGGGTGTTACGCATGCAGAACGCCGTACAGCTCACGATATACAGAGCGGCACAGGCTGGTAGTGATAGGTCAGCCTGATCTAAATCAGTTCGCTGCGACTGCCACCGCGTTAGTACAGAATGATCCTCTAGGCAATGTTACAATTCTCTGTCAGAAAATGGATGGTTTTAATTCGCGAAATGGGAAGGGAAGTTGGCCTGTGGGTGTACGATGATGCAAAGGAGCCAGTGTGCCCTACATCATCACCGTTAGGAATGCTACGTAATACTCGCCCTCAACTACCAGTGTTGCCATTTTCGAAGAGATAGAAAGAACGCGTTCCGCCCATGGTTGATCGCGATTTCGGCAATCTCAACTAAGCATCACTCTAGGCAGAAAACGACTTCACGGGAGCCAGATTCTCAGGACCAGAGAAATAAAGACGATTTACAATCACAGTCTGGGGATGTCGCAATCTGTTTGTCCAACTAAATTCAACTGCGAGTCAGCTGACGCTTGGGAGCCGAACAGCGATATAGCTGGGTTGGGGGTGAGTTTTTGAACCCATCGTGGTTGTGGGCACGCAAGCCTGCAGTGACTGAAACCGACCTTACATTAGATGATTCGCTGATAAAATCTCTTTCAGGTTCTTATTGGGTTCGTAGGGACAGGATATCTTGTCTTCGCCCTCCTCGTAGTTCACTACTTGGTAGCATACGAGCCAGAGCTTCCTCCACCGCAGCAGACACCGGATAACGAAAGAATAAGCCAAGCAGCGAGTCGGGAGCACCTGACGGGGAATCTGTCAGAGATTTCCGTTGCAGGTGTCGATACTGCCACAGATCCAATGTACTGGGAGCCAAATCCTATCGACGTGAACCTTCTGGCTTGGGTCAGATCATGGACAGCGAAGCTCTTGGGTTTTCTAGGAGCGTCACTTCCGCTCGTCGGCCAGGCCACTTCCAATCATATTAGCCGATGCTTCAGCATGGTGTGTAATGGAAAAGCTCACCCCAGTTCTCAACGATAACGAAAGTATCAACTAACTTAGTACGCCTACGGTAGTGTATTATCGCCATGTGCGATGTTCAAATAGTTACGGGCATGAGCATCCTTATAGGCGGCTTCGTTTGTTTAGATGAACGTCTATCGGCTTTACACTGGCAAATAATCACCTACCTCGCTTGGTTCTCCTGTGTCACGCATCTATCGGGTCTAACGATCTTGAGGAGATACTTCCAAACACACCCAAGGGAGAAGTCCCTCAGAGTTACTCTCATGTTTGTCTTGCTAGTGATTCTCATTGTCGCTATTGTTCCATCCGGGTTCTTCAATTGGAGATCACCAAGGGCAGACTCTTCTGCAATTCAGGCAACTGCAGCTTCAGCCAAAACGTCCGCGGCATGTTTCTATAATCTATCCTGCGCGAAAAGACTCTACCAAGATTCTCTGTGGATGAACTGTACGACATCTTGTAGTCAGTCATTCGATGCACCAGAAACTCTAGAGAGCTGTGAGCTTCGCACTAAACCTGAAACTACCGGATATTTCGACTGTCGTTGGTTGACGCAGTCTTCTGCAATGCAAGAAATGATAGTGTCGACGGTTCTACTTGTCTTCGGGTTTATATCAAGGACGATCAAGCTATCGGCTCACGTTTCGAGCACAATTAGCCGGAGATTGACCTTGCCAGTGGGCACTTTTACCCTTTACTGTTTCGCCAAATTACAAGACCTGGTAGCAGCACCTGATGCACGCGCCACGACAAGGTGGCACGCACGTACACTTCTCTTTGAAGCATGGCGAGGCTTCGTTGTGAGACCTTTGCTTGCAGTTGTCATTTTCGTGTCGGCACACATCGACCTTTTCAATTCCATGCTAGGCGAAGTAAGGCATCGTTTCTTCTTTCCTGCACTTTAACTGACCCTCGAATAGCTGAGCTGGCTGTTGGCCATTCTTCTCTGGGGAACATCGAAAGTCTTGTCACCACATTACGATGAGGAATATTACGCGAATGATCACACGGACAAGAGACAGCAAACGAAAGAAGAACACTCAACAAGGTGGGAGTTCGGCCAGGTTTTGCCAGTCTTACTCCTGGCCGCCCCCCTAGTCGCTGTGCTCGGGACGTTTGCTTCAGCTGAGAAGCCTGGCGAAACGAACCAGTCAGGAGACCGTGTCGAAGTACCAAGAACGAACTTTGGGAACATTGCCAATGGCTACGGCCGCCCTCGACAGTCCGACGGCGACACCTTGGAAATGACAACTCTGTCGACAACCGGGAGTAGATCGATTGTTGGAAGACAACATGAAGATGACGTTATTCACGATGACACCAGCTATGTGGAACCTTCAATTTCCCCATAGTCAAAACCAAAACAGTGTTCGTCGCAACCTCTTCGCACGAGACTACTACAGCGAAGCTCTGTGGATGCCGCCTTGGATCATTATTAGCTTCATGATGATTTGGGTTCACGTCTTCTTCCTCTTTTGGTTTGCGACAGATGTTTTCCTGGTTGTGGATCCATATGACTCGAATGTGGCGGGGAAGATGTCAGACTCTTTGGACTATCTCTTCGATCCTTCCTACGGCGTATTCTATCTGATAACTGCTTCCTATTCTGCCGTAGGCCACTCATTCATCCTATTAGGACTCGCAGTTGACGAATGGACAAGCGCGCCGCAAACTCCTGTGCGTCGTTTACGTCGAAGCGTGTTGTATTGGTTATGGGCACTTGGAACCAACGCTGCTTTTTCTACCTTCACCTATTTGTTTGCTGACGTGGGAAAGTACTATCAAGGGGACGCTCCGTATTGGGGAGGTTACCAGTATTTTGGAGTTATCGCTGGTGGATTATACAGTTTACATGTCTCGGCGTGCTTGATTCATTCAGCAACAAGTTGGATAATGCTGGTTGTAAAAAAAGTCCTTGAATTGGCGTCCATAGAGTAAGGGAGACGGACCTAAGACAGGTTGGCATGTGTCATGGAGCACGAAAATGTAGTTATCCCATCTTTAAGTCATATCTTATGACTAAGGTAGTAGAGTCTTCAAGCATTACCCCTCCACTCCCTCGTACGAATATCTACACGTAGAACGAGGATTTGCAGTACCATACCTAATATGCCTGAGCCATTATAGCTCAGCGTCCTGTGATATTAGTGATGGAGAGTTGGAGGATTGCAGAACTTCGGAAGGAATCAAGAGTTGATCATACCCCCGCCGCCGAGCCCGCGGTTGCCGCCCACTGCAGCACCCCACCAACGCATCCCAAAAGGACGCCAACACGGGCCATGTGAAGCCCAGATCCCGGGCAAGTGCGCTAACAGACGGGGATCAGGACCCCCAAAAAGGGACGTCTTGGCCGGCGCGCCGTCCACTGAGAGGGAAGGCGGTGGCCCGGTGGCTAGGAAAATCGGCCGGTACCGCCATGTTGGGCCGGTTGCGGTGCAGCAGTGGTGCAGCGGTGGTTGAGAGCCGGACCAGTCAGGCGAGCGGGAGCGTCACATGAAGAAGGAAACTGGCGGGTCTTCCCACCCCCGTGGCCCCCCCCTCATGGCTTGTGGCGACTGCGATAGCTCCCCACTGCTGCATCCCGACCACCACCACCTTTCCTAGGGCGAAAGTGCAGCTGAAGTTTTTTTCTCTTTCTTTTCTGCTGTTGGGTTGATACCGACTGGGATGTTGCCGCGATAAAATTCCAACCGTCTCGTCGCATTCTTCATCTTCCTTCTTCCCCTCCCTCTCTTGCGACAGCTCGAAGCAAAGTTTTGCGCCGGTACCAAATCGCCTTCATCACGCGCTGCCGACCAAGAGGCATCGGAAAACCATTCCAACACCCTCGACGGTAATCATATGTTGCGCGCCGCCTCGACCAACTTCTTCGCACACCACTTCCCGGCGCATCGTCCATGTGCCGTGCTATCGTAAGATAGACAAAACAGCGAGCGACTTGAGTCTTTGCGCTTGCTGCCAGGGGACGAGAAAGACCAGAGCAGTTAATACTACCACACCTATATACCAATAACCACACATCGCGACAACAGAACTCGACCGAGAGTTGAGATCGTTTCGCGAAGACGCTATACCGTCTGAATACACTCGTGTGCGGACCAAGGTATGTCGAACGAATCCAGCAAACAAGATGATCTCCACACATCTACGTGTGACAAAGACGGCAGACGGCTGACCTTACCCCAGATCGCTGTATGCCCAGCATCGCATCCCGCCGACTCGAGTCCATTCTGTCGCTACCGCTGCAGCTGCCGCGCCTACCCTTCACCAGGACCGCAGACACCAACGCCGACCCCGGCCACGCCTACGAACCGCTGCCCACCATGGCCGCCGACGACGACACCACCAAGAACCTCAACACCTCGCCAGTGACGACGACGCAAATCACCGCAGGCCATGACGAGTCCGAGCTCGTGGGCCAAGGGCTGCACGACATCGAGGCCCGGAAGGTGCACTGGTGGAGCTACTTCACCACCGTTGACTTCTGGATCGTCCTCATCATCGGCCAGATCCTTGCTCTGTGCATCACCTCGACAAACACCTTCACTTCCTTCCTCGCCAACAATGGAGTCTCAATCCCGGCCTTCCAAACCGTTTTCAACTACATCTTGCTGTTCCTCATCTACTTCCCCGTCACCATCTACAAGTACGGCTTCAAGAAGTGGGGCAAGATCGTCCTCCGCGATGGTTGGAAGTACTTCATCCTCTCCTTCCTCGATGTCGAAGGCAACTACTTCACCGTCCTAGCCTACCGCTACACCAACATCCTCTCAGCCCAGCTCCTCAACTTCTGGGCCATCGTCGTCGTCATCATCCTCTCCTTCTTCCTCCTCCGCGTCCGCTACAAGGTCTTCCAAATCGTCGGCATCATCGTCGCCATCGGCGGCTGCGGCGTCCTCCTGGCCAGCGACCACATCACCGGCTCCAACGGCGGACCCGGAATCGACATGGTCAAGGGCGACCTCTTCGCCCTCCTCGGCGCGACTCTGTACGGCGTCACCAACGTCGCGGAGGAGTGGTTCGTCAGCCGCCGGCCCGTCTACGAGGTGCTCTCCTTCATGGGCATGTGGGGCATGTGCATCAACGGCGTCCAGGCCGCCATCTTTGACCGCGAGTCCTTCCGCGAGGCCACCTGGAACGGCCCCGCCATCGGCTACCTCCTCGGCTACACGTTCGCGCTCTGCCTCTTCTACAGCTTGGTGCCGTTGCTCCTGCGCATGGCCAGCGCCGCGTTTTACAACATTTCGCTGCTGACGGGCAACTTTTGGGGTATCATTATCGGTGTCAACGTCTTTGGCTACTCCATTCACTGGATGTATCCCATCGCCTTCGTGCTCATCATCCTCGGCCAGGTCGCGTACTTCCTCGCGGGCAGCATGCTGGGCGATTCCAAGAAGCCGTGGCTGGGTGATAACCAGGAGAACGGCGTTGCTGGTCTCGGGACAGCCAAGTTGAAGGCCATCAACGCGGCGCGGAAGAGGCAGATGGCTGCTGCCGAGCCTCCTGCGTACGCCTGAAAGGGCCGTAATGGTCAAGACTGTACACGATTTTGTAGTTTTTTCGATCGAAGTGGGGGGAAGTATGAAGGATTCATGTTGACTTCTTCATCCGAGTACTCAGCACAGAAGAGTCGTCATCGTGGCTTACTACGCTTATCAAAGCAAGCCCCCCCATTTCCCTGGAAATCTCACCAAATCTTTCTTTCTCCCAAATATACACTAAAGTAATATCAATACACTATTGGATACCAACACTCGCTAGTTCCCGCTTAAGCTGCCGCTGCCGCGTCTCTGCCGCGTCATGACCGTGAAAACTAGTCAAACCCTGGCTCTTATTCAGGCTTTCCAAATGATAAGACTCGTCTCGACCACGGGAGGCTTGCTTGACGTCTCTTGGTCGGTAGCAAACTTCTGGAAGGACTAAGAGAGATGCAGTAGATACAGGAGAGACGCAGAGGAGGATGAACGGAGAGAGCCGCACGGCCCTAATCGACGACGTCAGGTCCGGTCTAACCGTCCTTAACCGTCTACCGACGGGGCGCGTATGGCACCGGTCGTATGGTGGCCCCAAGCAAATCATTGCGCCTCGCTTGAGAAGTTGAGACCCAGCGGCCTGGAGTCGGGTCCTTCTTCATAGATTCTATGATTCGTTATGCGTAAATGCGAGGAGCGTCAAGATGCGACAGGTCTCGAATCGGGGCAGATGGGGGGGGGGGGGGCTTTGACGCCATGGAAGGACAGGACGGCGATTGCATCTTGCGACTGTCGTCTTTCCGTTCAATTTCATTCTTCTCTCTTCCAGTTGCAAAGCATCTCTCAAAGTTACGAGGTATCATCGCGGGTGCGTCCAAGTCGTGGACTAGCAAGCCCCACGCTTCATACCTTCGATACCTTCCCTCCGGTAAGGTAAGGTATTACCTCACAGACTTACCCAGATAATTCTGCTCCAAAATAACTGCATGTTCGACACTCCGTACTCGGTATGAACAGCGCAAAAAGGAAAAAAAGGAACCCCGAGGGCAGTGCAAAAACCACAACTTTTTCCGCCCCTGCTATGCCATGTTAGAAGCACCCACCAACCCAAAGACTGCCGACGGGAGCGCACACTCGCTTCACACGCTGCACGACGTCGTTCATGACTTCATGTTAGAAGAGCAAGGATAACGTGCGGCGCAGAACTATCTGTCGTGCGCAGGCCCGCCGCCCGCAGGATGCAGTTGCGACTTGCATTGGCGTCGCACCCATCACGGCACTCAACAGAAGGAGGGAGGGAGGGAGATACGCGCACTTCCCGTCCCTCCCACTCCGTCCGCGTCCAGGTCCAGGTCCAGGTCCAGGTCCAGGTCCAGGTCCAGGGATCGAGGGTTGATTCTCTGGCGATTCTGCGAAACCGCCCCAATAGCCCCTTACCTGGGCCCCCCCCAAGAGTTCTCTTGCAGCTATCTTTACCTCAAGTGCAACATCTATGGCTTATCTACCAGTCTCTCTTCTGCATCATCAACTAATAGCAATGCCAGCAAGGGACCGTGACACAGAATCATGGAATCATACACAGTAGATAACCACGTAACCTCCCGAGAAAAAAAAAGGAAAAAAAAAAAAAGGAAAAAAAAAACCTCTCTTCGGCGCCGGCACAGACACCATCCACCCCGTTACGGATAGTCGACCTACCTAACCTCAGCTTTCATTGGTCCCGATCCCGATAGGCGTTCCTAGTCAGGGCACTCGGGGCCAAAAAGAGGGTTTCTTGGCAGTCCCGTCTACCATTTGCCAAGTCTCACCAATCTCTATGAGGAGGCCCTAGGTACACTAATTCGTATCGTAGCAGAAAAAGTTTAGAAAAATAGACAAGAGGAAGAGAGGGAAGAGAAAGCGAAAGAGACCGTTCACGTTTTTCGGACATGAATTTACAGTGTCGAATAAGTCGGGGCAACATGACTAACCGCCTTCGTCACTCGTACGTCTTGGGGTGTTTCTTGGATGTAAGCAGCGGCTACCTGCCTAGCCGCAACTCTCCCACCTTGCTCTGTCGCCGATAAGAGGAAAAGGGAAGTAGGCAATAAAAAGAGACAGGGCACTAAAAGGAAGCCCTCGGGATTGGATGCGTGGCCCAAGAAAACGGGCATACGAAGTACGCCTTTCTAGAGAACACGACTGCAAAAAGTCGCGCGCGATTGGAGGCGGCGGGACTTAGGAATTGCGTCGTCGCCCTCTTGCGCCTCTTTTGAGTCCACGTCAAGGGTCAAAAGGCAGCCGCCCGATTGGCCACGCCATTTCCCAGACCCAAGCTCTCGCCCGGCTCGAGTATTACACGTGTATCCATCCGTACGATTGTTACTTTTCGTGAGGCCTCGAGGCCATGTTCGACAACCTCGAAAAGTGTTTGTGTATCCCAAGACTCGTCGCCCGGGTTGTGCTATCCGGTCCAAATCTTACCCGCAGCCTCCCGCCGTCCTTGCTTGCTCACTTGCAGCGATCAAATCTCCTTGGCCCTTATCCCAAGCACCTCAACTCTCTGGATGATTGGCAAGTTGCTCGATAGTATCGAACCCAAAGATGGATGCCTTGCTACGCGAACTGCGCGGCCCTGTTCGCCCCCAATTAGTGGGCACAATCAAACAACCTTTTTCCTTCCTTCTTCCGCCCACGCCGTCCACGTAAAATGTCCTAATTTACCGCCTAGTCCTGCCATCCCTACGCTGGGACGCCGAGCCTCGAAGATCATTTCAGTTCCAAAAGTTTGGTTGTCTCTGAGTTTGCTGCTCTGCTGGCAATCGCCGGGCTGTCCGGACCGCCAAGACTTTCCCGCACAATTCATACGCCAGAACCTCCCCCCTGACTTCGTCTCAGAATTCTGCGTTGACCTTTGACGAGGGTTCTTAACTCTCTTCGTCCCGTCTCTGTGCTTCTTCTTTCTCCACGATTATTATGCTTCTGGCCTTGCCCAATCTTTTTGCCTCTTCTTCTGTACCGGGATTGGCTTGTGAGAAAAGAGAGTTGCGCAGCGGGCGATTCCATCAACGACCAAAATAAGTGCCCGCCCTTTGCCGCCCCGGCCACCGCCCCCTGGGTTGCGCCGGCGAGAAAAGGCAGCTTACGAGTCGTCGCAACAAAACACAAAGTCTATTTTCGTTCTCGCCCAACCCACTTGTGTCCACAGATCGCAAGAGTTGTTTACTCACCCTGCCAGAAAGGAGGAGGTCTGAGCTCAACGGCCGGTTCGAGCGTCATCTGATATAGCGCGGGGTGTTCGCTCAAGTTCCTGCCGTCCTATTCACCTGTATTCATACCGAAAGGGCCGTTGAAGGGTTCCTGGATTTATACCTTTTCACCCTTCTTGTCAACTCATCCCTCTCACAACATCAGCACGAGGAACAAGCGGGAAAAGCAGAAGAGATTGGAAACTTACCGGAAGCCAAAGGACCATGGGTCCGACACACGACCACACCATGATCGCAAACCAATCTCGATGGGCAGTACTGAGGAATGGCTCCTCTCGCCGGTCAAAAGTGCTCGTCGGCGCCTTGCTCATTTTCCTGTTATCCGCGATCTTGGTACTGCAGCCACACTGGCACGTCGCCAGCTCCGGGCTACCAGTGCCTAGCTTACACCGACCTACACCAGAATCTACACCGAAGGCGCCGGCCGGAAGCGATGGTGGCGATAACGGGGCCGGCTCACGTACAGCTATTTTGACCCCTGACGCCGACGGGGTTCTGTTGTCTGCGGGAACGCCCATTTTCACATCCCCTAGCGGTCGTCATGCTCTCGTTTTGCAGGATGATGGCGATCTGGTTCTCAATAGGGTTGATGACGACGGCACCTCACATGCTGTGTGGTGGACCGCGACAGGTGATTTGCACAAGGGCGGGCGCACAGTCGTTCTTGAGAATAAAAAAGGCCATGTTCGTGTCGTCTTAAACGCCATGTTGAAAAACACTTGGACGACGGTTTGGCATAGCGACCTCGAACCGGCCTGCAAGAAGACGAATGGAGGCGTTATGGGACGTAGCGAGGACGACGAGTCGGAAACAATCGCCATGGCAAAGAGAAGCTCTGGTCAACTTGAGCTGTCGGATACAGGGAGACTCGCAATTCCCGGGCTATGCGATTTGTACGTGCCACCGAGTGAGCGCGAAAAGGAGCGCAGCCTGGCTGTCATCATTGCCGGGTTGTACAGGACCAACCATGTCACCTGCAAGACGCACATGTCGGAACTTATCGCCGACCACCCGGCTTTTTCAAGAATCGACGTCTTCGCCTACATGCTCTACGAGCCCGGCGATGTAGATGTGTTCAACCGAACTAAGGAATCCATCGAAGCGAGCCTCCGGGAGTGCTATGGCTCACACTTGCGGTCGGTTGACGTTCTGCCTGTAAGCGAGACAGAGGTGGAATACCCCGGCGGCAAGGAGGCGATGATGGCGACGCCGTGTGGTGAAAGGCTGGGCAGATTGAACAATCAGCTGAAAACTGTGTCGCTGGCGGCGGAACGGTGGTGGGCCTGGAGTATCGCCAACGGATATACCCACGATACAGTACTGCGGATTCGGCCGGATACGTCGTTGTGGGCGAGACTTCAGTTCAAAACGCTGGAGGAGCTGGGTCCAAACACGCTCATTCTGCCACACCCGCGAGGTGAACACTACTTCTACTGCGCCCGTATGAGCGGACGCGTCGGCGTTGGTAAGTGAATCTCCACGAGGCGTTCGCATCACGGCGTAGGATGATAGCTGACCTGATCACTTGAATAGGACCAACCGACCAAATCGCGTACGGAAGCGCGGCGGCCATGGGCCATTGGCTGTACATGTACGATCGGTTCCAACAGATGGTCGACCTTGCAGCGAATCCCTCTCGACCGGCGCTCCGTGACTTCTCCGGATGCGAGGTTATGCCATCAGGACCCTTGGCAAGCGACTGCTCAACGCCGGCGCCTTGCTCAATTGAGTGTCTCGTAGCGTGGTACCTCGAGGCCCGCGGTGTGGACTTCCACATCGAGTGGGGATGGGAGCAGAACCCTCTGAGGTGGAAGGATATTGGCCAGCTTGGCGCAGAGGAAGAGAGGCTGGCCGATCACGACGATGAGGACGATGGAATGACGTGGGGATAAGGGGATCTGAGGTGAGGCTGTAGGAGAGGTGGTTTATTTTCCTTTGTTGTTTTGTTTGGGAAAGCGTGGTGTTTGGGTGATTTGGGAAGCTCTTGGATTCAAGTGCCAGGTTCGAAATGTGTAAGCGAAGGAAGGAGTGACGGATGGTTGTGCATGTGACTTGCATTGGGTATTTTCTTCGCCTGAAGAATCGGAAAGAACAAGATGAAAGCGAAAGCGGGAGAAACCGCGATAGCATGAGGAAGGGCTCATAAAGGGCACAGCTCAACCCCAAAAACGAAACAAGTTGAAAAGAAGTATTAAAACTGTAGTCCAAGTTTGAGTCGTGAATCGCGTCTGCGTCCCAGATAACCTGTCCAAGGCAACATTCTTTTGCGCTCCCGTCCCTTGCGAGGTCTTGACGATGGGCCAACTGCACTAAAGACGTAAGATCTTGGGATTCTCTGCTGAGCATGGCGTCTTCTGGTGGTAAGTCTTCGACTTTGGATCTAATGGTCACTAATGCTCGTGAGATGAAGTTGAAGGAGCAAGCGAGATCTGTCGACAGGGGTTGAGGACATCCGGGTGGTAAAGGATCGGGCGGGGTAGGTGGAATGTGGGTCGTTCTTGTCTCTTCCTCCCGTCCTCCTCTTGCCTTTTTCGGACAACACCGAGGCCAACTTCAATAGGTATTGTAACGACCTTGTGTTTTCCATGTTCATCTACCTTAATGTTTACAGCAGCTAATGCTACTTACCATTCAAATCTTTTTCAGAGTCTAATCTAACTTCAGAAACAGAAAGATTGATGACCTTCATTGCTCTAAGTGCAATGAGTTGGATAAGAGGTGCGAAACCACAGCAGGGCACTTGCCAGGTCACCCACACGCCTAGAACGAGCATGTTGTGAAGGAAACGAAGTATAGAGATATGCCTCTTTCCATGCCAATCATATGACTGGATGTTGGGATTTTGGTTCAACTGTACCGGGTACACCAAATCTTGATTATTCTCAGGGATTCGCATCCGCCTTCTATACAGTACTATAAAGGGCCGACCCAGTGACATGGGGATCGGACGTGTTCCCGTCTGCCACCCGTTGATGGGCGCTGTCATGGAGCCCTTAGTCCTCTTGATGTTCTTGGCGCATGAAACAAAAGATGCTCGACGGCCTCCAAACCACCACGAGGGCAAGACACGTGCCAGCAATCCAAGCTTTAGAACAGAAAGAGCGAGGGAAGTGCCTTCAGTGCCACGCAACGTCATCGACAGGTGTATTCGGGGCTTGACTATCCAAGATTAAAAAGAGCGCGTTTGATGAGAGGTGTGGTGAAAGTCGATTTGGGAGGGTATGAAAAGGACTTTGGTGCTGGTAGCTTACCAAAGTCCCAAAATATTGTGGATGGTGTGGACGGTGTGCCGCCTCTCTGCAGCCACCAATTTCCCATCTTCCACCGTTCGGTCGGTAAGGCGCATCCCACGGCCTACCACGATGGATAACTACAACGTGATTCTACGGGGAAACTAGAACTACGCTGGTCTAGCTGAGGTGTAGCTGGACTTGTGGCTTTGTTCCTCCTAAATTTACTCCGTACATAGGTACGGATAGGAGTCAGTGTTTCTGGGGCTAGAAAGAAGTCACTTTCGTCACATGTATGCGACCTCATGTAAGTAGTCTCGCTCGCGGCCCAATCCTATCACAAACAAATGAGAATTTTCCACAAACTCACGCACCTTCCTCGGGGAAATCCACAGACATATCCGCATAGATGCTGTCTTGGATCTCAACTCAACTGGCTTCTCTGAGGTAATTAGTGTGCCAGACCAGAGTGATCAAGGGCTCACAACCAGCAGGCGGCAAGACTACCACGGCATCTCCATCATCGAGACCCAGCGTAGCGGGATATTTCCTCATGATCTCTCCACCAACTGGGCTGAGAATATGACTAGTAAAAAGGACGGCTCCAAGACCGGAACGTCGGCCAGCTTCTGTCGTCGATGCAACCAAGCCCCGAAGGCCCAGAGCTGTGGGTTGCAGGTCCAACCATGGTTGAAGTCTGCATTGGCGCCGCTGACAGGCAGTAGTTCCACCTAATTCAGGGGACACAGCGAATCAGATACGCGAGACAACCCCTATTCACACGTCGCTTGGTCGACGCTAGTCCTGTTCCTGGCCGTTCAGCAGCCTTCATTGGAGCCGACCGGCGTATTGTCGTGCGCCGGACAGCAAGAGCCACCACCTACGCCTGGACCGCCGCCCGAGAAGGCGCCCACTGGAGAAACGCTTGCCTATTGGGGAAGTCGTGCCTCCGGTGTGTGCCCACAGCCGCCCACTTTTGGAACCTCGTCTCTTCCATCGTCACCTCTTCAACTCCGCTCACCACAACGCCGTCGCCCGCATTGTCTACACACCCACCCGCTAATACATGCATCCCACATCGTCGCCGTTGCGGCCTGCGCCGCTCGTGGGCGTCAACGCCTATTCGTACCTCTTGAGTAGTCCTCACGAGGGAGGAAATTGGTCCACAACACACCTCACCATGGCTTACACCCACAAGTCAATTCGCCTCTACGCAATTTTCTTCAACCGTCCCCCAATGTAGTTAGTCACTACATCGTCGCGCCGCTCCGTGGAGAGCGGCAGTGGTTCAGTTATGAATGAGAGCCTTCTCCCCCCGTCCCAAGTAATCCTCGTTTGCTCCCTTTCCTGATTTCCTCACTCCATCTCTGTTCCTGTCGAGAAGCTAGAGACGGTGTGTGCTCACCATCTTGCAAACATTCGTGTTTGCGTCCTTTCTTTGATCTTAGATCACATCTACACTCTTTCCACGGCCTCGGCCACCTTACGATCGTTGCGAATTACGTACAAAAACACTTAATTCTCTAATTCTATCACTACAAACATGCTCTTCAGCAAGTCATTCATTGCCGCCGCCGCGGCCATCAGCCCGGCCCTGGCTCATTCTTCTTCACAGACAACCACAAGTGCCTCGCCACTCCTTGGACTCAACCTGTACTGGGGACAGTATGGCCAGCCTACCGACCGCCTCTCAACCTACTGTGACGCTCCCGGCGTCACCTCCGTCTCTCTGTCCTTCGTCACATACTCCCCCAAGAACAGCGCTGGATACCCCGGTACCAACTTCGCCGGCCACTGCGGCGGCGAAGTCTACTACAAGAATCCCAAGACTGGCGAAGACACCAAGTTGATCATGAACTGTGACTACGTCAAGAAGGATATTCAGTACTGTCAGGCTAAGGGCGTCAAGATTCTCCTTGCTATTGGTGGCTACTGCCCTACCGGAGGTCCCTGCAGCTACGACATTGATAGCGAGCAGGACGGTCATGAGTTCGGTGATTTGTTGCACAAGACTTTTGGTCCTTACGATCAAAGCTGGAATGGACCTCGTCCTTTTGATATCAGCGAGACCGAGCACATTGCTGTCGATGGTTTCGACTTTGACCTTGAGTTCAAGTACCGTATGTTGATAAGCCTGCACCCCTTTTTATGATGGATGATGATATTGACCTCAACCATAGCCGACCAAAAGCCCTGGATCAAGATGGTTGAGAAGCTCCGCAGCTGTGGAATCTACCACATTTCTGCTGCTCCTCAGTGCCCGACGTCAGACACCTGGTTCCAGCTCAAGGAGCTCATCTACAACGCCCAGTTCGATTCCCTCTTCATCCAGTTCTACAACAACCCGGGCTGCCAAGTCACCGACACCCCCAACTACGACGACTGGGAGACGGTCATTTCTCAGACCTCCAAGAGCAAGGATGCGAAGCTCTACATTGGCGTCCTCGCCAGCGTCGAGTCCGGATGGAACGGTTATGCTCCTCCTTCCACCATCAAGGATTTGATCTGCAAGTACCAGAGCAAGCCGCACTTTGGAGGTGTTTCTATCTGGGATGCTACCCGTGGCGCCATCAACCAGATCAACGGCCAGTCGTTCCACGAGGCCATTGCTGATGCTCTCAAGTACGGTTGCAACCCCATCCCTGCCAAGACCTCCACCATCAGCGTCTCGACTTCGACTTCGTCCTTGATGTCTTCCACCAGCACCTCTTCTGCCATCGTTTCCACCACTTCGACAAGCTCCAGCTCCAGCTCCGCGTCCTCGAGCTCCAGCCAGTCCGCGTCGGCATCCGTTTCTGCTTCTGCCTCAGCCTCTGCTTCCGCGTCGGCCACTGGCTCAGCATCAGCGTCTGCATCAGTCTCTGCCTCCGCCTCTGTCTCCGCTTCTGGCTCCGCTTCTGGCTCAGTATCAGCGTCGGTGTCGGCATCAGCATCGGCATCTGGCTCGGGATCTGCATCCGCTTCTATCTCAGCGTCTGCTTCCATGTCCGTATCCTCCTCGGCCTCGGCCTCAGCTTCTCTCACCTTCTTTGGCAACTCTTCGGCGTCCGCCACCGGATCTGCTTCGTCTCGCATCATAACATCCTTGAGCGCCAACGCCACTGCCACTGCCAGCGCTTCGGCGACCAAGTCTGCTACTGTCTCCGACACTTGCGACGAGGACGACGAGGACTTCCCCACTACCACGATGGGCAACTCCCATACTGCCACTGCCACTGCCACTGGCTCAGCAGATGCAACCAAGACTGCCTCGGGAAGCATCACCGACAAGGCCACTGGCCCTGCCACTGGTTCTGCTACCGGGCCCGCTCAGAACTCCTTGACGGTTTCCATCTCAGACAAGCCCAGCGGCAGCAAATCAGCTATCGAGTCCGCCAAGAACACACTCAGTGCCCCCGAGCAGCTGACCACGAGCACGGTTTTCACCACCAAGATCACCACCGTCACTTCTTGCAAGCCCGATGTGCCCTGCACTAAGGGCGCGGTTGTGACGGAGACCATCCCGTGGTATACCACTGTCTGCCCCGTCACGGCAACGTCGTCCGCCGTTGCCGTACCCACGATCAGCCCTCCCCCTCAATGGGTCACCAGCACAGTCTATACTACCAATACCTACACCATCACATCCTGCGCTCCTGATGTGCCCAACTGCCCTGTCGGCCAAGTCACGACTAAGGTCGTCCCTGCCTACACCACCGTCTGCCCGTACACTGAGACGACCCCCGGTGGTACTAAGCCTTCCGGCGACATTCCTCAGCCTCCTAAGCCGACAGGCGATGTTCCCAGGCCTACTAGCGGTCAAGGAGGAAACAAGCCCTCTGGCGATATTCCCCAGCCTCCCAAGCCCTCTGGTAGCCAAGAAGAGAGTAAGCCCTCGGGCGACGTGCCTCAGCCTTCTAAGCCTACGGGTAACCAGGGTGGCAGTAAACCTTCTGGCAACATTGTTCCCCTCAAGCCTACCGTAACCCCCGTTGTACCTGGCAAGGAGGACGATTCGACGACCTTCATCTACAAGACCCTGACGGTCCCTGTCACAATTGGTAAATACAACTCCACACTCGCGGGTACCGGCTCCAACTACAAGCCCACCTCCACGGGCGGGTTCCCCAGCTACACAACGGCTGCTGCCGTCCCCAGCAAGCCTGTACAGGCTGGAGCTGCCAAGATTGGGGCTTTCGGAGTCGGTGGCTTCGCCGCCCTTGCCGCCGCTCTTCTTCTATGAAGTTTGTGAGAGATTGATGATTGGTCAACACGGATATGGCATTTATTTCTTTGATTCTGTTCACGAGATGTATTAAACACGACTAATCTTTCCTTTGTATATGGTACTGTAATCGGGGCATGTAAAAGCAAGCCTTGGTGTACGGGAGCCTCGTGATAGGGCACTTGGCGCATTGGGTACTAGAGCATATAGTTGCGAAAACGTGATGTTATGTATATGCAAACAATGCAAGCAGCCCGTTGCTGGAAACGTATTATTGTTCCTTGAACAACCCGATGTTTGACTTTGGGAGTTGTCCATGCGCTTTTGCCGCCAAGGTTCTCTGTCGTTCGGCCGAACAAGCGTGCCCGGGCCTGAATAATTTGATCTCGGGGCGGCAAGAACATCCAAATGGCTTGCTGACTGATACCGGCCCGGTTCCAAAGGGCCGCCCGGCAGAGAATTGCGCGCCGTTTCCAGAAAACATCTCAGTGAGGAGCGACCATGGTCAATCAGTCCCTGATGCGGTTGGTTTACGGAGTGCGACTAAAGGTAGTTCTTCAGCTCTTGTGTGTGGCTCAAACAACGGGCGCCACAGGCACCCGGCGACCTGTGCCTGTTTATGGTAAAGTAAGGTACCTATTCGTAAGGCAAGGCAAAACAAGATGGACGACCGGTATTTTTTATTATTATTTTACCTTGGTAGGTAACCTTAGCATTTACCTTGCGGGTACAGATTACCCCTCTGCATCCCACCGTGTTCCCCCCAAAAAGGGACCAAAAAGGGTGTCATCATCGGGTGGCATTAAAAGGGTATTAGGGTGTATCGCCTAATTAAGTCCGTTTCCATGGAAGACTAGACTGGCCGGGTAGGATATGATAACATGATTGGTCGGTGTTCACGGGTGGGATGGAGCCCTGAGTGGTTTCGTCACCCCTTGACCCCCCATCTCCAAGGACGGGAACGTCATTTCTGAATTTCTGGATTGCTGCAGGGAACCTGGAAAGGGAGAGGGAGAGAGCCTGAGAGGGGAGGGGGTGAGCAAAATGAGGGGCGCATCACAGCAGGCCAAGGATTGGATTTGCGATGGCCTTGTTGCACAAAATCACACTAGGCGCCTTTCTGGACAGTCGTCGAGGTTCTATCGTGTTCATCAATGGGGCTATGCTGGAATAGCGTCGGGACCTTGGTTGCTTGGGTTCTTTATTACAACCTGAGCTGAGGTGGTTACCTTATGTAATTTAAGGCGCAGATAGACTCGGGACGAGGAGAGATGGAGATATCCGTACCCGTGGACGAACAGTCGAGAAGAAAGAAAGAGACATATCAGCCAGCTCCATCTATCTACCGATCCATCCGTCCAACCAACCATCCCACCTTGCTTCTACACTACCTTACACTACACTGCATCCTCAGCTCGCTTTCGTTCTCGTGCGACTTGCAGGAAACTTGGCAGCAGTAACAGCACCGTCATCCTTCACGAACGACAGCGACTTTCAACGTTGGATTCTTCTCTTTCGTGGGATAATTCGTGCTTGATTGGTTCCAACCTGCGCCGCTCACTCACCTTGATACATATCCATCTCTATCATCGGATATTCATCACAGCCAGCGTCCACAGCTCTATCCTTACGCATTATTCAACCCACCCCACCATTGTCTGTGGTTTGTCCGTTGTCGCCGACCGAAGCGTCTCACATTCCCCTCAACCGAACCGACATCCACGTCCCTCAATCATCATCCTCCACCAATTCTCCTCCTCATCCAAACCCCCCCGCCGACCTATCAGCAGGTCCGAGTACCCAGTATTCCTGCGAGCATAAGCCATAAACAACTGCCTTACCTTTTCTTTACCCATCTTTTTTGGCTCCGGAGTACGACGAACACAGCCTGTGGATAACCAGCCCGTCCCTTGTGCTTGACCTCCAGCTGCTCCATTCTTTACCTTACATTACCTCCCCACGACACGGAGTACGGGATCCAGGACACGCTCATATAAACTCAGACTATCTTACGAGGAAGTGGGGAACCCAACCTTGGCTGGCCCGCGTTCCAGAGGTGTCCATAATAGCATCCTTTTACGGATACCGTTGCTCTCCAGCTCTGTGCGTGTGTGTGTGAGTGAAGCCGAGCTTCCTCACTGCTCTGCAACATGTCGGACGCTGGCGATAGGTACGTGATGATCCACCTCAACCTGCTCCCGTTTTCTCCACGCCTGTGGCATTCCAGCTGCTATGCACACAATCTCCCTTCCCTCCTGTCATCATCCTCCCGTTCTCATTATACTGTCATCGGTGCATGGCTCCAGGCGCCTGCCCACACATTTTCCCAGCCCGCCTGCAGCAGCAAACGACAGTAGCAGCAGCACCTTCCGCATCCTGACCTTGGCGGCAGCAAAGCTAACCCTCTCCTGATTCTCCAGCACCCACAAGCGGTCAAAGTCGGCCGCTGCCCTCTCACTCCTCCGAAGAAACCACTCCCGCAGCGAAGAAGATCCATCCACCATGGATGACGGAGCGCCGCTGACGTCGCCACCTTCTACAGCGGCTTCCGCGACAAACATCTCCATGGCTCAAAACGTCCCCCGCGGCAACACGGCCAACAGGCTCTCCATCTCCCCTTCCATGGGCCGAACCCCTTCTCACAACAGCCCGCCCTCCGCAACCGCATCTACATCCGCTTCCAAGATGAGCGTCGCAGGTAGCGAAAAGGGCGTATCCCTCGAGCAGTCTGTTCGCAAGTTCCGTATCGTCGAGGCCCTGCGAAGCGGCGACACTGCCTCCATTTCCAAGGCCATCAGGGATACCGCCGAGGGCGGCCCCCGCACGAGCATCTCCTCCATCAACACCCTCAGCGGCACCGGTCTCGACGACACCACCGTCCTTCACCTTGCGATCCAATGCGCCGAGTACCCCGTTGTCGAGTACGTCCTGTCTGACGGCGCTGGAACCATCGATATCAACGCGAGAGACAAGGACGGCAATACCCCGCTACACGTAGCTGCCGTCCAGGGTCGAACCCAGGTCGTCAAGCTCTTGCTCGACCAAAAGGAGATCAACGATGCCGTCGCCAACTATCAGGGCCGACTGCCCATCGACGTCGCTCGAAACCCCGACATTTTCCAGCTTCTCCAGCTGTCGCGCTCCATCTTCGCCGAGAACAAGGTCAGACAGATCCAGGGCTTGATTGCACAGAACGACTACAAGGCCTTGGAGACTGTCTTGGAGGAGTCACGTCTCAAGCAGATTCTCGACATCAACAGCACCGAATTCGTTACCGAACCAACGACCCTGCAGGCCGGCGGAAACCTTCTCCACGAAGCCGCCCGCAAGAAGAATACCCAGCTCATCCAGGTCCTCCTGCTCCACGGAGCCGACCCCTTCCGTCGAGACCGCAAGGGCAAGCTCCCGCAGGATGTTACAAAGGACGATACCACACGCGCCATGCTTAAGCGATCTCCCGCTGCCGTCGCGGCTCAGAGAGGCATCCAGGAGAAAGCGGTTCTCGGCCAGGCGGCTTCACAGGGTGCCGGCGCTGCGGCCTCTGCCGATCCTGTGGCCGGAAAGGAGGCAAGAGAGATGAAGGGCTACCTGAAGAAGTGGACCAACTACCGCAAGGGATACCAGCTTCGATGGTTCGTTCTCGAGGACGGCGTTCTGAGCTACTACAAGCATCAGGACGATGCCGGTTCCGCTTGCCGTGGCGCCATCAACACGCGCATTGCCAAGCTGCACATGAGCGCCGACGAGAAGACAAAGTTCGAAATTATCGGCAAGTCTTCTGTCAAGTACACCCTCAAGGCCAACCACGAGGTCGAGGCGAAGCGCTGGTTCTGGGCTCTCAACAACTCTATTCAGTGGACAAAGGATCAGGCAAAAGAAGAGGAGCGACAGCGCGCTCGCGGCGCCGAGCTTTTGAGACAGGCAAAGGCTGAGCAGTCTGGAAAGTCGCCAGAGCTGTCCATCAACGAGGCTCAGAGCGAGAGCGCCAGCGTGGCCGATGGAAGAAGCAGTGTTCAGATCCCCAGGACTATGTCGCACAGCAAGATGTCCGTCCCCAAAAGCGACTTTGCTGGCGCAAGCACCGTCGCTAGCAACGACGATGACTTCGCCGATGCCGCGACAGATGCAGGCCAGTCTCGTGTGACCAGAGGGCATCACGGACCAGACGATGACGATGATGATGACGACTTTGAGGATGTCAGTAGCCGTGAAGAGCCCTCTGTCAGCAAGGACGCTTTCAGCATCACAGCTCAGTCAGCCAAGCTACAACTCGACACCATTTCTGCTGTCAATGCTGCGATGCTCTCCGAGGCCTCTAAGAACCCGAATACGGTCGTCTCTGACGCCAAGGTCACTCAAGCTCTTACAACCTACGACGCAGCTGTGAGGAGTCTGACGGGACTTATCGGAGACCTGATGCGGATTTCTAAGGATCGCGATGCCTACTGGCAGTACCGGCTGGATCGCGAAATCGACATGCGCCGCATGTGGGAGGAGAGCATGGCCAAGGTTGCCAAGGAACAAGAAATTCTTGAGGAGCGCGTCGATCAGGCCGAGCAGAAGCGCAAGGCGGCCAAGCGTGCGCTGCGCGAAGTTATGAACGAGCAGCCGACGGCCGCCAGCCAGGATCTCGAGGGTGACAGAAAGGTGGATGGCACCGCAACTGTCGAGGCTGCTGTCGGCGCCGACGACACGAATATCGCAGCCCCGCCTGCGCCCGAGAGGACTTTGACAAGGAAGAAGACGGTTCTGGATTCGCTTGAGCTGTCTGACTCTGAGTCGGACGATGAGGATGAGTTCTTTGACGCAGTTGATGCTGGAGAGGTTGAGGTCAGCCACTTGCCTCATGCTGATGCGGTGCCTACTCCCCACGAGGAGAAGGAAGAGCAGCAACTTGTTGTCTCTGGCGGTACGGATCTCAGCAGCTCCTTCAAGGGTTACGAAAATGGCATCAGAAGTCGTCTCAAGATGGATGCTGATGATCGGCCCAAGATCTCACTTTGGGTAAGTTACCCGGTTCCAAGTGCTATCTTTGCCCGGTTTACTAATACGTTTGCAGGGTATCCTGAAGTCCATGATTGGCAAAGACATGACAAAGATGACTTTGCCTGTGTCATTCAATGAGCCCACTTCACTGTTATACCGCGCCGGTGAGGATATGGAATACGTCGACCTTTTGGACCAAGCTGTGGAGCGATCCGACTCTATTGAACGTCTCATCTATGTGGCTGCCTTTGCCGCTAGTGAGTACGCCTCTACAGTCGGTCGTGTGGCGAAACCCTTCAACCCGCTTCTTGGAGAGACTTTTGAATACGTCCGGCCTGACAAGAACTACCGCTTCTTTATTGAGCAGGTTTCTCACCATCCTCCGGTGGGTGCTGCCTGGGCTGAATCACCCAACTGGACCTACTGGGGTGAATCGGCTGTGAAGACCAAGTTCTACGGCAAATCCTTTGATGCCAACCCTCTTGGAACGTGGTTCTTGAAGCTTCGACCCAAGTCTGGAGGCAAAGAGGACCTCTACACATGGAGAAAGGTTACGACATCCGTCATTGGTATCATCACCGGTAACCCCACCGTTGACAACTATGGACCCATGGAAGTTAAGAACTGGACCACTGGCGAGGTGTGCCAGATCGAGTTCCAGCCGCGTGGCTGGAAGGCGTCTAGCGCATACAAGATCTCTGGCAAGGTCCTCGACTCTGATGGAAGAGTCCGATACAGCATGGGTGGCCGATGGAACTCTAAGCTTTACGCTCGTCTCACGCCTGGATACGAAGCCACAGTCGAGGATCCCGGTGACTCGGCTTCGCTTCACAAGGGCAGTATCACTGACCCCAACAAGGCATTCCTCATCTGGCAAGCCAACCCCCGCCCGCCCGGCATTCCCTTCAACCTCACCCCCTTCGTGCTCACCTTCAACCACATCGACGATAAGCTCAAGCCTTGGCTGCCACCCACAGACTCTCGTCTGCGTCCTGATCAGCGCGCCATGGAGGATGGGGAGTACGACTTTGCCGCCGACGAGAAGAACCGTCTGGAGGAGGCGCAGCGGGCGAGAAGAAAGATGCGTGAGGAGAAGGGTGTCGAGTTCCGCCCCGCATGGTTCGAGAAGACGACGTGTGAGATTACCGGCGAGGATTACTGGAAGTTCAATGGCAAGTACTGGCAGCAGAGAGAGAAGGCCGGTCCCGAGGGAAGCCCGCAGCAGGCTTGGGAGGGTCTGGAGCCCATCTACGAGGACGTGAAATAGGAGTCTCTCGTCGCTCTGAGAGGTGTTCGTGCTGTGAGTGGCGGGGTCGGCGGTGGTAGTGGTAACAGGTATGAGGTTGCTGTGCCGGACAAGAAGCTGAAGCAGGTGCGTCTGGTGCATAGGCCGAGCGGCTTTCGGCGGACTGGTGTCGGAAACAGGTAGATCCCACCTGCACTGCGTGTCGGAAAGCCAGGATGCATACGATGTAACATAGATGATATTGAAATAAGCAATCGCTCGTTCTCGGCATGTGTGTGCGTGGTACTGGTCACTGTGCAGTTGGAAGAGGGTTTGGCTCAGGCTGCTGGAGAAGGCGATGGCTTGATTTGAGTGTGTTTTGACGAATCCAATTGAGGAACAGCTTGACTTTAGCAATGTGAGAGGCTCGCGATGTGTGGATGGTGTCTTGCTCGTTAAAGAGGAAGCCGAGAAAGGTCTGATAAGGAAGGGAATTACTATGGTGAAAGTGCGGAGAGTATGTTGCCTTGGGAAATTGGCCTTGGGTATTTGGACGGACGCGCCTGGAAATCTGCTTAATGGGTTCAGGGTACTTTCCTAGCACCTAAAGGTTGCGGAAGGCAGGCACGACTGGGTGGAGCCTCACCTACTCTCCTCGCCGGCAAAGGTATATAAAGCAACCCGTTACTCGCCTCTAGATAGGTCTCGTCCAGGCGAGGTCATGAGGTCTACATCTTGTGCTCCGATTCCTTCTCCTAACCCTCCATGACCTGGTGCATCTCATGGCAGATGGGAGCGCAGGATGTCTTTGATTGTGGCTTTTCTTTCCTGACCTTGTACTGTGGGAGTAAATGCTGCCTGCTGGCGGGCTTGGTTCCCTCTCATGTATTCGGTTATGGATATGTGAGGAAGGATGAGATACGATTGTCTGGGGTGTCTGGCTGACTGTATATAAGCTATAGCCTCGATTTGTAAATATCTTCTATGAGGAGACGCCAGTATTAACTCTTGGTACTACGATAAAGACGGAGCGAAAATACGTGGATATGACCAAGCTAGGGAGGTGTCGGCGGGTCATAGTGTCTGGTTATCTTACTGCGTCGGTTGCCGCGATGGCCTTTATAGCCTACTTCATTAAGACACCGCGCGGGGTTGATGTGTTTGGCTCGGTATACAAACAACCTAGAGCTTACCGAAAGACTCATTTCTTCAATTCGGTTTACTGTCCAAAATGGGACGCCTGTACCTTCGTCCTTTGCTAAGTCTTTAACCGTGTCCAGTGCCATCGGTCTGGGCGATGTGAAGAGTAGAGATTGTTTGGTTTGCGCCCTTTTTCTGCCCGATCGAATTAAGGAAGCTACCTCGTATCGTGCCGACCATCTTCGCACATCTGTTCGCCCTCAAATACGCAAGAGAGAAGGCCTAGGGCGAATGAGTAACATTGACTTATCGTTTTTTGGCGCAATGTACTTGCCTTAAGCATGCTCAAGGCATGATAGGACTTGGCGAGCAACAAATCGGACTTGACACGGCACGCGGTGTTTCCTCATCGAACAAATTCAGCTCGCTGGCTTCCTAATGCTGTGCTACCTTATGTATGTATGCCTGGTAATGTCCATGTATACCTCTTGCCAAAGGAAGACCTTGACCTGTGCTTATACCTAATATCGAGACGACAAGCATCTGCCCTACTAGCATAAGGCCGTGTATCGTCGAACACCTACTGATAGATTATGTTCCAAGCACATGAAGCTTGAGCTGTTGTCTACTACCTTAAAGATCAATGCCCTGACTCCGTTGGCTGCAACTCTTGCAGTTGAATTTCCAAGACATCAGGGAAGGCGGCAGGCATGAGACACAACTTCTAGTCACTAAACACGATTGTATCTCGTTGTCTTGCTTGCGGTTGGCAGGTTGAAGGCTCACTGCCGAGGCAAGCAGCGGCACGGGGCGATTAGTGAACCTGGGGAATGCCGGAAGCGCTTCCGCAGACGCGCTTCGTTCGGGGGGAAATCAAACTGCCGTCAGATTGTCTGTAATTCAAGCCGTCAGGAGCATGCTGTACCTTATTGCACAGTCATTGGTAGAACGTGCAGTTGAGAGCTATGGAGTGATGTGTGAGAGAGTTTATCTACGGCCATCAGTGGAGGATGTCGTACGTCGCGGAGTTGCCACTTTGGGTATTTGTACGCCCCCTGAGAATGTAATTATCTGCCTCTCCGCAGTATCTACAGCGCAGTCTTGAGTGAGGCTTCCCCCACAGGTGCAGCTGAGCCTGTTGGGCGCCTGCCTCGCCAAGAAGCTTGTGATACCGGTCGGAGCTCGGAGTGGAGGGCGGCGTGTGCACCGGCGCCCGTGGGAGGTGGGACTCTTAGGGAGCCACTCACCGAATCCCGGGAGCACCTCGGTGAGCTCGGGTGGAGAGCGGCACGTTTCCTGCAGGTGCTGGCGGTGCTGCAGACCTCGCAGCTGCCCACGACTCGCCACGGTCCGTGATCCCCTGACCGCAGCAGTGACATCCAATCAAAAAACGCTCCGCTTTTGGACCTCGGTACTTTTCCCCCCTTGCTTGACCAGTGACCACGACCCAATTGATGTCACATTTAGGGGACCTGGTCGCGCATCTCAATCCGGGCTCTTGGGTTCACAAGCGAGTCCTTTCTCGTCCCTCTTGTGTCAGTATCTTTCTTCGCTCTTCATACTATCCCTTTTCCCTCAATTTGCTTCACGGCGTCAAGACGAGTAGATTGAGAGACGCGCAACGCACAGAGGCGGTCGGTCGTGTTTGACTTTGCGAAACGCCAAGACTCGGTGATTAGAGGAGATTTCTGTCGGGCTTAAAGGCGAGCTCATCAACATTATCATCAAAAAACGATAGACAGCAGTCGATTCAGAGTCAGAATCTGGGTGCAGAGAGAATACCGGCACAATGGCATCAGGTAGATCAACAATCATCCGGCCCCCACCGGATGACCCGAACAAGAGTCCGATGGAGAACGTATTGGAGGTGACGGAGCTCGGCGTCCTTGGTCCGGTGAGTGAATCCCACCCGAAGCCGTCGGACAAATGTCCCCCCTAACGACACGGCCGTACATGTCACAGGAGAATGCAGACTGACTCCGTAAACAGGATATCTTCACTAACACGCGCACGCCATGGCACCCGCCCGGCGCCCGCGGCATCTTTGGCGGCGCCGTCATCGCGCAGTGCCTCGCCTCCGCGCAGAAGACGGTGCCCAACGACTTCTTCGTCCACTCGTGCCACTGCTACTTCCTCCTCGCGGGCTCCTCCGAGATCCCCATCCTCTTCCACGTGGAGCGCGTCCGCGACGGCCGTTCCTTCGCTACGCGCACCGTGCAGGCCCGCCAGCGCGGGCGATGCATCTTCACGACGACCGTCTCGTTCGTCAAGGAGGGCAGCGGTGGCGAGAAGCAGGTCCGGCACGCGGCGCCCTTGCCTGACGGTGTGAGGGCGCCTGCCGACAACTGGAAGGGCGAGCCCGAGTGGAGCACGCACTCCCCGTTCCAGACGCACCGGATCTCCATCGTCGGGGACAAGAATAAGGGCAAGCGGCTCGACGAGCTGAAGTCGCGCAACTGGGTGCGCGCGCGGGGCCGCATCTCGGTGAGCGGCGGACACCAGGCGCACCTGAACGCGCTGGCGTACATGTCGGACAGCTACTTCATCGGCACCGTCGGGCGCATCCACAGGCTGTGGCGGTTCCCCTTCAAGCCCGAGGAGTTTGACGACCTTCCGCCCGAGCTGCGGGAGCAGGTCGAGCGGCTCAACGAGTTCGAGGGCAACACCGAGGCCGGCGGGATCGAGTACTGGAAGACGAGGCCGCATTTGGGTATGATGGTCAGCTTGGACCACTCCATCTACTTCCACGAGCCGAGGCGGGTGAGGGCGGACGAGTGGATGTTTACCGAGATGGAGAGCCCTTGGAGCGGCGACGGGAGAGGCGTGGTGCTGCAGAAGATTTTTGCGAGCGATGGCACGCTTTTGGCGACTTGTGTTCAGGAGGTGAGTTACCTCTTCATTGCTGCTGGCTTTTGTTCTTGTCTTCCCCCTTAAGATGTGATGTGTGCTGACTTTGTCTGATACAGGGTGTTATTCGGCTGAAGCAGCAGGAGGAAGATGACGAGAAGGAGCCAAAGTCCAAGCTGTAGAGTGCGATTCTGGCGTGTATGAATGTGTAGAAGGTAGTGTACTAGCTCAGAGTCTGCTTTAATCTTCTCATTATCCACGAACCGTGTTTATCATTGGGATGCTTTCATCACAAGGTCTTCCCGCTCATGGAGCGATAGGGATGGCAACGCCCTTGATGAAAGCATCCTAATGATAAACGCGGTTCTTGCATGTCGAGGAGAGTCACATATTAACGCCATTTACGACGAGAATGATCGATATGTCCGAGTAACTCTCATATGGGAGTGTGAAGATTGCGATACCAGCGAGCCTTCACACTTGGGTGTCCTCCGTGATGACCAGTAGAGTTCTGTTGCAGAAGCCGAGACTCGTTTAGGGAACCTGTTACCAATCGCCCATCACGAATACGCGTCCGCACTACCGACTGACGTACGTCACATACTTTCCAGGAATAATGCCCCTCAAAGCGTCTGAGAGGGCGGTGCGGGAAGCCGATCGAGGGGGTGTCGAGGGTGTGTGTGTGTGTGTGTGTGTGTGTGTGTGTGGTCGCTTTGGGGAAGTCCAGGAAAACCCAACCGTACTTTCAAACTTGAAAAGCCTGAAGAACCATGAAACATGTGGGTGGGATAAACAAGCTCAAGCTTCAGATTCAGCCTTTCCATTTCCAAAAGCTTCAGACTCAAGCTCCCGAGGGAAACCAGAACGAACGCAAAAAAAGTTGGGATTGCAAATTAGAGAGGCTTCATTGGACAGGAAAGTGCCGACTCTCAAAGCTCCCCTTCGCAACGGACCATCCTGATTGATCACTCAACAAACATGCAGCACAGAAAGGTACACACGATAAAATCAAGCTTACATCCTGGAGCTGTAGGGAGGGTTGCTCTAGAAGAAGAGAAATCGCTAGGTATCTCCCCCCGCCCGTCCCGTCCCTTTGCATATCACAGCTCGGTTTGTGACGCAGACGCACATACCTGGCTTGTCAAATGCCATCCGGGCCACCCGGGCAGAAATCTCGTCTGATCAAGACCAACAATAACACACGATACTACTCTCATCTACAGGAGTCCGATGGGGATTGTCTATACGCGCACGCGCGCAGCTTCCTTGATGGCATATTGGCCCTCCGTGAAACTCGTTCGTATCACAAAACATAACTCTGTGTGTAAGAATCATGAGGCCATAAGCCTGGACATGGGAACGATGTTCCCTTGCGTCGTCTCGCAGGAAACGAGAAGCATCATTGATCTTTGGTCACTGCGTCATCCATCAGACGGTCTGGATCGGTGCGGTCTCTTGGGAAGTGTAATATAATAACATCTTCTTACCTCCAACAGTAAAGCGCTGCAAATCACTGACAACGTAGGCTTCAAAGATCTGGGCCTCAAAACATTTACATAAGCATTCATCATACTTCCGTTCTCGCCAACTTTAAGCAGAGAGGAAAACTCGCCATCATGTCCGGCCCTCCTCCTAACCTTGGTCCCACGCGAGTGATTCTCCACGTGAAGGGAGACGTGCCAGACTGGAAGGAGGAGTTCAAGCAGTTCCTGTTGACTGTGAAAGATTCGGAAGGATACTTCCGCTACCGATGGGGTCCTTGGGAGGAGGACCACAGCAAACTGGAGATCCTCGCGAGTATGTTTCTCCTGCTTTCCTCCCTGACTTAAACACCGCAACCTCCTAACCAAGACCTGAATTGAAATTGACCAATATTTTCGTTCCCCAGCCTGGGCCCCAGTCGAGCACCGCGAAGCCTTCGGCCGCTGTCCCCACCACCAAAAGGCCATCGATGCCCTTATGCCCGTCCTCAAAGCTGTCCCCTCCAAGTGTCCACGCGTCGACTTTGACGTCAGCACCATTGTCCCACCGCCACCGCAGCTCATCAACAGTCCCATGTGCGAGATCATCACCATTACGCACTTTACGGGTGACAAGGACGCCGCGGCAGCCATGATTAAGAAAGTGGAGGTGAATGCCGGGTGTCTGGCGTCCCACTCTGGTATCACGGCGACGGATACGCCTGACAACGGGACCGTGTGGCTGGGCTTTGTGGGCTGGCAGGATTATGCGTCTAGTAAAGCGTCGGACAAGAGTGCGTATATACCGGCTGGGGTGGGTAAGGTTGAGTCGCATCATATCAACTTCAATTTTCCCATCAAGGGGTTCTCTGTTACCAATCCTGGTAGATAAGGTACCAGTTAGCTGGATGAATGAGAAGAGTTTGACTCCGAGCTGAGCTTCCTGCTGGATTCGAGCTGTGATGACGGCTCGCCACGTTATATCGCGAGCCAAAGTCTGTTTCGAGCCTCTGATGAACCATGACGCCGGTTCAATTCTGGTGTAACCTCTGCGCCGGTGGGTGCGAATGGGGAGTCTCTCGGCGTGTTGGTGTGCTTGGGTATAGATGCCATCACTGAGGTAACGTTGAGGCTTTCCGCCAAGAAAGATGGAAGTTTACTATGTCTAGATCTTAAAGGCTGGTCAGCTCATCTCTTACAACTTCCGCATCGAGCAGTTTTCACAAGATCACAGCTACATAGCACATCTGACGCTTGTATTCCTGACCCTAGTACTTTTCCGCTCTGGTGTTCACCATAGATCTCCACGGGCGTCAACATGGCTGACTCAAGTAATTCAATGTGATGCCCCAGAATCAACAATTACAAATGTAAACAAGGCCGATTGAACTATTTGAGGCCTTGGCTACTGCTGTATCTTCTCAGTTGAACCTTCCGACTCCTTAGAATATATTGGCTGCCGCGGCATGGACCGATGGGATGTGTCAACCCAAGGAAACTTAGAGTCCGACGTGTCCATTCAGAATGTTGGAACCTTGTGCGTACAACCAGAGCCGCGGTAAGTCATCTGTATCATATAATTGGTGCTGGAGTAAATCGGATGACAGCTGAAGAGAGAGTGTGTGCGAACGGCTTTCCAGAAATAGTTAGACGATGAACCTGGCACATGACTAGTGACGGCAGGGCTGGAATACTGGAGGTCCGCTATGTCATGTTGCGCGATGTATTCCAACCGGATGAGAGACCCTAAATGGTTACATCAAGCAGTGGACTATCGGAGGTTCAAATGATGGTACAGCGAGGGGAATTCCGTACAGACTAGATAGGGGCCATATCGAGTAAAGACCGTCTTGTTTCAACTGTCCGTAGATACGGTTGATGGAACTATGTACTGGAGTGTTCAACTTCTAGCATGGACCATCACGTCGGTAGTTGTCAAAGTGCTCTCGGTCTTCCGTTCACAGTACCCATCGTCCCGTTTCATTACGTCGATCAGGTAAATATTATGAAGACCCATGCAGACTTGTATTCCTATCTTAGAGTAGTTAATAGGCTTGAATCAGCCAATGTACTTCTTTCCCATCACCCAAGCATCCTTGTCGTAACACTTTGGCCAGACACCGCCTCTTCCGGGAGCCAGAATGCCATTGGGATCCAGGGTGTCGTGAATCTCCTCATGCATCTTCCATAGGGCGCCGTTGTTGAAGTCATAGGCATCTGCAACTTGATCCATGAGGCCTACGTGAGTCCTAAAGACGCTCCAGCCGCGAGCCTTCCACTCCTTGATCAGGGTCCGGCCCAGCCACTGTGCGCGGCCGCGCATGTCCTTGTCCTTTCTGTCATACGGGATGATGCATACGTTGTCTGAAAGTGCGATGTCAGTTCATGTGAATCAGTCTTTCGATGGTACGATCAAGGGCATGCTTACGCATAGTCCGGAAGTATGCAACATAGTGGCTGATGTAGTCGATGCCCGCCTTGGCGAAGAGCTCCTTTGCCAAAGAGTACTGCTCCCACACGGCCTTACCCTCAAGTCTGGAAATAGCCGCGACCATGATGACGGAGCAGTTAGGCAGCCACTGCTTCATCCAGGCGAATTCTCCCATGGACGAGATACCTTGGAGGTAGGTGGCTCTGACACGAACCAGGTTCTGCTCGCCGGGGCACTCGTCGAGCGTTGCCCACTTACTGCCCGGGACCTTTGTCAACTCCTTTTTGATGTCCTCGATGAGAGCCGCGCGGACTTTATCGGAACCGAATACGGCGCCAATGTAGCGCCACCGGCCCGTGTTGAGCTTCTTGGCCATCTTCTCAAAGTCCTCTTCGGGGATGACTTCTTTGTGAGAGGCATTGGTGTAGCTGGACCTAGGGCCATAGTGGGCAGCCTCGAGCGTGAGGTTACGCAGACTGACGGAACTCTGAAGTGTGCCATTCTTTGTAGAATTAGAGTTAGCTTGGCACAGTCACTTGAATCCTGGGCTATGGACTTACCAGATCAAGGGGTTGAATGCAGTCAACCAAGGCGGCCAGATCGGCCTCCCTCTCAAAAGTGACTGAGAACGGCGTCATGCCCTGAGGAGCAGGCATCAACTATGATGAGCATTATCAGCAAACCATTTCTTACGATGTGGTCGTACTGAGCCCGGTTTCATTGGACAGTGCATCTCACCCAGAATCCCATCTTCGTGACAATGCCGGCATTGCCCTGCGAGAACAGACCATCGTTCATTGGACCCCAACCGTACGGAAACAGAGCAAAACACTCATTCAGCTTCTGATCGGCCGGGTGAACGCCTTGCTCCGCCTGTTTGCGGCCCTCCGGGTCCTGGATCGCGCCCATGCCCATCCTGGCGACCTCACCGTTGGGCAGGACGACCTCCATTCCGCTGTGTTTTCCCCATCTGTCACCATACAAGGAAGCACCACCTCCGCGGTCCAGGGCGTTGCCAATCATGGATCCCCACCCGAGACCTGACGAGTCTACCCGGATCTTGTCCAAGAGACCGCGGTCGCGCAGATAACTTTTTTTGTGGCAAACTTGTCAGTCTCTCGGTTTCTGAGAATCTTGATGGGATGACCGCAACCTACTCGCTCATTTGCATGAAAGTGACACCCGGCTCGACGATGCAGACACACGCTGTCTCATCCAAGTGCAAGATGCGGTTCATATGCGTGCTCAAGATCATGACCAGCGATCCAGGAACCTTGAGATAGAGTCAGTCTATCATATCGGGAGCTGTTTAATACACGTTATTGTGCTTACTCTCGGTGCCGAGCCACCGTACGCGAGGTTTCGTCCCGTGCTGATGGGCCATACGGGGACTTTTGTCTCGTTGCAAGCAGCAAGAACAGCCTGAATGTCTTGTACACTTCGCGGATGACACAGAGCTGAGCCCACCAACTCGCACTCATCGTCAAAGGAGCGGTAGTAGTCGTGGGTACGGCAGTTGCGGCCAAAGTCATCATCTTCGTAGCCCTCAAAGTCACAGTCAGCCGTGATGACGGTAAAGTTCTCGTCTCCCCCCACCGCTTGGATTACTCGGCGAGCGAATTTGGAGAATCCGGCCTGCGTCACTCCAGGAGGAAGAATCTTGGGGACTTCCACATCTTGTTGCTGCTGTTGTTGCGCCGGCGCTCCGTTCTTGGCTCCGTTGCCGGCACCGAGCCAGAAGTGGCCGCTGCTGAGGTTAGGGGGAACAGCGGCAGTGGTCATGTTCACGATCTGAGTTGATAAGTGTATTGAATGTACAGGAAAGTAGATGGAAAAGATGTCAAGTTGAATGGAGTGGCAGCGGCAACGATGGTAGCAATGTCCTTGTTGATACTCGAGATAAGTTGTTGGGCGAGGAAGTTTACTCGCGCACATCTTATTTTATATCTTCTCTCTGTAAAGATCTAAATCCCTTCAATGTCCGAGTCCTACCCACATCACCGTTCACAATCAGTCCACGCCCCCTCCTCGACATCACGGACTTCAGGTAAATGCCTTTATGGGAAATCATTGCTTATGGGGTCTCCCCCGCGAAGAAAGAGGCCAGGGACGGGAACCCAATTTCCGTCCCCCCAGTCAAGTATCTTTTCCATGGATTAACGATACTTTGATGGGGACAAAGATACAAAGTGTCAACTTTCCAATATGTAGGAAGATACTGCTAGCTTTGCCCTGCACGGAGCTCGATTCCGCCTACGGTCTAAGTGCAGGAGTGACATCTACGCGTATGTCAATCGCGGACGTGCCTGCGGGCCGAAGTGTAATCACTTCCGACTGTACACATTGGCCACTGTATTTCTACTTAGTTTTGGTCCAATGTTCCATGCTTTCCACGCGCTCCGCCATGGCGCTAGCGACCTCCTCGCAATGTCTATCAATGCCGTACGTTGCTTTTCCTGTCTCCCCTTAAAGCTTCTTTTGTTGTACTGAAACGTCGTTGAAGATACCAATACTCGTTTAAGTAGAGTAAATCTTGTGAGTTCTGGTGTGCACAACCTTTGCCGTTAAGCTCCACGGAAATGGAGACGGCCAACCCAGATCGCCTCGGACCCGGCCCCGAGAAGGTTGCAAGCAAGACATTTCAGGTCGGCGTAGGCGATCGAAGATGATCAGCAGGCATGATGGACATACCCGCGGACAACGTGAACCCGCAGTTGACTTTGAACTACCATCCCCAAGTCCGGAAGCTGCGAAGAGTTACTTAGTCTATACACAGCCCCACCACATAGTTTTACTTCAAAACCTTGGCAGCAGTCAGCCAGTATCACGGTCGACGACATGCTCACCGAATTGGATCATCACCATGGATATTTTGATCTTTACAATATGTATCTTGCCTGTCACAAGACGTGTAACGGCCGATGGCCTTTCGGATTCAAGGCGGAACCAAACGTAAGCAAGGCGGAAACTACAGTCTACGCCACGGACTCGCAGTTTTATCCTAATGCATTTTGACCGCAGCATGTCCTTCAAGCGCTCCAGGGCGGTTTTAGAGTGCGATTAGATACTACATTGGGCTCGGTCCGATACCCTCGTAATAGAATCCTATCAACGATCCTCTCGGTGGAGAAACAAAAGTTCCCTGCAGACTGCAGACTGATGTAGCTGTTTTGGTACCAACAGACTTGCGGGAGACATAAGTAAGTAACTTGACCTGTCCTTTTTTCACAGCATCATATACATCTCACATGTGTCAACCTTTCCCAGATCTTTCTTCATACGAACTATTACCATCAAGTCTACATTCACAATGTCTCATTCTTCAGTTGCCGCAGCACCCTTCTCCCTTCATCCTGCTCTATCATCTACCCCCAAAGGACACCAGACTCGTAACAATGACTTGTTGCCACAACGTACCCATGGGGTTCGCGAAAAGATGCTGCTGCAGCTCCACGGGCAACAAATTCGCATTCCCGACCTAGGACGGCTGATGGAAGATTGGCCGAGGGACCAGAACCCACACCTTGATGCTGTAGATAGCAAGATTCTCCAGATCATCGAGAGGTAAGAGGATGAGATAATGATAGCTGGAAGTCCACTAACAGCAATGTTCTAGTCACGCAGTCAATGATGCCGTTCGCGGACGTCTAACAAAAGCCATGCTTTCGAAGCAACTGACGGGCTGGTACCCATATGCATCCTGCGATAGAATCGAAGCCCTCACTTCCTTCCAGGCCTGGATGTTCATTGTCGACGACATGCTGGACCAGTACTCGCTCATACACAAGTTCGACTTCGCGTCTTTGCATGTTCTTCTGGCCGACTGTCGGGACTTTATTGACCGCAGCCTCGGACTCCTCACTACCTCTGAGACCGGTCAACCGCAGTACCGAGACCACGACGCCGTCGTATCATTTGCAGAGTATGCTCAAGCCGTTATGAAGGCAAATGGAGACAATTACAGCTATCGACAACGCATCGCCAAAGAAGCTACTGCCACGCTTGACGGCTATCGACAAGAAGCCGTGAACCGGTATGCTGGCAGAGCTACGTCGCTCCAAGAGTACCTCGGATACCGCGAGGCATCGTCCTGTATCATGCAGGTGGCAGTCAACCTCGAGTTCGCCAACGGCATCAACCTTCCCGAGGAGGTCATGGCATCCCCTGAGATGCGTGAGCTGTACCGCGCTGCAGTTGCCATCGTCTGGGTAGTTAACGACATCGTAAGTCTACGAAAAGAGCTCAAGGAAGGATTTGTCGAGAACCTTGTCGTCTTGCTAGCCAATGGCGATGCTCAAAAGGGGCTTGACGGCGCCGTGGCTCGCCTGGAGCACGAGGTCTCTGCGCTCAACGACGCCGTTGAGGCTTCTGCTCGCCGCTTCGACGACACGCCTTACAAGAGTCACGTCAATCTACTGGCGAAAAATTGCAAGAACATGTGTATGGCAAATTGGCTGTGGAGGTAAGCAAAAGTCAAGTTATCAATCCCGGTGCTCGGGTCTGACCGCATCATCAAACAGTATGAAGACGCCCCGGTACTGTCTTTCTGATATCAAGCCTGATGCCGAAGGTGGGTATACTTTTACGGTTGATTCCACGCCGGAGGAGGACTGAAACCTCTATCGAATAAAGGCTCCTGTAGCTCGCCGCCATGATGAACATGAAGAAACATATAACGCATTGGTCGCCTTGAGCTATTGCAAATTAGGAAGCTGGGCTGATTGATGATTCTAGACTGAGAGCCCGGTCGCTCCGTACGGTAGAACTTCATCTTCACCAAAACCTCAAATCGAATTGAGATACATGTTACCGGTACCGTTGAAGTTGCTCTACTAGGTGCATCGTCCACTGATGGCGAGGCCTTCGGATGTCTCATCACCAACCTTCGCAAGATTGTGTGGCTCAATGGTTCACCTGTGAAACCTTTGGCCACCATCGACTATAAGGTTGAGCGTGGGTATCGGTCAGCTCAGCATAATCTTCCCATCTCCAATTGGGCGTGATATGATTCGCGTTATCTAATGTAACACACAGTTTGTACCCCTTCGGTCGGTTCTTCACTCAGTGGGTCGTTCGCTTTCGCCTTTCACATGTATCGTGGTGTTCACCCTTCCTCCGTTTTGAATGCGGCTTCATATGCTGTAGCATTGTAAGGTCTACCTCGTCAGGCTTGTTTGTAAGCGGACCGCCTTTTATAAGGCCCGCCGGCCCGGTGGTTCGCCCGGAGCGTCCGGTGGTCCCGGTGTTCCAGACCCAACTTGAGCAACTGACGCACGGAGTGGAGAGGTGTGGGTGACACCCACACATTTAGATTAGTCTTTGGCTGATTTCCCCAATCGTAACTGTAGTCGATCTTCATAGGGCGGGTGTGCTCCAGCGGCAAGGATTCAGGATCTTGCCCTTAGCTTGGTGGGGTGTTGCTCGTCGGAAAAGGCTCAAAGTGTAATGAAATAGGTATTCAGATAACCAAACTTGCTGCTGTTAAGTGCTAGACAAGAGCTGTGTATGCAGAGACATAGGAACATAATTCACACAGTAGATTAACGACCCATATGTCATGAAAGCATACGGGCATGAAGGAAACACCCTTGCGAAAACATAGTAATCTGCTTACACGGATAAGATCTGCAACAGTATTTAGGAGAATACCGAGGACTAAACGGGTGGCACGGGCCGTGACGGGTGAAGCAACGAGCAAATTGACTCTATTCAAGTCGAGCAACTATCGGCACAGGGTAGATCCATCAGGGTACTCGAATCTGAAGTCGCAATCGAAGCAGGTCGCATCGTTCGCAGCATATCTCTTGCAGTTGTTGTAGAACTCATTTCCATCAATCTGGCCACTGATCGCCTTGAGCTGTTGTCATAAGTCAGTCATGCCGTTGCCGTTGAGCACGGATTGAGGCGGAATTGGACTTACAAACCGCCCTTGGAACCTCGGCCCCGAACCAGACGACCGACCAATCCAGAACTGTCCTGAGTTTTGACCTAAAAGTTGTAAGCTGGCTGACTCCAGTTGGCAAGAACAAGGCCTACCATAGGTGTAGCTATTTCTGCGGTCACCGGCCAACAAATCAGTGGCGGCATAGTCGACGGCTGAGTTGGTTTTATACTGACATGCGCAGTAGTCGTGCATGTCGGCCATGGACAGACCCCTGGCGATCGTCAGCGACATGAGCTCAAGATTCATTAGGTAGGAACACTAGGGACATACAAGAAAAGAGTCATGACGGGGAGAACGGAGAAACGCATGTTGGAAGTTGACTGTGGCTGACAAAGATGTTGGCTTGGATCAAAGAGGATAGTGAACGTGGTTAAAGAGCGTAGTTGTCTTGAAATGAATGAAGCGATGCACCAAAAGTTACAGGTCAGACCTCAAGTAAACAGCGACTTGGAACTTATATGCCTGGCTACAGGGGCCTGAACCATTTACACCAGGAATAGTAAGGCCCGCGGGTTCCGTTCGCAAGCAGTCGCTGTACTGAGCCTAAGTTTGATTGCGTTCTCGTGATCATTTAAGAGAGTCGGTTTTGAGCTCTGAGTTCTGAACTAAGAGTTCTGAAGAGTCCACTGAAAATAGCCACTACTCCCGTTAGGAAAGGTAGAAGAAGTAAAGATTCTGGAATAGATGAGCTCACGCCAAAAGTAATCAAGCTTTTTGACAATTAACAACTCAAGTCAAGTCATATGCCTTTAGCTGTGTTATGAGCCCCATATCCCAGCCGGGCAGCATCGGGGAGAATTGTGAATATTCTACGCCGAAAACCCCGAAAGTCATATATTGAATTTGAGACGTAAGATCACGAAGGTGTTGTTCCGCGCGCACAAGCCGAACTCCATCATGTCTGTTCAGCTAGATATATAGCGGTGCACTCAAGTTCCCAGATCTTGTCAAATCTTCAGAGAAATTTCGCCAGCTCGACATTCAAGCCCAACTCACACCTTTTTTCTTACACATACAAGACACTCCTTACATCCAACACTCAACATGCTTTGGTTCATTGCCTTATTCATCACTCTCGCTTCATGCTCTCCAGTTCTCCAGCCTCTGGTGCAGGAGCGAGGCCTGACATGTGTCGGTTACCGTGGCGCCCCAGCGGAACTCCCCGCCATCAGCATCGACCTTCGCGGCGACATCGAAGCCCACGTATTTGATGGCGCAAACCCCAGTCTTTCACAGCTTCCTCTGAATACTTGGGCCGGTTCGGACCGTAATCACCGCCTGGAGTACCGTGCCTGGAGAAGCACCGGCAGTAACGGTATCTTCAACGTCCATCTCGAGGTTCAGGTTACCGGCTACGCCAACGTCTTCGTCAACTTTAGCGCACAATCTGACCGCGGTAACGGCGATCCGGGTCTGTCTCGTGTTGATAACGGCTTGGCTGTTGGTTCTGGCTCAAACCCTTACCCGAGGCGAACTTTCTTCAGCATGGCTCTTGGAACCATTCACCGCAACATCAACTACAACTTAGCTGAAAATTGGAGTAAGGATCCTACCTTTACTATGATTATTTACTACCCTAAAAGTTTTCTGACTATTTTTAGGGCTCTGAGTGTTCTCTTTTCATGTGACCCTTGGGACTTGAGGGGTCTGCCGGTCTGGCAGCAAGCTCATGGGCAATCGCCTTCCCCATACTTATCCCAACGACATCACTCTGCCTATTCGCGAAATTGTCGTACTTTCCAAGTTCTAGGAGATTTCTTGGTTATCAGTACTATGGGCTTTGAGTGGATAGGAACTAAGTCAAGTTGCCAGAGACCGGAAGGGGCCAAGCATACGTACACACCTACTTGTCTCCACTAGAAGCTTGAAATGAGATGGGTCCTGATGGAGAGATAAAATCACAGGTTTAGATCGACTGGTTACTCGCATGAAACATTCTTGTCTGTATAGCGAAGTCTGCATGTTGCCTGGAAAGTCACAACACAGCATGTGACAACTGCCTATAATACAGAAGGTCTAACATCAAAAGGACCACACCACGAGCAAAACAAAACATACAACACCAGGTATTCGCTGGTCGTCACCGACCCAACTACTAATCCGGCCCTCATTGGCTTATCTATGGGAGAGCGGACGGGATCCCGAGTTTTCCAATGGGTATGGTCGTATGTGGTGGATGAGGCCTCTCCAGCGATACATGTTGGTGAGAATGACAGCCACCATCGTGACAACTACAATAACGCCCATCACCGTGGGCTTTTACAGCCTACTGGCTTAGCGAAAAAGATTGTTTCAATCGTTTCTTCAAAAACAAATCTAAAAAGAAATCTGGCTGTGAGTCTGAAGGGAACGATCCTTGACGTGTGGTGTTTGTTGTGGTAAAGACTGGATGGACTCTTGGGACCCGAGGCATCCTTTCAATCAGGGGTACGCCAACTGGAACGATGTTCAATTGTATATACGCATGGATGATAATTACATGTGTTCTTGAAAAGTTCTAGAGCAATTGAGGTTCTGTAGTTCCCAAAACTGAAAGCAGAGGACCGCGGTGCTTGTCGCAGGCTTGAGCCCTGTTACTAAAGTTGCGCCGCAGAAGCACCTTTCGAAAACTCCCAACTCCCAATAACCCTAGAAAGTCTTTAGACATCTTAAAACTACGTCTCTCAAAATTCAAGTCGCTTCGCCGAAGTGGATCGCATTGCATAAATCTACCAACGGTGTTGATGGTGTGCCCGCAACACGGCCTATTCTATCAACTGCAAGATAGCGTCAATACACATCCACATACTTTTATGAGGGGAAATAAGGAATCGTTCATCAATGCGACCTTATCACCTTTGTATCCGTCTATGAACAATTTCAAAAGAGAGCAGAATTAGAGAAAGACTGGAGACGGATGTACTGACGCCATCTGGCAGTTGATGGAATAGAGCCTGCTCTTGTGGCCATTGACTGGAAACAGCTTAGACCCGGCGGGCGTTCGTTATCAGGTCGAGCCTGACGCACCTGGCAAGGATATGTAAGATTTACCCATCAAACCCGCGGCTGTTCCTCTTCAGAAGCCGCTTACAGTCCTCATTCGTGGATAAGGTACTGCAAATTCAGTGATCCCTGCACGTACTGAGCCTCATCCATGCATGTAGTCTGTCCCTCATGAGCAACTCAAGATCAGGCTCTGTAGAGTCTTCTGCTTACTTTTATACTCAGCGAAAGCGATTTATCCTTCTGACAGAACGATGGAAAACTAGAGGCAACAAAACGTGTCGAACTCGTAATGAGCTTCAGTTTGATAGAAGCACCCATCCACAAACTCGACTTGTCAACCCACTGTTCCCCAAACCAACATTCAACGTCGTCATCGTCGCACATGCGCGCTTCTCAGTCGAACCTAAGGTACTTCCTATTTCGCAATGAGTATCTTGTGGAGCCCGATAGACGGCTCTTTTGATCGTCGCAACGATTCGTCGAGACCTCCTCGTACACTTGAGACTGAAGAAGATATCGCCCTTGATACCGAGTTGTCGGGGAATCTCTTGCATGATCGACAAAACAAACATGATAGACAGAACATGGCCACTGTAACTTCCGATGCCCACATCCACCAGCTTTCTGGAGATGTATCTCTGTTGGGACGGCCAGCAATCAAGAAGAGTATCTACAAGTCGGATGTAGCTGCGGCGGCTACGTCGATGGTTTGCCTCGCTCTTGGTATCCTGGCTGTTTCTCATGAGTCCATCTCTTGGCGCCTTGGTGTCGGGAACAACCAGCTCATTGTTGTCGGCTTCCTGCTAAGTGCTATGAGTCTATGTCTGGCTAGTGTCACGCCGACGTTGTTCATACTTGTGGAAGCCCGGTATGGCGAATCCACCATACAAAACTACGATGCTATTCTGCGCAACAAACCTTTGGCCTCAAAACTCGGTGTTCCTTGGCGGATTGTTTTAATTCTCACTTTGGCACTTCCCATTGGACTCAGCGTCGCGTACAAAATATTCACAGGGGGCGAGAGCAGAATGAAAGTCAACAGCATGGACTACATCCCGAATATCACTTACTACGGCATGTTTCAGCCTCCAGGCACCACTTCATTCAGTGGTATATCGATATTTTTCAACGCAACTACAGCGTTCCGAGAAGATACCGCATTAGAGTCGGATGGATCTGAGTCGCCTTTACCAGCGCTGCCGCACGCATACGGCTACAACGTCCTGCTGTTGAATACTACAAGCGTCGCGGCTCTTGACACGTTGCACTCCGAATTTTTGGAAGCAATACAGCAGCTTCTCGCAGTCGGCGAATCATGGACTATTACTGCGCCAGTGCTCGGTACCGTTGCCACTTTCAATGAGTCGAGCAGCAGAGATCGGCCTGCCTTGGCGAAGGCTTTCCTAGCCGCCTGTCAGGATGCCGAAGGAAATAGGAATCAATGGTCACAAGGCAAACAAGACATGTTGAACTGGTGGGCTTTGTCTCTTACGAACCATTACTCGCTGTCAGACCAATCCCTACAATATCTTGGAATAGCACCACAGAACCCAGAGTGCGAGGGGTTTTCACATTATGTTTATCTTTACAACATCTACCGGCAGCGGTGCTGGGGAACTTGGTCGGTCACTAGAGGTAGCTCCCAGCTCCTGAACGGTTCATGCGAGGAAGCTATCTTGTCGCGGGTCAAGCAATTGCCGATAACTTACAACAACCTTGCGCTTGATTCGTGGTACATATCTCCCTTGATGGAGATGCTAAGCACGTTTAGCGGAACTGGTGAAAGAGGCAATCTGTCTCACTGGATGACTCCATACATGGCCACGTCCGTGGCTACAATGTTGTGGTCTCGAATTGCTGTTCTACAGAACGCACGAATCCCGAGTTTAGATCACTTCAACATGAGTTCAAAAGGCTGGATCTGGGAAAATGGAACCGAAGTCTCACATAGAGAAGTTGAAGTCATCTATTCAGTCGATCAAGCCGATCAAAGCATATTCTATAAGCGGCCCACATTACAGAAATCGCCATGGCTGTATCTGGTGCTTGCGATCCAGCCACTCTTGATAGTCATCATCCTCGGACTGACTGTCATGCTTCACTCAGAGCCCCTGGGTAGGGGGTTCGGCCTCGTCTCAATCTTATCGGGAATTGACCGCCAGAGTCTCAACAGCTTGGCGGGAGCATCGCTTTCAGGAGAGCTTTCGCAGCCTGTCAAGCTGACAATGTCTCCCGTTCAAAATGGTGACACCAACACCATTCAGTATCGTACAGCAACATCCTCTAAGGGGTTAAAGAGGAATGGGAAGCTATCTAGGAACGTTCTTTATCACTGAAATGGAGGTAGCTGATAGGGGTTTGCGGGTACATATGTTTTCCAGCGTTATTAAGCCACCAGCTTTTGTCAGTCAAGCTTATCAGGAGTAGAGCATATCACAGTAATCATATAAATTCTGGAAATGGGCACCTCAAATCGTTCTTGTCTATGGTAACTTTCATCGTATAGTCCATGTGAAGAGGGTCGTCGAGCGAAGACGTAACCAAGAAAGCATCACACACCGCAGCTAGTGATAACTCATCGAAATAGCCCCAGAATATCAAGTCTCTGCTCAAAAGATCAGAAGCAAGATGAATGGTAGTGCAACAGGAATAGCCAGACATGCCGCTGACTAGAAGGCCTCATTCCCTTCTTTGATATCGGACCTGAACCTGCAGGGCGAGAAAGCCAGGCCAGAACCAAGCCTCTTCCACAGTGCCACAGTAGTCTTCGACAAAGTTCCATCCTCGCCAAGCCTCAAGTTAAGCTCGCAAAGGCAGGCATCCGCAAAGACTCGGCCGTCTGACGTATCTTTCTTGGCCAGACCAGACTAGACAAGACCAAGTCCTCGACTCTGCAGCTTCCCGCCGGCCAACACTACGCCACGTGTTTCCGGACAGCAATTCACCCGTTCAGAAAACTCTTATCCAGGTTTTTGAAACAGAAAAACCCTCGTCGGGCACTCGCATCCAAGCACGACACAGCCGTCGTCGCTGGTCGTAGGCAGTCGAATCGGAGGATTTGATCCTGAGCCCTACATCCCCTGAAGCTGAAGGAAGCGGCCAGAGGCCTGGCCCGGCACTTTTGCTGTTAGTATCTCATTGGTGAGTGTGATATACCGGCGGCGGCCAAGTGAGGTGACTGAGATACGTGGTGTGGCACGTCAGGGCCTCATTCTCTTGACCAACATATGGCGTGCCACGGTACGTGGGATGGCGAACTTGGTCCTGGCAATTTCACATCAGCGTATTCGGGTTGAGTTTGCCATGGGCGAGCAAGTGGTGCTTCACTGCATGCTTGGAGTCGAGGCGGCAAAGTGCAGATGACTGAAGGCTGCTCTTGGTCTCCAAGCCCAACCAGCAGATAGTAACGGGCCATACCGCCAGCAGTCGAATCCTGAGCCGTAGGTCTCGCGACGAACGACAGCCAATGAAGCCAATATCGCAACGAGCCGGATCAATGGACATCCGTGACCTTGCTGAATGATCTTCGTTGCATTAGGATGCAGTAGGCAAAGTCTGGGGGGCCGCGTTGGGGGGACCTGAACTCATTTCAACGTCCTCGAGAATCGCAAAAGGGAAGGGGGTGTATCGAAGATAGAGAGACAGAGCAGGGTTGACGACGACCTGTCGTTTGAGTGTGGTCCCGGAATTGGTTCTTCGCGTAACGGCAGGGCGGTACTGCAACATCGACAACACCCCAGTTCACAGCAAGGTCCCCGCCAGACCGGAGAATTTGGGCCGCCCTTTGGTCTGGGATCTGGGACCGTCTCATTGGAAACCACAGATTGACGACCATGCTTCTGTCCCAAGTTGAAGGATTTCGCGGGACGCGTTTCGGTCTTACCCCAGGAACTTCACGAAATCTCGACAAGTGTTCGCCACACCAGCAAAGTCAAGTCAGGAATCCAGATCGCCATTTGAGGACGCGAGCTGATGTCGTTGCCAACTTTGGAGGGTTCGGCATGTACAGGCACAGCACAGCCACGACACATTAGTGAAAAGGAAACTGACAAGCAAGCATTTTTGACAGGCCAAAGTCTCCTCACTAATAATAAAGAAAGCCGGAGCAGGGATGTCATGCGCCATCTGGTGGCTTGTTTACCAGCGCCGCACGGAATGGACGATGTATCCGTACGGATACAACGGTTGTGCCATTCGCCGATCCACCTTGGAGATCTCCTTTCTCACATCTAGCCGGACTAGAGGTTCAGGCACCACTTGGTTGATGGTTCTACCGAGTCTTTAGGTTCTACATTGGATTTGTTTGCTGGCACTTGCGTAATTCGCTCCTAGTCCAGGCGAATTACAAGTGCGTCGACGCTCGAGGGAAGACAAAACGCCTAGAGCCCTCAGCGACCGGGTCACGACTGATATATTGGAGATGAGAAGCAAAGGTTGAACTAGAACCATCCGGCAAATGTGCCCTTTCCCCTAAGGTGCGAAAGCAGCTTGAATATTGCTTGCTGAGTAGCCCTCACTGCAAGCATATCAACCCATACGATGCAAGACTAAGGAGATAGGCAGACATAGGCGCTGCTGTGGGAAAGCTCAATGTTCCGTTCGGTGCGAGCGGTGGTCGATCAGTGTCCCGCCAATTTTATGACAAGGGTTATTAATTGAGGCGACAGGTAGCCAATAACACCGAGTCAACGCTCATCTCTGGCCTGTCTGACTCTAATCATCTAATGATCGATCCATAGACATTTCAGCTGAGCAGCACACTCGACTTGAGGCCGCGGTGAAGGTGGTTCCGCCCACGGTCCAGCATTGCATTGAGAAATTGCGTTGTGCGAAGGCCGCAACGCAGCCGCCAAGGAATACAGGCGCGTACTCGTATTGCCGAAATGCGTTAACGGCTGGCTGCAGACAAGATGCTGATTCTCAGCCTCAACCCCCTTTCGCGATGTCTTGCTTTTTCTTTGCCGTAGCCGCTCATGCGAACTGAGGAACGGCTCTGAGCATAAAAGGAATCGAACGACCGGCGTTGGCTGGGTTTGATAACGGCTTTCGGTTGCAATGAACGCGCGAGACCGTGTCTTGGCTAAGCAGCTCGTGGCGTTGTTCCCGAAGAAGCCGCCCGTTTCTGGGTCTTTGGGAGGAGCGTTAAGAGGACAGCTAATATAGACGAGGATCCATGATTGTGGCGCGGCCTGTCGCCCTAAGAGGTTACGTTCAGCGTCCGTGAGTAGCATTCGGTGCGTCATCCATCAACAAGGTCAACTTTTTAATAGAGATTGGTCAGGGGGCAAGGTAGCTCTCAGCAAAACGAGTTCGCGTGCCTTTGAGAGCGGGTTTCTCCCGGGAGAAGTGGGGGAAACAACGGTGTTCTGGGCTTTGAGATATGAGTCGGCCGCGCCGCGAGCTCAAGAGCATCGAGCAAAAGACGATTGGTCATTCAAAGATTTCGAGAGCGATTGAGAAGACAAGTCCAGTGCGGCGTTGGAAAAGTTTGCAAGGACCTGGACAGCTGAAGATTTGACATCCCGAGAGAAAAGTTGGCCCCTGAGTCTTCCCGTCGCGGAGCTCACCAACGACTAGCATGGGCTAGCGTCCTGTCTGTCTCTCCAAAAATCGAGCCGCTCGAGTCAAGAAGAAGAGGGAGGTGGCACAGACGATGATTTGACGGGTGCCAATATGACGAATTGCTGATGACAAGACCAGTGCAGCTGAAGGATTGCTGCTAAGAGCCTGGGACCACGACCACGGAGGGCTTTCCCTAGCCTAGCCAGGTGCCAGTGGAGGACAGGCCAGGATGGCGAGTCTCGGGGGGCCATATCAAGCTGTGTCTAACTTTGGTGCTAAGGTAACTCGGCTGCAGGGATGTGCGGCACACCTTTTCAAGCACCGCACCACAACTTGGCATCTTGGATGGTCTCTTGCTAATTTCCCTTCCAAGGTTGAGATGCAGCAACACACATGGCCGGGAAAACAACCGAATCCTGATGTTGCCTTGGGGCTGCAGAATGCCTGCACGTCAGCCTGCTCTCCTATCCGAGGCGTCTTTGGGCCTTTGGTCGCGAAGTATCCGTACGGAGTAGCTTGTTGCGATTGTCATCCATTGATGCCCCCTGGTAAATGAAATCGGCCAAAGTTCATCTTCGCAAGTCCGTCAGGCCTAGGAACCTGTCGGGAGCGCATGCAGGGGAGCTTGAAAAGACATTTGATTTGCAATCCCGCGGCCGGGCTCGCCAGGCACGCCGACAGCCAGGGGTATAATTGACAAATGGGGCAGCCTGATTCATCTTTTGCCGGGGCTCCGGATCGCATTTCTTTGGTATCTTCTTTGCTCTTGCCGACAACCTGTATTCGTACAAGGTGGTGCGGTTGCCATCCGAAAGACGCGGCGAGCAGCCATAGACACGCGTATATTGATATTCGTGATACGCCTCATCCTTGCTTGGCGACTTCTGCTGTGCCTCCGTTCTGCGACCGTATTTTGCTGATGTGCGGTCGAGAGGCCCGAAGACACATAGATAACAGTGGGGGGGGGGGCCATGGTATATTATTGTTGCTGCATTGTAACATGGCCCGTATCAAGGCAGAGCAACAAGGGGATGCATGGTACCTTGTGCGACCTCTGTTGCGCCCTGATAGTATAACCGGGTCTTGGCGACATCGACATGAGAAAGGCGCATGCGGAGCCTACAGAGACAAGTTGCGGTGGTTGGCGTTGAGGCTGGTGATGTAGTTTGTGCTCATCATATTCGGAATAAACAGCGGTTGTGGGAATGTGGAAGGGCCCAGGGGGATTGTTGATGGAGTTCTTTTTTCTCTTGGGGTGCGACGTACCTATTTGAGGCGCCACTTTTGACTTGCAAGGAGTGGAGCGGAGTCTAAGTGCAATGGTCCATGGATGGGCATTGCAATTGGGATGGAACGATGGGCGATCGAAGATCCAACAATGCTGGTGCAGCCGAATTCTGATTCTGGGCCTGAGCAGCAGCAGCAGGATGCAAATCTGTTAAGCGAATCTTCGCCAGCCTAAAAGGCTGCTTTGTAATTTGTTTGCGCGAAACGCATAGCCAGTGCGGCGCAAGATAAAGCTGGGGTGAAGCGACAGCAACTTGTAACCTGCTGATTCTTCAATGTCCCTTTCCGTCCTCCTGTCGGATGGCTGAGCACCTCAGCAGGCGGAGGCAAGCGGATCCAAATTCTTCATCCATAACTTCGGGCCTGGTATCCGAGCAACGGCATGACCTCCGGATGTTTTAGGTGGACGTTGATGGCATATGGAATGTCAGTTGACAACAACAGCTGGCGTCGATTGCTGATACGTCGTCAATAAGTCGTCATGTGCTCGACAATAGTGCTGGAGTGTCTTACGGATACTCTGGGATGCATCTTCATCTCGTCTGTATTCCAGGTGTCGTGGTGTTGTGTAACTTTGGTCTATCAACGGGGATGAATGCCGTCGAAGGTCTTCGGCCGTGTTTCCAGTACCTGTGATATCCACCTTTATTGTGCATCCCGTTGGCAGTCTTGGCAGCCAAGTGGGACCGTGCAAGGAATGGGACGCCAGCAACAGGCACCGCCAGGCGGGATGGGGAATTGGAGTCTTTGGAGATGGGGATTTCGCTCCACCAGTCCATGCCGGTAGGGTCGCAAGCAGGCGGGCATCTGTGGTCCCTCCAGGCTGGCTTCGGCCGTCGTCTCATGCAAAAGAGGGAAAACCATGGCAGAGGCGATAGAAAATAGTGGGACAGGTCGTGCTTGCGGCTTGCCAGCTTGGTTAGACAGGCGCTCCCGTCGATAGATCATGGCAGCACGTCCGAAGGTCCGGCCGATGTGCAGAAAGGAGTGGTTGAAGAGAAAATACCTGTTTCGTGCTTGACCCAATTGAGCCATGATGTGGACGGATCGAATGCCATAGGTAATTAGCGAGCAAGATACGTATCGGCAGTCTCTGCTATTCCCGCTGAATCAGATGTGTTGACACTTGATATTGCTGAGGTGTCGTCGTGAGGAATCCGAGCTGGCTGGCCATAGACTGGCATGTGGATGACCGATGATGAGCTGGGGGTGGGTAACTAGTACAGAGTACTCCGCACTGGGACTGTGACTTTGTAAATGTTGGAACAGTGGATGCTGGACCGTCCCCAAGATGTCGGACGGACCGTGGACGTTGGATGGCACCGTTTTTGATGCAGTACAGCGCCGCAGCGCTACATAGGAGATGAGATGATGACGGGAAAGGGTATTATGGAGATTCGCCGGTCCGTTTTTAATGTCCTCGAGTAAGGTGCTTCAGCCTATGAAGTATCTAGGTACTGTCCCCAAGACTGGGACACCGGTCGCAACTGCCTCCCCGATAGTTAGAGAGAACTTGGGAAGGAGATACGAAACATGACGATTAATTGGCAACGTCTTGTCGTGGTTCGGACGGAAAGAGCCCCCCATCATGTTCGTTGAACTTCTGACTTGCTTCAGCCTTCCTCATCTATGAAACCTTGGGGTGCGACTGGCCAAGCAGTCGCCTTCCCAGTTCATCCGTTCTCTCAGACACCTCAGGTTGATTGAGGAGTGGATTCGCCTTCTGGAAGGAACAACCTGAGCAAGTGCCTTCACGTATTCGTACATACCTCTCCCAAGGCGTAAGTATTCCATTTGAGACCCGACTTCCAATGCCTCCCATGGTAAAAACACCCTCCCAAGCATGGAAAATCTGGACAAGCTCAACCATCGCCTCGATATTCCTGTCTCCTTGATCCAATCTGTTCTGACAAGATGCCGCTGCCTGATTACCCGGTCCACATCAGGTACGCGAAATTTCTCTTGCCAAGCAAACTCAATTCAAAGAAAACCAAAAGGGGTGGCCCGAGACATCGTTCTTCCGTCTGTAAAACTGACAAAGTTATAGGCATTCAGGATTGGTCTCTGGCTTAACCGCCTTTGGTGCTGTTTTTCCCGATGCATCGGTTTCCCACGGAGTCCCGGATCCCGCCGGGTCCGCCAGGCCTTCTCAACGGTCCCGTCCCGCCTGCCGATTGACGTGGGAAGTATCTGCATCGTCAAGCAATCCTGCACGCCGCCGACGGGTACGCGCCTGAGACTTTGAGGTTGGCTACCAAGCTGCCTTCTACAGACACGCTACCTGTCCCGTCAAACGCATCGACCTTTGATCTCTCTAACGATCCATACTGCGTAGACCCAACTTGTCTGACGGTCTGCCTGTCAATCTATCTGCCATCTATCTGCTTGCTTCCGGAGATCAACAGTTTGCCAAGTCCGTACCGTACTGCGCAGACCCTCGCCCTCGCCCTCCCCACCTCAAAGAATCCAACCAGAAGGTTGCGGGCTCGTGGTTCCACGCTAAAGAGGACACAGCCACAGGGGAAGCACGATTTTGACGTGTTCCCGTGTCCTGAGAGTGCGTTGACTGCGTCGTATACCTTTGTTCTGCCCCACCTTAGAATACCAGAATACGGCCCCTCTGCCCAACCCCTGAGCAGTGAGCACGCCAGTGGCCGCGACACGAACATTGAGGCATGAGGTGGTGTCGTCGCATTGGCAGTCGCTGTTGACAGCTATTGGTCGTGCCTCAACACGCAAGTCTGCGGGTTCCGTCGATTGTTTTTCCTCTTTTCTTTTTGGCCAAAGAACGCACCGATTGCTGGCCTTGCCGGGGACAGACAGACTACTGCGTACAGTACCTCAGATCTGCGGGAATCAAGCCATGCTACGAATATGGCGGGTGGATGACATCCCCTTCTCAACTTTGTAAGACATGCGGCGAACCCCGTCACTGCAAAGGTTGGCCGTTGCCTTGTTCTGGCTCGGACTTCCGGCGCGCAAGCAACTTGCAAGATAGTCAGAAGAGTTACCGAAGCCATGCCACGACATGCACGACAACACACACATCAGCGACAGAGGATGGGGGACCGGCGGGATAGTGATCAACATCTGCCAGGCGTGCCCTATCATCAACGCTCGGGCACCGAGCTAACATCCTGGTGACGAGCAGAGGTGGGATTTTGACCGTCTCTTTGCTTACAGGTCTCCGGCGTCTGTTCCCTCACCTGCAAACGAAATGGGATGGGGAAGGGGATTGCCTTATTGCATTTTCTTACTGACTTAGCTGCAGCAGTCTGAGGGCTGCCGTTGTCTGCCGTACCCTTACCAAGCTGGAGCATAGGGATACCGCAGCGTTGTGCTTGGACATTTCTTTTCTTTCTTCATGGGCATCCCAACTTCCGACTCGCCCGCCCTGTTTGCCCGGCTCTTGCGCTGCAAGGCCTTGCTTCTGCATTGCATCACAGCAAATGGAACCTCGCAACTAAATATGCGCTGTGGCCCTGTAGTGCTGCGTCGCTCTGTCACTCTAACTTGGCTCGTCAGATTCGCCCCTTGTAGCCTGCCCTGCCAGGCTCGACAGCAGCGACTTCGGAAGTACGGATGCATGCCATCTTTTTCGTATCCAACCCGTCCTCAGGTGCTGGCTGCCCACAAACTGCCTGCTTCAACCTCTGTTGCTTCAAACGAGCCATTGGGTCCCAATTGCCGGTCCTGCGTTCTCTCGGGCACACATCGTCTTCAATCCTCTTTCCTTCTCCCTCGGGCCTCACTTGATGATCCAGTTGGTAACATTCGGGCCGTCGGGTTTAGACGGGGGTTGAATCATTCCTTATCGCCCGGTGCAAATTTCATAAGCCCTTTATTTTCTTGTTGCTTACTTGTATGATCCAATCTAGCCTAGTCTGACCACAGGAGTGACCAAACAGGGGGGACATGTCCGATCCAGTCAACAACTCACCACCATGTAGACCCCCAAGCCAGTAGTGGAAGATCCCGCGCGCGCTCGCCGGCGGTGTCGTTACTCGAGTACCTATCCGTACGTAGACCGCCAAGGAGGGATAGCGCGATGAGATGCTCCTTGGAAGGTCGCTACAATGTGTAGATGTATGGGACTACTCCGTATAGGTTCCTTCAATACCTTTAAAACCCCCCAAGCCGGACCAAGTACTTGTCATGCAAATACTGCTATTAGGACACTCTGTGATCGGAGATTTTGGTACAGGGAAGGGGCCTTTCTGCGAATGCAGCAAGGAGGTACTCGGTAGACTGTATCCGTAGCACATCTCAACTGTTGGCTAACATACCCATGGGGGCACAAAATGCCTCCCGAGTTCCCGGGGAGGAGAAAAGAACAAAACGGAGCCAGTGTCTGTACTATCTGCCCGGGTCGGTACGTATCTGACTAGTGTTGGATGGGTACCAACGTTTGGTGGGATGCAGTACGTAGTACTCCGTACAGATAGGAGGAGAGGTGAGGCATCTCCCCAAAGTACCTACATCTCTATTGGTCCTACGGCAAGAAGGTAAAGACGTTGGCGAGGGAAAATCAAACACGCGGGAAACCATCGGCAATTCTTTCTCTTTCGTTTCTCCCTCGACTTTCCTCCGAGGTATGCATTTGTCGATAGACGCGCAGCGCAGCCTAGAAACGAGGTGCAGGAAACTTACGGTTAGGCCTGTGGCAATGGTGACAGGACTTGGAGGCAGACAGACTGCCTGTCAGTTGGCAGCAGATAGGACAGACAGGCACGGAGATTTGAGAGAGATTGAGAAGGCCTGCCATACTGCCCCAATTCAATATGTACCAGGTCCCGGTCAGTTTAGTTTGGTTAAGTCCAGTCCAGTCCATCCCAATTGCAACCCACTTTCGATCCGATTGCCATCCCATCCCATTCCATCCGTTCTCCCCGTCCCCATTTTCTCCCATCCGTCCACGTTTAGAACGGTGAACTGGTGCCTGACTGACTGGGAAGGGAGTCTGTCTGTGAGGAACTAAAGCCACCCAACCCGGCCTGTCCCATCTCTCTTTCCAATCCTCCCTGAGACAGACGCCCAGAAATGTCAACATTTGTCTCCATCTCGTTCTCTTTTTACTTGAGGGTTGTTTTTCGCGGTCTAATTCAGCCTGATTCTCTCTCCTTCTTTCTGCTAAGATACTTTAAGTGCCTGGCTGTGTGTCTGGTTCTGTCTCAGTGAATTTGTTTACGTATACCGAATTGGACGCCAGTCAATTGGAAGTACTTTGGTAGTTTGTCAAGCATCTGTGCCTAAGGTACCTACCGCAAGAGACAATCCTCTCATCGCCGGCGCCTACATTCACGGTCCACGCCCGTCCTCCCTGAACCCCCCTGTCCCTCCCGTCCTTCTCCTGCCTTCCGCAGACGCCGCCCACCTCATCCTCCATCTCCCCCAAATTCACCCACGTACGTCGTACGCACTACTTCGTACCCACGGCACGGCCACACTGGAGACTCTTTTTTTTTTTTTTTTTTTTTTTTTTTTTTTTTTTTTTTTTCTTTCTTTCTTCCTCTGCTGCTCCTGCTCCTGCTTGCTGGCACCGCGTGGCTCTCTCCTCATCCCATCATCCCAACTCTGTCACCGCACCTCCCTACGACCCTCCCCTACCTCTCTGTTACCCGGTCGTGACTTCCTTCGCTGGCATCCGCAGAGTTGTCTTTGCCCGAAACACACCACGCTTCTTACGCACCTCCCGCACAGCCCGAGGTACCCCCTTGGTACCTGCCTCTCCTACTTTACTTTTAGACGCCTCCTCCAGCCATTGCCGCTCTCCACCACCTTTGGCTCACTCACCCTCCTTCTATCATCCCGTCCCATTCTCTAACCACTCTGCCCTCTCTACCTTACCTCTTCCCTCCATATCCTCCTCGTTGTTTATTCGCACCGAGCGAGACTGTGTTTATCCTACGAAAAGAACGACAGACAGCTCAATCCTAACCCGTCTCCTTTTCCTTCTTGTAATCCTAAATCTCGTCACCTCCTTTTGACGATCACGCACCCCCGTTCGCTGTCCTCCCCAAGACCGGCCAGTCTTCGAAACACGACACCACCTCGGGGCAGCCAATCCATTCGTTACATAGACAGAAAGTTGCTTGCACATTCACACTCCCACACATTCACCTTGCCGCAAGCTGTCGACAAGTACCAATTCGACCTCGCATCATCCACCCTCTTGACTGTGCTCCAAGCCAGCTGCTATCGTTGTTGTTGTTGCATCGTCTCGCCGTTTCCAAGGGCCCATTCAGTTAGCCCACTTCAGCTTGACCAGCCGCCCCCGACTTCGACTAGCCACTACAGGCGACACGTTCGTTAATTCTGCTGAATCGAGAGAAGCCTTGGTTTTCGATCCTGCGCCACCAGACTACCAGAACCAAGAGACACTGACGACCCGTCGCCGAATCGCTTCATTTTCTCGTCGCCCCAAATCCACGCCCCGATACGCTTGCCAGCGTCGAATGGGTCTGACGCCCGACGCACCCACAGACGCGCCCACCTGCCGACCTGCTGTCGCCTACGCCTAGTAGGGGGATTTGGAACACAGGAAGCCGGAAAGGAATAATCAACCACTTGTGCGTGTGCGATACACAGGTCGCTACACCTAATTCAACTTCAATCGACGATTGAACGAAGCCACACGCTGGTTGCTGTTCCATTCGCCGTCGTTGTACAAGGCCCCAGAAGCTGTCTGCGTTGTCGCGAAAAAGAGGTGTACAGAGGGTACAGCAGGCGACCACTTGGCCCAGCCCACCAGCTAATCCACAATTGGGCCCATCATGGCACCCATGACGCCCCGGCTCAAGATCCTCTCAGGTGCGTCCCATTTCTTTCCTGGCTTCCAGTCTTCCCGCCCGCTCGCTCCAGTAATTGCTTCTTCTTGCATCAGTGCGACGGTGTGGATCGGAATTTTGTGTCCCTTTATCTCTATCCGTCAGCCCGGCTTTTCTCCTCCCCCATTACACCTTTCCCATCGCAGACCACACTCGTTTTTCTTCCCCTCTCTTTTTTTCCCTTCGTAATATACACAGTACTCGTCAATACAGGGACCGGTGCTCTTGCATCGTGTCGAGTGCAATTCAGCATGGCCGACGACAGCGAGCTAATGAAGACTTGTGTAGTGGGAGGGAATCCAGTTTCTGCCTTTCTGTCATGGAGATTACAAGCGACAAATGCTTGCGACGTTACACTGGTGTGGAAGTCGGGATTCGATCACGTTGCGCAATACGGAATTTCCTTCAAGTACGTCGCCTGTTCTCTCCTGCGACCTGCGGGCGCGCGTCTAATCAAGCATTGGCAGGTCTCCCATATTTGGCAACGAAAGATTTAAGCCGCGACATGGTAAGCTCCCAATCGACAGTGGTCGAGAACGATATAAGGTTGCTGACAGTCTGAACCCATAGTCGTACGCGTTCCCGAAGAAGCCGCACACGGCGGTGGCCCATTCGACTATGTAATCCTTTGCATCAAGGCTCTGCCCGACGTTTACGACCTTGCCGCCGTCATTGACGCCGTCGTCACCCCTCAGCACACGTGCATTCTCGTCAACACGACGCACACTCTCGGTGTTGAGGCCGCTATTGAGGAGCGATTCCCTACCAACGTTGTGCTTTCGCTGGTTTCCAATGCTGAACTCTCCCAACTCGGCCAAAGCGAGTTCGAACACAAGGGATCAACAGAAATCTGGGTTGGACCGTCTTGCAAAAATGAAAACATTCCCGGCGCGATCCAGGGGGATATGGCCGAGGCATTGGCAATGACGTTGAACACGGCTCAGGTTGACTGCAAAGTTTCCCAAAACATCCGTCAGCAGCAATATGAGCGGGTCATTGGGTAAGTCCTAGTATGGATGGATCTTGTTCGGCAGACTTGCTAACTTGTCGACAGACCTATTGCTTTCCATCCCGCCAGCGTCATCTTTGAGACAGCGAGCCACGCTCAACTGCTTGAGAAAATTGGTGTGAAGGATATGGTAACTGGCGTAATTGACGAGTTGCTTGCCTTGGCAGACGCACACGGCTGCAAGTTGTCTCCCGACTTCAAACAAAAGACCATTGACGAAATGACGAAACCCACGAACCCCGAGAGCATCATGTGGCAGGACTACATCGCCAAGCGACCGATGGAAGTCGAGACGTATTTGGGCTCACCGATAAAATTGGCCAAAGAGGCCCGCGTCCCTGTCCCTCGCATCGAATCGCTTTACGCTATTCTGCATAACCTTAATATTGTCAACCGCCAGAAACCGCCCAAGCCTATCGATGTAACAATGGCACCTCCCGGCTCGCCCACATCTCAGTCACCCCTCCCAAGGATGTCCTCGTCAAACGGTGCCCGACCCATGATGAATGGCAATGGCATGCCACCGAACCGAGGACCTCGCCCGCGCAACTCATCAAATTTGGGCCCAGGACCACCACCCGGTATGCGCCGACCTCCCATGAATGGCGGCCCTCCCAACGGCTTCCCTCGTGGCCCCCCTCCTCCGGGATCTAGAGCTGCTTCGAGACGAGGGTCTATGGAAGGGAACGACTTGGAGGAGTTCTCACATCTCATGATGTATGATGATATTCCGGAAGGTGGAGAACCTGGCTACAGTCATGGCCCTGAGGGCTCCGAATTGGCGATCCGCGAGCGTGAAATGGAATTGCGTCAGAGAGAGCTGGCACTGAGAGAGCGCGAGATGCGAATGAGATCGAGAGGTCCTCCCCCAAGGCGAGGCCCTCACCCGATGCGCAACAGCGCTCAGGTTTTCGACGAGGAGGATGATGACGACGACTACTTCGACCCCAACTCTGGACCGCCAGCCCCGATGATTGACCCAGACAACTTCGACATGATGAGCGTTACGTCACGGAAGAACCGGAAGGCCGCAGCCGCAGCACCGCCCAGCCGTGCTCAGTACCACAAGAACGAGATTTACGATGCTGGAGGGGCACCGCCTGCCAGATCCTCCCGATTCCGCCCCAACTTTGGACGCAATCGTTCGAGCCAGATTGCTAGTATCCCTGCTGCGAATGAGAACATCCTGGACGATCCCCTCTTCTCCTACTCATCGAATCGATACGGTGCCGTTGACAGAGGTACGATGCAGGCAGGCTCGAGAGCCAACTCGCTGACGGCCTCACGTCTGGACGAGATGCAAATGGGCGGAGGCCCCATGGCCATGGGCATGAACGGAGCCTTTCCGCGACGAGCTAGCCAGTCTCCCGGAAACCCCTACAGTCCCTCGATCCGAGGTGGCAGCGGCCGACCGTCGCCGCCTAACGGATACCACGGCCCTCCGATGAACGGTCGTCCCTCTCCTCCCGACGGCATGCGTCAGCCCGTGCCCCGATACCCTCCCGGCCATGGTAACGCAGTCGCGCCCCAGCAGGTTGAGCAACATATCGGGGTGAGCGGTCTTGTCCCTCCACCTAAGCAGAAGAATATGAGAAGTCTGACTGGTAGTGCGAGCGCCAGCGCGGGCAGTGGTGAATCACAGAATGACACCGAGCCTTCGGCCCACAGCAGCCAAAGTAGTCTCGGACCGAGACCGGCCATAGGAGTTCGTTAAATTTCGCTCACGAGGCTGCTTTAATTGCGCTATTGCATTGACGACGGCACGGCCGGCGACACGGAACGACATCGACTTGCCTTGGCCCAATTGCGATCCGAAACGAACTCTACGACTACGTCCTCCGTCTTTCTACATACTCATAGACCCAGGCTTGCTCGTGCATCCCGTTGGTCTCAAGAGGCCACTCCTCGGGAGTTCCTCACATATCGATGCGCAGCAACACGATGACGACACGAAACGATTAGACAGGAATCGGTCTATCATTCGCGGCACAACACATAGTTAATTCGACGACTTTTTCTTTTTTCTCAATCGGACGCAAGTCCAGTACATACGGCATTGTGACGATGGGGGCAAATTCTCTTCGACTTCTGGTAATAGCAGCAGCATTGGCGTGGACAACATCTATGTTCTCGTTCGACAATGGGAAACCAGCGTTGGGGGTTGGATAGCAGACGACGTACCGGCAACCCGATGGCTTCGGACTCGTCACTCGCACCGAGGCCTGGATCAGAGACAAAGGGGGAACGTGAGATCTGACCATCCTTGAGCCATCTTGGGCGCAGCGAGAAGTTGGATGTGTATAAAACGGAACGCCCCTCCTCCGGGCAGTTTCCTTTTCTTTTGTGTCTGTCCTTAACGAAAAAAACATTTCTTTTGAAGCCAAGGCACAGCCACGGCTAGGAACGTCGAGGGGATTACAAGTTACGAGCATAGACAGGGGGGAGCCGGAGGAGGCTTTGATCCGGCAATACAAAGATGGGCAATATTATTGCATGGTAGCAAACAACGATTGGGGGACATGCTCAGACCGAAGCCTCTCTTCATAAGGGATTTTGGCTTTCCATAATTTTTAGTTCCCCGACGATGAGAGAAGGGCGATGAGGGGCGCAACCCATGGGGATGAGGAGGAAAGGGGTGTATGGATGTAAAAGTTTTAAGGGGCAGGCAAGTAGGCAGCCCCTTTAGGGAAGATCAATTGAATGCAATGGAAGCCAGAAAGGTGCGATACTTGGTACCGTGAAAACAAACGTGGTGTCTAGCAAGCTTTTCCACCATGAGTGTGTGCACTACACTTTGGCTCCTATTTGAGGTAGGTACGTCGCCAGACGAGGTAAGGTAAGCAAGAGGTGAAGGGTTTCTTCACAATTGCAGATCTACGGATACGCCCAGGAGTCCGTCGCCCAGGAGTCCGTCGCCCAGGAGTCCGTCGCCCAGGCCGAGGCTTGTGGCGGGCTTGGGCTTGGGGTCAGGCGCGACTGATGAGACGCTGGCATGTTGGTGATTCAGAACTAAGGTGAGGTAAGACGTCGTCGCTGACCTGAGGGGGGGAAGGGGGGTAAGGGGGTAAAAACGCGCCAGGCAAAGCCACCACCGATCAAATCTGACACGCCCGCGTCCCCGAAGCCGAAGCAAAGAAAGGAGGAGAAGAACGGACGCTTGAGGAAGAGAGACTGCGCGGTTGACACGTGACTTGAGTGTTCTGGGATCCACGCGACATGATCTGATGATATGATGTGATGCATGTAGTTTGCCCCATGATATGATGTGATATTCCTTTGCATAGTAGGTTACGGTAGGCAGGCAGGGTCCTCACCGCTCACCGAGGGAGCGATGGTTGAATGTTCGGTATGGAGGGCGTTTCTTTCCCGGGAGGGGCTTTTGCTGTTCTTCCCTTTGAGGGATGTTAGCCGTGCCGGGGATCCGGGAAAGTTTAGGCCTGCCCTGGGCGGACATGCATGGAAGCGAACAGCCACCCCGAGACTCTTTTTTTTATGTGTACTTACCTTCCTTGAGATGTTGGTTGCCCTTGCAGCAAGCGTCAGGTGTCGTGGGCGTGGGTGACGGGAGGTGGTGGGTGAGGTGCCAGATTTGACCTGCCTTATCTTATCGGGCACCGCGGGAGGAGGCAGTCGCGCAAGGCCGTGCACGGATCACATCTCGTATGGCACCTGGCACCTGCCTCCAAGAACTCAATGACGCATCCGCGAATTAAAACTCGATGTTTTGTTTACTTTCTGCGGGGGTAAATTCAAGCCCCCACTTCCGTCGTCCGACGACATCCCAAACAATTTCAAGCATTTGGATATGAGAGGCATGAATTAACGGCCGTCTGTTAAGATATCCTGCCCCCCACCACCACCAACTTTCCCGCCCGCAGAAAAGAAAAGGTGTTTGGACGAAAGAGTGAGAGAAGGGAGGAACAGCAGAAGAAAAAAAATAAGCAGCAAGGTTGCATGAACCGCCTGAAGAGTTGTTGATTACTACTCTTCTTTTTTTTTATTTTGGTCTTGGCGGCTACCCACTTTTATCTGAAGTACTTTACCTGCCGACGGACTTTTCCTGAGTTGGTGTTGAGGCTCTGCTGATTGTTGTTTCGGATTTTTGACGACAAGCGATACGAGGTAAGTGTGGTTTTTGTGGTTGCTTTTCGTTGTGAGGAAGGCGGCGCTAGATGAGAATCGACCGCGAGCTTGAGTACGAGTTATGTTTTCAGCGAGATGAGGATGATCGGGGGGTTTTGTGGCGTGCTTTTTTTTTTTTCATTCTCAAGATTGTTAGCTAATTTAGACGTGTTAGCACCGACTTAAAAGTGTTCACTGTCGGCACTTTGCTGTACTCTCGAGGGTGTCTCTTGTCAGTCCACAATAATAGCTACGAGCCCGAAAAGATGGCGTCGAGGAATATCAGCATGGGTCAGACGACGAGGCCGTCCATGTCGTCTAGCTCTGGCAACGCGATGAAGACGCGGCAGTTGGTGAGTTTCTCTTTACCTTGTGTTTGTCACTGCCTCTCAGAGATGGGACGGCATGGAAGGCAGAGGAGGGGCTCGAGGAGGGCGATGAGAGGCTCAGCGGAGGGGAGATTGGCTCTGAGATGGACCTCGTTTATGCTGACTGGGGCTGGTATCGCAGACACATCTTCATTCTCAGCTGGCGCAACTTTCTGCCAACCTCTCTGATACGGAGAACCTGGTTCGTATGACGAGCGTCCAGGCTGAGAGTATGCGCGGGTTGGGGGCGTGGCATGGTGGCATGTGAGTTGTCCTTCCCTACTTCCTCTTCGTCTGCCTTCCTCTCAGTTTTATATGCGGTCTTTGCCATGTCTTCCTGATGCTCGGCCCGAGCGGCCCGCGACTTGGATTTCGGGTGTGGGTGCTCGACAAATGATTATGTTCCGATTGCTGACGAGATGCGATGGTAGGTTCATGGCTGCGAGTAAGGTGCTCGGGGAAGAGGCCATCAACCGCGATGCAGCGGCACAGGCGAAGGGTGGCCAGAGATGATTGATGTCCTCGGGGACTTGAGGAGAGAAACATGAACCGAAGCTGAGAGGTTGTGGCTCAACGCCGCTAGCCTGTCAAAGGCTTTCTCATGCGTCGTTGCCGGAATGGGAAGACGCTATTTGGCTGGGTTACTTACTTGACGATCAATGAATTTTGAGCATGACACAGTATGTGCCCACTTCATGCAGGACGTGCGATGTTCCACATTGATGTTATTGGGTACACGACGACGTCTCATTCTCATTTTTTTACGCTCGGTGCTTGCGGAACATGGACTACCAGCCAGGAATGCTTCGAAGTTCAGCCCTTGCCAGGAAGTCTCTATCGAGTTACCTGAGAGGATGCTTGTGAGAAAAGGAGGAGATACCGGGATGTTCCTCCGTGAGCATGGCTTGGGTGGTCGGTGCCGGGCTTCGGTTTGGTCGAGAAGATTCCGGGTGTCATTGCCTGCGATATGTTGCTTGCAGGATATCGCGGTACATCGATCGTAATCATTTTAAGGACCGGCCAAGCAATTGAGTACTCCCTACAAGGTCTGAGCTACGATGCTGCCACGAAATCATCGAGGCTTGCGAGCATAGCGGGGAGCATCATCAGCGAAGAGAGTAGGTCCGCCCGCCATGAGGACTCCCGATGTCTCAACATGAGTCGAAGCCTTGCTTCTTGCAGAAGACACGGGTGGTGTTTTTGGAAAATTTTCGGTGCTATGAAATGCTAGCGAGCGAGGAAGGCTTCGCTGGACCTCTATACTCTTGCCGTATGCAACAATGACATAGGCGGCCTGCAGCCCTGGCTTCGGGTGGCAATTCACCGCCGAGTACTTACGTGCTTGGTATGGCAGTATATACGTTGGTACTTTCTCAAAGGTATATAAGACAAGTACGTCGCCATCTGAGTGCAAGTTACCAGGGCCAACGTAGTTTCTTCTGGACGTTCTTGCGGCGGGAATCGTGGGTCTCCGGGTCGATGTCACTTCGAGGCGACCGGGAGACTCCGGGTCAGGTAGTGAGTTTATAAGAAATCGCGACACACCATATAATTTAATCAATATTAGTAGGCTCTCCTTAGCATCTCATGTGTATTCGAGCATGTATCAACTGCGAGTTGTGACACCCAGTGGTGCCATACAGAGTGTAGAGCGTGACAACAAGCTACCTATGGAGAAAGAGCCGGGCCTGGCTTCAGCCGGCATCGAGAACATACAACCGAACGAGGTGAGATCTTTAGGTTATCCATTGGGAAAGGTCTGTAATAGGCAGGCATGTGTGACCTTTCGGTCTCCTTTCTCCCTAATGATACTTTTGCTTGTTTTATGAGGACATTGTCGTCATGACATAAAACAGGTCGCCTACCTCTACGCCGCTCGCCCATACGCCCAGCCGCAATCTGACTGAGTACTCCAAGCCATACCATTGATCCCATTAAATCAGGCGCAAGAATGACAGCGTGTGCGCGACTGGGTTGATAGACGGCGGCGACCTTGCGCAATAGTCGAGATTAGACCTATTCATTCTATGCATGTATAGAAGCATGTACTAGACCGTGAGCAAAGACGCGTGAGTTAAATTGAAGTTCTTGATGTCATTTCCTTCACTATCATTGAGCTTTTTCGTGGAGGATCGTAGGTTGTAGACCTCAGTGGCATCTTTGGTAGAAGATGTTGCCAAGAGAATTCGCTTCCTTGCGTGTTGACAGCCTTTTCAATTCTTTTGCGAGGCGAGAATGAATCTGCGCATCGAGTGTTAACTATAATTCCCGCTACCGCGGCAAGGCCAGCCTACCAATCAAGCCCACTTGACGTTAGCTTTTCCTCACTAGATGTATAAGTTCCTCTGTCTGCTTCCATGCCGTCCCGCGAGCCAGGTACCTGGAAATCAGGCTCTTAAACGATGGTAGATGGGCGGCACACTGCCAAAGAACGCTATTCCTCGAGAGCTCCAGCGTTCCGCCAGGTTTTCAAAGTGCCGGTTATTTCATTGATCGTTTGCCGTAGCTCGATTCTGTTCTTTATGGGATGAACGCAGCCTTCATGCCACCGCGCTCCTCTCCTCGCCTAGAAGCAACGTGCTAAGGCCAACTATAGACGTTTGTATGGAGGCTTCTTAGTGTAGGATCTATGGTGTACAGGTTCTATCGCGGCTTGTGACTTTCGAGCCAACTGACAGATCTGAGAACAATCAAGACACCCATGATTGTTCTGGGAGGTATGCTATGGATCGCAGCAGCTTACATCAGAGGCTAGCTCCTGTCTATGCGAGTCGGGAGAGGGGGAGGCGAGGGTAGAGGTGGTGCGAGCTAATCTAATAGTCAGTCGGAAAATAAGTATGTATACCTATAGAAAGAAGGTTACCTTCTTGGCTTTGTGACAGGGCTCGCTGGTTCCTCTTTGGGGACTCCATACATTGTTACCTTATTTATACCAAGATAGTTCAGGTACGTTCGCTCTCGCAAGTTTGTAGTGTTAGCAAGGTAGGTAACATGGAACAGTCTCAATAAGGACGAAGGTAAAGAAGACATGGACAATAGTCCCTAGCTCATAATATCGTCCCATACATAGTCCACAAAGGATACGTTAAAGGGCTAGTAAGGAGGCAGGTGAGCACAGCCTTGTATGAGTATGGTGATGTGAGGCGTGAAGCGGTAACAACCCGAAGCACTCGTTTACAACCTGCCGCCGGCCGACCTCAAATTCCCGTTCAACTGGGTCTTGAGGTAAGTCTCTTAGCAAGCCTTAAGAAACGTTACGTTTATACTTGGTGTGTTTATACTTGGCTAAGTAGATGGAAAAGCTGTTTGCATTTTCGTCGTTTTTGAGTGACTTAAGTGAGAGCGAGGATATATTGTCTACTATCTCATCGAGCCAAATATCGTAGCTCAAGGCTCACCATGAGAGATACAATGCGCTTTGATCTTATTCTACCGACTGGAGTACAGGCAAGCAAGGATTTCTCCGTTGGCGACAACCGCTGATTGATCCCAGATCTCACCAATGCCATTGTATTTGTGAGCAACAAAACCATTGAAGAGTTAGTAAGTACGCGGGCGAGCATGACCAATAAGGATTCTAAATAATCTGACGACGAGAAGTTTGACGTGGTGTCTATATAATACCCAAAAGATGCTACCGTAACCTAATCATTACACCAATACCCTCAATATCCAGCTCAGCAAACCCACGGTTGTACAGTAGGCCAGAAGATGAAGTAAATCAAAGCCAAGACAAACCCAAAAGATAAGACAGCAACCTCCTCGGAGCCAAAGTGGAATCCGTATCGCACGTTATCCAGCTTCATATTTCCTGGCGACTGGCTCTGCGGCTTCAAAATACCGTCGAAGCCCCTAGCCCAGGGTACCTCCAGGCCGCGGTCATCGAGGATCTGCTCCGCCGTGATCTTGGCGCCAGCCATAACGATTGGCACGCCAGTACCGGGATGCGTGCTGGCGCCAACGAAGTACGCGTTCTCCAAACCCTCGGCACGCGTACGCGGGCGGAAGGCGAGGACGTTGAAAATACCATGCGTCAAGCCCAAAATGGCGCCCTTATCGAGGTTGAACTTATCTTCCCACGTCAGGGGCGTGTTGACAATCTCATGCGTAACGGAATCAGTCAGCGGCGCGCAGCCCGTTCTGGCGCTCACAATCTCCACGACGGCGGCACGGGCGCGGGCGACGATGTCGTCCCAGTGCTTCGGGTCCGACGTCAAACCCGGACCATCGCCCTTTGACTCTTGGAGATGGCCAACAGGGACCAGGACGATGACGGTGTCTTTTCCTTCAGGCGCTGCTGAGGGATCGATCCTACTGGGCACGTTGACGTAGAAGCTGGGCTGGTTGGGGAGGGAATGCTTCTTGAAGATTGCGTCAAAGGACTCCTGGTACTCTTCGGCGAGGAAGATGTTGTGGACGGAGAGCTCGGGAATCTTGCGGTCCATGCACCAGTAAAAGGAGATGGAACTACAGCTGGCCTCCCTCTTGCGCAGAGACTTTGTGTAGTCCATGATGGCTGGGGTCTTGGGGAGGAGGTTGCCGTAGGCGTAGACGAGGTCAGCGTTGACGATGACAACATCCGCCGTGAGGGACTCTCCGGACTCGAGCTCCACGCCAGTCGCCTTCTGGCCATCTGTCAGGACGCGGGAGACGGGCGTGTTGAGGCGGTAGTCGACGCCCATCCGCTCGCCGATGCGCACCAGCGCCGCCACGACCTGGTGGAAGCCGCCGCGGGGGTACCAGATGCCCTCCGCAAACTCGGTGTACTGAAGTAAAGAGTACGTCGCGGGGGCGTCAAAGGGTGACATGCCCATGTACATGACGGCGAACGTAAAAACCCTCCGCAGCCTCTCAGTCCAGAAGTACCTACTCGCGCGGCTCCAGATGCTCTCCAGCGGGTGCAGATTCACAACGTGCCTCACGAATCCGGGCCTCGCAAGATCGAGAAACTTGCCGAAATTCCGGTGCAGCACGTCCTTGACGGAGATCTCATAATGCGTATGGGCCTCCCGGAGCCACTTGAGATACCGCTCAAAGCCGTCTTTACCCTCCCAGCGCTCAATCTGTGTCTTCATGGCGGCGAGGTCGGACGAGTGCTTGAAGAGCTCGCCGTCGTGGAACCAAATGTTGTAGTTTGTCTCGCAGCGCAGTAGGTCGACGCCGGCGTCGGCCATGGTGGTATCCAGGTCCCGGAAGGTCTCGTGGAAGAGCTGGGGGAGGAGGAATAGAGAGGGGCCCTGGTCGAAGCGGTGGCCTTCGTGGTGCATTAGGGAGCAGCGGCCGCCCGTGAAAGAGTTCTTCTCGAGGACGGTGACGGAGAAGCCTGCCTTTGCGAGGCGAGCGGCGAGGGCTACGCCGCCGGCGCCTGCGCCGACGATGATGGCCTTCTTGGGCTTTTCCCCGAGTTGAGGCATTGCTTATGGAGTGAGTGAGACTATATGGTGGATTATCTCTTGGGTAGATGGGATGAGATGGGTCGCTGCACTGAGTATAAGGCAATGAGTGATAGTCGTGAAGTTGTCGCGAGATTGTACAGATGAGATCAAGTGCCCAATGAGATTATCGCCAACACACAGAGCAATCAATGAACTTGATCAAGTAGAGAGAAGATTGACGCAAGGGAAGATGATTAACATTCATACTAGAATAATTGTCCCGTCATTCCAGCAAGCATGTGAAGAGAGACGCGGCGGCCAATTGTCCCTCGCATGCCATGGGATCCACAAAAGCATCGGAGCGGCAAGTGCAGGGGGTGGGAATGGAATCGCACGAGGATGAGCTCCGCACCGGCCGGTTCGGGGGTGAGAGTTGAGAGAGTGATGACACCTCGACTTCGGAGGAAGCTCCTGGCTGACGAACGTTGCAGAGACAAGACGGGCGGACGGCGCACAAACTTCACCCCAACTTTTTTGTGCAGCATCTTTCCTAAGCTGCAGCCTGCCACTGGCTTGGGGTGGTATAAGGCGTACGAAGCAAGGGGCGTGCCGCATGAGAGCTCATGCACAAACAAGCTAGCTACAGGTACAACCAAACAAAACGGTCATTGAGACATTGATATCGTATTCGCAGATCGCGATCGTTTTATCTCGCTTCATCGGCTATTGCTTTAGATTGAGGCAGGTTTAAAGCGAAGCTTCGCGGACTCGGACATTTGTAGCAGTTTAGTTTTCCAGCTCGCCATTTGCCGTGAAATTTGATAAGTGTCCTGTGAGTAAGTGGATAAATTCATCCATTAGACGTTTGGTGATGAATCACCTTGAACCTCATTCATCTGGCCCGGCCTCCAAACAACCCGGGCGTTCCAGATAGGTAGTAGCCACCGTGGGATCTTCCAGTCTGAAAGGCATACCGGCACCTGGCATCCATCCCGCCTTGTCTTACTCACCCCTTCTCACCACGTTTGACATATGGCCGTATCTCTCTATCTTTGAGCTCTCTTTTCAAGAAAACATTTAGTGCCTCCTCTCCCACCTGGCTAAGAAGACCACTAGATCCGCGCCCGCTTACTACCCGTTCATCAACCCCTGATCCGACCAGAACCTGAAAGTGGGCTGGTTGTATGCAAAATCCCATGTTGGGACGCGCATATGGTCGTCATAGACTTTGCAATTCCCCTCGGACTCGGCCAACCAACCACGCCGGGCCGGACCAGCCACCATTGAAGTTGGAGCTTTCGAATCAATCAACGTGTAGTTTACACCAAGACGCCAGAGGGAGAGCTGCAGCTACATCTTGGATCCTCAACAATCCCATTCCCAATCTTAGCTCCATCCCTGCCTCTCTTTGCAGGCATAGCTCCTCCCCACCTGGTCCAGCGCACTGTCTTGCCGGATCCGGAAAGAAGCTCTGTCTACGGGATGCTCGCAAGCGCCACCACGTCCATCTTACACCACAGTCCGTCGGCGTCTTCGTTGCCTTCGTCTGGAATCTCTGAACTTCAGAAAAGTCCGAGCCCCGAGCAAAAAAACAGCGCATGAAAACACGGCCGGAGCAACGTTCCCGCAAAACAACGACTAACCCGGATTTCTATCCCACTCCACTCGGGACAATTCACCATTCCTCCCACCGGGAACTACCCGATCGGCCCCCGTTATTATCTTGGAGTCACAAAGTCCAGCCAGCAACGGTGCATAGTCCGTCTTTAACAGAACAATCAAAAGGGACGATAAAACGGCAGTGGCAGGTTTGCGTGCAAGTCGCAACGCTGCAACGCCGACGTGGGGTCTTACCTCACTTCTCTTCACCTTACTTGGCTACCTTACCTGACGCTAACCTCTCCGTCATCATTGCGTTAACACCCGCCCGGTCTAATCCCACCTCACCTTTCCTCTCTCTCTTTCTCACACACACACACGCCCCAAGGTACCGTCCATCTCTTGTGCAACCTAGCCGCAGGAACAGCTTGCAATCTGGCCTGCTTCGGAGTCGGACGGACTCTAAACAGGGCGAGCGCTGCTGGCAGGAGCCGCCGAAAGAACAAGCCTCAATTCTTATCAACCCTCAACGTCGCCGAGACTGCGTACTTTTCCTTCAGCACCCTATGAGAATCTGCTCATTTTTGTGATTCTTCACGGCCTTCAGAAATTGCAGCCTTCCCAAGATGGGCTACGACTACGCGTTGGTGTAAGTGATCTTACCGCTCAGCTCTTTTTCAACAGCACTTACTCATCCCTTGCTAGGCACGTCAAGTACACCATCCCTCTGGCGGGACTGCTCACGTTTATCTCATACCCTCTCTTCACGCGCCTCGATGTCGTGAGGACTCTCTTCATTGTGACAATCGCCTTTACAGCCACGATCCCCTGGGATTCGTATCTGATCAGAACCGGCATCTGGACGTATCCCCCAAACGCAGTATTGGGACCGACCCTCTATGACATCCCAATTGAGGAGCTACTCTTCTTCGTCATACAAACGTACATCACCGCTCAGCTCTACATTATCCTCAATAAGCCTGTACTTCATGCCCAGTACCTCAATTCCCCTGCCACGCTACCGAAATGGATAAAAACTGCGAAGCCTCTCGGCCAGCTAGCGCTCTTCAGCAGTGTCGCCCTCGGCGCATGGCTGATTGTGAAGGAAGGTGAAGGCACCTACCTGGGCCTGATTTTGGTTTGGGCATGCTCTTTTGCGCTCCTCACCTGGACCATTACGGCGCAATTCCTCCTGGCTCTGCCATTAGCTTGCACTGCTCTACCCATCTTACTGCCGACGGTTTACCTATGGGTCGTTGACGAGATGGCCTTGGGCCGTGGCACCTGGGCCATTGAAAGTGGCACAAAGCTCGAGTTCAAGCTCTTTGGCAGCCTCGAGATAGAAGAGGCGACCTTCTTCCTCGTCACCAACATGCTCATAGTCTTTGGCGTGGCTGCCTTTGACAAGGCCGTTGCGGTCTGCGATGCATTCCCAGACAGGTTTGACAAGCCAGCCGACGCATTGTCCATGTCACTACTCCGAGCCCGCGTTTTCCCCTCATCTCAATACGACATGGAGCGCATCTTGGGCATTCGCCAGGCGGTCACCAGACTGGCCAGGAAGAGTCGTAGCTTCCATCTCGCCAGCTCCGTCTTCCCAGGCCGCCTGCGGATCGACCTGACGCTGCTGTAAGTAGAGTTCCAGCGCCCTAAACCTAAACGCAACACCGTGTCGCTAACTATCTCCTCACCTCTGCAGCTACTCATACTGCCGTCTAGCCGACGATCTTGTCGACGATGCCGAGACCCCTAACGAGGCCGCCTCCTGGATCTCCAAACTCGACCGCCATCTAAATCTGCTCTACAAAGACCCCGATGCGACCTCGGCGCCCCTCGCCGCAAAATACGCTGCCGAAAACTTTCCGGAATCCGCCCTCTCAGCTTTGGACCTCCTCCCCGCATCGCTCATACCCCGCGAGCCCCTCGCTGAGCTCCTCAAGGGTTTCGAGATGGACCTCTGCTTCAGCAAAGATACCTTCCCGATCACGGACCCCGAGGACCTAGAGCTCTACGCTGCCCGCGTCGCCAGCACCGTCGGACAGGCCTGTCTGGAGCTAGTCTTCCGCCACTGCCAGCACGGTCTGCCTGACTACATGCAAGCCTACCTCCGCAATACAGCGCGCCAGATGGGCCTCGCGTTGCAGTTCGTCAACATTGCCCGCGACATTGCCGTAGACGCCAAAATCGGGCGAGTCTATCTGCCCACAACCTGGCTCAAGGAGGAAGGCCTGACGCCCAAGGATGTTCTCGCGAACCCCAACAGCGAAGGCGCCGGCAATGTGCGGCGTCGCATCCTCGCCAAGGCCTTTGACCACTACGGCGAGGCGAGGGACTCTATGAAGTGGATTCCATCAGAGGCGCGCGGCCCCATGGTCGTCGCCGTGGAGAGCTACATGGAAATTGGCCGGGTACTCATGCGCAACGGCGGCGCTGCGGCGGACGGGAGTGGGCGAGCGACGGTGCCCAAGACGCGTCGCATCTGGGTCGCCTGGAGCACGTTGATGGCCGCGTAGATTTAGTTCTAGGCTTGGATTGAGCCAAGGGGGTTTGTATTTTCTTCTTAGATCCCTTTCGTCTTTCCATTCTCCTTTGGGAGTGTTTCTCCCCCTCTCTCCCCCTCCCCTCAAGCCCCTCCAATGGCATTGATAGAGGCATTACGAATAGACAGCATGGCGTCCGTAGGAGTGGTAGCCGTATGACATAGACGTGACCCTGATACAAAAGGCGGATCCCCGCTGCTTTCTTCGATACCAGGTTCACGATGAGATGCCTTTGTTTCGTGTTCCCCACAGAGATCGATCCATCCGATCGAACTGTCGCAGCAGTGACATCACGTCAAGCTCCGTGGTCCCATCCAAATTGCTCCAGGAGCTATGTAAGCGAGGGTCCGTGCACGACCTGCAAGGGGAGAGCTGGTCCAAGCTTTTTTACCGAGCTCAACCAATTCACCGAGTCGCTGTGAAGGTTCACCGAAACTGGGCGACCAAACGAAGATGGGTCTCCACCAAAAGTTGAGCCTCCATCGACAGCTGCTCAAAGAGCCAAGTTTCCACCTTCACCCACCTCGGCCCATCACGGGGGAGAAGAACCACCACGCCTTCAGCCCAATCAAAGCGGTAGCGCGAAGAGCTCACTGTCAACTATACGGAACCGAATGCGCCAATTGTAGATACCCGACAGACAAGCACAACCTTCAAGATGATACCCAGAGCGCCCGCCCGCCGTCTCCTCCGGGACATCCTCCCCGCGCACCGCATCGCACCGCGACCCTTCCTCCGACCCTTTGCCTCAACGCCCTCCTCCCGTCTCCAAGCGCAGCGCCCGCCGCCGCCGCCTCCGACCGCTCAATCACCCCTCCAAACCCAACAACAACAAGCCGCCGCCAACGCAGCCCTCTCGAACCTCTCCCACCTCACCCCGGCACAAATCACAGCCCTCCTCTCGACGACACCACCGCCAACACTACCTGGAGGAGCAGGAGGCATCCCCGGGGCCCCGATCCCCCCTCCCGGTTCACCAGCCGGAGCAGCAGCAGCAGCAGGCCCCGGCGTCGGCCCCTCCCGCCGCTCAGTCCTCCTCCGCCGCACCCTCTGGGCCCTCTTCTTCTTCGCCCTAGGCTACAAGCTCACCGACGACCAAATCGCAAACATCCGCTTCACAGCCCCCTTCCTCTACCCGCCCGTCGAGGCAGACGAGCAGCAGATCCCCCTCTTCCGCGCCCACGCCACCTTCCAAGCCATCGAGGACTACCCCATCCTCCAGTCCCTCGTCCCCACCATGCCCCCCGGCAGCGCCCCCATCCCAGGCGTCGCGACGCCGCAATTACCCCTATCGGACTGGGAGAACTGGGAACCCTACCAAGACTTCTCCCCCGAGCGCAAAGCGCACCACCTCTGCGCAGGCCCCACGCTGAATAACCCCAACGGCCTGGGCCTCGTCAACATCGTGTTCAGGCACAAGTACACGGGCGAACTCATCCTCGCCATCATGTTCGGGCAGGGAACGTCCGGGTGGCCGTCCGTCGTGCACGGCGGGATGCTGTCGACCATCATGGACGAGGCCATGGGCCGCCTCGCGGCGCTGAATTTCACTGCCAACACGGCTGTTACGGCCAAGTTGGCCATGGATTTCAAGGTGCCTGTCACGCCGGGCATGCTTTACATTGTTCGTGTGGGGAAGGCGCTGCCTGAGTGGCAGAAGGAGAGGCCTGATGAGGAGGATAAGACGGATCGCAAGTTGTGGATCATCGGACGGATGGAGGATCCGGATGGGGCTACTGTTGTTGAGGCAAAGGGGCTTTTTGTGGTGCCCAAGGGGATTGAGGTGCAGCCTCTTGGTGGGAAGTTCTGAGAAGGTGAGGGTTTGACACGCGAGGTTGGCTATCGAAAAGGAGGAGATGGTAAAATAGGGGAAAGTTGAAGTGCATTCCATGGCGTTGCAAAGGGGATCTGTGGTATTCCAATCGTCTCTGAACTAACAACTGAGGCAGGAAAAAGAAGGGGGGGGGGGGGGGGCGGAGGTCACTAAAAGTGCCATGTACCGATGGATGTGGGTTCATAAAAAAAGAAGAAGCAATAGACAAAACTCGTGATACCTCCAAAATCAGGAAAACACAACAAACATACCATTCAGCCAGAAAAAAAAGTTTGACACCATCAGTGAGATCTACAGCGAGACACTTTGATTCAACCACGCAAATCCTGCTCACAACGGTAGGGCTTGATATAAGGTCGGGTTTAGCTGTTTTGTTGCCTCCGGGAGAAAAGCGAGTGTTAGTCTCAATTTAAGGAGAGCCTAGATCAATTTCTGTACTTGAGTCAAATTGGGTTTCTAGGAGTGACCTAACCTAGCCTAATATGATCAGTCTGACTATGTATACCGCTCATTGCCTACCCGTCTTTGCTTGATCGCGTGTGACACCGGCGTTATGTTCATGAGTACAACCACAAGACACTAGAAGCTTCAAAGTTACAAAGGCTTCGGAGCCCAACAGGTGTTCATCGTACCCAGATCATTTGTAGACTGTGACTGCTGAGGTAGACTAATCACGCATCAGGATCATCTTCGCACATAATTCACTTACTGGACTGGACACTAGTGGGAAAGGCACAGATGTAAACTTCAACGCAAGTGACGAAGTAAAATGCTCATTTTTATACCAAGATTAAGAAAGCGCTAGGCACATTTCGTGCGTGCGTATGATACATTGCCTGAAGAGGCCGACCGCTCGGAATGACTGCAATACCCCCTAGTGCGCAACCAAACTTCCAATCACGCCAGTTGTGACATTGACTTTATCCTTCGTTGGCGAGTCGTGGCCTGGCCACAACAACGCATCCCACATCCAAAATCGGAGCCGTCTGTAAATGCGGCGACTTTGTCATCATTGATTGTGTCCCGCACCCGATATATACCGAGGTGGGCGACTGAAAACTGTAATGGAACCGTGCTGTAGATGACTGCAGTCAATGAACATCCAACGGGCTGAATGCCATGGTTGGCAATGATAAGGCGTGTGCTCCCAACGAGGTAGTCGATAGTTGCCATAGGAGTTCCTTTCGCAATGACAGCGGACGTAAAAGTGAGACCATGGATAAGCCCATGGTACGCAACGTTCCGGAGTGTGTGTATAACGAGGCAGCAAATGGTTGCCCAAACCCTTCATTGTACAACAACAGATGTCCTACGTCTGAGGACCAGAGGTTGCAGTTGTCCATTGCGGACGAGGCTGGTTGTTGGGATGGGAGCTCGGCATGTAGTAAGTGTTGAAGCCCCCTCCCCTGCCACCGCTAAATGTCCCTCGACCGCCACGGTAGCCACCTCCACTCCCGCCGCCGCTCCCACCGCCTCCACCTCGGCCACCGCGTCCGCCACGATAGCCACCACGGAAGTCGCCACGGTACCCTCCGTTTCCTCCGTTGGTACGATATCCCTGAGGGCCGTTGGGTGGGGATCTAGATGAAGAGTGACCTGTCGAACCTTGGTCTGAAGCAGCACCGTTGGGGTGTCCATAACCACCGTTGGAGCTACCCGATCCCGGTGGAGGTCCCCTGGAAGGTCCACCGTTAGAGCCATTGCTCTGGTGAGAATTGCCTCGGCCTCTTCGGCGGTTGTTATACTGCCGTCTGCCAGTTCTGGGTTTCCCTTCTACCGAGAAGTCGATCTTCTTGATAGGATCTGTGATCATAATGTTGTTGTTCAGACCGAGACGTTCTAACTCATCCGCGGGTGTGGTCCATAGTTGGAACACATTCTCCATCTTTCCGACTTTACGAGTTTCAACAACCCAAGCTTTGACATATTCTCCGTCCTTGTCGTAGTCGAAAGCTTGTTTGACAGGGTTGAAGATTCTGTTGTCGCCACGAGGGTCATTGCCTACACCAGCGACATACTGCCAGTTGGACCAATTTGAGCTCACGTCGTAATCGACGAGAAGGTACTCGTACCATTCGGCTCCGTACCGCCAGTCGATACCAAGATGCTTAGTCAAGAATGAAGCTACGTTCTGGCGAGCTCTGTTAGAAGTGTAACCAGTGTGGTAAAGTTCGCGTTGCGAAGCGTCGATCAGACCCATGCCAGTGGTTCCCTCGAGGAACCTGTTCAGTGTCTTTTGGATATGGTCGGGCGATGCGCCGAGGTTATCGTCAGAAACCACATGCTCAGGATCTGCTGACTTCCACTTGGGTGTCTTATCGGCCTTGAAGCCAGTGACGTGGAAGAGCTGTCCTCTAAACTTCTTCGTGCAGAGTCGCATGTAGTCACGCCAAAGTAGTTCGAACCGCACAGCCTTGGTTCCGTCATTTTCTCCCTTGCCGTACCCGGGCGTATCTTTGTATTTTGCGTCTTGTCCATCCTCAAACTTGACCATGGCCTCATGGATTTGACGAGACGTCAAGCATCCTAGTGAAAGGTAGGCTGACAGCTTGGTGCTAAAATCAACTCCGAGGAGACCATTGCGAGTATCCTTGTAACTAGACATGGATCCAGTCTTGACGAGGTGGTCAAGACGCTCGATGCCAACATCCTCGCCACCACTGAATGGATGAACAGAGGTGGCTTTCTCAGGGAATTTGGGCTCTTGCTCGAACGGACACTTCAATGGCTTGAGAAGACCTGCCTCTAGAGCATCGTAGGTGGATGGGATCTCGAATGGTGATTGCTGAGGAGGGATAGCGGACTGCTCAGGGTAAGGTGGGAGGGAACCCTTCGCAGGGCGTGACAGTGTAGGCCTTGGTTTCTCGCGGAGCGGCTCCTGGGTTTTCCTGAATGCTGTGAAGACGTCTGCAAGATCGCTGGGAACTTTGAAGCCGAGGTCGCGACTATTGAAAGGAGGGTTGTTAGATCGAAAACATCGCGTCAACTTAGATGCACTTACTCGTCGATGAAGTATTTCTCGTCCAGCCAAGTCTTGAACTGGACCCCATGCTTTTCGCAGGCTTTGGCCACTGCCTTTTCGTCCTTCTTCTCTTCAATGGCTTCCTCCTCGACCATCCAAACTGCGCCAACCTTTTGGCGCTTGTCTGCAAAACCTTGGAGAAGGTCGCTAACGACGTCACCAAACCTGCCTGCACGTAGAGCCATACCACTTCCGACGCCTTCGAGAGAATCTTTGACGTTCCATACAGATTGAGCAATGAACCTTGTTCGATGAGGTCCACACCGCCAGAACTTGCCAATCTCGCTGCGAGCCTCTGGATAGGGAGACTTGCTTCCTTCGCGTAAGAGGCCGGAAATCTCGATCTGATGTGCTGGGAATACGTAGACAGGGAGAACGTGTGTGAAGCCGTGGTCAGACGCGGTTGTGAGATGGTGGAGGATAGGATTGTCCGCAATGCGAAGATCATGCCGGAGCAGGTAGATGAGGATATTGGATGCCGCCATCGTGGATAGATATTGTTTGGTTTGTGCTTTCTAGTAAAAGCAGTGTAGAGACAATGCTTAGTTCGTTTGCTGCAGTGCCTCACTGGCACGGTGTTTGAAGTTGATGGAGTGTTCGACTGTGTTCAGACAACGGTTCGCTGGCAGGATAGAGAATAAAGAGTGATACCCCAAGTTGGGAGTTCTGAGAGCGAGGGAGTGGGTTAAGACAAGTTTGTGTTGGTAGGACTCTAAACCAAAGTCATGGCGTAAGAGAAGCCGTTAGATCTGCTTTAGCTCCCGACCAGCTGGGAAAAAGACTAGTCTTGGAGTCGCCACAAAAATTGCAATGATGATTTGCGAGCGGGATACAGGTAGTAGAAGGGGGCGAGGTTGAGTGGAAGGGAAGGAGAGGTAGGCGAGGAGCGGGAGACAGGGTTCCCCTTAGGGCAAGGAACAAGCTAGGAGGAACCTTGGACTCTGGGTCTTTGAAGGAGAAGGGGGGGGGTCCTGGAGCGGAAGGGAAGGGTGAGGTTAGGTTGGGGCCGAAGAGAATGACGCAGTAGCCGCTAGCCCAGGGGTCTTGCCGCGATGCGATGGTTGTGTGGTCGGATGATGAGGCTGCAAGAAAGCTACGGCATCGACTTTTAGCTTAGATGATCGGGGGAGAGATGGGAAAATATGAAGAGGCGAGGAAGAGAGAAGGGGAAGGACGATCTGTCTCTTTGTAGCCGGACTAGGCACGAATAAGATGGGAGCCGCCCTTTGATGCGGGTAAGAAGGGCAGAGTTTTTGTCTAGAGGAGCAACAAAGTCCCGGGGCGTTTTGCTTAGCAGTTCTAGCTGGCTGGAGCACTGCAGAGAGTCGTTTACGCAGTTCCTGGTGAACACTGGGACACATGCAGGGTCAAGCCGCCGTCCCAACTGAGCTGAACCGGGAAGGTTCGCGATGCAAGCTCGCTGAAGGGGTGGAGTACTATGCAGTGAGATAGGCACCGCGTTCTGGGAAGAAAGTTGATGGTTGACTTGGCCGTAGGATATTATTATTCCGAGATTTGATTCAACGAGACGGAACAACAGACTGACTGGAGGATGAGAGGTTGTACGCAGTCATGTATGGATGGAATGGAGGTTGTTAGAGAAGAGAATGATAGAAGTGTCCAATCAGTTTGCACGGACAAACCGCCGATGGCTTAGAGTAGTCATGACGCCTCCTCCTACTGTTCACGTCCTCGAATGGTAAGCAGAGACACCAAGTCACATTGGACCCTGAAATTTCATGATCCTTCCGGGTCTGGGCCCCCCCGGCCACCCCCCTTCCCAGTCTGTTCGGGTGGCCGCCAAATTTGGATTTGCCATGCACACGGAGTACCCAAGAGACAGGTGAGGTTCGGCAAGAATTGGTACATACAGACTGGCACGTTGTCCTTGCTAAATGAGGCAAGGAGGACGGCCATGGCGGTTACCGGGGCCAGCTCCGCGACCATAGACAGGGCTCGGCACCATGGCCGACGAGATACCTGGAATCTGACAGTAAGAAAGAGAGGGGGCAATTTCCATGTCGAAGAGGCCGAGACGTGTGGCACGGGTGGAATGCGTGGGTAGCAAGGAGCAGGAGAAAGGGCCGCAAGATTGCATGGCGATGGTGAGGGCATGGGAAAGATGGATAGCAGTGCACCGAGATCGAGAGGTACTTCTGATGCAGAGATAAAGTCCGGGGTTCCAGAGATCGAGTCCACCCGGACGGATCCCATGGCACTAGTTTAGTGGAGAACACCACAGGGAAGCTGGAACGTACCTCACCACCCTGCCACCTTACCTAAGGCAGTTGTCTTGGGTACGTACCTGCTGCCCTACCGGGGGACCACACAACCCTCAGGCCGCCGATAATGGAAGCCCCCAGTACCCCTACGGACTCTACCAAGTAACCACTTGCTTACGTGCTTACCTCACGCACTTACGGATACATCCTACTACACCGTACGGAGTGCTCGTCTTTTGTCACATCTCCGATTCATCGGATTCTGCTTTCCTCGACCAGCAATGGGATACGAACACTCCCGACTGCCTTGCCCTGGGCCCTGGCATGGCACTGCAGGAGAAAGCGCCATCAAGGCCGCCGAAAAGAGCTTACCGAATTCAACACCCTTGACCATCTCGCTGTGCTCGCCGACACAGATTCCCATCCACGATATCCCCTGAACCATCGTACCCCATCGCGAAAAAAATAACCACCCGATCGATGCCATCGTCGTGTGTCAAGCTGCAGCGACCGAGCATCGCGGGCAGAGCGCAAACTCATTTTCAACCCACCTCCCTGCCTGTCAATGCAGGTCGCAATGAAGTTGGAGCTCGGGGCGGATTGCGGCTTCCACCGGGGAATATGATGAATCATCGAGCACCACCAAACGTTCCCGCTTTGTTCCCAGACTCTGTCTTTGGCTTTGGTGCCGCCGCCGCCCCTACGACCAAGTACATGCCCACACGCCGCAGCCACTCGGCCGACCCATTGATGGATTGGGAATGACAGCTCGGTATCCGTAAACTACCTACGTCCCTACGGAGCACGAGAGCAGAGCCTCCAGACTCCAGACTCAAGAGTCCTCGCAAGCTTCAGCGCCTTCGTAACGCTATCGAGTCAGTCTCCGGTTTAACTCGCCGTATCGACACTGCAGTCTGCGCGGCACTTATTTCGCGCACAACTTATTTGGAAGCTTTGACAATTTCCTACTCTACGCCCCCTCCCTATATGTCTCCCTCCAGACAACCCAACTGAGAAGAGACGGATCGTTGGCCACTTCGAAATCCTACTTTTAGGTAGCTCAGCTGAATGGTTGTGCAGCTGGGCACCCTGTCTCGACAAGCTTCAACAGCTAAAAGATGGACTGTTATTCGTCAACAACACACCAACTCCCAGCTGAACCAGGGTTCTAGCTCCAGTATTTTCTGAGCTAAAACTCACTGGCGTGTCATGCTTTCCGACAAGACTCTTTAGACTCATTCTCCAAGGTGCACATTGTTCCCAACTCGCCAATTGATCGAGCTATGATCGAGTATATGGAGTCGCCATTCGGGTTGCAAAACACCGGTCGTAGTCAGATTGAGTTGCGGGCAGGAAAAAGAAAGTCAGCCGTCTTGGGAGGGAGACTCCAAATCCCATCTGCTAATTCGAAAGCCGCACTTCGCGGCATCTCTCAAGCAGTACCCGGCCTTCGTTCCCGCGTGCATCAAAGGCTAAAGTTGCCTCGCCTTACTCACACATCACTTCCAATCAAATAGCACGGGGCTGATACACAACTCGATACCGGAACTCGAAGCCCTGGCCAGGGCGACGACTTCCTTCAACTCGATCTGCGTTCAGAGCTTCGCCGCTCAGCATCACAGCTCCAGGAAGATGCGGGCTTGCTGAAGCTCTGGCGAACGGAGAGTAAGGTAATTGTGATAGACAATGGACAAAACCAACCGCGCTCTTTCAGTCTGGCCGACAGTGCTGCGCCGAAACCCACAGACTGCTGAACCAATGACGTCTGTCCGCGCCAAACCTCGATCTGCGGGCTCGATGCTCAGAGAGCCATGCTGATGGATCAGACCGGGTGTCTGCGTTGGTGGCCCTGTGGTGGACATGCCACGCTCTGCTTGGTTACGGCTTTTCCGACGGCACCGACTTGTGCTCCCATTCTGGGCCCTTGATCCTGAACCGGCAATCGCGTCGGAGAATCCACCACCACAAAACGTGCGTTGGCTTAGTGCTTGGCTCTTAAGCAAACGGCGCCCCGCCGTCAGACCTGCGAACACCTGTAGTTGCACTGCAGTCGTGGGTTTCACATTCAACAACGTGGATGTGGTTTCTTCTTCCAGAACTTTGAATGCGACGAGGGGGCGCGCTACAGCGTGCCTCGCGATGCAAAATGAGTAGCGGCAAGGCTGTTATCGGAAGCCCACATTCGACACCTTATGCTGCACGAGGTCTAGACTCTCGAGTCTAAGGGAGGAATTGCCTGTGCGGATGAAGCTCACCTCGAATCGGCTCTATGCATCGTACCTTGCTCACAGAACACGGCACCTGGGCTATGCCGTCGATCGAGGCGCTCTATTGCATTCTTGACCATCGGATGTATCCGACCGGTGTTGCTCCGCCGGGCCGCAGCTTGTCGAACGAGGTCTCATTCCCGTCCCGAAATTCTAGGCCCGCCCAAAACCGGTGACACCCGGGTAAGGTATCGGACTCGGACACACCGTCCCACATTTCATCGACATCCGGATCGGGGTTGCGAAGCCGACCTGGGAAATATCGTTGTCTTACATTTTCCAACGACAACGACTTTCATTCCATACCTACTTCAAATTCTCCATGCCACGCACGTCACTGCGTGCTCACCACGCTACAAAGTTTTTTCCAGAGCCTGATTGCTTCCACCGACTGCGTGCTTAATTATCCCTGTCTGCAGGTCTTAGACTCAACGCCGCTGCAAGGACTCGCGCGTGCCTGGCATGCGAACAGGCCAGAATAAGAAGCCTCGACCGTAACCGATTCTACCACACACACGTCATTGGCGCAGGTCTCTAGCCTTTAGTCATCCGCATATGGTCCGGCCGGGCTTCACTTTTTATTAGCCTGGTAGTTGCGATCATGATACCTCATCCAGCTCGATAAAACTGCCTGTTTACCCTTCGCGAATCTCAGACACACATCTCTTGTAGTATCCAGGGACTGACTCGCCCATCTCCTCTCTGCGTATCTACTAACAACGCCTCCGCACGACTTATTCGCGATGCATCTGAGAGATTGCTACGTGGTGTCTACCCCCCATGCCTACTAGATTGATAATTCAGCTTGACACGACTAAAAAGGTCGATGATGGGTCTAGACCCCAGATGGGCATGTCCGGAGAAAAAGAAAAGACACGAAGGAGAAGGATCGCCCCCGACGATCATCACCTAACCGTCCTATGGCATCATCGGGTTCAATTCACCTACGAACCAGGCCTCTGGAGTCTGGGCAAATGCAGCCGCCATCTTGTAGCCGATGCCAATCAGATGCAGTATTATGAATACCCATAGCATTCTTCTGCTATTTCCGGATCGCCATGTGACCGCTCTATCTCTGAAAAGTCTGGGCAATCTCGATCAACGAGAAGTCAGTGTGCACTCATCGCTCAGACGTGTGTTCCAACTCCTCGGAGGCATTCGTGGTTGAGCGATCTTCTCCCTGCGCGGCCGTTGAACCGTGTCAGCTTCACTGGCTTTTGTCTGGTCTGGCTGATGTTGAGAAGCAGCGCATTGATTCCGTGGAAGAGTTGTTATGGATATGGATACAGCCGGTTCCCCGCTGCAACATGGGAAAATCTCCGCGCGGTCGAGTGACGTCTTGGTCAAGTGGCGATTACTGCGTATGGGCTTCTCGGCTACAAAATGCACTAAAACTCCACTCTTCTGGGCCAATCTTTTCCCAGCGGTGGTCAGTGGCGGCCCCGGAGCCGAAGGGGAGTTCCAATTGGGACTTCATGGCACGCATGGCTGAGTGACGACATCACAAAAGGCCGCACTAGGTAGAATCCAAGGGGGAAAGGTCTCGCGGCATGCTCTACGAGCGGCAGCAAGGGCCGGCCCGGTGTCTTTCGATAGCTTTAACGTTTCGAGATCTTGTCTGGAAGGAGTGAGTTATGAATCGGCAGGGTCCGATGATCGCTTAGCGGACGAGAATTCGGCGTAGGTAGTCAAGGTACGATATATACCCTCTGCGGTGCCAGGCTGTCGTGGCTGTGACAGGCCTCATTTAGAGTCGGCAGATGCGAGAGGGATGACAAGCACTATAGGGCCGCGATTCTCTGCACATGCTGGGGTTCTGTTTGTTTCAGTATTGCTTGGGCTGCGATCGCGGGGCCAGTTACCCTGCCCGCGAAGATGACATGGTGCGGCATAGGAAACTCTGCTGCGATATTTACGGGCGCCTGGATGTGGTATGATGATGCTAATAATTGTCATGTTCAACAGTAGGCGGCAGGATCCATACTTGCACTGCTTAAGAGTGTGGTCTTGTCAAGGAGGAGCTGGCTGGCTCAACGCAGGCCGTCTCTAGATGCCGTAGTTCAGGTAGAGCCCTGCCCGTCGTTGTGACATGCTACATGGATGGTCTGCACTTTCCTCATGACAGTTCAGCCTACAGGATCGTAAGGAAAAGGGATTATGTCTACACCACGAAGTGGTTTGATTAGCAGGCCCCTGTCTCGGTCAAACTATCCCATCAACTGCTATATGGCGTCAGTACATCTCTCTCCAGAGTTTTCTATTCTGCCTTATGTCGAGGTTTATGATAGGTGGATATGAGGAAATAAGACGAGATGAATATGCAACTCGTCATTACTTCTCGTAAAGTCCATGTGATTTTGTTGATGCTATGTGATAGTTGATGAGATAGGTCTTTGCTAATGTGAAGGCCTGCGGCTCGCCACTGATTTGACTACCGAAGGATGAGAAATTTGTCATCCACGTAAGGTATCCCTTGCCCATCTGGTGCTGCTAGAAAATTATTCACATTGTCAAATGAGCTTGCCTTGATGCTGTGTACATAGCCGCTATCGCGCTCAGCTTGTGCAGCAGGGAGACGCAGCTCGGTCGTGAACACAAATCATGACGACCGCTGATCCCGTATACAGTGGATTGAGGTTACAGTCGTTTCTCCTTTCTCAGTCTTGGACCTCGCGAGGCACCTGAAGCGTACTCTAAAACGTACTCTAAAAACACACAATTATCGGGGTCAAGGCTATAGATGAGTTCCATATGGGTATATCAAGACTTCACTAGAGTAGACATCAAGATATCCAGTGATGCCAGTGTATCGAGGACGCTGGAACCGAGTTCGTAATGCTCGAGCATAAAGGTATCTAAGAAGCAGCTCATGGCCGCTACTCATCTTTGACTTGGCTTGGGTGGTCTATGATTCGATGGTCTGACGGTACTATGTAGGTATTCCGGCTAGTCCATTATCTATTCATACCCCCATAGTTATAGAAAACAAGAGAATTTGGGTATAAAGTTGTTGAGGGAGTGGCGTGGGGGGCTTGAGGAAACGAAAACATAGATAAGTGCTATGCACCCCCCCCCCCCCCCCCCACTTAACCACTTAACCACTACGACGACTGTTGACTCAAAGGCACCTCGGGACGCAACCAGTCAAACGTATCAAGCAAATCAAAGTTGAAATCAAGCTGCGTGGAGAAATCCCAGTCCATGGGGATATCCAACACCCCGGGCAACCCGCCGTCGACTGCAGACGAGGCCGACGCCGCGGGGCTGTTGAGAGCCTGGTCGAGGACGCGCTGGATGATGATTTTGCAGTCTGCGCAGAGGTCGCCGTTGGGCGCCGTGGGGCTGACCCAATCTAGGAAGCCGACGAGGAGGCTCAACTTCTGGATGATGCTCGAGCGGGAGACCTGGGGGTTCTGTGGGTGGTGGCCGCCGTGGAGGGTGGGTTTTAGGAGCTCGAGGCAGAGGATGCCGCCTCCTGGGGCGGCGTAAGCCATTACCTAGTGACTGTAAGTCTTCTTCGTGTTCTGAAGATAGTCCTTGCGCAAGAGATACTGAATGAAGGAGGAAACTTCGGGGTTTGAGTACGTACGAGCCATTCAAAGTCTCCATTCATGCAAGACAGGCGGTCCATGTTTGTCCAAAACATGAGGGTTTTGGAAACCATCTCGAAGCTGACAGACAGCAAGGCGCCATCGTCGTGTCCCCTTTTCGCGAGCAGCCGCTGGATAAAGAACATGTTTTGAAGGTGTTCCAGCTTCATGATTAGTCGAGTGTATAGCAACGATATGTCAAGTTTCCTATTCTGTATGTCTTCTTCTTTCAAAATCATAACATCAGGGAACCCGGCAACTGTCCGAAGTTGCCTTTCTTTGATTTCTCTAGACAATGGAAATTTAGTAACGCCTTTCATGTCTTCAATGGGAGTTCGGAATAGCAACTGCTTGCTATTCTAGTCACTTACAGCAATGCCTCCACCAGCGTCACGGAACCCTGACCAAGCGCGATCTCGAATATCTCGTCCCGGATTTGTGCCAGCATCACCCGGGCCCGGATAATAGTGGCCGAGTAGAGCCCGCCCTCGGTGTTCCACCCGTTCTCGTCGAGTGCGGCCACGTGGCGCGCCAGCGTGGCCTCATCGGAGAGGAGGTGGTCGTCCTTTAGATCCAGCGGGGGCGGCGTGCGTGCGTACCGGCGGCTGATGAGGGGCGGTCGGCCGGCGAACGAGGCGAGGACTTTGTCTACGTAGAAGATGTAGCAGAAGATCTTGCGCTTGATCTCGGAGCAGACGGTCGGCTTGTAGCCTACCCCCGGCGCCGCTGCGACTTCGTCGTGGAAGCCGAGGAAGGTGGATAGGGCTACTGTCTCTGCGTGGAGTTGCCAGCAAGCGAAGCCTAAGACGAATCGTCAGTTGGCATTTACACTGAGATTAATAAAACTGCTTCGTTCCATGAACATAGACGATAGCAGCCTAAAAAAAAAAAAAAAAAAGATGCGACTTACTAGCATCGCCCGAGAAGAGCGACTCGATAATTGTCCGCTTCGAACACATGAAAAGGAGCAGTGTATTCCCCCCACTCCCAGCAGCCTTGGTCAACTCTATACAAGCGCCAAGGCAATACCGATACTGCATAACCACCTTCGTCCCTTCATCGACAGACTGAAATCGGGAGCCGACGTCAGGCCGGTACGGTCCGAGATATCGAGCCGCCAGCTCCCAGTACGCAAACATCACGCCCAACGACTCCCACCGTAAATTGGTGCCGATGAACTGCGCCATCCACTTGGCCGGGTCCGATTCTTCGTCAGACACGCACTTTGCAGTGTTACCACAGATGGTGCGAGCGAGGGCGGTAATCTGGGCGTCATCCGGCCGTCGCTCATGTTCGTTGGCAGAAAAGTACTGCGGAAACGTGTCGTACAGCGATATCATCATGTGTTTTGCCGCCAGGCGGATCCACCCATCGCTCGGGTTCAAGTGGCTGTCGAACAGCTTGAGCCCCGTCTCGCGGTCCGGGACGTGGCGGAGGATAGTCAGGCATGTCTCGAGCGCCTGGGCCGTCAGGGGCGGAGAGCACTCGAGCCCGCAGTACGCGGTGGTCCCGATCTCGCCGATGGGCGCCGCGGTGGACGGCTGGAGCTGCTTTAGACTTGATCTGGTCTCTTCGTAGATGCCGCAGAAGGAGGTGAAGCCGAGGTAGCCGATGCCGAGGACTGCGGGCGTGACTGCGGGCGTGGCTGCCGTGCTGGCCGAGTCCGGGCTGGTGGGGAGACTTGCGGGGAGTGAGGGGCGGTGCCGGGTGGTGGATGTTGCGGGCGATGTTGTGGATGTAGCCGTTGATGCCGTCTGTGATACCACAGCGGGCCCGGGTCCTAGTTGCGAGAATGATGTTGGGGTAGGCTGAAGGGTTGAAGCTAGGGGAACAGACGGCGCCCTCGAAGCACGCCGTTGCTCCCGCGGCCGAGTCTGTCTTGGGGTTTCTCTTGATGCTGCCGGACTGTCGCTGAGAATGTACTCGCACACATCCCCGGAGCGCTTCGACTTTCTGCATCTGTTGCATACTGGTTGTGCATGATCGCAGGCGACTTTGCGTTTTCGGCACGGCTCACACGCCTGCGGTCGCCCGTTCTTTCGAAATAAGAGCCGGGGCGGTGTTTGTGTTGAATCCATACTTGGGAACACAACTCTTCTCTCTACTCAGTCAATCAAAGAAAAGTCCACTATGTTCCCCGTATTACAAGGTTGAAAATTCGAGCCGTTGTTTCGTAAGAGAAACCTCGGGAAGTGAATTGGAAAATCCCATCAACACGTCGTCGGCTCGACCGTTGACCGCGTGAAGTTGGTGATTGAAGGTCTCGGCTTCGGCTTCGGGGACACGGGCGGTTGGGGTCGGCTTCGGAAGTGGATCCTGGCCGTCCGCTGGTCCCCATTCTTTTCAGCCGTCATCCTATTATTACTAAATTCTCATCGTTTGACTCCTCCACCTCTCTAACCCGACTCGACTGACCGAACAAAACTCCAAGTTGAAATTAGTCAGACTGGTCGTGCAGGTCTAGCCCAAATCGACTGGCCGTACAAGCCTTCTCGCCAAGAGCACTCACCAACCAGCCGATGCGACTTTCAGCCCGAGGATTGGGAACGAGGCGTGATTGGTTTTAGGAATCCTCCTCCTAGGTCGGAGAGCCGGCGGGCACCTCCACTTCGGCAACGATCCCCCCGTCTTACCCCCAGTCGGAAACAGACACTAGCATTGACAAGACTTGTACCAAAGTGAACTTTTTCAGACCTACGACTCACAACCGCGCCCTTTGACATGATGCCATGTACATTGGACGTGCATTCGTGCCATTTCGTGAGTCAACTGGGGACTAAGCCTGCCGAAGCCGCGTTTGCATTGGAAATCAACATCAGGCTCGTGATATATAAAAGACCCGCCCATGACCTCCTTACCGGAACCTTAGATCTAGGCCGTATATAATCAAGCACGACATTCAGTACATTACAAATCCATTGACAATACTTCAAAGAGCCATTAAGTCAACAAGCCAATAACTACCTCTCCATTCTACTCCTCCTCCTCCACATGAGTTCCATCGAATCCCAACAATATCTCAAGACCATCCTCAAGGACAAGACAGACAGTAGCAAGAAAAGTAACAGCAAGACAAACACCAATACAATGTCGGGCTCCTTCTACGAATCAGCCTTCATCATCCCTCACATGCAGGCTTCTGCCATGCCTCGTAGGCCCCGCCAGCCTGCTCCGGCACCGCGAGCAACTGTCGGCGCCATGTCTTCAGAGTCAACCCTCGTTGACAAGGAGGGCGTTCCTGTGATATCCAAGGAGAAGAACGAAGCCAATGGCGACATCTCTGGTAAGCTATCTCAATCCCTACAGTCCATTCTCCATCGAACCCATATCCCATCATCCTCGGCCTTATATGGTTGACCGGCAACTCGGAACCGCCTGGCTTCCGAAAATAACAAAGACGGAGATTGCTAACGTTTTTTCCACAGGTTCGTCGTCATCGAGCAAGAATCTACTCAAGCGTCTTTTAAAGAAGGCTTGATTGTTCCTGCAGATACGAAAGACCCATCTGGGCATACAATTTACGCTCTACTGCATCACATGGGACCTTCAGAGTCCCGGGCTGGCGTCAGCCTTTTGCTGATCCTTCTGCTTTATTACGACGACTACTGCGAATCATCTTAGCGCTTATACCCGCAACGGGCGTATGGCTACAGACCTTACATCGGTCTATATGATCTGGCCATGCTTCATTGCCATGAGAATGCCAACCGCACTTGCTCGGTTATCAGGGCCATTGGCCCCATTTCACGACAACAAACCGTCCCTGCCCCGCGACATAATAATCGTTCATACACATACACTCTTTGAATTATACTTCCAGATCCATCTCTGCGCAATTCGAGATTATATGTGCCCTTGATCGCGGGTCGGCTCGGAATTGTTCCAGTCTCTGTCATATAATTTTTCGGAGACGCAGATGACATAGTTGGGCTGAGCGGAACTGAACACGACGGCTCTTGAAGGAGAATACAACCCTGGGGGTTGAAAGTCAGCTTGCAACAAACGGAAGGTTCGAGTCTGAAAGACCACAAGGGTTGGAAACCGTGGTTTGGCTTGAGCCTCTAAAGCCCTAGTTTTCGCATAACGACCCGCAAACTCTGTGTTTGCACCTTGTCTTCCATGGCAGTTTAGACTCTTTCAAATTCAGAAATCAGATAGCGGAAAATTCTATTCAACATATTAATCTAAACCCCATGAGGGTCCCTAAGTGTGAAAAGTTCCAAGTCGCAACATTCATTCCTGCGTACCATTCACTCCTTTGATCACATCGCAGGTCATTATCTTCAACAACCACCGCAACAGTCTGACCAGTCGCCCGAGACATACATACACGCACACCATGATCTTCCATACCATGATGCTCCCTATCTTTGGCATGGCGTCGCTTGTCGGCGTCGCACTTGCCCAAGCATCTGAGCGTTCTTCCCTGAATATCGCAAGGGACCCGCTCAACTGGTGCGGCCAGGGTGATAAAGCTCATGGAATTGGAAGAGAAGACGACTTGGCCGCTCTTGAGGCATTCTCCAAGCGCTCCTTGAACACAGAGCAGGACTCTATTCACGTACCTGTTAAGGTCTTCCTGGTCGGAACGGAAGAACAGCGAAAGTCGGTCAAAAACGTAAGTATCCCACCACTGGCTCATTAGCAAGACCATGTCTTTCAGTCTATATGCGCACCTACGTACTGACTTGGTATTCTCAATCAGAGACACGAAATCCAGCGGATCGGGACCACCCTCGAGGAAGGCTACGCCAAGCACGGCATCATCTTCGGCCCCATCGAGACGTACGAGGTCGCCAACGACGCATACGCCGACATGAACCACATGGAGGACCGATATACCCAAACTCGGATTATGCAGCAATCGCTTCGCATCGGCGGACCCGAGACTTTGAATCTGTACATTGTGCCGAAGTTGAATATCGGCCTCCTCGGGTACGCCTCTTTTCCTGATTTATTGACAGGCGCCATCGTTGTCCCGGGAGCCCAAGGAACATCGCTTGGTGGGGACGGCGTCGTCATTGGCTATAGCGCTATGGACGGTCCTCTGTTCAACAAGGCGGTAGTTCACGAGATAGGACACTGGTTGGGGCTCTTCCACCCGTTTCAGGGCGGCTGCGCCGTCCCCGACGGTGACTATGTCCCGGACACGCCGCAGTCCCGACACGAAAACTTCGCATGCAAGCGTAAGGACACGTGCCCTGGCTTTCCGGGCGAAGATCTGGTCTGGAATTACATGGCGTACTCGATGTGGTGGGTTGAACCTCTTTTTGTGCGAGCTGCGTATGTGATAGACGGCTATACTGACGAATTTCCAGTGACAAGGACCTCTCCTTCACAGCTGGTCAAGTGTAAGTGGAATCAAATCTTGTCTCTACGTCCCTATCTTTGACTAACACTTTTCCCGCAGCCTTTTCATGCGTCAATCTTGGCATAGTTACCGCGAACCCAAGACCAGAGACCTTCCTGCAGACGCGAATGTCCCTATTCGGACAACATCTAGTAAGGACATGATTGTCCGTCCGAGATTCTCACAGTAAACAGTCCCTCCGAGCCTCATAATTCTGTGACGGTGGGAACCGCGGCTGGAATTTGGGGTATCGATTTCGATGAATTGATATGACTTTCCAAGTCAAGCAGTACGCGTAATGAGCTGGGATTCGTGACTCGTTGTAGTGTTGATGGCCTTGAAGTTTTTCTCAGGAACGAACCTGGCTGGGAAGTACACGAATCCAAGCGCTTTTTAGAATCTAAGGTAAGAACCAGATATACTCTGATATGAGGCTAGTCATATTTAAGTTCGTTACCTCGCGATGCTTCTGTTCGCTCTCGACTTAGTTTCAATCATCAGTTGGCATTCCAGTTCGATACCTTAACGTGAGCCTTAGTTGGCTGCGCCATACGGCCCCACTCCGGCGCCGGCCCGGTTCCTTTAGGCCGGAGCGACATCGGAGGTAACTTCAAGTCGACAAACTCACTGTCGCTTCAGTAGCATGGGGGAGGGTTTTTCTGTCTCTTATCGGTGCTGCATGTTGACAAGTCATGCGGTGTTAAGGTCACCTCATTGCCTTTGGGTACAAATGAACTATTGGCGACATGCACTCAAACAGCGCGAACGTCTCGATCCCCTTGGTCCGGACTGAGCCTATCTCTGACCAGCGTAGCTTTTCATTTAAATCCGTAGTAAAAATTCCATTATTAATTTCCCTGCACCTCAGTCAAGTGTCAAAGTTTACTTATCAAGCAATCATACCAATGTCTCCAAGGGATGCACTTTAAGAGATTGAAATGCCTTTTTGCAACGAGATGGTTCTTACAGTATTATACGTATGGCTTCGGGGTCACAGTATTGAAGTCTTAACTGACCTTAGAAAGTCGACACCAGTCGGTAATTACATGTAGCTTTCTTATGCCAGTGTTTCTCCACACCTGTCTTGCATATGCCTCAAACCTTTCTGGCCGAGGTTACACTGTGGCCGTTGTTGAACTTGAGCGAGGTCAGGTCATTGTTCGACTTGAAAGAACAAGATGCAAGCAAGCCACACTGGCATGCATACCTTTTGGGTGGTTGTGAAGGTTGTGGCCGTTGTGAAGATTTCCCGCAGTCGGCTTGGTGGTGGGATCACCAATCGCAAGGGCGTGGTTCTAGCCAGACCTGGGGACTTGCTAACCCCGCCAGGGGATGTCCCACTCAGCCCCGCGAATCTGCCATGAGTCCCCCCACGTCAAGTCGAGCCTTTTCAGCTTCACTTGCATTCGTTACCTCAGATAGCGACTTATTTCACTTCTCATAAGGACTCGAAAGTCAAGTCCTCGGTCATATTTAAAGAGTCTGAGTGTTGGTGTCCTAGCTGAAACGCAGGTCACCGAGCGACTACTACAACCTCATCTCATCCACCTGGAAGCAACCTCGACTCTCTATTTTTTGACTCATCCTTCACCCGCGCTTCCTCACTTTCATCGCGCAGCCCAATATGGCTGATCTCATTGTAACCCAACACGGCTCGGAAAAGGACGTCAGGTTCGCCTCCGCAACGCCCGCCCAGCGTGAGGCCGCATGGCGCCTCAACGGCGTCTCATGGGCCCCGCCAATGTCCCTTGAGAACTACATGGCCCGCGAGGTCGCGCTCTCCAAGACGGCGCTTTCATCTCAGTGCAACTACTACGTCCTTTTCAACCCGGCCGACCCAGAGCACATCATCTCATCCTGCGAAGCAACCGCAAAGACTCTCCTCATCCGCGATGCCTCTTCCTCAACGCTCCGCGAGGACAAGGCCTACGCCATCGCCTCCGTTTACACCAACCCGACCTACCGTAGCCACGGCATGGCAACGCTACTACTGAACCGCCTAAAGGAAGCCATGGACGTCGACTCCAAGGCAAGCGCGCTCTACAGCGACATCGGTCTCACCTACTACGCCCGCCTCGGCTGGTCCGTCTATCCGTCCCTGCAAGTCTCCCTCATCCCCGATGATCCCTCCGTCCTGCGCAAGCCCGACGGTGTACGATACCTTGAGGAAAACGAGGTCCCCGCCTACTGCGAAAAGGACGTCGAACTCTTAAAGAAGAAGCTCGCCAATCTGCCCGAGGACGGAAAGACGCACGTCGCCTTTGCGCCCTCGGCCGACCAGATGCTCTGGCACTTTACGCGGGACAGCTTCATGGCCAAGCAGCTTTCCGGACGCAAAGTGACGCACCGTGGGGCGGCTACCGTCGACGGCAAGGCGTGGGTGTACTGGGACCACGACTTCCGCGAGAAGAAGCTCAAAGTCCTCCGCGTGGCTGGCGACCCTGAGGCGGATGTCACTGCGCTGCTGCAGGCCGCGGTGATTGAGGCCGCCGAATGGGGGCTCGTAAAGGTGCTGGTCTGGAACCCTGATGAGGGCGTCTCGGCTTCGGCGAAGAGGGTGAGTGACAGGACCGAGGGTGCCGTGCGGGTTGTCTTTGACGAGAGACTTGATGGCAGCATTCCCAGTCTGCGGTGGAAGGGTGAAGGTGAGGTCGTGTGGGAGGATAATGAGTATTATGCTTGGTGCTAGATGGCTACGGAAAAGCGTATCAATGATGATCTCATTAAGTTACAGATTCCCTCTAAATACTCATAAATCAACGCAGAAGCCCTTTTATTCCTCCGTCTCTTGCAATGCCAGCGCTTGAATCAGACCCGCAAACCCTAGTTCAATGGCATTCGTCATCCCGTCAGCGACCAAGTCCTGATTCTCAGAGAACGAATCTCTCCATCGCCCGCCCTCACCAAAATATGCGTCAACAAGAGGGAAAGAAAGGCCTTTTAGGCTTTCCTCATCATTGGAACCTTCGTTATGATAGTCTTCGAGTATCGCAACTACAAGCTCCTCTACTTCTCCACAAAATATCTTCGCCGTTCCCGGCTTGATGGCTTCCTGAACGTCAACCCATATTGCCTCCCGTTGGGTAAACGTTAGTTGCGAGCCGAGCTCCTTATCTTGCTCAAACGCCAGTAATATCAAATTACACTCCAACCGCTTTTCCCTGTCGGGTGGAAGATGAATGTCGACAATGTCAATGTACCGCTGGATCTGCTCCCGAATGTTATTTATCGACCAGGAGGCTGCTGTCCACTTTCCTACCACAGCGACCCATCTCTTGGAACCCCCGTCTGGCAAAGCCGATTGGCCTCTCACTGGCGCTTCGTGGGCAGCCTTGTTTTCTGCGACGTGTATCACCTCTATAACTTGTGTGAGGGCAATGCCAATGACGGCGTATCGCACCTCCCGCCAGACCGTCTCCCACAAAAGACTTCGGATCGTGTCCGAGATCTTCCTTTGGGAGTTCGTTTCTAGAAGTAGCACATGGTGCATCGTGTCCGTCGTCGTAAGTCGCGGATGAATATCGTACTTGTCATCAAGGTCCACGACATCATCTGTCCTTGCAAGGTTGTCGTTGAACGGATGAATGAGTGTCACGTTGACAGGCGGTCCCTCGGTCCCTTCCAGCTCTTCGCCATACGTACAAACTTTCCGACGATGGCAAACTCCTGTTCGCCGACGGATCCGATGGTGATATAATTCATGCAACCCCAGAGAACTGTAGTAAGGTAGAGGAAGAACTTCCAGAGAGCCGCCACTTTGTTCTTGGCCTCTTTGAACTGCTCCAAATCAATCCCAGCGTCTATCATGACCTCCGGCTTTTGGACTAGTATCTGATCCACGAGTGATGCTATCGCCGATTGTGCTGTCATCCCGCGTGTCCAGATTAAATACGCTGACAGGACGTGCTGCTTCTTCTAGACCAGGGAATGCTGCGGATCCGGGGCGTCGCACTCTGCCTGTATCACTTTTGTCTCGTGAGAGTATCTTGAGGGAACGTATTTCTGCTCCATTTTGAACCACTCGATCCACGCTTTTGACGTGGTGACCTCGTACGTGGCTTGCAACTCTTGGTGGAATCCGGCCTGGACTTCGAAGTTCTTGAACAAATTCTTCCGTATCGCTTTGAACAAGTCTGCTGTGGGGTTCTCAGAGACGGCTGCGACACGTCAGCGGGTTTCCTTCCATCTTTCTCAGATGCCACCCTGCGTACACTTGAAAGCTTGGTGCACCGTGTGCCTCTGAAGCGGTAGTGTTATCTGATATCTGTCTATTGCGTGATGTACCATTGCCTGCCTGATATGGAAGCATAGCTCTACGTCCTCGCGGATGCGTCTTTCCGTTTTCTTCATCTTGGCCACAAGTTCTCCATATCGGACCTCAAAGGGCTGTAGAAAGTCCGTCATCGCACGCTCTATGATTTGGTTAGTTGTGGTATAGCGCATGAAAGCTGGTTTAAGATCATACATATGATATTCTTCTCTGCATTCTTCGCGTCTTTGATGACCTTCTCCAGAAATTCAACTATCGCTGCATATAGTTCGGCCGAGAACTCGAGCATTCGCGGAGTTTGATACAGCGCAGTGTACCCTCGTATTCTTTCCAGATCCCGCCCAATCTCTATCATCACGTCGATTACTTTGGAAAGTACATGAGAATCCTTCTTCGTCACCTGTCATTCAATAAGTAAGACTGCCATCAGAGTATGAGAGAGGTGACTACCTACTAAGAGTACAAACTTCAGACCACCCCAGATTGACGATAGACCTGAGAACTCCGCCTGCGACAGAATGTCAAATACTCCCTGGTAGCGATCCAACCACTCGATAAGCTTCTTAGTCTTTTCCTCCCCTAGATTCGCCTCTTTGGTTCGTTGTATATCCCAAGCAATCCGATGAAGTTCTGGTTTGGGCACTCTGTTTACCAACGGTGCCTTTCTGTGGTACTGTCGCAACTTCATCCTTATTGAGATGAGACTGGAGTGACTTGATAACGTTTTTGTATGCCACTTCAGCTTTTCCATAATATCTCTGAGCAAGTGATCACCGCGAGATCGCCGTGGCGGGTATAGGTGTGCTGCAAGAGCCCACATCTTCGGACGGACGGGTACCTTCCAGGATCTGACTTACTCGAATGTCGTCCGGTCAAACCCACCCTATTTATCCGTTGCGTCATCGGAGAAGCGTCGAAAGACCTCGTTATGCGGGTTCCAGCGGATGATTGGACTGGACGCACTCTTCGGGCTCCCATGTTCACGACTCCAAAATGGCGCCCGAAACACGACGCTGGTGTTCAAGGAAGGAAATCGGCGCATGGCGCTGGAAAATGTCGGCGAGTCTCGGATTCGAAATCGGTCTTATCAAGGTAGCTAAAGCTCTGAAAGATGTTCTTGCGACGTAGTACGAATATTTAAACGCACACTACTTGACTGTGAAGTATATAGCAGATGGGATCCCGTCGAGAGTCTTGACTCTTCTCATGATCACCAAGGAGAGACTTGACGCAACGGAACCTCGCTCTCCTTTGCACGAGATTCGAAAGCATAGTGCCACCATGACTGTTCAGGGGTATCTCGGAGACCCTGGCAGGATCCTCCAGCTGCAGCTGTCTGCCTCCGAATCACATTTGCAGGACCTGGTGTATCATAAGACGAGGGGGTGTGAGACAAAAAGGGGAGAGTGAGCGTATGCAAACTTGCTTTTTTATCCAACGCCACCAATCAGTACGAGCACAGCTTCAGCGGTTTCAAAGGTGGCGCCGACTTGTGTCACGAACAAGATACATGCCTTTTCATGAAAGCCTGAGAGTCTAAGACTGGTACTTTTCAACTGTCGAGGCCTCTGACCATGGACTATCAGCGGTCCGGATACAGTAGAAGTCTCAAGCTGAAGTCGTATTCCCAGCTGAGGACTTGTGGTGTTACGAACTACCACTATTGATACAAGACTTCCCGAAATAATGATCTTGGAGACGAGCTCCAACGCCTTTACTGAGACGCGTCTGTGACCCCATTTCTTTTCTCGATACAAGCACAGTATGAGGAAGGTGATGCAAAGCGCCACTATCATCACGGCACACAAGGATGCCGATACTGCCGAGCATGGAGTTGCTCAGCTTCCTGACACACAGCTTCGATATGGTTCATTGAATGCACAAAATTTACTGGCGCATATTTCAGCCGAATCAGACCTACTAGAGAAGTGGCTTCTGCCGTGCGATTGATCTCCTGATTCTTGAAGCATTTATGTGCTGGTAGAGAGGCCTGAAGGGTGGGAAATAAAGTAACCGGCATCCCGAAAGAAGACTTGCCGAGTGATAACTCAGAACTCTGAAAGACAAAGTCACGCCAATGGTGCTCTACGCAGAACCCATGTCCATGAGACAATGATTCAGTGTCAAGAAGCGCGCTCAGAGAACTGAATCAAACGGAGAAAAGTCATAGAATGAGTAGACGATCGAATATTGGCCCATAGTCCGAGGAAGAGCCCCGAGAATAGAGCTCATTTTAGCCTGCGCGCCAAGTGGGTCATGCGGACCGGAGCCACGCCGTGCTCGGTCCCGTTTCCAGACTGACGGGCCAGTGACAGGCCGAGAAATGGACCCTGAATACGGGGGGTATGCAGCCAAGCGGAGTCCCACGTGACTTTATCGCGGCGATAAGCCAGGGTTGCCATCAAGGTGGTCCGTCCCAGGGGTTCGAGTCCCAGTAGCGATTTTGGGATCCAGAGAAATTAAGGGAAAGAATTGTTCGGCTCGGCGTTTACTTCAAAGAAGAAGAGGCTACGTCGCACAAACATCGCGGTCCATGACCAAGTAACGACCTATACTTCGCCTTTGCCCTCCGGCAACCCCCGTCAGAACATGTCGATACGCCGTCCCAGCGCAAGGTCCCGGGCGGACCGCGACAACACTAGCCTCCTTGCCCCCGATACGTACGACGACGACGCCTCATCCCTCCACAGCACACGAAGCGACCAGGACAGCGATAGCGACGATGACCAGCTGCAATTGCGTGCCCGGAACAGCCGCGAGCTGCGCGCAGCCGACAGTCTAGTCTTCATGGAAGAAGAAGAGATCGAGACACTAGTCGAGGAGACGCGCAAGAAAAAGGAGCTCCAACGCCGAGGATCTGGACTCGCTGTCCCGAACCCCTTAAAGTTATTCGGCCGAGGCCCAGACGGCCAGCGGCCCGGATCCAGAGATGGCTCGTCCGAGGATCTCCTCAACGAAAAGGACAGACGCCAACAGCGCCGCACGAGGAGGAAACAGAAGAAGGAGCGGCTGCTGGAGAAGGCGACCTACGGCGAGGACGGCGAGCTGATGTATGAGATGGAAGAAGGGGCCATGAAGGAGGGGAGCTCGACCGGCGATAGCAGCGAAAGGGACGACAGCGACGAACTCGACAGACAGAGGCTCAAGATAGTGACCAATGCGAAGAGCGATAAGAAGAGGAGCTGGCGCCGTTGGATGGTCATACACAGCATGATTGCCGTCGGTTTCGCGATCCTCTTCCTAGTGGCGTGGAAGTTATCACTCAGCAGCAGGTCGGCGCACAAGGCCGACTTCGTCAGCAATGGCACGGCGCTCTTCGCGCCGACGACGATCATCATCAGTCTCGATGGCTTCCGCGCCGACTTTTTGCAGCGCGGGATCACGCCGAGGTTGAACGCTTTCGTGAAGGAGGGTGTTTCGCCAAAGTACATGCTCCCGGCCTTCCCGTCTGTAACATTCCCGAATCACTATACGCTGGCGACAGGTCTTCACCCCGAGAGTCACGGTATCGTCGGAAACACCTTCTGGGATCCCGATATGCAGGCTGAGTTCTACTATACCGATCCGGCGCGAAGTCTCGATGCGAAGTGGTGGAGCGGAGAGCCGTTCTGGGTAACGGCCGAGAGGCAGGGAATCCGCTCGGCGATCCACATGTGGCCGGGCAGCGAAGCCCACATCCTTGGTGTTGAGCCGACCTTTCTCGATAAGTTCAACGGGAAGGAAATTCTTGACAACAAGGTCAGCAGAATTCTGGAGTTCCTTGACAAGCCGGGCATGGAGGACAAGACTGCCAAGGTCGAAGACATGCGGCCCCAGCTCATCGCTGCCTATGTGCCCAACGTCGACGCGGACGGCCATAGATACGGGCCGAACAGCACGGAGATCCGGGTTTCTATCGAGTCGGCCGATGCTATGATGGATCAGCTCTTCCTGGCCCTCGAGCACCGCAACCTTACCAACATTGTCAACGTCATCGTTGTATCCGATCACGGCATGGCCACGACAGATACGGCACGCCTGCTGCAGCTCGAGGATCTCGTCGATACCTCCAAGATTGAGCACACCGATGGCTGGCCTCTGTACGGTCTCCGACCGAAGAACCCCGACGATCTTCAGGGGTTATATGATGGCCTGGTTGAGAAGTCCAAGACGAACCCCAACTTTGAGGTCTACCTCCGCGACGTCAACATGCCCGAGCGCTACCACTTCTCCAAGAACAAGCGCATTGCGCCGCTGTGGATCGTGCCTAAGGCCGGATGGGCCATTGTCACGAAGGAAGAGATGGATGTCGAGAAGGCGCTGAAGGATGGTACGGTGTACAACCCCCGCGGGTTGCATGGATATGATCATGAGCATCCTCTCATGCGCGCCATCTTCATTGCCCGCGGACCGGCTTTCCCCCATCCGCCAAACAGCCAGATCGACAATTTCCGTAAGTGTGCCCCTTTATCTCATACCTTGCCATGGGTCCAGACTAACGTCAATAGAAAACATCAATGTGTACAATATTCTGTGCGACTCCGTCGGTCTCATCCCAGAGCCCAACAACGGCACACTGCGCCTGCCGCTCACCACTATGGGTACTCACAAGTCTGAGGATACGCCTCCAGAGCCCGAGGACCCTGTGCCTCCGTACACGACAACCCAGATTCCCGCTCCTGCCAGCACACCACCAGCGGGACAGTCGGCAACCCCCGACAAGTCCATCCAGGTGGACCCCGTTCCCCAGCCGACGCCTTCCGCGCCGGCGTCGAACAATGACGAGAAAGGAGATGATGATGAAGAGAGCGAAGGAGCTGATGAAGACGCCATACACAAGGGCAAGGAAGCCATGATTGGAGTTTGGGATTGGCTCAAGGATAAGTTTGGAAAGGTTTGGGACAAGATCAAGGGATCAAAGGGGGATAAGGAATCGGAAGAGAAGGAGGGGTCGGAATGATTTCCTGTGTAGAATTAGGTACATGATTTGGCGTTCACGGGTGGGAGGCATATTGTGATTTTCATTTGATACTCCCGGCGATTTTCTGTATTCTCTGTAGACTGAACCCCCCAAGGTTGTTGTTTCTTCTCATTGATTGCTCGTTTTTCTCGCCAACCGACTCATCCCGCCTCGCATGCAGCTGCTCATTCGCTGTAGGCAAGTCTTAATTCCCTCGCCCTCGCTGCCAACCTTGATTGTCAGTTCAGGAACCTCAGGTATGCATCGAATCAGACTTACCAGAGCTAAGACGTCGTCTCCTCTGAAGATATCTTTAGCATAAACGATATTCCGCGTAGTCCACTACTTAGGACATCTCACTTGCGCTTTGCTTTATCGCGACGCGATCGTTGACGCAGTTGTCTGTCTTTTGATAGGCGAAGTCCATAAAATCGCGATGAATGGTACTAGAGTCAGACGGTGAAATGTTAAAGCCTATTTCAGTATCGAAATAGGCTTCTTTGACATTGATCAGATCCGGAAGAGGGTTGCTCATCTCTTCGCACATCAGCATTTCGCCCTCGAGGAATGCAGTGGCCCCGAAAAGCTTCTCTACCCTGTCAAACTCAGGCTCGCCGCTGACCCAGTCCTTGGTGACGCGTATTCCGATGCGGAGAAGCTGCCACGGAACAGCGATTTGAGGATGATCGCCGTCAAACATGTTGACCGGCCCATTGATTGTCATCGTGAGGGGTGTGATGATAGCCCACTCGTTGGTACCGCGCCCACCGGTTTTCTGGTCTAGATGAAGCCAAGCCATGGTGTTTTTCTTCACTTCTCTTAAGGGATAGACGTTTGGATGGAAGAGAAATGCGAGCGATGCTTTCTCCTTGGTCCAGTCCTCCTTCAGCTGGACGGCAACGATCTTCTCAGTTGCCATGATGGGAGTCGAGATTGTGCTTCGGCTTGTCGTAGCTGTGAATCGGTCAGCTTGTGTTAATAAGATATGGCGCTGGAGATTTTAATGCTTACTCTGAATCTTTCCCAGGGTTTAATTTGGCAGGAGGATATTGCGTGTTGAACAAGGTCGGGGGCAGAATCAGAGTGTAGGTGGTCAGCAGAGATATTCCTCCCTGCCGCTCAGAAAGATGGAAGAAGGAATCCAAAGTCCTATTGAAGCACCAGCGCCTGCTTAGAGGCTGCCTACGAAGACTGCGTGGGTGTCTTAGGTAGGTACGAACACAAGTGAAGAAGGAGGCATATGGAATTAGGAAGGTCACGTGGACCACACCACGAAGCGTTTATTAGAGACGAGCACATGTATATTCCCGAATGTGCTACCAAGTTAATCAGGTCTATCTCCATTCGTCATCTGCACCTTCCATCAGTGTGACTGTCTAAGACTCCTCCACGCTCCTGGTTGACCAAACTTCGGCGCAACTTCCTCCCCGGTCGTGCCCCTGATCGAGTCTCGGATTGCAAATTAAGCCAGGGTACACATTTGCCAATTACAGTTAGAACAGTCTCCATCCGTGTCCAAGAATCAACTTCACTTACCGAGAATGTCAATACTGACCTATGACCAAGCGCTGAACTATTTCTTGACAGTCACAGGACCGTCCATCTGCAAGCCATATTCGAAAGAGTCGCGAGGAGTAGCTTGCTCGGCGCCATATACGTAATATCCCCCTGGATGTTTAGCAGGGCTGATGCCAAGCTTCTTGATCAAGATAATGTCGGGCACGTCAATGGCAAAGTGGTTGTAGACGGCCATATCCCCAGCCTTGAAAGACTCGTTCTCGGACTGAGAGGTATTGGTGTTGGTCTTGGTGTTAGTCTTGGTGCTAGTCTTGAGCGCCATGTTGTCAAACTCCGGAACACCGGATCCAAAAGCCTTGACAATGCGAACGCCAATGCGGAGGGACCGGGCCGGGACGTCAACCCCGGCATCGACCCAGGGAAGCACGTAGGTAAGGCCGGTCTTGGTATGCTGAACGGGCTGTATGGTGATGAGGGGGTTAACCAATGGGCCTTCGGACTTCTGATTTAAGTTGACAAGGGCTGTGGTGCCTGACTTGAGGAGAAGGAAGGGCTTTGTGGTAGGATGGACGAGGAAGGCGAACATGGCCTCGGCTTCGGTCCAATCGTGCTTGAGCTGAACGGAGACTCGTGTAGCAATTTCCAGGATGGCTCTGGGGTTCTCCCCGATAGGAGTTGATTTATGAGGAGGCTGATCTGAGGTGGAAGGCATCTTCGACGTGTTGGTCTTGTTGAGGGTCGTCGTAGGAGAAGGTCTGTCGGCGGGCGACCACATCTTCAATGTGAAGACAGACGTGAGTGTGAGTGGAGAGCGTTTGTGAGCGATTGCGGTGTCAATGGGTGAGAGAGATGTGGGAGATGATAATTGTATCTGGCTTTGGGTAGTTCTGATTCAATACTTATGGGAGACCTTCTGCGGTTGCCTGCCAGGCAATTCGATTCTGAAGAGAGAGCCGGTCTCACTTACGCTGTCTTTACGGGTGAAAGGAAGTCTATTTATAAATAAGACAAAGGAATAAATCATTAGAGACCATAAAAAAAGAGTTCATCACCGCTGTGGCTACATCTCTTGGTGCCCATACTGGGATTCGAACTCGGGTACTCGCTAAGCCTTTTGTCGAGTAGACTGGTTGGCGTTAGATGTTGACCTTACATCACTCCACCATCCAGCCAGTTTGACCTGACCCCCGACCTAGAGGGCGCCTGCTGGCTGGTGACGAGAATGGAGTTGAGGGGGATATTAAAGGCATCTTCCTGTGTGTATTCCATTCAGGTGGTGGAAGTAGGGTGTCACGTGTGGAAAGTCCGGTGGTGCCTTGAGGATCGGTATGAGGTCTACAGTTCGGGCATCAAAGACTTCAAGTGAGGTTCGACTGACTTTAACATGAGCGTAGTAAAAGCTGCTGCCTGTAGTCACCTTTGACCACCACTCGCAGAAGAGCAGAGGAAAGCTGCATCATCTTACCAAACAGAGACACGGGTTTAGCCAGGCCTTTAGCATCTTGCAAACGCCTGTGATGCCAACTCGCGAGACGTACGCAATATGAAGCGGTTCAGTGATCATGTCTAGCAGAGAAGTGCAAATCCATTAGTCACAAGTTTTTTGGGAATCGCAGCTGTAATTCAAACTAGTTCTACGGTACAGGGAGGCCTGGTGTTCTGTTGATGTATCCTGCTGCAGAAGCTGCGAGAGCTATAACCCGCCTGGCCTGCGAAGGTTTCTTGTTCTCGACTTCGTTTTGCTTCCTAAACATCCCTTGGAAAGTGCAGTCATTGCCAACTCTATCGCTGTCAGCTTCCTACTCTGATCCATTAGCCCGAGAATACAGCTTACCGAGCCAAACGTACATAGATGCCATCGTCAATCTGGAATAGTTCAGAGACTATTTCAAAGCTTCGGACCAAAGGTTCGGTTCTTCGGGCCGGGTGGGATCCCATATCTCACAAAGCTGTAAGGAATGAGACAGTGTCTTCTTTGTCCATCGGCGGTCCGATCAGCACCGCGGACTCTGAGAATCGTGGGAGGGCACATGGAGAATTCCTCGTGCGTGGCTACGTCGCCTTTCAGAAAGATGCCTACCTCTCCATGAGGGTGCTGGGCGACGAGAGTATCGTATTCGGGTACTCCAGGCACGAAATCTCGAAAAACAAAGACTTCGGCGCTGAGATAAGAGACCGGAACCTGTGCCAGGCGAATATCATTCGGGTAGTAGTAGTCTTCCAAGGAATCCCAAAGAACACTCCCGCTTCTATTTGAATCCAAGAGAACCGGTGAAGACGGGTAGTAGAGCGCGATGGCAACCCATTCGCGATAGTCCCCGGGTGTCCGGGATGGTTCTTGTCTTGGAAGCCAGGCAACGAAACCTTTTTGCAGGATGATAGGTTTTGGGATGAAAGGTCCCCCAGAGCCGTCGGAACGGAAACTTCTGCAAATCCGATTTTCGGGAGTCCAGTCGCGCTTCAGAACCAGAACGATACCAGAGGGGAACCCCATTGCGCTGTGTGAGGTCAAGTATTGCTTGGTGCGTTCCTGAGATAAATGTTGCGAGGGCCTCGGTGCGAAGTGATCGTATGCAAACTGTTTCAACGTAACGCCGTTTGCGTCCGGAAAGATGCGGAATTGATGCAATAGACAGAGATGATGCTTAGTGCAGGCAGAATACCTGTCGTTGTTTCATGAAGATGGTTTACTGGGGAGGGAATGTGTAGCATTTCTTTCCAGGGGGTTCCAAGTTCAACACTGGAAGTGACGTTGAGGGAAGTGCTTCGGAAAGAATGTTTGGACAACTGCTGCCTGTTGTGTCCTAACAGGAGCAAGAGGCAGGAGGTGGACGCAGATGTTTCCTCGCCTATACTCGTACTTCATCCTCGTCGTTCCTCGCTAGTTATATATCAGGAGTCTGAGTAGGCAGGCACTCCTTTGCGTGAAAGGTCCCGTTCGGTTTGACGACTTTGCCGACCGTCAACACCACAACATCTACCAGAACACGTTCCACGATCACACCATGGTAGTCCAGAGTGCAATAGTCGTTCATTTCTGCGCAGACTGGACTAGCGAGCTCATAACAATGTATAAGAGCATTGAAGCATCGTACTTGCCCACGCGACCACTCCCGAAAGGCACCAAAACATTCTTCTTTCCACGAGATCAGCTACCGGGCATGGACGCCATCATTGCTCCTTACAGTATACCGGGCGGAGGTCGTGCCGAAACGAACTGGCCATTCAGTCCCGACGCCATGCTTCCTCGACACCACTTGACCGCCAAGATTGTTTTCAAGAAGGATTGGGGCCTCAACGACCGAGCGTATCGTCGAGTGAAAGGCCGGGGAGACTGTTTGCGATCTTTCAAAGTTGGCGATACTGCCATGACTGAGTTGTTATACACCCCAGGCAATCTTCCCCTGACGTTCAACGTCGTCCGCATCGGAGTCGACGGCCACTGACCGGGGACACAATGCAGCGCGGTCTAGGTTCACCGCGACTGGATCAAGTACGGCGTTAGCTAGACTGGAGGTGTCAGTCCGGATTGCCCCTTTCGTGAGCAGGTGAGGATATCGTGTAAGTCTCTCGTAAGAAAACTGTCCTGAGGCAGTTGTAGTATGTCCATGTACTGACATCAAAGACAGAGTAGGACGTGTACAAGTAAACGATTAAAACCATCCGATACCATCATCTTATGCTGCTGGAGAAGGTGAGACATGCGCTGGACGTTGAATCGGGTGGAGGTGTGACTGCTAGGAGAAATACGACAATGACGGCGTTGGCAACTTTTTGTGACAGACATCAGGTAGACATCGTAACTCAGCATTGGGGCCCCCTGTTCGCTGGTAAAGTTGTGCCTGCTAAGTGACATCTAACGGCTCTCTTTAGTGCGCCCGACCCGACATATGTAACACTTAGCCTGAGAGCCGCGGGAGAGATTTGTGCCAGTGCTCAAAGTGTTCGGAGGATTGCCTGGCGTTCGAGTTGTGATCAAAGATGGAAGAAGAATTCACTTTCTATCCCGCAGGAACCGCTGCCCTGACAAGAAGGTGTTCAATTATGGAGCCAAGGACCCAACAGGAACGACGCCAGAGGTTCTAAGTAAGAGAGAGAGAGAGAGAGCATGCTCGGAAGCTGCCATAAGAGTCCCGGCTGGCGATGCCGATGAGGAAGAACAATTCCAAACATGCAACATGTCTTATGTCTTCGTAACTTGTGACCCTATGAACTAGAAACCCTCATCTTTTGCCGTTGTCATTCGTCCCATATGTTCCATCCTCATACCTCTCCTCTGATACTTTCCCATTATAATGATACTTTCCCATTATAAGACCTTAGTTCAAGCTCATCTTCATACGAGAGCCAAGTGGAAACGAAATAGCATGGAAGTGCAATCCACGATAGCATTCGCGCGTGTAAGCAAGAAGTAGATGTCCTTAAAGGGCACACTAGCTCCATCTACGACTTAACTTCATGCGCGGAAAGTCCTCTCGCAGCAATAATAGCACAGAAATCTATCCGAGAGGAGTCTAGGCAGCCCAAAAAGGTAGGCTCCATTATATCTTTATGTCCCTTCTTGTGGATTCTCGAAATCGGCCGATGTTTCGTACGTTAACTTGCCCTGAACACAGCAGGCGTATAAGTTGCACAGGCGGAACATCGTGTTCGGATGACCGATAAGCATCGGCAGCAGGTGAAATTGTTCTTATCCGAAATGCTCTGTAAGGGATTGTCGATTGGGTCGAGACCCTCACGGTATCGCTGGAGTCGCTTTACTGGGGTAGACAGCTTCGAAGCTGTTGTTCCTCAACTCGGCCCCAAAGGTCTCCGGTCAATTTCTGTCATGTCAGTCCAATGAAAGCGGAAGAGAGACTGTCTTCGTAAAAGAGCCATCTCGGAATCCATCCACCATCTTGCGACTCGCTGGCGAGCTATCCTGCTGTCGTCGCCTGCCCCGCGGGTCTTCGTCGGATGACGTCGAGTGAGATCATGTGACTTCCTCTCCGGCCTGGTGGGGCCGGCGATTTCCGACGTCGTCCATCGCCACCGCCGTCGTCTCTGTTCCCAATTAAGAAATTTTAGAAATGGCCAGCGATCGCCGCAAAGAAGATGCGCAACTATTGACGTGGGATATGGGCTGGTTTAAACAACATTCATGAAGGATGGAAGAGCTTCATCACGTGACGCTAGATTTTTTTCTGTCTCGGAGTTCAGCCCCTTATCGCAAGCGCAAAAAGCATGGAGGGGCATGGAATACCCCTCATTCTGCTCTCATTTTTTTTTTCTTTCTCTTGTGGCTCGGCGGCGCTTCGTGTGAGGGAGGGGCCTTGCGCCTGGGCTGGGGCGGGCGATCGCACTCGTCTGGGTCTTGTTTGGTCTCGCGCCCCTCTCTCTCTCTCCGTGGCTCCCCTCCTCCTACGTGTCCCTGCACCGCACCGCGTTGTCCGTTCATGCTGCGAATCTGGCCGCCCGATAGATTCTCACTCTAGGTATTTCGGGAAGAGAGATGCCAACGCGATGGCAAATATGCATGCAGCCGCGATACTACCTCGCTGTCTGGGAAATCTCGCTCTGCGAGAATGCGAGAGGATGAGAATAATTGTCCCTTGACGGGCGGCGCAGGCGCTTAGAACGATTTGTTCAGGTACCTTTCACCTGCACGTCACCCTTGAGGCCAGGATCTGTCGGACACCCATGTCCGTAGTACGGCTTTTTTTTTTTTTTTTTTGCCTCTTCTCTTTCTGAGATCAGATTTTTTCCAACCCCGCACCCCGTCAGAATGCCGCATCAGCCACAATTCTTTTCGGAGTTAATGCACCGACAGTTTGTGACAATAATTGAGAGAGTATGTTAGCGCAGGACCCGCTTGGGTTGGCATTCCCTTTGCCCAAGAAAAGAATCAAGCAACACAAGACGAAATCATAATGCCCCTCGATGATCGATAATTCCTACGGAAACCAAAGCAGACAAGGACAAGCCCCGCGGAGGAGCCTTGGTTTCGAGGTGGGATGGACCAAGGCTACGGCGACGGCGACCACGGCCCCAAACCAAAAACTACGACGGAGGGGCCCCCAAGCACCGAAAAGGTATGCAGGAGAAGGCTGGAGCTGTGCCAGAGAGAAAGATGCCAGATACGTGACTCATGCCGAACGAATGGATTGATTGGGCTTACACTCTGACGGTCTGACGGTCAAAAAAAAAAAAAAAAAAAAAAAAACCTGGGCGGCGTCGTCGAGGGGCAAGGAGGGGCCCAGGTTGGGCTGCGCGGCAACCTACCTTGTGTGTCTGACAGGGATTGGGCGGGGTGGAGGGGCAGAGTTCGAAGCTGTGGATGTCTTATCGTTGGCAAAGTAGATCGAGGTCACTCGGAACAAAGCGCTCCCTCTGGTGAAAATTTCGTGTGTGCCAAACGGCGCTGTGTGTCTGTCTGTGTCTGGCCGGTAGGGTACCTATGTGTGGTCGGTAAAGCATGGAGGGATGGGACGAAAAGCCAGAGGCACACTTGAGACGCGGCCGATGGTCTGCCTCGGGGTGGACTCCAACAGAAAAAAAAAAACGAGGTGAAGTGGCCCGACAACGAGGGGGAGGACTCAGGAAGGTCCATATTGCCCCTCATTTCCTTCCCAAAAAGAAGGCGGCTAGCTAGTGCCCGAGGGAAAATTTGATCGTGATGAATGCGTTTGTTATTGTTCATTATTTTAGCTGGGCTGGCGATTCGACGAATTGACATCACTGGGATCTGCAGCAATAAGGCCTGGAGCTTCCACGGTGGGGTTGACAAGGCCAGGATCGTTTGCAGCGCCCCCGCGACACAGAGAGCGCGGTGAGAGCTGCAGAGTGCCCCTCCATCCCCCCTTACCTGTGACATCAACATGCCATCCATCCTGTTGCCTCAACTCCTGCTGCCGCAACAAGAGCTGGGTTAACGTACAATATGCTCTTTTGAAATCTAGAGACAGTGATTGAAAGTCAAGAATAGTAATATGGTCAATAGAGACAAAAATAAATGAATATCGCATAGGCAGCTGGAACAGTGTGATCATGGATAGCGACGATGAGCGTTACCGCCCGTCGCATGCCGCAGGAAGGAGACTAAAGGAGGGGTGATACGATACGTACCTGCCTTGAGCGGCCCCGCTTAGTTCGTGCCGTGGCGAGCCTGAGCCAAGGTACAACGCGCTACTTGTCCGTGGCCACGATCTGCTAAGAAGCCATCTACACTTGGAATAAACAACAACCACCCAACCAACCACGAAAAAACTGAGCCTGTGAGTGAAAAATTCTACCTTAGGGCATCCAAAGCAAGAGCCTTTGACCCCACCTTCCTGCCTTCTCATCCCTGCAGCCTGTGTAGACACTGGCCCACTCCCCCTCCCACCTCTACTCAGCCCACTTCGACCCTCTCACACTCACACTCCACCACCCAACTTTTCCACTCACAAACATACAAAAGCCTCGCCCGCCCACCAAAGCAAAGCTTTTCCTTCCCTCTTCTGCTCTTCGTCGTACATACCGAATCCAAATTTACGGATCACCTGTGCAGTGAGTATTTATTTTACCGCACTTGATTCTCCTCATCGGGATCTCGTCACTAACTCATCCCCCTCACCTAGCTTTTACCTTTCAAATACACAACTCGATCACATCCCACCGCCAAAATGGGTAAGGAAGAGAAGAACCACATCAACGTCGTCGTTATCGGCCACGTCGATTCCGGCAAGTCGACCACCACTGGTCACTTGATCTACCAGTGCGGTGGTATCGACAAGCGTACCATCGAGAAGTTCGAGAAGGAGGGTAAGCACACTTCCCCAATCAATCTCATAATGCTGAACAACAAACTAACACTGCGACAGCTGCTGAGCTGGTATTTGAACACTCTGTAGATGATTTTTTCACTCGATTTCTAACACATTTTACAGGGCAAGGGCTCCTTCAAGTATGCGTGGGTTCTTGACAAGCTCAAGGCCGAGCGTGAGCGTGGTATCACCATCGACATTGCTCTCTGGAAGTTCGAGACTCCCAAGTACTATGTCACCGTCATTGGTAAGTTGTTTTCGCTCGTCGTCCCTCTCATTTCGAGCAGCTCCTGCTTCGATTTGACGAGTGCGATGAAAAGTAATTCTTCGTTTCACTCGCTTACTTTTGCCTTCCAGACGCCCCCGGTCACCGTGATTTCATCAAGAACATGATTACCGGTACCTCCCAGGCCGACTGCGCTGTTCTTATCATCGCTGCCGGTGTTGGTGAGTTCGAGGCTGGTATCTCCAAGGATGGCCAGACCCGTGAGCACGCTCTGCTCGCCTACACTCTCGGTGTCAAGCAGCTCATCGTCGCCATCAACAAGATGGACACCACCAAGTGGTCCGAGGCCCGTTACGAGGAGATCATCAAGGAGACCTCCGGTTTCATCAAGAAGGTCGGCTACAACCCCAAGACCGTTGCCTTCGTCCCCATCTCCGGCTTCCACGGCGACAACATGCTTGCCCCCACCACCAACGCTCCTTGGTACAAGGGTTGGGAGAAGGAGACCAAGGCTGGCAAGTCCACCGGCAAGACCCTTCTCGAGGCCATTGACGCCATCGATACCCCCAAGCGTCCCACCGACAAGCCCCTCCGTCTTCCCCTCCAGGATGTCTACAAGATCGGTGGTATTGGAACAGTGCCCGTCGGCCGTATCGAGACTGGTGTCCTCAAGCCCGGCATGGTCGTCACCTTCGCCCCTGCCAACGTCACCACTGAAGTCAAGTCCGTCGAGATGCACCACGAGCAGCTTACTGAGGGTCTCCCTGGTGACAACGTTGGCTTCAACGTGAAGAACGTCTCCGTCAAGGATATCCGCCGTGGCAACGTCGCCGGTGACTCCAAGAACGACCCCCCCTTGGGCGCCGCTTCCTTCAACGCCCAGGTCATCGTCCTTAACCACCCCGGTCAGGTCGGTGCTGGATACGCCCCGGTTCTCGACTGCCACACTGCCCACATTGCCTGCAAGTTCTCCGAGATCCTCGAGAAGATTGACAGACGTACCGGAAAGTCCGTTGAGAACAACCCCAAGTTCATCAAGTCTGGTGACGCCGCCATCGTCAAGATGGTTCCCTCCAAGCCCATGTGCGTTGAGGCCTTCACCGACTACCCCCCTCTGGGACGTTTCGCCGTCCGTGACATGCGCCAGACCGTCGCCGTCGGTGTCATCAAGTCCGTCGAGAAGTCCGCTGGTAACGCTGGCAAGGTATGTTCATCCAACTCACACCCCTCTCATGTGTCTTCGTCATCTAACATGCTCGTCACCAGGTCACCAAGTCCGCTGCCAAGGCCGGCAAGAAATAAGCGATTCACCTCACCAGGGTTGGTTGCTGAGTTCGCCCATGGCTTCACCGCCGTGGCTCACTCACTTCTACGGCTTTACGAATTCCCTTTGCGTAGCATGAGGACATTATGATATGGCGGAAAGCACGAATATCGAGAGGAAGGTTGGACCGGATGATTCTACGTCAAAAAAGCTTCTCATGATACGTGCCTAGTAGCACAAAAATAGAGTCCTAGAAGTGATTCCCAAGTTAAAAACAACGTCCCCCAATGCCGTGACATGATGCTTTCATGATGTGATGTCCCTTCTCAAAATCGTTTACCCCAGGGACGTGACTTCTTATTTTTGTTGTTTCAATAACCAGCCCTGTTACGTTTACCTTATCGGATTTTTGTGGCGAGAATGAGGCAGCTACGTGTCTTCCCACGATGTGTCAAGCCCGCGTAAGGTAGTTCGGTTCCGAGGCTTTCGGTTGCCTCTCCACAAGCCAAGGTTTGATGGTGGACCTTGATGTGGACCTGGTCTGGTACTTGAGCGCGGCGAATGATGCTCAAACTTCAGTGGATATCTAAGTCTGTTTGGAGTCGTGCCACTCATGCCTCGATGGACGTTTGGATTGGACAAAAGTAGGTAATCTTACTGACAAATCTCGGGGTGACCAGCCACCTTTTCTACCTCAGCGTCCAGACTAAGAGAGAAGGGCATTCGTACCTTGATCTTGACCAATGACATCCAGCTCATCACGTCCTCAGTGACCTATGCCATATTTTTGATCAAATAGCGTTGAGTGATTAAACGTATTATATATCGGTGATAGTACAATTGATCTACAAGTATTTGCTACATGGTCTTACAAGTCATCCTTCTTTAGCGTCTCAGCCTCGTCGCCCATAGAGGTCTTAACACCACTGTTCACAGAAGTCTCAACATCGCTGTCCCCTGAAGTCTCGGCTTTTACCTCCTCTGCGGCGTCCGGCTGCTCCTCAGCAAGATCAAGCTCACTTTCACCAAAAGCCTGCTCCTCTCCAACTTCCCCAACCTCAATCTCCTCAGCCGCAGCCGCCGTCGTCTCTTCAACTTGCGCGAACTCTCTAGCAATATCCCGCTCTCCAGTCCACTGTACAACACCTCCTCTCACAAAGTTTTCCGCGATTTCAAGGTACTTCCTCACATACGCCTTCTGTTCGTATTTTGACAGCTTTGCGTCGGCCGGAGCCGGCACAGCCTCAAGGTTCATCTGAGAGCGGCGACCGCCGTGCAGACCGGCCTCGATGCTCGCGTACTGGATCTTGTGGCCCTCATAACTCACCTCGAGAGTCCGACGCATCTCGAGACCGGCAAACATGTACTTCACGGGCCCGGAGACGCTGCCGTCGTCGTTGACGGAAGGCAGACTCGACAGCTCCACCTCGGGAGGCGGGCGCAGGCGTCCTTCGAGGAGGTCGAGCTTCGCGGCCTCAATATACTCGCGGAACGCAGATGAGTCGAGGGCATCTGGAGACATGGTGGATACCAACGGCTGTGAGAGGCGCAGGTCGACGGGTTCCGAGGGGTACGTAACGTCGGTGAAGGTCTGGCTGAGGGTGGCGACGAGACGTTTGGGAGTGGCATCCCACGCCAGGGGGCCATCCGGTAGGTCATCCGGGACGGTCAAGTGGAGTTCGAGGAGATCTGGAAGGCTGCGGGTTGTTTCCTTGGTCACGGAAGGGTGAGTTCGGAAGCCGAGGACGAGAGTAGTTATGATGGCGCTTTCAGGGTTCGCAGAAGTGACTGACTCCACGATGGGTGCGAGACCTGCGGGCGGCGGAGAGGCGGGTGAGAAGATGTGGTTCTTGGCTTTAGCTGCCTTGGCGATTGTGAAGCTTCCTTCATCGTATTTGTGGAGAATTTGGCCAAACGAGGCGGTTGTCGAGACGTACGGCTTGCTCCACGGAGTTTCTGAACCCACGGCCTGGGCCTCGGTGGTCAGAGGCAAAGGCAGGATGTCGCCCTCCGTAATGGTGAAGGCCCTGTCGAGAGAAGTTTCTCGACTGCCTTGCTTCACCCAGCGAGACCACTGTGTGAGCCTCTCCTTCCACGAAAGCTTCTCGTTACCGCGAGGCTCGGCAACAAGTCTTGCCTTCTTCACGTTTGGCTCATGCTTCAGGATGATAGACTGCTCTCTCGGAAAGAGGGCAGAGTGTAGCAGACGCTGAACGATATGACCTAGCTGTTCACCCGTGTCGTCTTGGTCTACTTGTTCACCGATGGCAACTTCCGTGTTTCCGTTTTTGATCCACGACACTTCAATCTGCTTCGCTATTAGACATGGCCATCCCGTGATACAGGAAGTCCAACGCACCTCTTGACGCTTTTTGCGGTCGATGAAAGTATTGGTGAGCTGGCCCAAGTTCCAGAGTAACTTGCCATCGACGTTGCTGTCAGCAAGCCAATCGGCTTTGAAGTTCTTCACGACGATAGCCTTGGAAGCTTCGTCCAGTCTCTGAAGGATCGCCTGTGTCTTGGCCTTGGTGGCGTTGATCTTTATTATCGAATCCGAGATATCAATACTTTCGCCCGGATCAAGATAGGACTCCCTGATGGCGTCCAGTCGCTGTTCTTCGTCTGCTTTTGTGTTAGATAACATTTCCATTACCGGGTCCCATTACTCACTCGTAAGCAGGGCAAAGAAACGCTCATCAATACGCCCGCTCAAGTAACCCTGGCCTTCGACAATTTCCCTCATGGTCAAGCGCCATGCCTCCAGCATGAGAGTCAATCCCAACCTTTCCTTAGCCGAGCCATCGATCTCGACACTGGCCGAGGGGGTCCAGGGTGTCAACACTTCTACAGAATCGTAGAGCTGCTGCTGCTGCTGCTGCTGCTGCTGCTTCTCCTTCGCCGCAATCGCAGCCCTTGCGTTCGCGCGGCTCAGATATGCCCTAAGCTGGGCAACTGTGAAGCCATTGATGAGGACATCCAGCAGCGTATAAAAGTCATCGTACGCGACAATGGGGTCCCAGGGCCGGATCTCGTCAAGGTTCGATAGTGCCTCCTCCATCGTCAGATCCTTCTCTTCAGCCTCAAGGCTTTGGCTGATGTCGATTGTATCGGGGATAATCTCGTGAATGGGCAATTGCTTAACGTTCTGGTTGCTGCCTCTCATGTCGCGCATTACGATCGCTTGTCCTTTTTCTCCCAGTATGTTGATGCCCAGTGCCTCGGAATGGACGTATACGCTACGATTGCCTACGCGGCGTCTCGAGAGGCGGTCGAGAGGGTCTTCGCCAATGTAGTATCTCTTCAAGAGAGGACCGCTTCGCTTTATGGGACCACCGGACAAGGTAGGAGCTGTCGGTTCGGTTTCGATCGATGCGCCATCTTGTTTTACTGTCGTGGAAGACGTCTGAGAAGGTTGTTCATTGATAGGCAAGACATCCCTCTCAGGCACTTTTCTGGTTGACGAATATTCATCCTTTCCTTCTGAAGTTCTGGTAAGGCGCTCCCATGCCGACTCGGAACTATACGTCCTTCGCTGGAGGAATTCGGTTCGAAAAGGGGCGAATCGAGGTGAGCTGTGAGCTCTCGGTCGGTCGAGGATTCGTAATTGGCATCGCAGGCACACACCACGAGCAAATACTGCTCGCGAAATCATTTGAAGGAAAGAAACGCAGATTAACGCTGTATGAGCACTCACATGCCTTTGCGAACATACAACCATGTCACTCAAACCAGAGCTCCCAAATTTTTGCGACGGGAGCTGTTGGCGATAAGATAAGAGATAAGATAAAGAAGCGCGAACTTCCCGCAGGTGCGAAGGGCCTAAAGTGGCACCGCCAAAAGCGCGTCGCGTCGCTCCAGACTGCAAATCCATTGAACTTTAGCTGCCTATTTACTTTATTCAGGTGAATAGCCTACACTTTTACATTCTACTACATGTAAAATACGAAACTTGAGTCTTCGAGATTGTCCCGTCAGAATCAAATTCCTTTCCATCCACCCAGAACCACTATGCCCCCTTCACAAAGACGGAGACGACCCGTATGCCCCGCGCCGAATCCTCAAAGGTCGCCTTCGAGACTGACAGCACCTAGGTTGATGATGAAGACTCAGAGGAGGAACCGAGACATCCTCGACAACGGCGAAATCAGGACGAATCCGCAGAAGAAGAAGGATCCGAACACGGCGCGGTAGACGCAGAGGCGAGCGCAGAAGATCAGCTGGCCAAAAAGCTGGTTCGATATGCTCTTGCCTGCGAATTTTCCCGGACGCCTATCCGTCGAGATGGTATCAAGGAGCGAGGTACTGAGCTACAATCGACTCGGAGCACAGTGAACATTACTGACGACCGCTTCAGTACTTGGAGATCAGGGTAGAGCCTTCAGAAAAGTCTTCGACCTGGCGCAACAGCAGCTCCGCCTCGTCTGGGGCATGGAGCTGCGGGAACTGGCAGTGAGGGAAAAGTTCACAATGGCGGAGAAGCGACAAGGCAAGTCTCCGACTCGAGATCATCTGGCGGCCCCCCGCTAACAACATGCAGCATTAAAGTCCGGCTCGCAAGCAAAGACCAGCTCAGGCGTCTACGTTCTTTCCTCGACCCTTCCCTCCGAATACCGTGCCCCGGCCATCCTTGCCCCCTCAAAAGCACCGAGCGCCGACGCCGAAGCCTCCTACGTAGGCTTCTACACCATGATCGTGACCATCATCTTCCTCAGCGGCGGCGAGCTGTCTGAGCAGAAGTTGCGGCGGCACCTGAATCGCCTCAACGCCGAGGCCAACGTGGCAGTGGAGAGGACAGAGGATGTGTTGAAGCGCATGCAGACACAAGGCTACGTCGTGCGGAAAGTTCAGAAGAACGCAGCGACGCAGGCGCAGGACGGCAGCGAGGACATTACATGGCTCATTGGACCGCGCGGGCTCGAGGAGATTGGCGCCGAGGGGGCGGCGGGCATGGTGCGTTCTGTCTGGGATGAGCAGGCTGATGCGGAGTTGGAGAAGAAGATTGGGGCGAGTTTTGGAATTCGTCCGGCTGAGGATGGGGATGGCGATGTGGATATGTCACAGGCCGAAGCTGGGCCATCGCATTGAGGTAGGCGTGGCGGCATAGAGACAGAGAGAAGGTCCAAGGTTAGGGACGCAATGTTCGGTGGAACGGGATACCCAAGAAGTAGCAAGCATTCCAAGCGTATGCATTTACGAACAGCCAATGATGGCGAATGGATTTCTGAGGGTGTCTAACCCTCCATTACTGATTCTCGACCACAATATCCCCAACGCCAGTGCCCTTGCAAACCCCGATGTTTCTTCCAAGATCCATGCTTCGGTAGTCTTCGCTGATCGTTAATCTTCGCGTTGTGGTGGTGGGCCAGCGGGTTGCATCATTTTCTAGAAGCAGTCAGCAAGCGCGTCTCGGATCGCCTGGGGCACGTAGGTAGGCTGGAATATACCCTGATTAACCTCGCACGCAAGAGCTGTGTGGGCTCATTCTCGGCCAGCGCCATGTACGACAGCATAGGGGGGTGGCCGGCGATGGATGAGTACGTGTCGCGGTAAATGTTGGTCTTCCACTCCCAACTCGTCGTATCGGGGTGTCCTGTACCAACATACTTGGCCTGAAGGCGCTCGAGTTCTTGCTGGTTGCGGAGTTTATCGGCCTACATATCACTACCGTTAGACACTTCCCAAGTTTCTTACGAACATGTCTACATACCATGTTGTCTTGTGTTGCTGAGCAGAAATGTGGATGTTGTTTGCGATATCGAAAAGCTTCAATCCACAGCATTGTCTTCCATGGATGCGCCGGCTGAAGCTCGGCAGACGTTCACCGAACAAAGCTGGAAGGGACGTGCACGTCCAAGCTAGGTGCCTTCACCTTGGAGACCCACTCCTTTCCAACTCAACCACGGACTTCTCAGTCTCCTTCATCTACCTTACATCTCAACGTAAACAAAAGGAACTCTATCAAATAGACAATCTTGCATCTCATTGCAATTCTATACTACTCTCATTATCCAATCAGTTTGGGGGGGTTGAAATCCTATTACTTTCCCAATCGACACCTTCGTTGCCTACGACAACCACGACAACGACGCCACGATGAGCAAGACCCAGATCCAGCAGAGGGCTCTGCAGGCCAAGCGGAAACAGCAGAAAAATGAGGCCGAATCCATCGAAAAATTGAAGACCAAGTGCGCGGAGGAGCATAGTAAGGCCCACGTTGCCCACTGCAAGGACTGTTACGGGGAGGTTGTGGAGACGATGAGAAGCAGATATGCTGATTCCAAGGATGAGTGGTTCTCCGACAACAAGGCCTTCCTAAGTGATCTCGATGGCTTATTCGCCAAGCTGAAAGACTTTACGGAAGACCTCAAGTCCATCGAGGCTCGGATCGACAAGGAAAAGCAGAGACATTACCGCGAAACTCTGCCCAAATCGGTAGCGGGACAGATCGCTGAGGCCTCGATTGGTAAAGACGAATTCCAGGCTTCGTTGGAGGACGAGCAAAAATCCACCGCTGCTGTTATTGAAGATGTTCGAAAAGTAGTCGGTAGAGGAGTCAACAGCGCACCGGGTTTGGAGGAGCTTGCACCGAAATTCGACGACCTGCCGCCAGAGAAGGCAACCGACGTCGTCATTGACGTCTTCTTCCGCAACCCGAGCACGGGCGAAATTCCGGCATCATGCAGTAAGTACGTGGAGAAGCTGCGGTCCGGAGCATCCATCGACGAAGTGATGGGGGCCATGCAGGCCGACAAGTCGGCTAGGTCCAATGCTGCCGGGAACATGGACAGGCACAAGCGAACACTGAATGAGCTCAAGAGGGCGCAAGCAGCACACGAGCAGGATAAGCTCCTGAAATCTCAGAAGCGGCAGCAGCCCCCGCCTCAGGGGCCGCAAGTCAACAAGGAATTGTACGATCTGCCGCCGTGCCTCGCATGCTCCGGCAAGGTCTCATCGGACGTGATCGCGTGCCCTCTGTGTTTGATCTTTGCCGAGTTGAGCCTCACTAAGAGGACAGTCTTCGACTCGGAAAAGTGTTACGAGGCGGCATACGTAAGTCATTTTCTACCACTGCACCATTTCATCGCAGGCTAACATGTGATGCAGGATGAACACGTCAACACGGCGCACAGCTGTGCGGCAGGGAAGGGATGCATCCAGCTCAAGGAGGAAGATGAGGAGATGGGCGGTAGCGGCGAGGGGCCTGTGATCTGTGAAGAATGCGCAGAACAGCTGGGACAGAGTATAGTGTATTGTTCATCCCGCTGCGCCAGCTCAGATTTCCAGCCTCATCGTGAAGGGGTTCACATCCCGAATTGGAAGGGACTCGGCATCGATATCGGCACTCAGGGGGAGCACTTGGTCTACGACAACGATGAGAAGACCAAGTATCACGTCAACGACATCTCCAAGTTTGTGTGGCGGCTTGACGACGCGTTTGATCGCGTCTTCAAGGGGAGCAATCCTGATATCAAAGATGTACAGCGCTAAGGAAGTGCTCACCAACATGACTCCTTCGAAGACTTTCAGTAGAGTTGGTACAGCGCGACATTTCTTACGAGGCGAATCTTGCCCGTGAGGTCGGCTTATGATAACAAATACATCCCATTCAAATAACAAAGCATTATCCTACCAAACCTTCCAACTCAAATAAGCGTATCCGTGAGTGGTTGACGAGGCTCATGGTGACGTTTCAGAAAGCCACGCTGGCACTCGAAGACTCCGATGTAGTTCGGAACTTATCGTCAGCACCAAGGCCAAAGCCACAACCACGGTCCACGGCAGCTCCAGCACCTAAGCCGGTTCGGTAAAGCATCCAAACTTCCAAAAAAGACCCCTGGAATCCGCCCTAAGAGCGGAGCCGCTTAGCCTGACGCATGCAGTTCTCTCAAGACACCGGCCAATCAACAACATCCGAAGGTCGCCGGAGGACTCGTTCGACTCATTCGCCGCCCTTTTCCTCAACCCATGTCTCTCTCACCCCGCGAAACTGCCAAAGTGCCGGATGATTTGGTTCTTGTGGAATTACACCCAACTCACTCCCCCCTCCCCCATCCGCTCACCTGCAAGACATCCAAGGCGCCAGCTGAGCTCTGAGCTGATCAGATAACGCTCTCATTCCATCGGCTCCACCATCTTCTCTTAGCTTGGCGTAGCTTCGTAGGCAGTGGATCTCGACTTTACTCTCCCAGCTCGTCCAGACACGGGAGGTCGCCGACCACTTCCTCTTCGTCTCTCTCTCACTCTCTGCCAAGCTCTTCTGCAAACATAATCAGCACTCGTGCCTATCACATCACTCTTTTCCGGGCCGAATACCCGAGTATCCCATAGTCCCGATCCGTCACTCCGCTTCGCCAACGCATCATGGAGCCCGGTACCGATCCTGACGCCGGCGCCAACCCGCGGCAGAGGGTGACCAATGCCTGTGAAGCGTGCAGGGCAGCCAAGGTCAAGTGCCAGACCAGTGTGCAGCTGGGAATATGTCGAAGGTTTGTTGTGTGTGGCCACCCTTAAGCCGGGCGGTACTCCCCGAGCTGCCCCGGCGTATAAGTCGATCCGTCCGTATGCTCACCAACCGACCAACCGACCCAGATGTCTCGACTTCAAGAGAGAATGCATCTTCCGCACCGGGCCCAGGACCCGTCGTCCACGGCAGTCCAAGCAGTAAGCTCTCTCGATCTTCTCCGTTCTCTCTACCTCCTATTGGATGGCGAATCAACTTCCTACTGGGTTTACCGCCTCACCTACTATACTCACATGTACACTGCTCCAGGAATCAGGACACCCCTAGACCACCCCCTCCACCGGGGCCCTCAAAGACATTCAGCATCGACTTTGAGATGCCCCAAGCAGAAGAAGCCGACGACCTTGAAACCCTCGCCGCGCGCCACGACAAGTACTTGGAGGAATTTCTGCCTCCAGAGTCCGACCTAGAGTCCATAGACATGATGTTCGGCCTCGACGCCGGCTCCGGCAGCGGTCCCCACTCGGCCATCTCGTCTCCACCGTCCTCGGGCCCGTCCGTCTCGGTATCGAGCTTCGGTCTCAAACCGCAGTTCAACCTAGACTCGGCCGAAAAGCTGCTGTCGACCTTCCGCGTCATGCTCAAGCATTTCCCATGCGTGGCACTTCCGCCCGACGCAACAGTCACGTCCTTGTCAAAGACGAAACCGTTCATGCTCCTCGCCATTCTATCGACGGCGTCTGCTACTAGTGCATTGCAGGGTCACACCCTCTACGATGAAGAGTTCCGCAAGATCCTCGGTCTCAAGTTCGTGGCCGGCGGCGAGCGGACGCTGGAGCTCCTCCAAGGCCTGCTCATTTACACTGCATGGTAAGTTACGTCACCTTTGACTCGTTCTAGCAAGAACTCCTCCTCTTACAAACAGAATCCAGGTACCCCTTTCATCTCCGCCCAAAGAACAAGCAAGCCTTCCAATATGTGCGCATGGCGGCCGAGATCCTCCACGATCTCGAGCTGAACCATCCACCTCAAGGCGTAGGCTCACAAGCTGGTTGTGGGGCGGCGTCATCGTCGTCGTCGTTCTCTACGCCAGATCAAATGGACGGTATCCGTGCCTACATGTCCTGCTACTATCTGGTCTCAGCGCACGTACTGCCCTTTCTGCAGTATTTCCGCCGCACGACTCTGACCGATGCTAGATTCGCAATGGCCTGGGCCAAGATGGCGATCCTGGCCCTCGACTACACATCGTGGACGGCCACCTGCTGCGATCTGCTCGAGCACAACTCTGCGCTCAAGGGAGACCACACTCTCGCGTGGCTCGCTAGGCTGGTTCACATTACCGAGGAATCGGCTGCCATCTCAAAGACTATCCCACAAGGGGAGCAGGCGAAGCAGCAGGTTCATTTCATGTTTCTCGGGCTCGAGAGCCAGCTGAGGGAGTGGCAAGGCCGTATACCAAGCAGCCTCGGCGACATCAGTCAGTCTTTATTCTCTCATCCACCTGGCAACTCACACTCACTTTCATACTAACTCACACGTCGCAGACTCCCTTACGCTAGCAAATCTCTTCACCGAAATGTTCCTCCTCGCTGGGCCGATCTACACCCTCCGCTCAACAGCAAAAATAGGCGACAGCGACCTTGGCCCTCCCATCCCCGGCCCCCGCCTCGACAAATGCCTAACCCTCCTCCGCACCCTCTTCGACTTCATGACCAACCTCCCCGCCGCCGCCTTTGTCGAGCTCAGCTCCATCGACTGGGGCCGCTTCATCCAGGCCGTCATCCTCGCCATCCGCCTCTCTTTCCCGATGCCGCTCTGTCCGGAGTGGGATCACGCCCGCGCCCGCGAGCAGCTGCAGTTCGACTCGTATCTCGCCCGCCTGTGCGCCAACAGCGAGGCTCTGACGTTGACGCCCGCGACGAAGAGTACCATGGACGTCTTGTCGGCTGGAAAGGTTGTCTTTGCGGTCGTTAAGCGTAAGTACGAGGCTCGCGTCGCCAATATCGAGACGCCAGTGAATAAGTTGCCGCGGACGATTCGCGGGTGTCCGATGTTTGACGGGAGTCTGGATCAGTATTTCCCGATTTGGGACCAGGATCTGAGTAGGGATGGCACGCATGGGCTAGTCACACCGGCGCCGAATGGGACGCCTGTGATGGTGAATGGACAGCCTGTTTATAATGACCTGTGGGCAACGATGGCCATGAATTGGCCTGATGGAATGGCTGGTGCCGCTACACCGGGGTTTGATTTGGGACAGGTCCAGGATCCGACGATGAACCTCGATCCCTCGTTTCAGGGGGTCATGAATCTTGGGCCTTCCCCTAGTGGTAGCGGGTAGTGGGTTTAATTGGTTCGCAGCATTCGGCGCTCGATTTGCTACTAGTGTTCTATTGAGCAGCGACAGCGAACCTTTTGCTTTGAAATTGGCGTTTAGTTCCGGGTCTCTTTTTTTTTTTTTAGAAGGCGGGCGAGATGTTAGCTTCATCATTGATTTCGGAGTACGGGGTGTTACAATCTGGTAGAAGAATATCATCACTATTGCTTCTAGATTGTCATCGTCGTCTGACCCCTGACCTCATTGACACATACATTGTGGAGTACAAGAGAAAGACCAATTGGCTACTGCCTTGGGCCTGCTCATCGCGGAGTGTAAAAGGCGCCTCGGTGGAAGGCAAGCAGCCGGCAATTGCCCCGGGAAGTAGCAGGATCAGAGTGCCCCTACGTTGTTGATGAGAGCCAGGGGGGCTTGAGGGCGTACCCAATTAACCGCAGTGATCAGAGCTAGTAAAGTGGTAGAAAGGAAAAAGCTCTCTACTAGAGAGACAAAGGCTCTGCGTTTGTTCACTTCTCGTTACCCCGCTTGTATTCGTCTTGCACTCATAATAAATATCACGATAGTAACAAAGCAGGAGGGATAAAGCTCTCGACTAGGGAGATAAAGCCTTGATATATATTTACTTCCCGTTACCTTATTTGCATTTGTCTTATGCTTATAATACATATTCTCCATAGCTTCACGTGTGTGGTATAGACTCGAGATGTTTGGGGCAAGGCTGGTTGAGGTGGACCAGCGTCTCAATGAATAATCAATTCAGAGAAGGCGAAGGGGGAAGCCTTCTATTGGAACGGCCCTATTATGAAGTTTCAAAGACCTATGACAGCGGTAGAAAGCAAACAGCCGACACAACCAATCACAGGCATTCGTGAGGGCCATCAAAGCCATGGGGGGGCATTTCGGCCACAGCGCAATCTGAGTCTTTGGCATCATATATTTAGACATAGATTTGAGATATTAAAAAGTCAAAAAGGAAAGATACAAAGCTTCAAACTAGTGAGATAAAGGCTCGGTGTTCGTGCACTTTCTGTGATCCTATTCAGATTCGTCTCCCGCTTACGACGAATAATATGACAATAACCCAGTGAAATGTTGCGGCTGGCATTTAGATCTCGGATTATAGAAAGATACAAGAGCACCAAGAACATATACCTACACATGCACACACTCTACCGCAACTCACTCGGCAACAATGACCTGCGGATTGGACAGAAAGGAGCATCGCTTCCAGAACATGTGTGGCAAGAATTGTGGCGAGTAGACTCGGCCTTCAGACTTAGATAGTCAGTGAGGTTGGCAGTGGTGCTATTTAGCTGCCTTGCTGAGGGTAATTATACTGGTAGCCTTGCAGTGTGAATCTGTGGATAGTATTATCCCTAGTAAACGAGCATTGCCTGAAGAACGAGACTGACAAAATAGTAAAGGATCGACTTGGATTAAAGTCCACACGTGGATTGCGAGGGTTTGCCACGGAGGCCTTTGTATTTTCACAGGGCAATGGCAAAGGTACGTGAAGCAAGCAAGCGAGAAAGTCAAAACTTGAGTCTGGTTCAGGACTTATATTGAGCTTCTTGTAGTAACCTTAGATCGTTGAGGAACTTGTCTATCATATTCAGAGAAATCGACACACCACTCTTTGGGCGAAACGAGATAGACAGGAACATGGAGGTTCAGCTCATTCTTCAGAACTCCATCACAACCTTGAGATCATGAGAGAGCTATCGGGGAACTCTGGATCGCCTGCTCATAGGGGACAATAGACGCAGTAGTACTGCAAGTGCCCACTTCGAGAGAGATGTCAAAAGTGACTTCCCAACATCAAGACTCTATTCTCGAATATGTTCATAGCAAATATTTTTTTGCTTCTAGAGGGACTACATCCGCAACTCTCCCATCCATGTTTCGACTGGGAACCTATCTAGATAAACACATGGCATGGGCTCCTTTATATCGGCCTCCCTTCATCTTCACCTTCCGCATGCCAGCTACTGCTCGAGGTAGGATCTTCAAGCAAGATTGAATTCATCAGCTAAGGGAGTCTGCCGCATTGTCCTGATATCTGACATTATATTAAAGGGGACTAAGGCCCGCTGATATCTCTGCCTTACCTAGATCTCTCCCTCTCGGCCACTTGATCTGACTACGTTCAGTTGATATACCCTTGGCCCTCACCGTAACCCAAACACATAGTGATCACGCCAGACAACCACTCACCTCCCCCCTCGAACAGACCTCGTTAGAATCGAAAACACATCCCCAATCCACCCAGTCCACCCCCTAACATACTCAACCGTATTCATCACCCGAATCCACCTCCACACAAAGGCCTCGCAATCCTTATAATCCTCCGCGTACACATCCCACACAGCAACCTTTTCCCCCTTCTTGCCTTCCTCACCTCCCTCCATCAACCCCAAAGCATCAACCTCCGGCCCAACAAGCAGCGCCCTCCCAACAACCCCCTCATCAGCAACAAGCCTCGTCGCAGCATCAACCACATCTCTCCCCTGCGCCCCGCCCGCCCCGCCCCCAAGCAACGCCGCCTCCGCCGCCCCAGGAAACATCTGGCTCCCGCTCACAAAGTACGGACACACCATATTCATCCGCACCCGGTGCCTCATATACGCCGTCCCGCGCATCGCCCGGAACAGCCCCGTCACGGCGTGCTTCGACATGGTATACGGCGCCTGGCCCGGGAAATGCCCCACGCCGGCAACGGAGCCCACGAGTAACAGGCACCTGTCGCGGGCAGAACCAGAACCAGAACCACCGGCACCGTTCCCGTTCCGTGGAAGCCAGAAGAGGGCAAGGTGCGTCGTATACGACAACCCTGTAATATTGACGTCGATGATCTTGTTCGACGGCTCCCGCGGCGCGTCAGGGTCCGTCCTCGAAGCCTGCGGCATCTCAAAGCGCCCGTTTGCGCCAGGCTCGTTGACGCCCGCGTTGGCCACGACGACGTCAATGACGCCGCTCGGCGAGAGGCGCGCACCGTCTTTGAAGAAGTTTACCTGGGACTCCCAGGAGGTAACATCGCAGGTGACAAAGTGGTGCGATCCTCCTCCTTCTCCTCCTCCTCCTTCTACTCCTTCGCCCCCCCGCTTCGGATACGCAGCGCGAAGCTCGGCGACAAGAGCCTCGCCCGCGGCCGGGTTAATATCACCAACGATAACATTAGCCCCGTGCGAGGCCCACTCCCTCGCAAATGCCGCGCCGAGGCCGAGTGCGCCGCCGGTGATGAGGACGGTCTTGCCGGCGAGGGTGGAGGTGTCGTAGGGCTGCGTTGTGTCGACGGGTGGCGAGAGGTTCGTTACGGGGATGAGGTTGTGGTAACCTTGTGCGACTGTCATGATGGAAACGTGGGAGGACGGAACGGCGCAGGCGCAGGCGCGTGAGAGCGGTGAGCGGCGAGTGAGTGAGTGAGTGAGTGAGGGGAGGATGAGTGACACGCGGCTGTAACTACGCTGTTGTGAGACGTTGTGATTTTTTGTTGAGATGCGGGAGGTTGCAGTAGTCGATGAGCAACGTCCCGGGGTGACTTTTGTGATGAGTGAAGCAGTTCAAATGAAGAACAGTAGTAGGTAAGGTTTTCAAATGTATTTGATTTTCATGTATGTAGCAGAAAAAGGGGATCATTTGAAGAGGCAGTTTTATTAGTATTACACATTCTTAGAATAAACGACCAGCCAGGTGTTCAGATTACATATGTCAAATCATCCCTAACAAGCCACGCGATGCGAGGGCTGGAAACGACAGAAAAGAAGTGGACTTGGAACTGGGACTGACGCGGCCAAAGTGCCCCGTCAGGTAAGAATCTGACAGCGCCGCCAGGTCACTCTGTAAGGTGTAAGGTAAGCACCGTATACCGTAGCGCGCTGCGGCTGAACTACAAGACCCGAGCCATGTGTCGCCTCGGCTGGCAGGATTCCCGTCCCTGCATCAAGTTGCGCGCGAAAGGAGAAAAGAAAATGAGGGCTGGAGGGCCGGAGGAGGCGGGGGAGGAGGCACAGTTCGTCTTGCAAAGATAACGGCGGATCTTTCATCAAAGGAGGTTTTCGTCTCCGCCCCGGTGACCGGCGCGATGTTCCAGGATTACATTCGGTCGGGCAGAGAAATAAACACGGAGCGGGGCGCCGGAGCTTCACTGAAAGGTGCTCCCCCGATCCGTTGGACTTGTGGGGGAACGTTTGAGGAAACTCTTTTGATATGAACAACTTCGAGTCAGGGGAAACAAAATAGCACCTCATGCAACTCTCGCCGGAGCCGCTTGACCTAGACGGGCAAATAGGTACGCGGCGGCGGGGGCCCAGCGGGCGTCGAGCCCGTGTTCGGAGCCTGTATTCGGGCTGAGTAGGTATCCTTACTCTGTATCTGTATGCCCATAGTCATTATTCGTAGTCAGCCACATGCTTAAAGATTGAAGCACCTGCACGTCGACAAGCAGGACGAGGTTTAAAAAGCTGACCCTGGAGATAAAACCCCAGACGCAGTGCGGCATGGGGCTCTGTGGGCTCCGTGCCAGGCTTGTCGCGCACACCCCCTTAACACCAAACCTGCCCCCCTCTACCCCCGCCTAATGTTTCGGTTGTCTCGGGGCCTGCATATAGTTGCTGCTGCCCGTGAAGTCTCCCAAAAGTGTGTGGTCCAAATTTAGACTCGATGGGAAGGAGAGCGAGGAGGGTGTATGGTTGCGGCGACATTCGGATGAGTGGTGTTTGGTGTGCTGCAGCTCGCACGCTTGTTGATGATAGAAAAAAGAAAGAAAACAAGCTTGGGGAAGGCATATTTTTGCTCTCAAAGGCACATATTTTTGTCGTTGGCTTGCTTTGACCTTCCTCTCACTTACAGAATACAGACCCAATCCTCGAGATAAGCCGCCTGAGCAAAAAGCAAGACTTTCTGACGGCCGGGCAACCCTGTCTGCCCAAGACCGCGGAAGCCCCCCGAGTGGTTGACTGGCAAGGGGACAGAGATTCCCACAGAGGTCAGATGACCTCGACTTTGAGCGGGCAAAGTTGGCCGCGCCTCTATTACCGTGGCTCCATGGGCACCCGGGAGTGCTTTCTACGCCGGCAGTGAATCGTGGTGGTTCGACCAGCCACTTGGGCTTTTGGAAGCGCGGCGGCCCATAATCACATAACAGACGCGCTCCGATTGTCTTGCGCATACCACCGTTCGGAACCTGGAGTATTCATGTCGGGCTGACCTGTGATCGGGCAGGATCTGTCATGATAACGCAGGCTCTGCTCTGCGCAAACAAATACCGTCCAGCCTGGGCCTGGCGGCGGCTCGGCGCTTCGGCCACCCGAACGCCTGTCTTGTCCAATGTTGAGAGATGATGGGGGGTTGTTCGCTTCAGTTCCCAAATACTCCAAACTCTTTCCAACATGCTTGAGAATTAGCTCTTCCGATCCTTTGCAAGACAACGCAAGCAATAGCATTGGCTTCTAAACACACCTGCCAAACTTCAGCCAGCCACATTCTGCTGTTGGCTCGTTTGCTCGCATATCTCTTACGGTTCGAGTGGGTCTCACCTCGAATCTCATGTTTCAATCGAAAGCCCGGCCGATATCAGTGGCACGAGAAGGACATGGAACCGGAAAACGAGAGAACAGGTCCCGTAGGATATCAGCGGGTTTCCGTAGGCTTTCCAACGTCGGCAGTCATCTGGGCAAGTTCGTGAGAAACGACAGCGCCAAGCTTTCCCAAGAACCCCGCAGACCCCTCTTGTGAACGGTGGGACAGGCGACTCCATCGTATCGGAAGTCTTCCTGGCAGACACCCTCCCCGTTGGGTGGTCCTGACTCTCCATTCCTTCGTCTTCGGCCGCTTTCAGTCCAGTCGACCCCGCCATCATTCAATCTTAGCGCTTCTGCTTGGTCGAATGCCCCCTCATGAATGTGCTCATACTCCGTCATTGTTCGCAATGTCTCGCACCTTCAGCATCTGGAGTTAAAAGCCGGAGAAAAAATCGCTGCTGTGACAACCCTTCTCGTCATGCTGACAGTTGTGAGTGGTTACTAATTGCAACCTCTCGCATCTCCATATCTCCTCGGCAAATTGAGCTCGAGCTAATACAACGGCCATAGAAGGTGACTATCACGTCTGAGAATCTAGTTAGTAAAAATGTGACAACGTGACGGTCAACTGCGTGCCACGAGAGAATCGAGGCTGCTTTACCTGGCCTTCAAAAGACCCAGGATTCACGACCTGTATGGAGATTGTGATTTCAGATCGCATATACAGAGGCAATAGCCAGCGTTCAGCGTCAGTTTGTGAGTACCCCGCTGCGGATAGAGATGCGCCGTTGCGGATCATTCACAAGTGACAGATGTCAGACCGAGCCTCCAAGGCCCAGGTCTGACGGTGTAGCTGGTTTAGCCGGAGCCGGACACATGCCGACAGCATATCGTTGTTGGTCTCGGTAGTGAAGAGATGTCATGATTGGCAGACCTCCCCACCCTCAAGTTCCTCAACCAGCCACGACGGCCTGGTGTCTTTTCATGAGGTTACGAGTTACCGAGTCAAACTGGGGCTTGCTTACGGATATTCCTCATCCTGTCCATGTCGTCCTAGACAGCACCCAGGCCGCTAGACCAAGTTGGAATAGGGTTACTCAGAAGACATTAGAATGCGCCGGTATGCTCTGCCCGCAAAGTTTGGACCCATATCTCCAAACGCTGAGCGCTTGAATTCGTCCCAACATTGCATCTTCCTTGCTAGTTTCAGGATTCTGCATCCGGAAGTGACTGGCCATGGCATCCGTACAGTAGACCCATGCACGACAAGTGGTACTTTCCAGGGTTGCCGGCCAATGAGACTTTACTTTCTTGAAGTCATCTCTGCTGTGCGTGATTTGACTTTTCAACGGTTGGCTGACGAACAAAGGACGTACTCGGTCGTTCAGGGAACAGAAAGATACTAGAATGGGTGACACATGAGAAAGTGGCTTACCCTGATTATCTTTTGGACTTAGTACTTGTGTGAAGATGAAATGTTGGACCTGACTCCTCGTACGCTGTCGACGCACCTCACACGTCTGTTGACAGCTTAGGATCTATCGTCGATGCCGCCTTGATGAGGAATATCAAATTCACTCTGTCGAAGCAATGAAGGTTAGTTGCAAAAAAGACGGGTCAAAACCCGCGGCGCTTGAACTTTAAGTTCAGAGGGAAAAGCACAAAAGGCGAACTCATGCAAGGCTGGAGTTCCTCGAACGTTCCCTGCGCATGGTTAACCGCGAAGTCTGTTCTTTTGCGTAACACCAACCAGACAAAACAGTACACAAGATGAGCCTCAACGAGGTGAACTGTCGAAAATTCGCCCGCTCTACGCAGGTGCCTTCAGAAATAAGGGGTGAATCGACAGCCTCTGGAAATAGATGGTTTACAAGAACAACTAAGCTTCTGGTATGTAATTGTCGTTTGCATTCGTATCTGTAACCGCACTGGGCCATGGAGAAGGATAGTCAGTACGTCTTGAGAGCTCGCGCTCTCTCTTGAGTCTTTGACTACCACTAGCTAGTACTCAAATTGATGAATAGCTGATTGCCCGAAGAAAGCATGGGTGCCCTTTGTTACTTCGATACAACCTAAGAATTGTTGGTGTGCATTTCGAGGCCCTCCGCAAGTAGGGAACGTAGAGCGGCACATGCTGAAGCGTGCAGGGGGAAGCTCGGCAAAGATAGCATGGATCCCTTTCCATAGATAAATGCGGTACCCGAGCCTTTGGAAGGTTGATTCGTTTGTGACACAAAGTTCTATTCCCAGCCTCATGTCTCTGACGTGCTGGATCCTCCGGTATTGCTGTATTCAGAGCGTTCGCCAATCTTGTGAAAGGGCGAAAACGAGGTGGCTCTCGGATTTGTTCTGGTTAAAACCTATCCTTCCATCCAACTAATCGTACTCTCTGTCGGGGTAGGATGGTCCTTCAAGTTCTTAACGCGATGGCGAGCTGGTGACGGGCCAAACCAGATGTCAGTAAAGAGCATCAGATCGCAGACGTGACAACCGGGCCGCGGCAAGACGTAAATTCAAGCACCAAAGGTAACTATGTAGAGTGTTTAAGACATATCGCGGAGTACTACTAAGAAAGAGAGTGCGAAGGCAAGGCGTTGCAATGTGATAAAGTCCTTATATAATACTGATAAATACCTTGCAGGCGTCCGGGGGAGTCTGGAGAAAGACGCTGTTAGGAAGCCGTGGTTTCGGACACGCCAAGACAAAGATCTAGAAATCAAGTGAGGGAGGAACTCTCATAGAGTCTTCAGTGTTGCAGTGTCTACCTCGCGCGGCAGTTGAAGCAGCTTATACCCGTGAGTTTGATGGTTGGTGTCATGGGGAAGAGGTCAGCGCGAGACTTCAAGTTGCAACTTGACTATTTTGACAAGATGCAAAAATTGCCCGCTTTCGACAGTTGCGAGAGTATTTTATGAAGATGGTCAAGTCGACAGAGTGTGTCAATAGCACGCCAAACTGACACAACGACCTGACGAGCCGGCCATACTCGTCTGTCCGTGAGCAAGCAACCGCTGGAGGAGGGCAACAAGTGTTGTAGCAATGCCACAAGTTCGTTGCTTAAAGATATCGGTAGTAGCCCCTGCTCTCATTCTGTCTTCCTTGTGAGGGCGAACCAACAGATAATGGTGAGAGCAGTCGGGTAGCCTCCAGCGTTGGCCTGAAAGAGTTTTCTCTTCACAATAGCTCACCCCAGAGTGTAACCCCCCGGACTGACCGGATACGGATAAGCGCGGACCGGAGAGCGGCTTTGATGTCGAGCGAGCTAGGGAGCGAGAACCTACGGCTGCACTGGGCAAGGAAGGTCCTGTCGTGCAAATCGTCTTTGGCAACCCAGCGCAGAGGGGATTATCTGGCTGTCAACGTCTAGCAAAAGTAGGAGAGCCTGTGAACCCACCAACTTGACCCAGAGTGATGCCAGGGGGTCTGAGTACGCACGCGTGCACCTTGCGCCTTGCACCCGCTTGAAGTCTCTCCACCTTCAGGTGCAAGATGTGCCCGTACAAGCCTGCAGGTCATCGGCTGGCTGAGAGCATGTGCTTGCGAGATGAGGAGCTCTTTGAAATTCTTCGGACTTTCGACTGTATCAGCGGCGAGCAGAGTTGCAGAACAACAAGGGTCTGAAGATGCCTAATGAAAGGCGCACTGCCATTCCAGGGAGGAGCCATGTTTGATAAGTTGGCGGGGTCGAGACTGGACGAGTTGCGTCGGGGCAAAGACCGACCCATTGGTTTCTGTCCGGCATGGCCAGAGGCAACCCCCGGGCCGGAAGGGTTCAGAAAAAGAGTGGCATCGTGTTGAGAGCCGGAAAATCGGAGCTTACTCGGCAATCCAATGAGCAGCCATAGTCTTGCTCTAGTGTCAGGGTGGGAGGCTGGCCATGGTGTGGGTGACCAGGCACGAGAACCGGTCGGTCAGCATTGCCGGGGGACTCTGTCAAAGTAAACGCAACAATCTAAAGCAAAGAAAGTGTCCAAGGAGGAGGGGAATGATGCCACAACCCTCTGGGCCGATCTGCAGGTTGAGAAAAGTAAGGGATAAGCTGTGCTGTCCTTGACGTGGATTCAGGGCCCAAAGCTGTCATACCTTCTCGAAACCGCTCCATCTGTAGCTTGCCAGTTCCCTTGCTAGATGGTGTCAGGCGTATTGCTTTGCAGTCCAATCAGGTTTCTCCGTCTTCGAGCGTGATGGATAGAGACACGCTTCCCATAGCCCCCTTTCAACTTTGGCCGGCTCTGAAGCCACCCCCACACTCAAGCGACAACCTGGCAGCCTTGATGACAAGTCGGCCAGCATCGCGATTGGTAGGTGGCATCCACTCGTTCAACCTCCTGGCTGGGCTACTATCACGTCTACTCTGGCCGTAGCAGAACCTCGAGGTGCCAAAGTCTCAACCGCATATCATACCTGTTACCAAAGGATGCGCCCATGTAGATATCTTGCCTGCAGGTATATGTGTGGTCTGCTAAAGGGTTTCGGGGGGTCTCACCGCAGAAGTTTGATTATCTGCATTTGACGGCACCAGCAGGCTTGCGCCTCGGCGCATGCAGAATGTGAATGTGTGAGGGGGGAACGGGTGAAGGATGTTTTGACTGCCGGCAGGAGGGCTGGTGATGTCTAGACGCGGCACAGACTCAACTCCCCAGAACTCAAATTATACAATGTTGTCGGGTCAGAGCATGAAAAATGTCCATAGGTGAGAGGGCAGTCCGAATGTCGTCGGCGTCTCCAAGGATCTTGGCAGTCGAGCCCCAAGGGCAATGAGCGACAAAGTGCATGTATCCTCTAGCCGTGACCAGACACGGCCTGCGGGTACCTAGCCAGCAGCCCCCCCCCCCCCAACCAAGACTCCGATATGGAGAGTATTTTGCACTTCCTTACGGTGGATGCACGATGACGGCTCATGATGTAGCGGTGCAGTTGACAAGAGCAAGGGGTTTCATCGAAAGAAGTGTACGAAGAGGTGACAGGGCTGGCGTCGACACCATCTTTTGTCTGCGTCGCAGAAAGTTGTTGGCCTTGTCCGCAGGTTGACACTTGGAGGGAGAACTTGGAATCCGTTGGAGAGAGAGCCCTACAGAAACGAAGTGAATACTCCGTGTGGGCAGCAGCCCATGTCCAGGTCCTGGTTCACGCTATCGCAGCTCCGCACGGGCGTAAGGGTCTGGTCGGGTCCCTTGCTTCGCGGATGCGGATGCGGTGTTCCTTGCCCCATGCTGCTGGGCTGATGGATAAGCACACGAGGTATCCGTAGGTACTTGGAGACGGAATTGCTGTCGATAATGGTGGGTGCTGCTACGTACGAGTACCGGGTCCGGTCTGGTAAGGCAAGGCGAGTGGGTTAGTAGGCTAACGTTCTATGCAGCTTGGTTTGGTTTCCGCCAACTGACCGGCGTGATGGGCACATGGCCTCATCTGGTCTGTGGTCTCGCGTGGTAGATCAGGGCCGACAGATTTGTTGGAGCCAAGGTGTCGTGGGTGCCTGTCTGTGACTCTGTCCAACACTCGGCGTGCGAAGGCGCACAGAAGAGGCAGAACAATAAGGTATTCGTAGTCCCGTAAAAGTCGATGTCAGAGGCGAGAGGCGCGAGGCGCGAGGTGCAGAGTGCGCGCAGCACATACTGCGAAGGTATCCCACCCGACATTTGAGGCCGTCCTCCCGAGCGGTTGCAAAGGCGCATCGAAGGCGAGGCACACACTTGTCTAGCTCCATGCAATGACCCCGTTCCCAATCCTCCCAAGTTTCAGCGGCGGCAGCTTACGATGCATGCCGGGCTGCTACGGCGAACTCGAGAGGTTTCTTCATCCTTTGGATTGGTTCTTCAGGGACAATACTGGTGATGCGTGCGCCGGCATCTACATGGTAGCGAGATGCATCGAGCATCTTCAAAGTATCAGCATTCGTGCAATCAGAACACGGGCAAAAGGGGGGGAGGGGATGCGGCTGATCGAATTTACCTTATCTTCCACACGTGCATCCACAGCTGCTCCTCCTCCAACTACTGCTTGACGCAAACAGCAAAAAGCACAAAAAAAAAAAAAACACATAATAATAAAAAAATTTGATGACAAAAATAAAACTTGCCGAGAAACAGACGAAGATGTCAGTCGAGGTATCTGTAAGGCACGGTACATTGCTCAGGGCTTGAATATGCGTAGGGACGTGAAAGGAGGAAGATGCAGCTACAACTTGCACAAGGCACATGTGGACAGTGTTGCAGATATGGCTCCCGTACAGTGCAACGATCCCTGGCTCGTCTAATGCCTTCTTTCCATTTAGGTCCCATTCAGGAATTGGCTAAGGTACGGGCATTTAGCTCCCTGTTGCTGATGGCAGGTGCTTCAGGGAGGGAAGGAAGGTGAATCTGCAATCTGCGTTGTTCCTTCTTTTCCTGTTTCGAAAAGGCCGACTCCACCCTGTCGTTGCTGCCTCCCACGTCAAACTCAGATTGGCGAGGGCAGGAAGGTACCATGCAGTGATGTGGTGCTGGCAGGTAGGAATACTCGCAGGGCAAGAGCACCACCTCAACACACGGAAGGTAGGTACCGTACTTATTTATTCGTGGGTACAGAGTATGGGGGCAGGAAGAACACTCGAATCTCAAGGAAAGTGCGACGGTACATCATTTTTGCTGGCCAATTCATTCCTACTTTCGTACCTACTTACTTCCAGCTTACTGCGTAGGTCTTCCGTCTTCCCGTTGCCCACAGTGTCTGGACATTCCCGTCCCAGTCCTCCTCTCCTTCACCTTATTGATGCTCCTGCCCTCGCCCAACCGAATCGCTTGACCGAGAATCCTGTACAGGTTCTGTTGCTCCTTCCCTCCGTCACTCAGATACCGTTTGGAGTCACCAGCAGATCCACGTTGATATTTCGTATCTCCTCTTCATTTCCCACTTCACCAGATTCCCATCCTCATTCCTTCTTCCGTCCCTCGACGTTACCTCTGGCAGACGTAGGCATATGTCGCGCTCGTACTCCTTACAACTACCTCCACACCTCGGACAAAGACAAAGAAACCGGGCAGACACCTTCGGCCCGCACGGTTCTTACACACGCATTTCCAGTTTACGCGCACTTTACACGCACACACGCACAGACAATAGCACACGCGCAGCCCTTCCACGGTTCTACTCTGTACCCCCAAAGACACGGACGGACAGACTGGCAAGACAAGAGACAGGCGACAGCCCCCGTCGACACGCAAAAGAGAGACACCACAGTCTACCACACGCGCCTCCTGGCAAGCACCAGCCCTCAAACGGTGCCAACGATCGCCGAAAGTCTACAAGACCCCTGAGCCCGGTCGCACTGCTACCACCACCTTGGACCAATCCGCACCCTCTCCTGACGCCGTTATCCCCTCTAAAGCCTGTGCCACCAAGAAAACCGGCCTAACAGGAAGACGTACCGGCAGGGGCCTCCCTTCTCTTGTCTCTCTCGCTCGCACGCCCGCCCGCTAGCCTGCGTCCCGCCCTCCAGTTTATTCCGTCGCCCACCACCTCCACGGTCCACCTCACGCAAAAGTTGGATCCCCTCGACCTCGACCTCGACCGAGAACCACCGTCACCACCGCTTGCCTACCCTACCATACCATTACCACGACCGCGACCTGCCTCTGCTGCTACGGCATTCAAAGACATACCGGTACCTACCTCCACGAGCAAGCAACCCTTACAACCCTTACTACCTGCGCATACCTACCATAGGACAGCCTACACGTATCACCTCCGCACTCTCCTATTCCCGCTTCTCATCTGCGGCTTGCTCCCCACGACTCCCACAACTCTCAGTCTCTTTGGAAAGACACTGGCGCACTTCATCCCACCCATACCAACTTCACTCGCTGCACACACCCCCGACAGAGCGCCACGGCAAGAGCACAGACGCACAAGCCGTCGACGCAATTCGCCGACTGCTCTCGATATCAAACGTTTTTCTGTAAAGGAACAGCGTCGAGCCGGTGACGGTCACTCACAGGGTCCTCGGGGCGAGGCAGAGATAACGCAATCGCTGTCTGTCTGTACGAATACCGCATTCTCGACAACTGCGACTGCGACAGGCTAGCCACTTACACAGAACCTTCGTCAGGGTGGTTGCACCTCCCCACCAGGCAAAGTAGACACAAAGTATACTTCCAGGTTGTGCCTTAGCATTGCCTTAGCCCACACCAAACGCTTTCCCACCTTACGCGATCGGCTTCTGATTGGTACGATACGTCCCTCCCGAGTGCTCCAGCGGCGGCGCAATTAGACCTCCACAGCACGAGCATCCCTTGTCCATCCCTTCCACTCCCACTTTCTCGAGTCCAGAAGTCCAAACGCGACTGGAGTGGTGGACTGGACTGGACCACAATCCAAAAGAGCTCGAACAAGGGCCACCACTTTGAGAAGAACCACCGTCGACGCCCCTAGGCCCAACAGCCACCGCGACCGACCAAGTCTGCTTTCACACACCCTCTCAGGGCCGCAGCTGCAGCCTTTCCGCTGCACTGGCTTTTCGATACTAGCCGGGTACTTCACGTCTGTACTTCCCTTCTCCCTCCACGTCGCCAGATTCCCATCATCAAGCGAACTCCCTGGGTTTCCTTAGGTACAGACCCAACAGACTTTGGCTACAAGCCACCTTTTCTCGATACTTTGCGCCGCCAAACCCCACGATAAACCGACGACATTGACGCCGTCCTGCAACATCTTTCCGCACTTCCGCCCGCTTTTTAACAACCCCCCTCTTCTCTCGCCCATGCTGGACACTTTCGCGCAGGCTCACAAACAAAATTGTGCCCCTAGCTTCTTCTGTCCTGCCGACCAGGACCCAAGCAGTCCAAGTCCAGAGGGACCCCCCGTCACGGTAGTCGTGCTGTCGAGTTTGGCTTAGTCGTTTTCCGACTCTAATCATCGAGTCAACCCACCCGTGGATGTAGTCCTATTGGATACCTGTCACCATCAAGCTTCGAGAGGCCCCGGCAAGTCGACCTACTCTAGCCTGTCATCTGCTGCGCGTGCCTACCGCTTGCCGGTACCCAAGTCTCAGTCACCTCGTCCCAGTTTCCCAGAAGCTACAGATACCCGACTGTCGAACGCAACCAGCCCAGCAATTCACACACTGCTCCCGAGTTCCCCCCCATGCTCTTGGAGCGAAGCAGGCCAGCCAGGAGCCCGTCCCTTCCCTCCTCCATACCCGCTGTCCTGACGCACCGCACCGCGCCGCACTCAACCCAACTCAACTCAACCCATCAAGGCGCGCACACCATTCCTCCTGGCCGTCTCTCTCACTTTAACCACTTCATACTTCGCCCACCACACACACACACACAAACACACTTCCCACCATCACACCTTGCCTTTGCATCCATTTCTCTGCCATCAGTGCCACTACTCCCTCCCGGTACCTTTATACCCTGCTCAATTTCTCTCCTCCTCCCCGAACTTTAAGGCACGATACATACATAACCTTGCGACAACTCCTCGCGCACGCTCCATTTCCTTCCCCCCCTTCTCCCAAAACCTGTCCAACCCCCCCAACTTTTCGACATCACCCTCTGCAACATTCTTTCGTCGCCCTGTATCCTCCCGTCGCGCATTCGAAAAACGACATCAACACCCGATAATTTCACCGCGTCTTGGCCCATTTTCCCGCATTCTTGTTCACACGCGCTTCCAACAGTTCTCACCTGAGCAGCGCGACTGTGGCTGTTCTCCCTCTCTTTGTCGCACTTCCGAGGCAATCCAAGGCACCTCGCGCGAGCGCATGCACCGCATCACCGGCGGATGACAGGCGAGCAAAGGTGAACCAGGCGCATCTACAGTCTCATCAGCCGCACTCGACCTTCTGGGATGACAACGAGTCGCGACAACCCTCCTACATCAACAACGACAAATATCAACCAACTAAACAATTACTGCCATGGCTGCGCCGGCTTTTCTACAACAATCGCAACCCTTTAGGTCCTCAAACACCCAGGCCCCATTCCTCTCGTCCGTCAACCCCTTTGAGCGCGATGCGGCTATGCCTGTCGGAACGCCATACACCAACCCGTCCTCTGTGGCCGCCTCTGTCCTGATTCGTCGCCTCCCGCTGAACACCTCGGAGGAATCGCTTCGACTCATGGTGGTTTGGTCCAAAGAGCTTGTCGATGTCGAGGTGCTTCCCATAGATCAATCAGAAGACAAGGGATTCCGCTCGGCCATCTTGAAGTTCCGGACCACGAATGGGGCAATCGAAACAAAGAACATGCTTAATGGGAAATCCAACATTTCCAACGACGCAAATATGATTGTCGAGATTCTCGGAGGTAGCCCAACCACATCAAGAAGATACGCCGAAGCCCCAGGAACCGGATCGTCGAGTACTGCATCCTCCGCAGCGTCGTCAGCCCCATCCTCGCGACAGCCATCACGATTCAACGGCGCATTCCAGTCTCTCGAAAAGATCTCGCCGCCTATGAATGGCATATACGGCTCCAGCGAATTGCCCAACCCAGAGTCCAGCGCGCACTATCAGAACCTGTTTTCGCCTCAGTCTCCCATCGGAAATCACCTCACCGAACGGACGCGCATTTCTGGAAAATCGTTAATTAACAATGATGCCGCCGATGATGACGAGACCGGCGAGCTATTGAAGGATCCAGTCGCCTACGCGGAAAATGGAGCTACAGCTCAGAGAAGAGCCACGGCCCCACAGCTACCCATATCGCGTTTGGCGAGCCTGTCCCTCAATACCACCAGTACATCACCCAGCCCGTCCTCCCTCCCGCAGTACGGTCAACAAGGAATGTCAGCGATGTCGGCTCACCCAGTCATGTCACCCACTGTGATGGGTGGGGGCCCACATACTGTACCCTTCCACATGGGGACCGGTCCTTACGGCCGTCATAACTTTCCGCCGGTCAACCCTGCCGACCAGAACCCGCCTTGCAATACCCTCTACGTGGGCAACCTCCCCATCGATACGTCTGAGGAGGAATTGAAGGCCATGTTCTCCAAGCAACGGGGTTACAAGAGGCTTTGCTTCCGAACCAAGCAGAACGGGCCCATGTGTTTCGTGGAGTTTGAGGATGTTTCCTTTGCTACGAAGGCTCTCCATGAGCTTTATGGCCACCCACTTCACAACAGCGTCAAGGGCGGGATCCGCCTCAGTTTTTCGAAGAACCCCTTGGGAGTCAGATCGGGTCAGACCCCAGGTCAATCAACGTCTCCAATGAGTGGCATGATGACAGGTTCCACAAATGGGTTCAAGACTACCAACGGTCCGCCTCCAGGACTTTCGGCGCCACCTGGACTCGGTTCTGGGCGATTCAATAACGGCTCTTCCGGCACTCCACCTTACACCGTTGCTGGCTTCCCAGCAAGCGGCAATAACAACGTGTGGAACGGGTACAACAGCAGCACCATGACTGCTGGTGGGCCTGGTTCTATGATGAATGGAAACAACTCGAATTATCTGCCACCACACATGCTTGGCAGGTAAGGCATACAGCTACGTAAGGATCCCCATTTGGCTGCCAGAGGCAGTGTGGCGAGAGTCCTGGCGTTACGGTGTTAAGTGCGGATACACGGCAATAAGGCAGAGCCAGAAGATACTTGGGCAGCATCGAGGAAGGCGCTGTTTGAAGATCTCGGCGCATACGCATTTTCATCGGCATTTGATTTTCCCGGCATCAGTCATTTAACTTGATTTTTCCCCCTTCCAATGTCACATGATTCTCACTCGCCCTTTTCCCACGGGCCTGATTATACTGGTCTGCCACAGCCATCAATGCTGGAGTGGTGTTGGTCACTTCGTTCATGTTCTCATCGGAGTTCAGGAACAAATCATCAGTGGGCGTTCGTTCTGATGACTTCGGACACCAGACTACAGTTCGGTTGAGGCTTTCTCTTGGCCTTGTCTTTCCTTCGTTTACCAATCAATTTCGGTTTGGGTTTCTTTATTTTCATTCAGCACGGCGCGTGGAACGGACATTTACTATGGTAGACGAACTTTGGGGAATCTGGTCTCATGCCCTTCGGACAACAAATACCCAGTGCCGACGACTCAAGGATGGAGTTCTTAGGTTCGGCATTTTCGGAGATGCCTTCGCGAGGCGTCCTGACGATTTGGGGCTACGGGTTCGAGGTTCTCGCGAGAGAATGGGATATTTACTGGCACAGCGACTAGCGATTGATGTATGGGAAGGGAACGTTGTATTGAGTCTTGGGAGCATGGCATGAGTTCACCCCAAAAGAGAAAACGCCCAAAAGCACAGAAGAGAGCGCGAATGGACTCGGTTGATCTCGCAGCACTCGCCAACCAAAACGAAAAAACATGGCATGGAAGTCCAGGAGAACTCTTTCGTTTGTTTCACTCAACGCATGTACGAGATATAAAAGGCACGCTCCACCAGAAGATGGAAGGTGGAGTAGGGAGAACCGCCGCGGGCATGGGGCCATGGGAGAGCCACCTGGCAGCGACACTTTCTGGTCACGTCAGAACCTTTCGTTGGGCCAGGTGAGGACCATCACTGGATGGATGGTTTATGGAGGTCAGGCTGCATCGAGCTGTTACGCACAAACTTTACGGATACGCATCATCGGGGTTATCGTTCGGCATCAAGACGGAAGGGACCTCATCATCACACATCCAAGGGTTTGGTAGGGACACAAATGGGGGTTCAGGAAACTGGAAAGGATTGTTCCAGTCCTGGTCCTCGAGGGGCATTGTCATGTTTCATTTGATTTCATTTTCTTCTCTGATTTGTTTTCCCCCTTCCCAACCCGTCAGTTTTCCCTATCTATCCCCCCCTTTCCCTACACTGACTGGGACCGAACTTTGACTAGCACATTGTGGGAGCGAACATACCCCCTTATGGGATTCTCATAGGCCAAAGAAAGGAGTTTTTGATTTGCTGATGACATAACCTGCCCTTCTTTTCTTGCCACTTTTCGATTGGCTAATTGAGGATAAAGTGAATGACGATCTTGAGCGACCAGGTGGCCAGGTACGCAGTACATAGGGTCGGTGGGCATGTGGACAATCATGAGCCCCGCTGATTGACAGGCACGAACCACGTCAGGTCCGGTGTCACAGTGTCGGCGGAGACCGGGGTGTCTAGAGCCTTGTGGGGCCATCTGCTTATGAGCGTGTACTTTGTACTCCGTACAGAGGATCCCTACATATTATACTTGTATCTGCAGAGATATGTCCGCTCTCATGCCTCATGGTTCAATATTCGCGATGGAAGCCGGTGGTGGGCTTTCCTCGAAGGAGAGATGCCGAGCTTCGGTGTAAAGGGGACGAAGGCGCCGAGGCGCGAGGCGGGGGAAGAAGAAGGATGCGCCACTTTGAACCCCAGTCGATCCACGTGAAGACATCAAAACTTCGGCATAAGGTGGAACCCCAGTCCTTGTCCTTTGCTCATAGGGGAGGGAGGCTGCCGGTACACTATTGCATCTGCGACATCATTTGGATACGGCAGATGCTCTCTATCAAGAGCAACGTGCGGCTTCTTTCACTTGGGAGTTTATCCAGCATAACTCTCATCAGTTGTGGGTTTCGGAGGACAGGGGGCTGGACACCGGATGGACGGGAACAATTTTCACCAACATTTTCCCACAGCAGTAAGGTTGTATTTCCTAGACGGCAATAGGAATCGGGCGAAGTAGTCAAATACCAATGGTTCTTGAGTAAATCAAGAAAGAAATCGTTGCCGACCGAGGTGGTTTGCGCTTGTGAGGCGTGATGTGATGCAGAGGTAAAGCCGGATGCCGGAGCTGCCTCCGAAGCGTTTGGCTCAGGCGGGGTTGGGCCCATACGTCCGAGGAATCGTGTGATTGATCACAACCTCGCATCCCGTAAACCGCCGTTTGAAGACACACAATATGCATTCGTTGTTTCGAACATTTTCTCACCGGTAAAATCTGCAGTCCCGCGGCAAATTACCTTGCAGCCTGCGCGCGGTAAGGTCCAACGTCTTCCCTCGCTGGCAGTAACGACTTTGGAAAAGGGCTGTACGTCGTATGCATCGAGTGCCCCGACGACATTGCCAGTCCTCGCAACATGGCATTTCGAAGGGTTGCAAAAGAAGCGTGTCTCGGAAACCCGTTCTGTGGTCGACACCCATCCACAAAGAATGGCTTGCGATGATCGTGGCGTCCGAGACAACCCACGTTGAATTAATTTGGGATGATGATGGTGATCCAGCATTCTTGAAGGGTGCGCCATACATGTATGTAGTGGTACCATACTTGCTCATTGGATGGAACCCTACCTCCTGCTGCCAATCATTGGTTGCCAGGGGCCTGGCTGGTGGTGTGGAGGCTACCATCAACCTGAAGCGTGGGAGTCGCAAGTTGGTGGTGATGGGATGAAAGTGATGGTGGTGCCAGTTGGACTTTGGAAGTCTTGGGCCATCGCCCTGATGGGACTTTATTTGCTGTGCCTCGCGGCGCGCGCGCGTATAGGTAAAATCGATGTTTTGAGAGGATTGGATTGTGGGATGCCGGCAATTGCACGACCCGAGGTTCTCAACGTTCTGCAGCCTCTGGCAGAGGTTCAGATGATTACGTGGGATATTGAGATATCGAGAAACGCTTTCCGTGGGGGAGAGATGTGAGGAGGATGAAATCAGAATCAGAGGTCGAGTCATCATCGAGGGCTTTGCTCCGGATCATGCGACAGCCATGAAAGTGAAACGCGATGCCTGTGCCAGTGAGCAGAGACAGTTCATCGATAAGCAATGCATCTCAGGATGGGAAAAGTGCAAGACGCAACAGCAGGCTGCGAGTGCATATCTGTGAATGAACCTACAGAACCTGTTATCCTGCGGCACAGACGCCATGGGACGCGGGCGCGCTCGCGCTACCTTGGCCCGTTCTGACGTGTTCTAGGCCAAAATATCCCCGGTGTGGCACGCAAACATTACGGACGAATGAGGGCGTGACAGCGACATTGTCGATTATTTGTTGTATCGTGTGGTGTGCAAGACGAAGGCCAGTCAGAAGTACTGTATAGATGCAGAGGAGAAGGGGAAGATTGGAGAAAGCGTTTGTGAAGGATGGGTAGAGGGCACCAACGCCAGGACTAGCGACGGCGCGGCGGTAGGGGACGGCTCTTCTCCCTAACGCTCCCGACACGACCCTTTAACTGCTCCGGTCAAAGTGCTAGATGGGCCAAGTATCGTACCAAGAGTCTTGCGGGAGGGTGGCATTCGTGTCATCCAGGTGCAGTGGTGATGGTGGTGACCAGCTGTTAGTCGGCGAGGACGGACTGTGGCTGGCGGGATGGGCTTCACCGGTGAGGGGCGGCGTCTAGGGACGGGACGGGACCGGTGAGGGCAGGTGAGTGAGATTCGAGAAGGAAGAGGTCGACGTTTATTTCGTGCGCACAAGTTGGGCGGTACTGGTGGTAGAGGTTGAGGAGGGGGGTAAGCTGGAACCGAGGCCCGGCCGCTAAGGCAGGATGAAGTGGCAAGGGGTAAAGATGTGTGAGAGGCGATGGGAGGGAGGGAGGAAACTGTCACGTTGTGATTACCCCGGGGAGCAATCACTGTCAGTTGTTCGATTTCCGGCGTTGAAGAGTAAATCTGTCATCTGCAAGTTGCTTGAAAGGGGATGTTTGACGAGAAGGCTGCTGAAGAATGGGAAAGAAAAGAGATGATGTTGGCATGGTCGTGTGGACGCCCTTACCTCTGGCGCCTTCAAATGTTTGGTTCGCTTAAAAATCATGGAGGGTGTCGAGATAGGAGGGAACGCGGAGGTGGCGGCGATCGGTCTGGACTTTTTGCCCAGAGAGGCTGCTTGCCCTCGTCTCATCTTGCTTCTGTTCCGATCAGGAGGGAAGTGACCAACAATCCCACTGCGCGCGCCAATATCTCGGCGATCCGGGCCCGGGACCGATGGGTGGTGGGGCCGGTGTGGGCGTAACCTCCACCGGTGCGGGCCCCGACAACCGCCATGTGACCACCTCTCTGATTGTTACGCCTCCACAGCGTGTCGAACAAGATTGTAAGCGGACACGACTGTCGCCGCGGTGTAACCTGATGGTTGGAAGATGTGGGGATGAGGTATTGTCACGCCGTAAGATGGTTTTCGGTAAGGTATCTTGGCTTGAGATGGGGCTGAAGCCTGATATGACACGACTTGATCAGCTGGGAGAATTGAGGTGGGACAGCAGATATCTATAAGGAGACACATTTTATATGATCCTGGAGCATGGGGGTAAGCGGAAAGCATCGGCTTGGTTTATATCCTGATGGATGGTTTCGGTCTGAAATATTATGGTTGAAAGAAGATTTCTCTCGCGCACATGACTATGGTTGTTTCATATGGGATGATGTATCATACAGGCTTAGGGTTTTTATTCATAGTATACCAAGGTCCACATCAAAGCAGACGAAGTCTAGTGAGTGTAGGGTACGGTGTTGCAATAGCAAGAAGCTAGAAACTTCTTTAGTCAACGAGCATCATGTTCAAGCCCAAACTCATAGTTTCCATTCTAAGTAGTTCCTCTGTGGCACAGCGTCCAGTATCCTCTTCGCTCGCTTCATTCTCGGGGCGGACATTTCCTCGACTGAGTAAGGCAATCTACAGCCATGGAGGTAATGGTAAGGCACTCTCCAAACACCGCAAAAGGGGCGAATTTTTGTTCAACCATCTCAATTATATGTCCAATAATAACGTTTTACGTTCACACTTAGCCTAAGTAGATTCCTATGATAAGAAAAGAAGTGAGCCATTCAGGTACCTCAGCTCAGTTGGGATGTTTTCCACTCGACTATCAAAGTCTTCAAATGCTCTTGGCGTCTCGTTCACTATGCTTTGCTAGTTCGACCCTAGACACAGTCAAACACCGATTTGGAGATGGACTATTGTGCACTTCAGCTCGTTCCCATCGCCCTTCTAGACTTGTACTTGATTCATCGCTAAGATTGAAACTGATTCAGCTCATTTCACTGGAATTGTAACAATCGTATGGCTCTTGGACTTGTGAGATCGTGGACTTGAGACAATTTGAACTTGGCTGTGAAAACAGAACCCCAACATGCCGAATCATAGTGGCTCACGTATGCCACTTACCACTCTTATCACAGGGGCTTTGCCTACTTGTAGCATACAATTTTGAATACCGAGTTTTCATGCGCGCGTTACATCGTCTCCCTTTCTATCTCAAAGTAAGTATGAGGATAAACGAGCTGAGATCTAAAAGTATACAACTCCTACCTGAAAAATGACACACGTACTGCAGTATTACGATTATCAAATACGATCCTCTTAGCAGACACACGAGATCAATGGTATGAGAGCAGCGGCATGTCTTGGTCCGCTCTCTGACCAAACTTTACTGCTATCACATACCAAGGTTGCCACTTATAATGAGTATCTATACTGCGGAAACGATACCGAGCACTGCCTAGCGCCTGAGGAACCAGCGTTTGAGCAGACTTAAAATTAAATACTAAGGTTGCCTCCCATCTGCCGGCGAGATTCGCGCAGCCTGGCCATGTCCTCGTTCACTGCCAACGCGTCAGCCGAGTACATGTCACTGGCTTTCTCGCGCTGCTCGCGGCGGTGTTACGCAAACGCATGTCTTACTGTCTCGGCGATGCTGGTGAGGTAACCAGTCTCATGTCGTCGTCGAGATGGGACCATCACGTTATGAATAGATAACGTCGTGTACCGCGGTAGCCGTCGTCGTCCTTGGTCTGATTCAGGGGGAATATGCAGGGGGACGCGAGGTGTATCGAGGGAAGATACTCGCGTTTGTCGTCATTTCTGGTCGACTCTTATGGCATTGAAACTTCACCCTTTCCAGCCAAGCAAGAAGATCAAGTCCGCCATCCAGAAAGGGAGCGCTAAGCCGACCATGGTGAAGCTTACTAGGGCGGAGACCGACGACATCTTGCATTGATCCTCGCATATCACACGCTCAGTATAGAGAGACAACACCCAGTGAGGGTGTTCAAGTCGCACAATTAGATGGTGAGTTCCTAACTCAAAAGTTAATAGACCCTTTTCTTGTAGTGATCATTGCCATATTAAACCACGCTCTCCATACCTGGGCGTTGATAAGTGGTCAGAGGGGCTGGAGAATCCTCACATATATCTGCAATGATACTTTGGTCAAAATGTCGGAGTAGTATCCGTATACAGCGGCAATCTGGTCTTGAAGTGGCTGTGGGGGAGCATGACCTGCATGACTTCGTGCGCGCCTGCCGAGGTTACCAATATCCAAAAAAAATATATACGTGCCCATGAAGCAGACACATACAAGTAGGCAAACCCAAAGTGGCAACAGTTATCATTCTCGTGGTTGCCCATGCTATTTGCGATCAACACAGGCATAGTCCCACAAAGACGCTACACCAGCAGCGAGCCACAGAGAAGAAGCTTAGAGAACCATGGATTAGAGCGTACAAAAGTGGATAGAAAAGAGCGAGACATCATCAGCCTTAATGCATAGGAGGAGAGTACTCGGAAAGGACGAAAAGGCTTAACTTTCAACCGAGACAACAGACTCGACATGGATGGATTAATCAAGTATGACCGTGACCTTGAAGTCAATCCTTGGTAACCTGTATTTTACAATGGTTCGGAAGTAAATAGCTTGTTCCTAGCCAGCCCTACGTACCATAGCAGTTACCGACACTGATAATCAGTAACATAGACGTAACTCGTCCTCGCGGAGAAGGCATCTCCTCACCCTTCATTTTTGAGTCCCAGGGTCCACCAAACTGATCCGTCGCCTAGCCAAGCTTCCCTTCATGAACTTGCTGGTCTCTGGTTATCGGATGTAATTGTACACTCACTGATAGGCTCTCGACTTACTCCCTTAAGCTATATCATGCTCAGGTCTCATTTCCGAACAAGATTTCAGAGGTCTATCCATGCACGACCTTCCTTCAAACGGCTCATCTCATGGAAGCGACGGGTCATTGCTACAACATCAGAACTGACAGCTCGCAAATCCTCCTCATCAAAAGGCACACAAGTACGGCCGAGTCTGACAACTCCCATTTCCGGCTTTGGCTTTCCCGACTCTACCAGGCTGAAAAGTAAGTCTCGCCGCACAAATCCAAGCCAAGGGCAAAACAAAAGCATAACCAACACATCACATCGCCGCAATGAGCAAAAAGATGGACGATCTGGGAATCGAACCCAGGACCTACCGCATGCTAAGCGGTCATTATACCACTAAACCAATCGCCCATTGGATGATCTAGCCCGGACTTGAACCGGAGACCTTCAGTGTGCTCAGTTCGAGTTGCCCCGAATCTGTTAGACTGACGTGATAACCAACTACACCACCAGACCAGTTATTGTTGAAGGAAATCGGCGTAATAGCGCTTTATCAATGCAAGCAATCGAGTTGTGCGCGGTGAACGGCGGGACCCGCTTGGTTGCGGAAGCGGGGCCCTAAGGCACGCTGCAGAAAAGTCTGGTTCATGCCGGATGTGGTGGGTCGTTTGATGCAGGCCCAATCAGTACCGGCCCGATGTCTCGTCAGAGAAACTCCCACTATCCACCGAATCGAATTCTGGGATCATGGTTGTGATCTCGCTTGAGCAAGGTACCTGCAATGTGATTTCATGTTTCGTTTCCGACCCCGTCGTCTGGCTAGGGCGAGGGAAGAGTCGGGGGCGCTGCAACCTCTAAAGTCGATAATGGTGACAATCGTGATGCAGAAAATTGACCAGACCGTTCGGGGAAGGTAGTAAGGAGGTCTGGGTTTTCCTCATCTTGGTAGATGCCCGGCCTGATAAGACGATATCTTGAATGGTGCCGTATATCCAGACAACTTTGCTTCTCGGTAATGCCAACCCCCCACGCTGCCTTTCGTCAATTTTCTCGCAATATTCTCCGAAAGCTGTCCAAAGTCCGGCCATGACGACGACCTGCATGCAGCTGCGGCGTGGGGTGCTACAAAAGTAGGGCACGCGTGAGCCGCATTGGAATAGACGACACACCGATCCATGGGGGCGTCTTACACGCAGCAACGGCAACGCACTGAGGGGCTCTCATGTGCTTGCCAGTCGTACAAACGACCAGCTCCCTGCTCCGTTGGAAGTTTTCTCCAGTCAATGAGCTATGTGGATTCATGATGTCTCCGGACAGACGAGGAGGTGACATGGCGAAAGCTGGTGTGGCTTCCAAGTCGTGTGCCCGAATGCCTAGGTATCGAGACCTAGTGTCCTCAGTGCAGTCCTCGAGAACATCTGCCGTCCGCGATAGCTCTGATCTCGTACTCGGGCTGAGACGTCAACTGACGGAGGTGTTCACCTGAAGTTCCGCGCCTCCCGAAACATGTGAAAGCATGCCATGGGACAGTCTGCTATACCTTCAACATACTTGGGGCAACTTCATGACTGCTTCGTCCTCGCATTCGGAGCATGTGGCAGCGGAATGTCACTGCTCGGGCCTCAAAAAGCCCAATATAGCCACATTGGTCAGTGCGTTGCAGTATGGCAGCAGCGAGCTAGATACGCACTCGACAAATTCGAGAGTTCGGCATTGCAAAGCGTGTTCGGCTGGAGATCCCGTCAAGGACCAGATGATTTGTCCATGTTGCTCATGCGGGTGCAGATCCTCCACATACTGTCGCTGGGAAATCCATGGAATGAATGGCCTGGCGTTTCTTTTGCTGGGCCTGTGCTTGCAGCGTCCTAAGTAATCGTTGGTGGGACATCTCAATCCAAGTAAGATAGGTAGAATGCCTCTTGATGAGCAAGGAAACCAGGATGCCTCAAGCCTTTGCTCTGGGCCATCAAAGACCGAGCAAGACCGTACTATCAAGAGATATCGCCGGGCATCCAAGACGATTTTTTAAGGAAAACATAGTACTGCATCAATATCGAAATGAAGCCCCAGGATATTAAACCGAAGACTTGGGGACCGAGCATTTATTAGCAACTGTGACTAGCACCGGCCGCATTGACTTGGTCGTGGAAGGCTTGCACGAGTTGGCAACCAGAGAATTTAGAGTTCCTGCCTGAAACTCAAAGGTGGACTGACACAACTGGTTAGCGTGGTGATGGTGCAGTCCATCTCATCTTAGCCACGTGGAAAGGTGAGATGGCGGAGATGTGGTCAGAGCGCCTAGGTGTGAAGAGTCTCCTCGTCTATCCGTACCTCTTGACTCTGTAGTGTAAGAGACTTTTCTATGGGTATGATTTGTTGAGATATCTCCACGTAGCTATTGGGGCAGCCACTGAGAACATCAAGCCGACGATTATCGTACCAGAGTCGTTGGATATGCTCCATAGACTATACTGCAATGACCGAGACGGGGGATCGGGCAGGGGATCATCCAGGAAGCGAAGTTGACAGCTCACATTGGAAGAGGTGGAATAGACCAGGCCCTAGACGTCGTTTGTCGAGTATGGAACCTAGCAGATTGGTTCTCCGGTTTGAGCAAAGGCTGTTCTTCAGAAGCTGCCAACTCGGAGATAGGGAGGGGATAGGAATGATCCTTGGGGCCAATAATCTCTGGCTTGGCCTGGTCTGCAAGGTCTGAAGGAGCTGGCGATCTGGGCGACCATGGGCTGCGGGAGTGACGTTTTGACGACAACGACGCGGCCCGAGGACATGGTTGACGATCGGTCGCTGCATCGAGCACTCAATCACACATGCCGGATTCGGGTCAGCTACCAAAGTAGGAGATCAAGTCGGATGCAACGTAAAGAAAACGACAGGGAAGGCGCCGAGAACCAGACCGTCTAGACGAGGCATAAGAGTTTAGTTTTGCGAGCCCCCCTTCAGGCTTCATCGTCATGGGATGAGTCCGCCACGCGTAGTGGTGTCCTTGGCTGTATCGGGAACAGGAACTCGAACTTGAATGGGAGGGGCGCGCGAGCAACGAAGTGTCTATTAGTACACTCGCATCTGCGGCTAGCATCCATCCTGGGGACCCCGGAATCCCACCAGTCGGTTCTCAGGTACAAGATGCAGGGGCGCATGCTCGGTCGTCAGTAGTCGAGATCAGGCTATTCTGGAGAGGGAAGAATTTTCTCTATCCCCTCGCGAACCGAGGTGACGGGTGAGGCGAGGGAATTGGACGCCATGATTGGCGAAGTAACGACCGACCACGAGTTGTCTCTAGTTGGAGTAATTTTGTGGCGGTGTTGGTTTGCCTCGGATGAACTCAAGTAAGGTAGTCGACCGCGTATATCCAGGACGAGGCACTGGGATGGTTGGCTGTCATGGAAGCGGAATTTCAGCAACGGTTGCGACGTTGCAATGGCTAGATAGAGAGGTTAGCTGCTAAGCAGCGTCCCTGGCCAGTGTCTCGGCTCCGGGCCTCGGTCGATGACCGTATCCAACCCGCAGATCGTTTGTGGCCCTTGCTGCACTTTATCTGAAGCTCTGTGGTGCCGAGAGACCGTGTAAAGCTTGTGCTAGTCGAGATTGGAGTGTAGAGTCTCTGGTCACTGGGTACCTAGCTATTGGGAGGGTCGTGGCGGATCGTTCGGGAACACATCGTTGGGTATCGACTATCGAGGACGGAACGTGGCCTTGAAGCTTTGTGAAAAAGAGAAGGATTATCGGAACAACCCCTCATTGCTTGCGCGGACGAAGAGCAAAAGTCTAGTAGATGGAAGACGATTCTTCTCGATGAAGTGCATAGTGGCCTGCCCTGGGTTGACAGGGACAGGCCGCAATGCAGGAGAAGTCGAGACAATGTGGGCAGAGTGGATGCGTCTAGAAGAGTTGAGAGATTTTTTTTAAAAAAAAAACCGAGTCTAAGGCAAGGTACAGAGACTGGGAGACTGGCATCGATGCAGGTTGCAGGTCGCAGGATGTATTCCTCAATGGTATGGCACCTGCATGTAGTCGAGAGCTTGAGTGCGGCGGTGCTTCATGGTGTCGTCTTGGAAGTTGGGCCAAGTTCCAACACTGATCCCATCGCGGCGTCGCCTAGACTTACCTGCCAGGATGACAGCCTTGCAGCAACGAGGAAGGATCGAGCAGTAAGAGCTAAGGTGGTTGAAGCTGCGTGATACTCTGTACAGGCAAAGTCAAAGTTCGAGGTTGGAAAGCTCACTGCTGTGGGGTACGAGGGACCTTGAGTGGAGATATTTGCCTGGGTACCTTCTCATGTGCCTCCCCAATCCAACTGACACTTGTAGCAAACTGGAAGTTTCCAAGTGAGTCCTGGGTCAAGGCCGTGGATTATATCTAAGAGAATAGGGGTGAAGGAGCATCACGGCTGAAGCAAGCAGGTGCAACTAAACATGGTCACATAAGACGACGAGTAGTGAAGTGAGTTGTTCAGAAAGGAAAGTGAGGTACTTGAGGTATGCATTTGTATCAAGTCTATGACGCAGTGACTACCACATGAACTCGGGCCGTCGAAATGGAATCCAATGTAAATCTATCAAGTAAAGTAGCGACGGGAAGTTCATGTTGGGAAAGAATGAGACGGAGACAGCCCAGGAAGGCATGGATGATGATGGTGATGGCATGTACACTGTGGGATGCCTGGAAAAGGAAACGGCAGGGAAGGCATGGCGCGGCATGGGAAAGGAAGGAAGGACGCAAAGAAAAGGAGAAGGAAAGAACGACAGCCGCATGTCTCCATGTCCCTTCCATGTTGGGGCCGGGGGGATCGCGCGCCTGCCTCAGTCATAGTGAGAAATGAGAAACTGTGAGGGTACACTGCGGATAGTGTATAAGGAAGGCAGTGGCAGTCTGGCAGAAAACCAGGAAGGTGAGGCAAGAGAGACTGGGGACTCGGGGATAAACCACGAGCTGGTTGCTTCCCTGTCCCAAGACACCACGTTGAAGGGTAAGGTACGAATACCTGACACTGACAGTCCGTATCTCAAGCCTCAAGGTAAGCAATGGGGCAAGCATCCATCCATCCATCCATCTGCATCTTTGCTCTTGCACCTGCAGCTGTCCACCTGCGCTTTCGGTACCCACTATCTCCCATGCACGCAGTTCCTAGCACGCAGCAAGACTCCATCCGCGGAACGAACGAACATGGGAACATGGGATGGAAGCAGAAACGGAAACATCACGGAGCGCGCTAAAACATGCCTTCTCGGCAATCCACTGCGACCTGAAATCCACAGGACCAGGGCACCACACGTCCTGTCAACTTTTGCTCGACACTGCCCGGGGAGGGGCTCGAGAGCCCGTCTGCGCATGGCGGCCATGGCCTTGCTTGCCCGTGAGAGGCCCGGCGACTATCCAGAGCCCACACAAACTGCCCGCCTCGACTGTTCGTACATACGCACTACCTATGGCACACTGCCACCTCCGTTGCGGCGTTGCGGCGTCGCGGCGTCGCGGCGTCGCCCCCTCTCTCCCCTTAGCCCTGGAGACACATGGGAAGAGAGGAACCTCACCACATGGGACGGGTGGGACAAGACTGGAGAGTCCCACCTAGGTATGCAGGAGCTGTGTTCGTGCGCGCTGCACCCAACTGGAGTCTTGCTCTGGCTAAACGGCAGACAAACCCTGACTCAGCTACATTGGGACAGAGACCCGTTCCCATGCTGAACCCACGGACTCTGAGCCTGTCGACAGCTCAAAAAGTGCCGGCCGAAAAGAGGTTGCTTTACAGACTGCCATGGTCTATGCTATGCATACGGATACGCATACGTACAGACTACGGGAGTATTCGTACCCTACCTATCCGGCCACTATTCCATAGTATCCAGTCTACTGTCAATCTGAAGATGTATCCCGAGGTGTCATGTCTCCTCTATCCGTACTCTACCTACGTAAGCCATGGCTTGTTGGAAGCTGGTCACAGAAACAAAGTACCTACCAACCTACCTTACTTGAGCCAAATACCACTCTACTTGGATCCCGTCGGCCTCGGCCAAAAAGGCAGCCAAGAGACGGCACGGCATCGCATCCTCTTTTCCCGCCTCCGCCTCCGCGAAGAGACAAGCCAGAAGCCAAAAGTCAGAGGCCAGCAAGCACCTCATCCTCAGGACCTTCCTCAATAATCCCCGCCGCCGCTGTCGTGTGAGCGGGATGCCACGCCGCCCCACCCAATCATTGACATGGCAAAGTGTCGCTTGCCGGGGGGGGCCAATTGGAACCCTACCTCGACTACTTCGACACCCATTGGATCTTGCCTTGCGCCGCTGTGCCTCACACCAAAAGGGCACAGTTCCATTTCAGGAAAGAAGGAAGACGGCAAAGATTGGAGTTGGAGTGGACGGGGAAATCAACAGAAAAAAAGAGTCTCCAAAAGATGGACGTCGCAACACAACCGCTCCCGACCTTAGATACCTTACTATTGTAAGGTAATGAGTGTACTTCATACGTTTGCACTTAGTTGACCAACGTTGTCCGGCCGCAGGCCCCCGGATCAACATGACGCTCAAGCACCACACCACCACACCCAACTCCCTATACTGTAACACGCCAATGATGACCGCCAACCTCGACTTCAGCTAAAACCCATTCCTTTGAAGCCCTGCGACAAAGTCATCAAAGCTCCGTCCCCGGTTCTCTGCCCTAAATAGCGACGACGTTGAAGCTACCGCGCAAGCGTCCGACAGTAGTGTCAGCCTCTCCGTTATTTCGAGACAGGAGGCTTCCAATCTGTGAGACAATTCCACATGCTTCTCTTACTCTCCATCCTATCCATCCTCCTGCTCCTCTTCCGCCTTCATACCTAATACCTTACGTAGTACGTGGGGATTTTCTCCAAGGGTACAGCACTACAGCCCGGCATCTAGGTAGTCTGTCCCGTTTGTATTCTCACAATGCACAGCCAATTCTCATCCTCAGGTTGGCGGTAAAATCTGGTTCTCTGGCTGTCTTGCATGGTCCCTCCCGTCGACCCGTCGAATCGACCAGTCGTCAGCATCAACTGGCCTGGCAAAGCCTCTCTCTTCACTCGCCCATTCACCTGCCAGTCATCAGTCACATCACCTACATCGCATCGCATCGCGTCCCGTCACGCACCTTGCCTGCTCGCGTCACCTCCATTACGTCCTGTCTTTCTACTCGCCGCAAATCGCTTCTCACCTCCGACTAGTCGTTTGACTTCCTAGGTTTGCGCGCTCGACTAGACACCCTGGTCAAAAACGGTATGTCACCCGGCGGCTGTGTCTATCAGCGTGCACCCACATCCAATTCCACATATTTCATCACCATCTCTCAATCTCGTTGCCGCTCGTCTGAGATTCAACATCGAGTGCGACCTGAAGAGAGTTCTTCTCCTGCTTGGGATGCTGAACCCACTCTGAATGAGTCAGATTTGCTCTTTTGTTGCTTTTCTTCTCTCCAAATGCCTACGTCCGATGGCCAGTGTCATCCATCTCGGCAGCCGGCAAGCGGAATTAACCTTAGTTGACCAGAGTTATCGAACCAGATCAGCCAGCCACCAACCTGACCTCATCAGCCTCTCGGTGCTGTTGATTGTTCATCGCAAGGCGAAGCTGCAACAGTGATCGACGGCCATTGACCAGTACTGGCCTCCCTTGCCTTTTTGTCTGCCTCTAGATATCCCCACCCTCATCAAACGGGGACCATACTCTGTACTGCAACTGGCCTTCTCGTGCAGTTCAGTATTCGTACTGACGTAGCCTGGCACCCAGTATCCGTGAACCTTCATCTCCCTTACGCTCCCGTCGTCTTGCTCAGCTCCGACTGTGCTATACCTGAAGGCTGTACGTACCCGCTCAGGACCTCAGCCAGCTACCTTACCCAACCCGACTACCCGACTTTACCTCACCAGATTCGTCCACGGGGCGCCAACAACAGGCTGCTGCGACGGAGTTATCTACGGGGGGATCCTCCAGACGCCCAGGTCACCAAGTACCCCAGCAAGGTACCTCTCACCTACCCTACCTTGCCTTAGCTATCCTCTCCTCAATTTAGCGCAGCTGGCTCGCGAGAGGCCCTTGCAGACGACAGAACGACCAAAAACTGCTGCACCAACACCCTTTATTTGTTTTTAATTGGGCAGCTGGCGTGTGAGAGGAAGAGAGCTGGTTGGTGACTTTGACTCTTCTTTTTTTTTCTTGTCCTGGCCTGGCTCGTCGTTGTCTGTTTCTTCTTCTTTTACTTTCCCATTCTTGTTCTTCGTCTTTGAAAACTTCCAGGATTTCCATATTCTTCGTGTCCGTTCTCTTATCCTCTCCTATTACTTCCCTTCTCGCCTCCCCTCTACCCATCTCTCTCTCTTTCCCTCTCTGCATCCAGTCAGTCTGCTTTTGCATTTTTCCCATTCCCCTGCTCGTCCCCCGTTCCCCGTCAACTTGCCCCCTCCCCTCGGGCCCCTTTAAAGCACCCCTCCTTGGTCTCCTGTGGTCCCCACTCTTCCAATCAATTCGGACGGGCCAGACCCAGAGCTCCCTGACCCGAGCCCCCGACTTTCAAACTTCGACACTCCTGTGCTCCAACTACAATTGCATCCGGACCCCCCCCGCCATTCTCCTTCGTCCCTTCCAGGTACCTTGTTGCGTTCTCTGGAAATCGCGCCCATCCACTCCCGATATAGAGTGATTTGCACGGCAATCCGCAGCCTCGATTCCGCTACCTGGCTTTCGGACCTCACCACTTCTCCGCCAAACCAAACCCTCCGCCTCGCCGACAATCTATTTAACCTTGCTGTCGTCCCTTGCCGCATGACGCGCCGATTGTGAAGTACTCAGCCCGGCGGCCCTTCCTCAAAGGAAGACGACCAGCTGTTGAAGCCTTTCCAACACACCCATTCGTCCCGGCTCTTTTCTGTCATCTGAATTGAGCTGCTCAGACATCTTTCTCGCAAGGACACACACCAAACCAACAGCAACGAGGTCGCAGCTTGGCCAGCAAAGACGCCATGTCACGCCACAACAGGCATCATCAGTCATGGTATGCTCCGTAACAATGCCGGCCCAACTTTGAGGTAGAGAGTTATAGGGAGCGCAAGCTGATTATGTGTAGTCGTGAGCTCCATGTCGTGGTGCTGGGTGCCGGTGAGTCCCTGTTGTGAATTACGTCTGTCACGTGCGCGGCCCACTGACCCTGCATTTAGGAGGTGTTGGAAAGAGTTGCTTAACAGGTGAGCGCCGCGTAGCGCAATGCTCGTGTCAAATGTGCAGTTCAGCTAACCAATGCAAAAGCTCAATTCGTTCACAATGAGTGGATCGAGAGTTACGACCCGACAATTGAAGACACCTACCGGACACAACTACAGGTTGATGTGAGTTGATCTTGGGCGGGTACTACTTGTTGCGGCGAATCACTGACTCGATTCATTCCAGGGACGGCAAGTGGTCTTGGAAATGTGAGTAACGAGGGCACGTTTTAGCTGCCGTGAGACCATCCATCTAACAATAGACCAGCCTTGACACCGCAGGCACAGAGCAGTTCGGTAAGCAACTTTTGTATCATTTAGTTCCTCTAAGCCCCTGGCTGACCGTCAATCCAGTTGCTATGCGTGATCTTTACATGAAATCTGGTCAAGGCTTCATACTGGTCTTCAGCATCACGTCATCCTCGTCAATGAACGAGATTGAGATGCTCCGAGAGGAAATCACCCGTATCAAGGACGACGACAATGTCCCCATCGTTATTGTTGGCAATAAGGCCGACTTGGAAGAGCAGCGGTCTGTACCTAGACAAAGGGCTTTTGCATGCTCTCAGATGTGGGATGCGCCTTACTACGAGACGAGTGCAAGGACACGAAGTAAGCCGATAGCGAGGTATTTAGACAAGATGGTGCTAACCAGACTCATCAGCCAACGTCGACGCTGTATTTATAGACATTTGCCGCCAGCTTCTCATGAAGGACGAGAAGTTTCAGAACCAAGCCGCTCACGAAGACGACGATCACGAGTACGAGAAAAACCCAGGCCTCATGGGTTTTGCCAAGCGGAAGCACCGAAGACGCAGACGCCCTGACGGTCACCGATGCGTCATCCTCTGAGTTGCCGATCATGCCCTTCTATCGACTACATGTACAACGCCGAGACGCCCACTAACCACGGATCTCCCCTACAAGTGGAAGTACCTGGCGTTGTTTATTGTCAGCATCCACGGATCAAACGGTTCACATTCAAATTCGACGTATTCCGCAGCCGGCATTCATATGCCTCAACCCCGACAAAGGAAAGGGACACACTCATTCAGGCCCTTCATGTTTCTTTTTTCATTTATCTTTCGCGCTCAAGACGACATTGTCTCATCGGCACAACATACCCTCTCATGAAATTTCGACATCAAATTCGCGGCAATGAAGTTTTACACCTGTTTCCGACACGGCCTTTTGTACGCTTTACGACTTCATTTCAAACTTCCATCGAGGACAGCTGGATGATAGCACAGGGGATCAATTTCGATTCATCTTTGAGCATCGCAGCAGCAAGATTCCCGACTGCAGAAAGACTTGCAATTTTTTCATTTTCTTTTTACGACGGGACGAACTTTGGACAAAGACCCATCACCCACATCACATAGCTTACTTCATTTCATTTCATTTTCGTCATTGATTCTCTCTTCTATTTTCATCTTCCGTTTTTTCTCGTCATACCTTTAGGGAAGGAGACAAAACAAAACAGTAGGGCAAAGGGATGGAGTTTTACTTACCAAAAAAACAAGATTTTTGGGCGGGATACGGCTTCATCGGGCGTTGGGAAAAACAAACTGGGTGTGTCCTACAAAAGTAGCGAGCGAGGCTGACAGCAGCTGTGTGGGGTCCATTAAGGGAGTTGGGGATTTGCTCGCTTTCAGCCCCCTCCCCTCCCCCCCATATGGGCCAGAATTGATGGCATTTCTTGGCCGCATGCTTTGAATAAGCTGTAAAGCTCTATCGGGCGAACTGTCCGATTTGTGACAAGTGATAATGGTACGTGACGATCGTTGACGAGCAGGCTGGCTGGCCCACGTTCGAAAGCATGTGACTGCTGCAGCCTTCACTGCCCACATTCCGTCTCTCCCTGGTATGCTGGTGCAGGTTACATGAGGCTCTGTCGTTACGCGTCAACTGAGTCTACCGAGGCTTCGGGTTCGGATTGGTCGTTAAGCAGCTGACTTTCAATGTCGGAGATTTCGCATCTCGTGTCGTCCGCTGCATGTGTCTCTATGCTTGAATGATTACGAGAAGGTGATATCCTCTCCCTGTATTGATACGCCGTAATCGAAAACGGCCCATCTCAAAGAGGGTAGATGGTTCGGGCAACTTGATAATGAGGACTCAATCTACGACCAACAGTCAACAATGACCGACAAGCAAGACTCCAAGAAAGGTCCACAGCGAATTTCATTTCGTAGGCTGAGAGTTAATCATGACCAAACCATGAGAAGTACCTGACGATGAAACACAACTTTAGAACAACGGACAATAAACACAGCGTGATCACGAGCGTCACCATGGGGAATAGGCGCAATTGATTCCTTGGACTTTGAAGTCTGTAGCTCGTGTCAGTTTGCACCTACGGGAAGAACCAGGAGACAGCACCACCACCTACCTGCATCAGCTTCGATGTCCCGCTCCCATCTATCTTCTTGGCCGAGAGCCGTCAAGGGAGCAAGAGTGTCTCCCCGTTCGATGGGCTTGCTAGAAAGAGACCAATTCCCCTGCAAAGGACTGCCAAGATGTCAACCAACCTGACTGTTCCTACACCGTCGATGCATGTGAGACATCCTTCCTACTTGCCACCTATGGGTAAGGTGCCCCATAAAGAGTGTCGCAGTAACTGACATATCGAAAGTACGAATGTAGAAAGCAGCATTGCGTCATGGACTAGTTGTCAGGCATTCCGAAGAGTCTGTTTGCTTCAGTTGTGGCGAATGGTGTATGAACCAAAGGAAGACCTAGCAGCGAAAGATATTGTCGACTTGAGGAGAGGTACCAAGCGAGAGCGTCATGTCTTCATTTACGAGTTGCTTGGCCTGAACCAAGATAACTTGAGACGCAGAGAGCTTCTCACAAACCGCCCCGCAGTCACGAAAGTAGCTTCATTGTCTCCTGTCTCTGGGTTCTACCTCTCCCGTATTAGGCGAATATACCCTCGACAGCAGACCACTAAAGATGACGAATTGGTTATTGTACCACGGACTTGCGCGTTATGAAGTTCTAGTTCGCCTATGCGGAGAGATCGATCCAGTCCGTTCCGCCAGGTTGAAGCCGCGAAACGCCTTCGTCAGAGTGTTGGTATGTGGATGCGCAGGACTGACACTCGCTCGGGCAATTCATGCTTGTCATAGATTTCTCGCCCTTGCTCTTTGGGCCATCGACATGACCCCACAAAATGCTCCGTGAAATGCCAAAGCTGATGTCAGATCTGGTCCTTCAGTTGGCCGGCTAGTGTTTATCCCCCCTTCCTCTATCACATCCCCATAATCAACTGCTTTGTGAAACGAGAAGCAGGAGACTCTCCATTGGCAAGTAGCCGCCATCACAACTTATAAAAGTCAGGCCTTGGAGTCGAAGTACTCCACGAATGGGAGAAGTCGACACGGCAAAATCTACAAGCATAATACGACTATTAGACCAATCAAGCAAAGCGCGAAGCGAGCCTACACTCTCACACACATAGCAGTCTTCTTGAACCTCCATAGCTACTCAGACTTAAACCAAGACACAACCCAAACGAATAGTATTCAGTTCCAACGCGCTACCAGTACGTAAAGTTCCTCCTTCCCCGTCGGTAGGCACAAAAGCAGAGAGCAAGTCGGACCAAGCCCCTACCCCCCTTTCGTCTTCCTTGCCTCATTCTCGTGCTGCCGGGAAAAACACTGAGGACAGAAAGGCTGGAGCAGCGGAGCGGGCGATAGTAGCACTCTCTCCGCGCAGACAGTCAACGTCTCGGAGGGAAGAAAAGTAATTGATGTTTCTATTCCCAACTGATATCTTCCCACTCTCGGTATTTTCTGATGCGCAGTCTGGATACCTTTCATCCCCGAACATACCAAAAGAGAAAGCGTCCTAGATTGGAATTCCATAAGTCGTGTATTCATCAAAGAGACATCAGAACAACAGAAAACAAGCATAAGTCGCAGCAGTACTACATTTTTCAGAATTCGATCTCTTCCACGTTTGTTTGACTTTTGAGTGTTCAGTATGCCAAGTGGTAGTGAAGTAAACAACAGGGAAAACTTGTCCATGGGAGAAGGAAGGGAACATGAACAAAAGGGAAACAACAGCAGCCTTCAGTAAGCTGCGACTATTCTGGTATCCATGATGCTGGCTCACCGGGCTAGAAGGGGCCGCCAAGTCTCGAATATCCATCTCCCTCGTTTCTCATCCAATGGACAGCAGGCGACGGTGCTTAGATCACAATACCCAAACTTAGCAACAGGACTCATTCACATGGTAAGAAGGAAAGCATCTTTCACCGTCTTCACCGTACAGTTCATGAGGTCCCCCAAAGGAAGAGGACCAAGAGTACTTCCATTCAAAATCCTTTGAACAAGTAAACGCTTGATGTCATTTCAATCTCATTGGGCAGCCGCTCTTCAGCAAAGCCACAGCTTTCGTCTATTGGTGGGTCCAAGATCAAGAATACACGTCGCCAGTGTTTCTCAATCCTCCGCGAATCCGTTCCTCAAGTCAACTTTTTACTCCAAAATCGTGTGTTTCCAAGGAGGGAAAAAGAAGAAATGTAAAGAAAAGGGAAAAAAGACATTAAACGTCGCTTCCTCGTAGTCGTCCTCCCCTCTTCTGGCATCGATCCATCCTCCACCTGCGTAAGCGACGCTCAATTAATCAAAGTTGTCCAAAGTCAAGCAAAGTTGGCCAAGACTAAGTTTGCGTGGTGTTATAATGAACACATAAGAAAAGAAGAAAAAGAGTGAGAGAATATGTTGGAATAAATAAGTTGGGTATCGGTGAAGTTGTATCGCCCTATTGGGAGGAAATTGTCCGGGAACTGGAGGGCGGCATGGCAGTAACGAGCTACGCATAAATATCGTGGGAACGGAGCGCGTGCCACTCGCAGAAGTGTCTGCAAATTAAAAGAGCCTCGGCGGTCCGTTAGACGGAGGCGGCTTGTCATCCTTTTGGTTGACCTTGACAATGCCCACCAGCACACCCACAATCAATGCGATCAGGAACACCAAGACAGCGCAGAGTACGCCAGCGAGAATACCAAGCTTCATCTTTCTCTTCTTCCTCGCTTGCGCCACCGGGCCAAGTTGTCCTGGACTATTGCCATACGCCGGCATCCCACCCGTCATCGATTGCAAATAGGCGCGTGGCCCGCTCCGTTCCCCTTGTCCCGGCGCCGCGTCGCTTACGTGAGCTGCCGCCGGTGAGGGAGCTTGTTGTGGAGTACTGGCGTAGTTACTCTGAGGTTGCGGGGCGTGCGCCGCATTCTGCTGCTGCTGTCCGCTGAGAAGGGCACTCTCTGACGGGTTTGGTGATATCGGATCACGGGGCGTCGAGGGGTTGGTGGTCCCCGTGCCTGGCCTCGAGGGGTCGTACGGCGGTGGCGGCGGGAGGTTAGGGTTCGCGGCGGACATGCCATCCGGGGTCCACGGTGCTATGGGCCCACGAGCGGGAGAGTACAACGGATCGTGGTTCGGCGGCTGGTTCCAACCTGGCGACTGCTGGAAAGGTGCTGGAGCATTGGTTGGGTAGGGCGGAAACTGCGCTTGTGCTTGTGTACTGCCGCTGCTGTTGGCGGCGCCGGGACCGGCATTGCGATTGTTGTTGTAGGATTGGGAGTAACGGGCATTAGGCATAGCGAGCTTATCGTCGGTGGGCATCGTCGGGTCAGACGGCCGGTAGGCTGAGTCTGAAGGGTAGGCGGCATTGCTGATGGAGTTGGAGGGGTGGCCGCCGGGTTGGTAGCTCGAGTCTCCGGGATATGCGGCGTTGTCAATTGAGTTTGACGGGTGGTGATGCTGGTTGTAGTCCATGATGGGCGGGTTTGTTGACGGCGTGGAAGATATGTCTACGTTGTCTGGGGATTTGTGGAAGTACGACTTGAGATGATTTCGAGATGGGATGAAGTTGAACTCTGGGGGAGGGGAACGTCGAGGTTCAACCGCTTAGAGTGCGAGTCCAAACCGGATCCGGACACAAAGCCTTGCGCGGAGAAGATAAAAGGGATCCAACAGTGTACCGTCGAGTCAGCTAGGCCAGGCGACGCCAGAAGCGTGACTGTGATATCTGCGCGCGTCGAGGAACGGCCCACGTAAGAACGACTGGCGTCGTCTGAATGCGATGAGCAATCCAAGATGAGCATGAGCCAAAAGAGGAACGGACAGCTGAATTCGCAAGAGGAGCGAGTAGATTGTATAGGTGGGTAGCAAGGAAGAACAGAACAAAAGCGGGAAACCTTTTCCTCCCTTCGATGGAGAGCGACTGACTAGGTAGACGGGTAAAGGAGCGAATAAGGTTGAAAAGTCAGGCGAAGGGAAAGAAAGGATGGCCCATGAGAGGAGCAATTTTGGGGGAGGAGGTGAGGAGTGAGAGGAAGAGGATGAGGAAGAGAAAGTAAGTAAGCCAAGCTAAGGAACAAGAAGGTAAGGTAAAGTGAGATGGCGGCAGATTGAGAGCGAGGGAGAAAGCAAGGAAGGGGTCATCCAGGATGAGCAGCCAACCCACTTGTGAGCCAAAAAGCAAAAGCCCAGTCCAGTTGCCGTCCCCGACTGGTGTCTCTTTGCCTCTTCTTCTTCCTCGTCCTGCTGCTCCAAGGCCAGGCCCAACAGGGCGCGGCCGGGATTAGAGTAATGATGCTGCAGCCATCAGCGGCATCCGCTGGCGCCAAGTGGGCTCTGTTGCTATTCATTGCTACTCTCAGGACCCAAGTGCGTTCTGCAGATGTGGGTGTGTCTCTTGCAAAGTAAGTACTCTCTGGGGATCATCTACGCTAAACGGTACCTGCTTCTCCGTACGAAGTAGTGTTCTTGACCGTTTCTCCTCCCTCTCTTGACAGTCTGGACTGGACTCCTGGAGAATGGTCCGTCCTCTCCACAGCCTCAATGGGCGGCTTAGCTGGCCCTTCTTAGCAAGGGGGGGGGAGAGCCACGAAGTGGATGGTGGGCATGGCGGGATGGGAGGGACGGGCGAGTCTACCTTATTTTCCGTTGGATGCGTGCTATGTGATGCAGGTAAGCCGACGTGGTAACGCGCGCCGGACTGCGACACGATGGCAGTAGTCGCGTTCTTTGCATCTTGCGCAAAGCCTCCTCTGTCACTCTGATAGCTGCTTCTGCTGTGTGCGTACTACGAGGACGAGGGAGGCTGTGTGGCTGTATCTGGCATGCCTCTCTATGAGAGGTCACCGTTCTCCTACGAAATCTGACAGATAAGTTCAGGGGGTTCGGGACGGTCCAGAACGGATGATGGGTTTCAAGATAACCCGACGAACACCTTTTTGGCTGACACTTCAGTCCGGACTTTTGGACTTTGAGGAACATCGTTCCAGTCCTTATTCCCACATTTTGTCCTTCTTTCCCCTCCTCCTCTGTGGGACACCGGACAAACAGCCCGCCCATGGTGCCGCAATCACCCTTGAGCCGATTCCCTCATCTACTGTGAGAAATCCACTCTGGTCCCCCCAAGGCTCAAGCGAACGGCATCTGCAACCAAGCAGGTTGGCAGGCATCGCCGCAGGGCACGCAGGTGGAGGAGATGGAGGAGGGGGGCACGGGGGGAGAACTTGGGAAGGGAAGGATTGGCACCGATGCAGGAACCCTTGCTCTGGCACGCCTGCGCCTGGAAAGGGGGTCGAGAAATCGCAGGGGTGTTTTGGTGGAGAAGGGGGGGGGGGGGATGATCTGTTAGTGCGTGGGAAAAGTGAGAGTGAGAGTGAGAGAGCGCAGAGCCACAGACTGAGAGAGAGAGAGAGTGTGTGTGAGAGACTCCTATCCACTCAGGAATACGGAGTAGATGTTGGAAGAACGGCACCCGGAGCATTCTAGCAGAGACAGACGACAGTACTCCATACTCCGTACATGCCCATGGTCGAGGAAACCTCCCCTGAGGGATTCTGGGCTCTCCCCCGCGCTACCAACTACTACCGCCGTTGATGGAGACCATGTTTCCTTGCCCTGAGATAACCGGGCTGGGCACTTCAAGTTTCGCCATTCTCGACCCTGCTGTGGCTGGCCCCCGGCAGACGAGGAGTCCAGGACCACAATGTGGGTGAGCATCGAGACTCAGAGATTCCCAGCGGGGACGCGAAAATAAAAGGCGGACTCTCCGCGGGCCAGCATACGGGTAAAGCGGAATGCACCTACCTACATTTTGCTATTAAAAACAAGATAGTCAAGAGTTCAGAACGAAAAAGAGAGAGACATCGAGAAAACGCTCAGGCCACCACGAAAGGATATCAAACTTCAACCCGCCAAGAAAGACCAACTTTTCTGCACATACCCACCTGCAACTGACTACCTACATAAATAGCGAAGTTTCTCGGAAAGAAACTCAACAAGACACTTGCCCATGCTCAATCCATCCCAGCGCAAAGCTCCCGCCCATCTCAACCTCCGGCGACTTGGCAAAAACCTTGAAAGAAGCCCCGTATCTTTGGTCGTCAAGACTCTACCTCAGTCTCAAGAAGTCAAGGACTCAAGGCAACGTTGTGGATTACTTTGTTGAACGTGGCACAACAGCAACTTGGTAAATTATCAGTTTGTTTACAATGGTCGTACAGTGTACACAACCTTCCTTCAATCTTGCATCCTTACGGATACTCATGCCAAATCAACATGCTGGGGAAACACAAAAACGCAAAAAAAAAAAAAAAAAAAAAAAAAAAAAAAAGGAAGAAAGAAAGAAAGAAAGAAAGGGTATCCCACCCCTTCCGATACCTCTCTTCTTAAAACGCTTCATTCAATTAACCTGAGGGAGGGAAAACGGCGCGCTGGTCAATTGCAGAAAAGAAACCAACGTGCCTTTGAAAGCTTCAATTGTGGGACCCACGGCCTGTCTTCACCTCTATGCGCGACTTTCTCTCTCAACCGTGAAAAAAAAGACTGCATTAAGCTTCTAGTTACCAAAAGTCCGGGTACTGAACCACCTATTGACTCATGTGGCTTTCAACTCTCGGAACTAGGACTAAGCCTCTTGGACATTGCGAAGAAGAGCAACTCAAAGTGAACCGCACAAAGTCCGCCGATTTCCATTCCTTGGTTCACTGGGATTAAACCCTCCGCGGCGATCCCGACGATCTACCATGACATCCCATCGGGTGTTCCACACTTCCAGAAGTGCACCGTCGACATCGTGACCAGTAACCAACGTGCCAACCCAGTTTGTCATATTTACCTCCAATATTATATCTCAGACACGGCGATATTTATCTTGATACTTCGATTCATTACTTCACCAACAAGTGTAGTCACATGTGTACACGTGATTATGTCTTGATTGATATCAGTGGTATCTGCATAGCTCCTTCGACTACCCTTCTCAGTCACAACGCCCTCGCTTACTTACTCGTACACGACGAGATGCTATGCGTGCCAAAATTTCCTCCGCTCGTAGAAATAAGAAAAAGAACCAGAATCTTTTTATACAACATGGTCGGCCGGCGTGCCTACACATCTCTCATACCGCCCGGGTCCCCTACCGAAGAGAAGGAGCACCGAGTCACCTCATTAAGCGTCATATCTATGTACATTTTTTTTTCCACGTACGCCTCGGCACGCCGTCAACGACCATCGTGCGGTTACTTGTTGTTGATTTTTGTGTGTTGGTCTCTCAGCTGCTCTTGCGGCCAACTTGAATGCCTCCTGGAATGGTGATGAGGAAATTGACCAGATCCACTGAGTTGCCTCCGCCAAGTGTCACGTTCAATGCCTGGGCAGGGGTAACCCCGCCGCTTTGCTGCCGAGTGCCTTGATCCGCAGTCGTGAAGAAACGCTGCAAAACCGTCTGCGCCGTTGTCGCCGCCATCAAGGTTTGCCGCTCGAGGATGAGAAGAATCGAGACACGGGCAAAGTCCAAAGTCTCCTCGGTTACTGTAAAGGTCGGGCTAGGTGCCGGTGCAGAAGACGCTGGTACCGAGGGAACCAGAGGGGTCTCAGACGTGGTTGTCGTTGGTATCGTCGTAGGCGGGACCGTAGTGGCCGGCGGGGCTGCAGAGGATGTCGTCTCGGGGGTTGATGTTGGTGAAGGCACCATGGGAATAGTAGCCCACATGGTCGAGCTAGACGCATGGATGGTTGTGACACGGAAGGGACCTGTCAGTGTTGTGAATCCACCAACGATATCTGGCGAGGGGAGGATCACGCCTCCCGGTGCGTTGACATCAATTGTGATGGTTGCCGCCTGCCCTGGGAGGATAGTGATGATCTGAACAGGAATGCCACCCTTAGCGTTGAGATCCGTGTCTGAAATGACAGTTCCAGTGCGAGTTGAACGTCCGTCAAACGTAACGAGCGAGTTCTGCGCAATGCATGACAGGCTTTCCGTGTTGAACTTTGCGAGAATGTCGGTACCATCCAAAGGGACTGTAAAGTTTGTTTGCGATTGCTGTAGTAGCCGCGGAACCGCCTGACCGAGAGTGACATTACTAAAATTAGTCGAGGTAGAGTTCCCCGAGAGGTTGGTAGTGGTGCAGCCTGTGGCTCCGGCCACGGTGCAGGTCTGCCCCGTGAACCCATTTATACAAATGCAGGAGCAGACATTTTGTGATACGACGTTAGTTCCGCCATTCTCACACTTGAGCTGATTCTGGCACTGGGTCAGAGCCGGCTCCGCCGCTGGAGGGGTCGCAGACCGGTTCTTGCGGAATACGAAGAATTCGAGGGGGACGATGATGGCGGCGGCAATGATTCCCAGAATGAGGAAGACGATGAGAATGAAGGCCCACAACGGCAGGCCGCAACACTTTCTACGCCGCTTAGTCGAAGACTCGCCGTCGTTAGATTCAAGCCTGGCCAGCGGAGATCCTCTTGCCGCCATCGCTCTAGTCACAGGCTGTGGAGTGCTGCCCCTACTGCCCGGTGCCAGTGGCCATGAAGCATTGGAAGCTCGTCTGAACCAGCTTCCGCGGTTTGGGGGGTTTGGTGTCGTAGCCGCAGGTGGCGGAAATGCGGCTAGCATGTCAGACAGGCCTGATTGGTGCTTGTCACCAGCTGTAAAACAGTTAGTTAATACTATCGTGGTGAGCATCGGGAGGTCAACTTACAAGACACGCCAGATATCTGCTGCTCCCCCTCTCGCCCAAATGCCTTCTCGTCCGGCCACGTACCGTCATCCATCTCGAATCTGCTGGCAGGTCTCCGTCCCCGATCAATCAAAGCAGCCAGGCGGGTTGCTCGTTTGATGAGATCCGGCAAGCTCGTCATGCTACCCCTGGATTCCATTTGCCTGACTGAATCCATGTCGAGTCCGAGTTTTGGCGGTCGTCGAATGGCTGAAAGGCGGTTGTACGGTCGAGGTGACGGCGTAACCTTCCTCAATTCTGCAGGGTCCGTCGCACTGGCAGCAGCAAAAGCACCTAACATTGCATTGGCCGAGATTGATGGAGTCGTGGCGAAGGCTGCTGTGGTAGGGGCCGTCCCTGAGGAGCTGGAAGGCTCGTAATAAGCTGTTTGAGCGTCAAAAGGACTGACGGGAAGCTGAAAGGGGACTGGCGACGGTCGCGGTGATTCTTGTTCGTCAAGAACATCTTGCGGCATTGGGTCTCCGTTGCTCGGGGCTCGGTTCATCACGATTGAAGGCTTCGACATCTTGCCCAAACTGGCACTCCTAACCAACTTGCTCTCGTCTCCTGCATCGCCATACGGTGACCCTGTACCACGGCTCATTTGGCTGTTTTCGTCCTCGGTTGAGTACGCGTCGTCCTCGTAAAAGTCGTCTGGATACCCTGGGCTAAATCCTGGTGATTGACTGCCCCAACTCTCGGGCATAGCGGCGCTTGAAGCAAAAGAGGTGTGAGACCTCGATCGAGGACTCTCTTCAGGAATCGGTGAAACGAATGAAGCATTCGAATAAAATGATGAGTCGCCTCGACGGGAGGACGGCGGCGGTCCAAGAGTCACGCTCCTCCTTGGTGGTACTACAGGTTGTGGCACGGCGACGGGTGGCATAGTCGACGGCAAAGGGAAGTCTGGAATCGATCCGACTGAAGAAAGTGATGATTGCGTGTGTCTTGACGACGGGGTAAGCGGTGCGGATGATACATCTTGGCTCAGCGTTGATTCTCGCCCGCTTTGTGGGGTATATTGAAAAACGGGAGTGTGATCCTGAACCCGGGAACTATCCAACATGGAGGGAACTCTACTTGGGCGCGGAGGTCGCTGCGGCGGCGGTCCACGACCCGGAGGAGGTCGGTAGGGTTCCGCATCGGGGTTGTTCACGGGTGACGGAATCGGTCCTGGCAGCGGCCACTGTGGAATCTGTGTCGGTCTCGAGATGGCCAGCCCGGGGCTGCCATCTTTATTTTGCAGGCCATTCGGTAGTTGAAGTCTCGGTATCCGTGATGGTGTCGGCTCGACAATTTGACGTCGGTCTGAGACATCCGTGGGGCTGTCTGGATCTTCTTCCATTATCGGAAATCTCGTGGCGCTCGGCGGAGAATACTGTTCCCTGGGGAAGCCGGCTTGAGCCCGCTCTCTCGCCCGCTTGACGGATCCTGCAACTGGCGGTCGATCCATATCTCTTCCATATTGGGGTTGACTCATTTAGTACTCGTGAATTCGGTCCAGCGACATCAGAGTTTCGTTTTCTTCCTGACTTCCAGTTTGATTTTTTTTCTTTCCAGAATGCCTGCGCGTCCAGGCACGACAATTAGACCATTCGCTCTGCGGTATCACCTAGGTGCAGCTTCTATAACCGTGGTTCCTGCGGGTCGCCGATGGTAGGTTGATGCGGTGGCGTAGCTGAAAATGCCCGGGGAGACGCTCGTATAGGCTCGCGGTGGCAATGTTACTTGCTGGCAGACGACGCAGGTTCGCGGAAAGAAAGGAGCGGCTGAGATTTAGATCAAACAATTGGCCGCTCAGCTCTAATGCGAGGCGGTGTAACTGCGTGAGGTTGAAAACAGGGCCCAGGCCTATTAGGAAGAATCGAAGTCTAGGGCGACGCTGAAGTGCGGTCGGGTGGCGAGTTGCCCGAGGAAAAGAATGGAACGGGAAAAAGAGCGAAGGAATGAACTGCGTACGCTGAGGTAGCAGGATAGCAGATTGCTAAATGGATTAATTAGGTTGGAACGGAATGAAAAGACGCAGTGGACGATCTATCGTGCAAAAGTCCAGGTCAGCACCGAAGAGACATGAGGGAATCTGGAAGGAAGAGAGACAGAGTGGAAGAAAGAGTAGAAGCAGCACGGCCACAGAGGCAAACTGGCCCCCCAGTCACAGGTACAGAGGATTTCCGGTGGTTCGGGAGGGTTGCCTCAAGTCGGCCGCACCCTTCCAAGCAAGGAACACCTGAACAGCCGGGCCACGGGTAGGGGGAGTCCCAAAGGGGATCACGTACATTTGGTGTTTCGAGACTTGGCCTTTGTTGGACGTGATTCGCCCAACAGGCAAGATTTGTGGTTGCTTTTGATAGAGAGATATAGAGATGAGATGGGATGCAATTGTGATGGCCGTGTATAGCAGACGGATTTGTTGATTGAGTGAGTGAGTGAGTGACTACGGCGGTGATGAGAATGACTGCGAGGTGATGGCATCGACCTCGGAGCAAGAGCGCGTCTTAGCAGCAGATGCTTCGACAAACAGACGGGCCAACGCAGTCGTCGGCGCAACAGCAACAGCAACAGCAGAGTGCAACTCTGGTGGCGGGCGGGAGAAGAGAAATCGAGTGGGTGAGACGAGCGCGGAGGAGTGCACGACACACGATGGGTCTTGCGGTGCTGTAGAAAGGACTGAGAGTGTTTCAGACGGGCGGAACGGACAGGGTGTGTCCGGCGTCGGGGAGGCAGGTCGTCTCCGGGGGGAACCTAGTGACTGACGTCTGAAGATTTGGAGATCAAGAGACAATCAGGCGAAGAAGCAGGTCCGTGGTGGATTCGATGGGTGATATGATGTGCGAACTGACAGGCGAGGTCGCGTGGGGTAACGGAGCGTCGATGTTATGGGTTTACTTCAAGGCTGAGCGATGAATCCCGTGGCGATGGTCCGGTGAGAGAGAGAGATCGAGTGAGGGAGAGAAATGAGGGTCAGAGAGGTTAATGACGCAGACCTTGTCGAGGTTCTCGGACGGGTTGCGGCAGTTAGTCTTCAAGACAAAAACTTATATCCGGTTGGCGGCGGCAAAAAGGAAGAAAAGACCAATGGCGGTCGATCAAGTCGACGAGATTGGAAGAAGAAAAGAAGGTCGAGAAGTGAAAGGTGTGCTGTGTTGGGCGTGTGAGTGTGTGCGTATGCGTATGAGTGTGTGGTGAGTGTGTGTGAGCCGGGTCTGTGTCTGTGTGTATTGGTTGGTTGGCGAACACACAGATGTACGTATTGTGACGGGATCTGATCTGTCGAGGGACAAGCAGAACAGACGGGCCGCGTGCCTGGCTGGACAACCCGTATGTGACAGCTACAAGCGACGACCTACAAGAACCAGTGTCGGAGGCTTGACTCGACTGCTGGTCTGCGGGAACAAGTCACAACCGCACGGAAAGGTTGATGGAGGTGGTCCCGAGACGGAAGTGAAGAAGAAGAGAGGACGGGACAGGAGGGGATAGAGAAGAAGCGAGGAGGGATCCCCAGAGATCAAAAACGAGTGGAAGCAGACTGCCAGAAGAGGGCCGGGCTGGGTCTGAATCCCAATCTAGAGTCTAGAGACGGACGGGGGTGGGATTTTGGGTCTTTGGGACGTGGATTGGGGATGGTCTGGCCTGAGAGACAGCCCATTCAGCAGAATCGGTACAAGCTCGAACGACTCCACCATCCACCGGCATGGAACTTGAAGTAGGAGAGGGAGAGACCAGGGGTGGTAGTTGATATTTTGTGAGTCTGTGACCCTATTCCCCCTTCGGTGTTGCTGCTCGTCTAGTCCTTCACTGCAAATTTCGTCCTCTTTTTTTTTTTTTTTTTTTTTGTCTTCTTCGTCTGCAGGTCCAGGTCGAGTCCGGATAATGCGCCGAAAGCGAAGGTGATGGTGCTAAGTATCCGTACTCCGTACTGCGTACCCCTACGAAGTGTCCGTACGTGTACTATCTAAAGAAGCGCAGTAAGCATGTAAAGTACCTTGAAATGGATATCTCACCGTAACATGGTCACGTACCTTGCAGCTGCAGCAAGCACAAGCACAAACGTGGGGCACTGGGACGGGATTGCGCAAACGACTTGTCCAAAGATATCTGGAGGATGGAGGCCAAAAACGGAGTACACCACCTATGGATAGGTATGGTGAATGTGCAGGGAAATGACGGGTGGGGGTGTGGCCGTCGTAGAGTGACGCCAACACGCCCAGCTTTGCCCAAGTTGGTCGAGAGTCAAGAGACCGTTGAAAATGTCTCGTCTCAGTCAGTATCAACGTCCGGTGCTATCGTCCCCCCTTGCGGCTTGCGTTGATTACTCTTTGCTTTGCACGTGCCTTGTGTGGTAAGTACTAATAAGTGAGGTAAAGTAAGGTAAGAGGCGGGTAGCACGAAAGCAGTTTGGCACCATAGGTAAAGCAGGAAAGGACACGAGTGAGGCGTCAATAGTCAGGCAAAGCCAAGTCGCCCGTCGCCCCAAAGGTTGATGGCATGTCTTCAAGGGCAGCCCCTGGCTTCAGACTGGATTCAATTTTTGGGACAACGAGATCCCGAAGTGGCAGATGGGTAAGGATTTCAACGAGGCACGGCTTGTCCTGGGGACTGTGGCTGGACACTAACACGACCGTTCGGGTTCCTGGTCCTTCCTGGTTGTTACTGTCATCCTAGTCGCAGATGGCAGGGGTGATAGGAGTGGTAGGAGTGGCAGGGGAGGAAGGAGTGGCAGGGGAGGAAGGAGGAGGAGGAGGTCTTGACTTGCACCGGTCCGTTCTTGCCAGTCTCTCGCTTCACACTTTGCCGTCTCAAACGCAGGTAGGTGTTAGTCCCAACGCTCCTGCTTCGACTCTTTCCTTCTCCTCCGGGTCTTTCCCCCCTCCTCCTCTGGACCTCTGCTGCGCGCCTTCCCTGGGTCTGCCCCGGCTGGAGGGGTCACTCTCCGTCCAATCCCTGCTCTCTGCAGTTCCCATGTGGGTCAATCTGGTCTGGTGTGGGCCAATGATGAGCGTATCAGGCTTAACCAGAAACACTAGCGCAGGCACGCACCTCAAGATCCTTTCAATCCCTGCAAGAGCGGTCCAGATGGCCCGATCTGGGGGGAAACCTCAACCCACGCTCTACCTACTTGTAAGTGTATTCGTACCTACTTACCCAGGCAGTCACAGACTCCAGGATCTAGAAAACTCCAAGTGGTCCATCTTGCCAAGGTAAGGTACCTCGATGCAAGCTTTTGTGTGTGGAAGCTGCCAACTACTTGCCTATCCGTACAAAGTAAAAGAATCAAAAGACTCGAGAGTCGTGACATCCTGGACGAACTTCCTTTTGAAAGACTCGTTCGTCGAACGCAAGGACCGATTGGACAAGAAAACCGCCCGACTCGGCATCGCAACAACATCGTTCGAACCATCCGCCGCGGCGCATCCCTCGACGCAACCTTCTCTTCCAAAGTTCCTGCAAACTGCGGCATGTTCGGTCTTACTCATTGTTTCCTCTGCACCTGTCAGAGCTGCCGTTGGTGTGCACCCTTCGAAGAAAAAAGCAAAATCGAACCGACCTGCAACTGGAAGAAAACACTTGTACCTCGGTATCTGGCATGCCACCCTAATGCTCAGCTCTGAGGAAGTATCCCCAAAACTCACGCCAAAGACATTCGCCGCTTCGACCTGCAAGTTGCCATTTTCAACTCTTCGCGCTCGTTTCCTGAATATTCTGCCAATGCCTACCTCCGTCCGGCTTGTCTTTGATAGCATTCGAGGGACCATCCCAACGCCAGATTCATCAACGCGGACGGCCACTCCCTACTGCTACTTACTACCGCCACCCCAATCAAGGAGACGGGACGAATTGAAACGTCACGTTCCTTAAGCTGATGTCTGTCACATAACAAAATGAGAGGAAAATACCCCGAAGCTGCCATAGGGCCTGACTGCGGCCCTTGAAGGATGGGCCTATCGGCAACTCTCCGTTCTAATGATGGCCAACTTGCAAGAACAATCCCATTCCTGTGTCGTCGAACACTTGGTATCAAGATGACGACTCCTGTCCCAAACTCATCTTGAGCAGCATCACGATGAAAACAAAGCTTGCCGTTAATACGCCCGCGCAACCAGCGGAAGAATGGATATTCAATTGTCCTTGCCCTATGCTGTCGCCCTGCATCTTGGAGCCCCAGGCCCCTGGCACGAGAACGCTGATCAGCATTACCTTAAAGGCAACTGAGCGGGGGCCTGCCTGCGGTGTGCAGCTTCAGAGTTCCTGCAATTATTCCGCCTGCAGGAACACCTTCTACGCGACCCGTCGACCGCGTGCTGTTCTTTGCGCCGGCATCTCTGTACCGAAAACGCCATTCTGCGACCTGCCTAGTCTTGGCCTACCTTATGGCCACCGCACCGCTGCCACTGAATGCGCAGAACTGCAGACCAAGGGGTCGAACAAACACATCGGTCGCCTCCTGTTGCAAGCCCCAGGCACGTATCGAGATAACCCTTAGTCCTGGATCGATTCGTCCAACCAGTGGTGCAGCGACAAGAGAGGCACAAAGACCACACCACGTTGGCACGCGGCGCGGTGCCTAATTCCGATTTGGTTCCCACCGCCCGCAGATGCAGTTCCTTTTTTGCTCTGCAGACCACAGCGGTGCAGACTGCAGGTTCAACGTCGAGTTCTAGACGCGTTTCAGCTGTCGCATCCACGCTGCAGACATGGAACAGGGCCCAGGGTCAGATCTCTTTATCCGTCACAATAGTCTCAATTGGCCCAAATTAGTCCAAATGCCAGCAAGAGAAGGCGCAATTGCCTGGAGTCATGGACCCTTTGCGAACCTTTGGCAAGGAGCGACGCCGCTTGCAAGAGAAGGCAGGTCATTGGCACGCGTATCTTTGGTGCATTCGGCTCGATCTTGTCAGCTTGTCAACATCTACTACGGGTCTCTTACGAGCATGCGCTGAGGGGGTCGGTAAAGCACTGTTGCCTCTTTGACCCCAGACGAGCCCTCTGGCATAGGATTCAGGCACGCAGAGCACGGAAGTGTACGACGGCAAGGCCGCATGAGAGAAACTTCAGGCACACGACGGCATTGTCCATACACCTCTCTCCCGCGCGGCTTGAGCTCAGGGTCTATGCCTCCTCCCATCTGCTACCGAGGCAGCCATTTCGAGATACCTTCTGCTTCACATCAGCGGAAGAGGAAAACTCAATGACTGCTTCCACTGCCCGTGTCTCCGCAGAATTTGAATAGCCGTCCTCGACTCCTCAACCACACGTGGAACCTTGGGACGAAACGAAACAATGCGCCGACAGTCACGCGGGTAGCCATAATTTCCCATGGTGAGAAAGATTTCGGCCTGCATGTCAGGCGATCCGTTCTCCAATCTTGACCTCATGTTCGGTCGCACCTATCTGACCGGCACGTCATCTCCGACAAAAGCCGCCAGAAACGAACTGCGTTCTTTCCGAGGGCAAACCATCCAAGCGCCAGCGCGATGATGGCAGTTTGAAGTCTGAAATCAACAACCCTTCAATTCCGAGCCAGCCTCTAATTGGCAGCTCGCTAGCTCCCGCGCCCGATTGTCAACGTCAAACCGTCCGGCCCCACGGCGCCGACTAGCCTCCGATGTGGAGACAATTTTCTGCAAGGCTCGGGATCTTCACCTCGATATCACGGTGGGTAGCACGTTATTTATTCGCAACGTGACACACAGATTCCAAGAGTATTTGCTCCCTTTGAACAGTACCCATTGGCTTGCTCCAAGCTGCGATGACAAGCTCTCCCATCCCTCAACTCGCCAGCAAAGCCTGGCAACCTGATTTTGTTTGCTATTGTAAAGGATATTGAAGGGGCTTCAAATGTCACACTACCAGGTATGGATGATGTACATCTCTTCCGGATTCCGAACTGGTGGCATCCACATGCCGGTCCCCGAATCTCATATCCAGCCTAGGCGAACATTCCAACGAAGTGTCGATCATGTCGAGCGTCAGGCTAATCAGCTTGCGTGCCACCGTGCTTGACTATAATCTTCTAGAAAACTCAATCTCTGAGCTTGAGTCGCATTTGGGTCTCCTTACCGTACTACGCACTAAGTTTTGTGCATGCGCAAACGGGGTCTGGATTTCTGATTGCCATTTGCACAAACAGACCGATATCAAGACACCCAGAGGCTGACTGTTCTCTCCCTCCCTTGAAAAATCTTTGCTAAAACGAACAGCAATTGCCCATCAATCAAAGTTCTTGACAACTGATACCATGGCGGCTCTTGGCGCGTGCAAAACTCAAAAGTAATATTACTCGGAAATTTTGTCGCTATGCAAGCTATTATCTCTGCGTGGGTCTGGCAACGTGATCATCCTAATCGTACGATGAAGTATGGTCGTCGTCGACAACTGTGTCCAAATTCTGTCGCCATTCATGTTGGATACTGTCCGGAGACGGTGTTCAGCGATGACGAAGGAAAATTGCGATTTGGTTTAGAACCTGCCGCTGAAATGTCGACGGCATTACATCAAGAAGACGGGAGAAGGCGGTCACTAAGATGTTTTCACAGCGTGGCCGGTTGGGATATGACATCATTGAGGCTTGTTCCCAGCTCTTGAAATATGTCTTCAGCGCTGTATCTGTCCTTTTCGTGTTGCTGGTTTGCTCTCCGGGCGTTTCCGTTCCAAAGAGACCATGGCAAGATTTCCTAAAACAACGTTTTGCGGATTTTCCTGTCCTCAGCCACCGGGTATCTGATGCTTAATCATATGGCTGTGAGACACCCGTGATCTTCCCCGAACCCGTTACGGCTGTAGTTGTATCCCTTTAGTAATTGGCTCGGGGTAGTGACAGGTTTGTATTGGTACTGACCTGGTGAGATGAGAGATCATACGCGGTTCGTCGCTCTCACCTCCTTTATGACGCGCGCGAGTAGAAAGGTCAAGTTCTGTCCATGACCTCGAAAACAGGATGTTTTCCTACCTACCTTAGCTGCGTTGTCTTTGACGACCTAGTACACGACGGGTGAAGGCATGTTCTAAATGCGTCCCGAGGAACACTCGGAGATGGGTATCGAGGAGGTTTCGCGCCCTTTGCCCAGGTACAACACAAGCCAGCGCCGGCACCGGTCATTGACAGTACTTTGACAAAGCTCATTCAAAGAATCGTCGCCGGATCCGAGGGCAGCATTTCGGCGTGTATTCAAACTCTGTGGTGTGCTCGACTGGGACCCATGAAGTTTGGCACAAGTTTGCTCAGCATGCTACGACTGTGTTCTCAGTCTAACATCAGCCTGGGCCTAGTCCAAGGCAGAGCACACCATTGCCGCCGGGGTTTTTTTCTATTATGCCGGCCAAATGTGCATTTATATTTTGTTGTGAGATGTTGCCTACCAGAGTGAGGCTATCCAGGACTTACACACTGCTGCATTGCTAGTCCCTGACGAGATTATGATGATAGAGACTTCACCAGCCAGTCGAGCTCGAAAGCTGACTGGGAGTACTTCTCATTGACCAAATTACAGCTGTACTATCGCCATTTGATGCCTTGAGCCTGCGAGGGTAGATGCACACTTGGGCGAATCGTGACTCTCGTCGTATTGAGTCTCCTTGGCAATCTCGGCATACACTTCCACAACATACCCCATATTCTGAGCGTTGGCTACCCCGGGCTCTGAGATGGAGACAGTGCTCACTTGGTTGAACTAGATTTTAACTGTGGCCGAAGTCTTCTTTTCCTTTCTCTCGGGTCTGACGATCAACTATCTAGCCACTTTCCCGGATATTTGGTCATGATCGCAGACGAGGTCAAGTGCTTGATGCTGATTCTGGCACAAGGGACTTGGAGGAGGATGAGGCCGATGCAAAGAATAGGAGAGACGAAATGACCTTGAACTTTCTGCTTCTCTATTTGAACTTCCCGTGAGGTCGAGTAATCAATAATGAGATTTGTTGACAAATCGAACGGTATGGAACTTGCCAATATCCGATTTTATTTCCATAGACTCAAGAAAATTCTCACTAATTTTCAAGGACTACTTTTGATCAGGGGAGTTATACTAGGTATAAAGCAAGAAGCAAACACGGCCTATCCGTGGACGTATGCCTTATGAGGTGACTCCTCTTGAGCGTGGAAAGCCCGCATCCAGCAATACATTACGCGGGTTCGAGCTTATGAAATCACTACGGCAAGGCAGATAGATCAAGCGGGCCAGTTATTATCTACGCCTCGCCTGTTTCATGAGCGAAACCGAGACGAGTGCGACTATTTATTGCTTTTCTGCCTTGCCTACCTGCCTACGAATGCACCCAAAGCGGAAGTTGCCCGGCGGAGACGGCGGGAAAACGCACACCGGAGCGGAGAGACGGTACAGTCCGGAGAGCGGGAATTGCGTGATGTGCAATTTCCGGCGATCCCGGTGCGGCCGGCCTGGAAACTCTTCGGAGGCCGATATGCGGCGGAAGGGCTGCGCTTACTCTCAGTTTACGAGGACAAGTCCTTTCGTATTTAGGGATCTACGCTAGTAGCCATGTAGCAAATGCCCACAAGAGTCCAAGGCTGTCACTGTTGAAAACCTGGGGAGTACTACACTAGGCTGGGGGGCAGCCTTCAACGGCCAGACCGAACCATTGAGGCCAACATGAACCATTTTTCAAGGCCAACAATCCACCCGTTCGGAACAGCACAGCCCGAAGACAGTCGTTTCTATTCTGGCGGCGTAGGGGTATTCATTATTCAAGGCAAAAAAGGAAAGTGAAAAAGGGGGGCTAGCTAGGTCTTTTGGAGTGGGCTTTGGGTGGCTTTCTGTATCACGATGATACGGCGACGGAGTTTCAGACCCGGACGAGACCCCTTGCTCTGAGGCGCCGGAGGGCTTTGGCTGAGGAGTGAG